CTTTAATATTCTTATTATAGAACGTAGAGAGCTCCGCTATTTTTAATCTCGTTAAAGAGTACTTAAGAGTATTATTCGATACGTTTCGCTTATAGGAAGAGTACGCGATATCTTTAATAAGAACGGGATTTCGAGATATTCCGCTAGCGAGTTTGAGCTCTATCGTCTCGAGCTCTCTCTCGCGGTTCTCTTACTTCCGCTTCGCTATTATCTAATCTTAAATACGCGTATAGCGCTCTTCGAACGTCTTCTCTACTTTAATAGTAGACTCCGTCGCTAAGAGTTATTTCTCGTTACTAGACGTACTCGCTACGAGTATACTATCGCTAGACTCGACGACTCTTAACTATTAACTACGTATAGAGAGAGCTATTATTTCTTCCGTTAGACCTTATCTCTAAAGGCTTCGAGAATTATAAGAGGAGCTCTAGGAGACTAATAGATAGATCGATAGAAGGAATAAACTAAGAGTCGATAGCTATAGTCTCTATATATAGAGACTCGAAGCCTCTTTAAGGCTTCGAGGAGTATACGAAGATATACCGCTACTTATCCGCCCCGTTAGGGCGCGTACGATCCTTAGCTAGTTTACCCTGTTTAGGGGCTATGGTATAACACCCTTCCTATATAACTAATTAAGGATACGTACTTATCCCGTACCTTATCCGGGATAATATCGTTTAGTTACGGTTCGTCCTTATCTAGCGTAGTATCGACAGGTCTAGGACGTGTCGTAGAGTCTGGTCAGATCTGGTCTGTCTGTGCTCACGGCCGTGACACCTACTCTGGCAGACTAAAGTGAAATAAACCGAGTAAACATCCGAGCCAATTGCTTATTTGAGCTTATATCCCTCGTAGCTGTCAAGCACTGATTCGCCCTTTGCTATCTCCCAGACTTCAGCGATGCGCTCTTGGACCGATCTGGGAAGTGGACCGTGGCGCAACCCGATCAGTGTCGACTTCAATTGCTTGGTGGTACTGGCTCCAAGGACAATGGCATCGCCCTGCTTTTCATCCAGTAACGAATGGAACGCTATCCACCGGTACGCGAGTTCTGCTCTGGGGATTTTGGAAGATTCGGAGATCTCATTCCACAGATCTAATGCTTCCAACATCTTGGGTTTGTTATACATTGAGAGGTAGAGCTGGCCGAACTGCGTGTCTGGTCGCCACCGGCCCTGCCCACCTGAAGCTTGCGTGAGAAGTTCTCGAGTCTTCGTGAGAAATCCAGCCGCGATGGGACTATAGGCATAAAACGACATGCCGTGCTCGCGGAGAACAGGGAAGAGTTCTGTTTCAATGCGTCGAGAAACAACGTTGTAATTCCCCTGATAGACCGTGGGAACCACGTAGTTTTTGTCTTTGGCAATAAGGATAGCATCTTTCACCTGTTCCGCCGTGAAGTTTGAGAGACCGAACCTTGCAAACTTTCCTGCCACGTAGAGGTCGTTGACGCCCGCCAGGGTGTCCTCTATCGAAGCCGTGGGGTCGGGTGCGTGAAGGTAGAAGATGTTTGCCTATAAGCATTTAATCACGGCTTTTTTAGTCTGCCCACAGCTTCGACGAGAAAAAATGACATACCTTTTCTATCCCCAATGTTCTTAAGCTCTTCATACCCCTCTCGACGACCTGTGCACGGGACGAATTACCAGGAGCCCAACCGCCAATATGCTTCGTGTCGATAAGGAAGCGTTCCCCAGCTCTGGCTTGGCCCAGCAGCTGCTCGCTAGTGCTATACAATTGAGCTGTGTCAATCTGCTCTATTCCTTCCATTTGGAGGATGGAGAGCAATTCTTCGACGTCTTCCACGAGAGAGAAACTACCACCTGAGGCCTCTAGACCAATAGAACCTCCTCCGAACACTAGGGTAGGCGATCCAGTAGCCATCTTAGGACAGAGGGAAGTGAAATCAAGTGTATCTGATGACATATAGGCCTAATCAAAAAGAAAAATGAACGCCTGAGTTATATCGAGAGAAATGAATCCAGGAAAAAGAGCGAAAGCCAATTCGCAGAAGTATGAGCTTCATTTCCAACCACCCGACAGGCACCCAAAAGAATCTCGTTGCTGACAAAGCACACAATTTTATGCGCACCAAGGCCGTCCAGTGCTAAAACCTGCATAATCTATGCGGAGCGAATACTCGTAGTTGAATGTGGAGTGCTAATACGGAGGCGCGGAGGCGCGCACCAAAACTGTTGACCCCGCTAGGGTTTAGCGCTCAGACTAGAAACCTGATCTAGGCCATTGTAGGATTAGGATTTCACCCCGCGGCCAATCTTCTATAGTATGTTGTCCTACACCTTTTCTCAACAATCACATCAGTCACACTGCCTCTCATGCCTACGCAATCGTCAACAGCGATATATTAGGCAGGGAACAAGGCCCAGGAAGGTCTATCTATGGTCAATCGCGTACGTTTAGCCATGCCGTTAACTGATTTATATGCAGAACAAGCCCGTGAACGCGAATCTCAGCGGCCGCGAATACCTCAGAACCCGCGAGCGCAGAGACCTCTCTCTGAGGAACAGGCCACTGGCCACACTGGTGTTCGCTATTCGCCAGCGCAACGAGTGCAGACACTCACGTTATTATCGCTCGGTTATTCGCCATAGTAAGTTGAGGTCTGGATCAAAGTCCCAGCGAGACAGGCTAGGAGGATTCTTCAAAAGGCAAAAGAGCCTGGTTATCGTCCGCAGGAGGATCCTCGTATTCCCGATCATTATGTTGAGGACGGCGTTAGGACAAGAAGACCTAAGGAGATAACTAAAGAGGTTGAACAACGTGTTCTAGCGTTCATTGAAAAGGCTAGATCAGGTAGAGAGAAATCTAGCGACGTTCTAGCCTATGAATCAGGTATCAGCACGTCCTCTGTTCTACGCGTTCTACACTAATGCCTCGGGAAGTTGGGGTTCGTTCTCTGTTAAGGTTCTGCGAGACTAGCAGGACTTATCCAACCAATTCTCGATGAAGTCTTCCTTATTAGGTCCGGTTCTTGTCTGAGTGTGTTATACGGGCCTATATCTTAGACGCTTCCTGTCGTGGTTTGATTCGTCTCCGATATTCACAGAACGTCGCCGCTTAGCTGTCTAAATTAGTAATATAATCTATCAAAGTGATAACGGTAACTGAATGCTCTTAGGTGCTCCTAGTTCCGCCGGTAAAGCTATATATTGGCCGGCCTTTGTCCTTCTCTTTGTACCGATAGTATTGCTTCACTACTGGTCTCTACGATGACCTCGTCTGTCCTCCTCTTGTGATTCGTTGTTGGTTCGCAACTTGTTTCTCTTATGGTCGCGGACTCTTGCGGGAGGTCTTGGGGCTTGCTCTCCGGGTTTGCTGGCGGCGCTGGTTGGCTGTAATGCAGTCAGTGATAAGGTAACGACGTAATGAAGTAGTATAGAGGGTAAGGAACTGACAGTTCTCCTGTATTCTTCGGCTCTTCCGCTGGCGCTCGGTTACTTCTTCGCCCTCATCTTCAGCTTGGGTAGAACGGTGCCTTTCTCCTGTGGTTATTCAGTTAGGTTGAATCGCAAATGATAAACGGTGTTTCCTACGGCTCGAACGATCGTGCTGGAGGCTAGGTTTGTCGTGGCCCTTTCGAGCTCCGCTTGTGTCTCGCTCTGCAACACCCCCGCGGCCATATCGACTGGCAATGAATGATACGTAGGACGAGCCTACTATCTATAGCCCACGTAGGAAGCTGGAGACTGAAGGAGCGGGGTCGCAGGAGGCTAGGTCTTTGAAAGTTGTGGAGAACCAACGATCTGCTTTAGCCGCACCGGAATATAGTAGCTAGGCCTAACTTGAGGTCCCTAGGCCGTTTCTTCTCTATAGTATAGATTCCATGGTAATAAGTATCCTTTACGTATAGTAACGATAAGACTTAAAGCTTAAGAGAAGAAAGCTTTCCGAGTGCGAGAAGCGTATCTTTTCTCCTATAGACTTAGTAAGCCTAAATAGCTTAGGGTCGTCCGAGAAGTCCCTTTACTCCGCTCTTCCTCCTAATCTATAGTGGCGTATAGGGATACTTCTCCCCTGCGAGTCATGTACTCTTCTACTCTATTTGTGACAATCCCTTTACCTTCACTGGCCTGTTCCTGCCTCACCATGCCCTACAAACTCGACATCTGGAAACTCCGCGCTCGGTCTATCCAGCAGGTCTGTGGTTGCACTCCCATTGCTTAGCACGGAAGCGAAGAACTCTGTCGTATACCGCCATATAATCTCCTGCAGGCGGCGGCTGTCCACTGTGCCGGTCAGTTCCAGGGGCATCGCGGTGCCACGCAGACCGAGCAGGTCAGCCAGCAACGGCAGGTCGGTGTAGCCGTAATGGACGGTGTTGTTGGGGCGCACCCACGATTTCCAGCCAAGGGCGTGGTTTACATAGAACGAAGGCCAGTCGGCAGCGATTGGTGGCATCTCCGCGGACTGCATCATGAACACCGGCTTGCTCACAGTGCCGTTGGCCACGGGGTCGTAGTAGGGGCCGTCGATGTTAGCGCCGGCCAAGACGCGGGCGTCCGAAGCGGCGACGTTCACGGCCGTGCTGCCACCGAATGAGTGGCCGTACATGATGGCGCTGAGCGGCGTGGAGGAGTTGGAAGGGTAGCTGCCTAGACCGGGAACGTCGCCGCGTTCAACGGCGTCGAGGATGGACACGGAGTCGGCGATCCGGACCGACTGTAGGAAATTTTGACCACTGGTGGAGTTGTCATACGTAATGGTAACATTGCTTGGATATTCTACGTCGCCGTCCGGGAACACAACGGCCGCGCTCTCGTAGGTGTGGTCAATGGCAATCACTGTGTAGCCGGAGCTGGCGGCAGCCAGTAGGATGGATGCATAGCCTCCTCTGATACCGCCGTACCCGGGGCTGAAGAGAAGCAGTGGGCCAGATGGAGACGACGATGGGACAGGCCGGGAGCAATTGATCAGTTTCACTGGATCAAGGATCGATGATTCATTTGGCGAGGAGAGCAGAGTACCGAGAAGGGCTTCGGCGACAACAGGTGGGATATATGGGACCTGCGACTGATCCTCAAGCGGACACGTGAAGTTGTCGAGGAACGGCCGGTAGACGGTGACCATAAGGCGGCGAAGCTGCTTAGTCGGCGCAAGGGGGTCTGGACGCGAAGTCTTGACTTCGTGGTCGTAGATGGAGACGGGGTATGGACCGAGTTGCGCGGGCAAGATCACATTGGACTGGGAACTGGAAGCTGTTGTCGTATTCTCGGGGTCATCTGCCCGTACCAAGTGAGAAACGGCAAGAACAGCAACGGATAGCGCGGAGTAAAACCTCATGATGGTGATGGTGGTGAATGTAACGGTGGTGAATGTAACGGTGGTGAATGAGGTGGTGGTGAATGTGATGGTAGTTACGGGAGTTAACGAACGATTCTCATACCGAGCAGCGGCCATTTGCTGTCATTATATACCTTGCCGTGCAACTAATTCCATACTAGTAGACATATTTTGCCGCATAATTTGAGGCAGTGGTTGAAGAGCTGAGCTGTGATCCGCATCGGGTACCAACGGCCAAGGTCACGCATCTCAGGTGGCACATAGATCATACACGGACGTTAGCACTTGGTTGGACTTGAGAGGAAGTAGGATGGGAGGCCTCAACACACTACTAGGTATTTACGTCTGTCACTAATGCGACTTCGGAAAACTAACCGCATTAGTCTAGGCTATTGCACGGTGGAGCACTGGCTGATGGGCGCAAGGCATCCTGCAGATCCACCCAAAGCCCTTTCTTTATCATGTAGCACCTGTAATTGTGGTAACTGTAGATCCATGGTACGTATATGACATAGCCTAACATGCTTCTCTTCTCATCGAAGTATTGTTGGTTAAAGAACAAGATGGCTTAGTTCGTAGCCATGGGGACATCGTATGGTTTGTGCCTTGGTCTCGCCCCCAACAATTACCGCGAACTTATACTTTTCCGTCAAGAGCATGTCGATGATCGAAATCAAGACCAAGTGGTAACCTGGTTTGCAGAAGATATAAAATGGGAGGGAAGCTCCAGAGATGAAGAATGAACTTGCCACTCAATCAGTCTGTTCCACAGGTTGTTTCCTCTGCAAGCGCCATGTTTCCTTCCAAGCTCCTTCTTGCCGCTGCTTTCGCTGCTTCATCTCACGCAGTTCCCGTTGAGGACACTCACACTCTAACGCGCAGGGCAAATGTCCCCAACCAACCACCTGCCATTCCACCAAACGAGGGCGACTGTAATTTCCAGTTCTTCACGCAGAAAATAGATCACTTCGGCCAGCACAACGGCACCTTTCAGCAAAAATACAATCTGGTTACGGACTTTTTCAAGCCAGGCGGGCCAATATTCTTCTATCAAGGAGAAGAGCAAACTTATCTTGACTGTGTTGTGTGTACCAGTTCTCGATTACGCTTCTAGATGATATCACTTACCGGGTTACAGGATACCAGTATCGGCTATAGCTGGGCACAAGAGACCAATGGCATCGCTGTGGTTCTGGAGCACCGCTATTTTGGCCAAAGCTCGCCATTCAACGCTACAGACCCGTCCACGCAGCAGAGGGAATTCCAATATCTTTCGCTCGACAATGTGATCGCTGATGCTACCAGCTTCTTGAGCTACCTCAAAATGAATGTTACGGGTGCTGAGGACAGTAAAGTCATAGTCTACAGTGGTAAAGCTTGAGCATACTCCCTAATCGGACTTGCGCCTGAGAACTGATCGACCTGCTATAAGGTTCATACGGTGGCTTCCTTTCCACCGTCTTCCGTCAAAACCGCCCAGATGACTTCTTCGGGGCGATAGCCTCAGCCCCTCCTAGTCATGGTATGGGAAACGACACCAAAACGCCAGGCTGGTACAACTGGAACATATGGGTGAGACCATTCTAGAGAGCACAACTCACAGAAACTGAAGACGATCCAACAGTTAAACAATGTCTATTACGACCAATCCGCCGAAGGGGCAAGCAAGCTCAAGAATGCCATTAGGACTCTCGAGCAGCGTTGGACTTCTGGTAAGATCCAACGGCGTTGGTGAGATGCGTCTCTAAGAGATACTAGGAACAAACCTTTCGTCCCTGAAGAACGAGCTTGGACTATGCTACAAGCCAAATATCGACGAGTTCGGCGCTTTTAACAATTTGATTCAAAATGTGATGAGCAATAATGCTGAATTCAACTATGCAACAGTCCGTGATGGACGATCTGCAATTGCGTGGCCACTTGAGAAGGTGATCAATATTACCTTGACGCAGGACGACCCCATTCAAATCATTAACGAGACCCTTTGGATTTGGTTTGGGCCATCACCGGGCACTAACCTCGATTTACCATGTCTCGATTACCGAAACACCAACTCTCTGTATGCTTCTGTACCTCTGATCCAGCAAGAGGTCTTTTTATATTGCGCTTGTAAGCCTGTCATCATTTGGCTCTGAACCATTGATGTCGCCACTGCTAATGAATCTAGGTAAATATGTTCCGGTGTACGGAGTTGGCGATGTGCCCAGTGGGACGATATTCGTGCAGAGCAGCGGAGGAGCCAATGAGACTTCTATTTGTGACCAAAGCTACAACATTTCCACCCCTTCAGCATCCAAGCTGATGGAACAATACAAGTACTCCCCACAGCACCTTCTCAACTCGACGCGCATCATCTGGTCTCTGGCTCAGTACGACCCGACGAGCGGCGTCTCTCCCAATCAGCCGGGCATCAACGCGCCCGCCATGAGTGTGGACAGGAACGTGAGCCGGATATTGTACACGTCGAACATGGCACATCGTGAGGATTTGTTTGCGCCTGATCCAAGTGACAAGGATACAGTCGTCCAGACCAGAAAAATTGAACTTGAATCCATCAAGGCGTGGCTAGGCTGGTACGAGTGAGGGACAGTCGAAGGCAAGAACGAGTCTTTTGTGGTGGAGTCGACTGTATCGTGACTATTACGGGACAATAGGGAGAGCGGAGTACCTCTAATGCTGGATCTGGAAATTCATTGTGCGGTTGCGGTTGTGATGATTGAACGCCAGACTAAATCTGGAGCGGTGGGTCTACCGGCGTAGATGAAGAAAGAATTGCACCGTGTCCACAACCTTGGCCACTTTCGGGAAACGCTGTACGGTTTGTGCCCTGTGGTTTGAAAGATTCCGCCCCTATTTATTACCTCTATTGGGATCAAACCGCGTAAAATTGACGAGAGGAAAATGGTGGGAGAAGTGAAAGTGGTGGCATGAGGGGAGGTATTCCATTTAGCGAGCTGATCTTTCTGAACACGATTGAGAGGCAAGGAGTGATACACTGTATACGAGAATTTTCGACATGTGATAGCTAGAGATGCGACCATTGGATAACCAGAGTCTTTCAACAATTGGGCCTGTGCAGTTGGCAATCCTCTCTTTACACCTATTCTATGCTCTCCACACTTGTGGATGTCTAATCAACACCGTCAAAGAAAACGAACCCACCCGGAGGCAGATCCCTCGGGCCGTAGTATGAGCGGGTGATGTCAATCATCTTTTCTAGTTGAAATTCAATTACGAATACTAAACCCTTTGGTTGATTATAGTGTGGAGGTCATCTTGCCACTTTTGACGTTGTATACTAAAGCGGGGGATTAAGCCACTAAGCGCGGGCTCACTTCGCCCGACTTTACCTCTTTTCTCAAGCCGTTGGAATTGCCAAGTCGAACGAAAGTACATATCTCGAGAATGGATGTTGACTAGTCGTTCTGTTACGCATGGGATTTTATGTGTTGGTCTGAGCAGCCGTGCTTCCACGGAGATGTAGGCGCAGACAATGCAGAGGCACTACTAAATCGGAACTATAACAATGGCCGCGACTTGCCGAAATATCTCCTGAGGGTGTTAAATTCCGCTGATCGGCTGTGAGGTGCCTTTAGGTTACCGGTAGGAATAGTAACATAGGATGCGTTTCAAATGGTAGATTTCAGCTTCAGGGCATGTACAGAGATTACTAGGGGAGGTTCCTAGGAGGAGCCGATTCCCAGCGTGCGATTAGTATGCGTGCAACCAGCTGGCGTGGCTATTCCCAGGTAAGCTTAGTGCTTTATAGGGAATGCTTGGCATGGCCATGACACACTCGCTCATTAAGCTCGTCGTAGCATATCGTCCAAGGATAGCTTTCCGAAACACTGCTAATTACACCCACCACAACCTCTTTAACAAAATGTTAATGAAAATGAATTGGATAGACAGCGGGGAGAGGGCCGTAGAGCTTAACACCGGCGAGGGTCAGTAGCCGCTAGGCCGTCCGGAACGTCCATGCTCTTCGCCGCGGCGTTTTTACCATTAGCGGGTTCGTATTATATACTACCCTCTAGGGCTCCCTCTGGGCCATCCATCCTAACCATATTATTCTCCGGCGTCCAAATTCCCTCCTAGACCTCACCTACTTGTCAGGGCGCCGCCCACTCGTCAGGCAACAACTAACCGAGAATGGGTTAATAAGCGTTCAGGGTTTCGAATGACCCACAACCCGTCTCCAAGGAACCATCTCTCATCATGCGTCCACGTCATCGCTCTAACGACAAGAGAGGCGCAGTCGTCATCGCCTCGGATGAGGCGTTTTCTTTCGTGGTGTATTCTCGCTTCGACAAGGCCGGTAAGATGCCGGCGGCGCCATGCTCTCAGCGGCTCAGGGCAGGAGTCTGAATGATAGTAGGTAATGAGGAGGCAAAGCGAAGTGGGATCGCCGATCGGTCGAGGGTCGGTGATCGGACTCGAGTCAATGTCGAAAGCTTCTGTCCTCAGGAGAAGACGCGTGCAAGTCCAGGTACTTTGCTTCGAGAGACGTCCATACGAGTTCGGTATGTACATACGAGCGAGCATTGTAAGTAGATAATAAGATATCTGGAAATGAATCCCATAGTACCAGGGGCTTGGCTGCCAAATCGTGGATTCTAAGGCGCAGTAGCTAACAAAGTTAGACGTTACGACTGACAGGGTTCAGCAACGGGATTCACTGCACCATGTCCGTGATTAGCTGCTGCGTAAGGACACTGCCAGGGCACGAGCCTGATTAGTTAGTCCCAGCTAGGTAGGATCCAATGTCCGACAGCCCATGACAGCGACGGAGCATCAACCTTCATTTTCAACATCGTCATCCCATACCAGTTTGACGACGCCCCAGCTTTAGGCGCGCGATCAATCTTTGCCATGCGACTCATCATGCAGCGCCGAGGGAGCCAAGTTAGGTCGCAGTGCCCACAGCTCCAGTTCGATATCGGCAAAAGGACTATGGCCAAGGCAAGCCTGTCTAGGCAAGTGCCTGAAACAGCGGATTTGAGTTGAAGCGGAGGTCACAGCCCATCGTCCCCTCGAGAAAATAAAAGCAGGAAATTGCCGCTGTTTCTCAATATGCTTCGTGGTTTATCAACAACCAGCCAGATCGATGTCGCAGTAGCCGCGATTGATATCCTGAAGTGGATCTCATAGCAGAATGCATCAAAATGCCAGGAGGTCGATCAAAGGGTTGTAGAACTTGCAAGTCACGACATATCAAAGTAAGCCAACTGTGACGATTGAACCTGACTTTGCCTGCCGTCGGGCAACAGGAGCCCCTCATATCGCAAAGCTAACCAGGAGCTCCATTAGTGTGACGAGCGCACGCCGATATGCTCGCAATGTGAGAAAAGCAAACGTCACTGTACAGGCCCGGACTCCCCATTTCGATACCAATACGGCTCGGCGGAGCAGCATATACGGCTTACTCAAGCCTTAGGCGCAGTCGCCCTGAACGAGAATGGGAGCAGCCAAACAACTCCAGAAAACCTGACACAAGCCATGCCGCTCACCGAATCGGAGAAGCTTGCAGTATCTTTGATCTCAGCTCTCGACGGCCCCGCCCAATTCGGCCAACGTTTGCAGCATATGGGTTCACATTTCCGACAACTCCCAGTTCGTCTGGGCCGAAGCCGTGCGTTGGACGCTGCTGTCAGTTGCTTTATGTATTCTTTTACTGCAGCATCAGGTGGTCTGCCTCGGGACCAGTCCCTAGAGCTAGCTCGCTATTGTACTGCCATCGCCACCCTGCGACAAGAAATGAGCTGTTCTAACCTAGACGGATCACTATCGACTTCCTCAGAAACCCTCTGCGCATCACTCCTCCTTGCACAATACGAGATTCTCAAACCAGGACCTACATACTCATACATCCAGCTAGCCGGTGGGGTATCCGCAATCCTCAAAGGCTCTGGTCCAAGCCGTGTGACCTCATCGGAGTTTGAGCTCGCCATCTTCACAACACAGTATCCGACAATCATTACCCAGAGTATGTTGCGTGGTGAAGAGTGTTTTCTCAATGATCCCCAATGGATGGATGCCATGCGCCGGAGTAACGGACATGAGAGTCCGATCGTTTCGGAATTGTGGACTGCCCTCGCAAGAGTACCCGACCTGTTCGTACAAGCAAATGCGCTTGGTGGCGTACCTCCTTCATGTGGCTCCTCACCTCTCTACGCGGGCATACTCTCACAAATATATGATATTCGCTCTGCTATTGTGGCGTATTCCGACGCCATCACGCGCAACCTCTCGACGCCAGGCGTGTTTGCTACGTTCCCAGCGGCCTACCGCGGCCCACATCCAGTTCCAGAGTTTCATCCACAGACGGATCTCGAATCCCTTCAAGCCAACTGCAGCATCCAACAGGCTACATTCTACTATGCCTGTGTCATATACATCAATGCTGTTTTGCAAAATTTTCTCGTCGCACACAACCCGGCCCTGTCACCACAGACGTCCCAAGCCGCGACAAGCATCCTCTCTACACTAGAGTTCTCGGCCACCACCAGACCATTCGGTTCGTTCTTCATGACCTTTGCTGGACCTCTTTGTTACGGCGTCCTCTCTGACCCGTTGGACAAAGAGGTATTAGTACAAGGCATGAACACCATTTTCGACGAGGTGGGCATTTCCTGGACGCATTTCTCGTTGCAGGAGATCTTCTATGCTCTCACACGAGGTGGATGGAGTGGCAAGATGAGATCGATCTTATCAGAATCAGAAAAGTGGCGTCCTTAAAGGTGTGGAAGGACAAGGCTTGTATGTGGATGGGGAAGGGAAATTGATGGAGAGATATGCGCAGGCTTGTGGAGGTATTTTCCGTCGTCCGGTCTATCAATTAGTGTGTTAGACGAGTCCACTTGAAGTTAGATTTGAAAGTAGGTGTATTTCCTTGATTAATTCTGCAATCCAAAACACCAATGTACACATCGTTCCACGATATCATGCTTACCTCGACTTTCCTTCGGTAGAGGCACACTCGTGTCGAAACTCCGCCTCTGACCAGTCAATCCGGCTGCTTTGGCCAATCTCTGCACATGCCAACTACGGTGCGACAAAATTTTCCGAATTCAAATTTTGGATCGAAAGAGCGCCATGACCCCTGCGCCCGATGCCAGACCCGTACGGATGGATCTGTGACAGACTTGGATCCCATATTGCCGTACCTGCCGCGACCGGGACTGTCCAAAGGTTAGCATGCACGTCTTACAACCAGGAGGCTGCCTAGCGCGTATCTACCAACCTGAAGCCGGTAATGGGTAGTATCAAGACATCTTCGACCAGTTTACTCCGGCCGTCAATTAATCCAGTCAGCGCATTCCACCTCAAGCTGACCTGCTTGTCGAGCCAAGTCATAGCCGCAAGTGTCACTGCCCCGGGTCCAGTCAGAGACAGTCGTCCAATCTGTCGTAGTTCTTTAGCTGCCTCCCAGGGCGTTGACATCACCATTGTTTCGGCCCGCCACGCGCTCGAGTCGCCGCTGGAGGGTCTCCATGAAAAGGGAAAGAATAGGATGGCCGGGACTAGAAGCCAAGGCCCATTGTGTGAGTTGAACAGGGTAAGAGGATCCCATGCGCCAATAATTGTTCTTAAAAGGCGAACAGTCAACTTCAATCCCCAGAACAAGAGAATGTTGTTCCTGTAAGCGGATCGTCCCCCGCGGCGAGGTCGGTTTCTGATATCCAAGAAACAGGCTGTCGAAGTGGCTGTCTGAGCGAAATTGTGTCTTGCGAAGCTGATTTTCCATTTCTTCCTTGGCCCTGTCGTTACTGGGTGCCAATTTTGGTAATCGCTGCACACTGCGTTCAGCTCAAATGAGACGGTAACACAGAATTCACTTATATCACGCCACGTACCCCGGTCGCCGGATGACGAACCTTTCCTCCCGAGCGCGAAGGGCCTGAAATATGGCCTCAGCCTCGATCGACATTGCAAACGAGGCGGAGCACAGGCAGTAATGCAGGCGTACTGCCGATCAAACTCCTACGGCATTTTTGTGATTAGACGTAGGAAGTGCGTCAGTTAGCTTACTGTGCCGGCCTACGCCAAAAACATCAGCTACGCTACTCAGTCTGTCGTCTTATCCTACGCGCAGTGTTCGGCGCCGACGGCGAAGTAAGACGACCAAATGTTAACGTAGGGCGACTGAGGTTTTGGTGACGATCTCCCGACTATCCTATAGGCCTGGAATAAACCCTAGAAAACTCCATCTAGGCGAGGTAGTAGAAGGACGCGAACCGTCACGAAAACCCCCCTCCCCTACCTACTAAGTCGCTACCTATCTAGGTAGCTAATTAGAGCACGCCGTTATTACCATCCAGCGACGTGATAATATCGCCTTGAACGGGAACGCATACATGTGCAGGACTCGGCGATCTGCAGATGATATCAATCCATCGCGGACTGCGCAGACGGCTTCGCTACTCCACCTCGACTTTGACTATCGTTTGGAAGCACATGCAGTATCTAATTGTCAGGAAGAGGTCCACAGCCCCTTGGGGATCGCCCAAAAAGACTAAGAATCCTGTCAATATAGTACATCACGAACGGGTCTTGCAACGTACACATTGCGCCTCCTCGAAAACAAGACGTTTCTCGAAACTCAAATTGGCGTATTGAAATCCAAACCTCCAAATGATCTCAATTTGAAACTCAACGCGATACTACGTGATTTTGATTCTCTCCTCGACACAGCTAAGGATCTGACGAACGAATGTCAGTGTGGCATAGACACAACAATAGCAGATGTAGGCATCAGTGTAGCGCAGAAGGGCTTTGTGCAGAACGAACAAATGACCAAACTCACCAGGCTTGCTTTTGTCTTTGTCCCTTTGTCGACCACTTCTTCATTCCTCTGGATGAATTTCTGGCAATTATCTTCTGGTAGCGTTTTAAATCTCTAGGTCTGGGCTGCCGTTTCTACCCCTGTTCTTCTCCTCTCGGTGATATTCATGACCTAGGATATGTCGCGGGAGACTCGGAGATGGATGAGATGGATCAGTCAATTCAGCCGGTCTGCACGCAACAGGCTCACGGCGCAGAGTGTCCGGCTCGATACCGGTAGGCTTGATGACTGGAGACTTTCCACAGACGTGCAGGAGACAAAGAATGGGGACGAATTGAGGATCAGCCAGGAGATGCAGGGATCGATCAGAAAGCTGTTGGTGATTTGACTCGCCCAATTCAACGATATGGGACTTATGTCCTCTGAAGAAACTTGGACTGAACCAGGTTCTTTCAGATCTCGGGAATGTGATTTTTGGATAATTGTTGCTCCGAATCATACCATGCGTCTTCAGAGAATTGAGGACCAGACTATTTCGTACACCCCATTGCCAGCTTCCAACGAACTCTACCTTAATGTAAGTCAATAGTACCTCACTGCACTGATTATGACCAACAGCTTTATTCCTGTCGCCGGTGATCAGACTAGATTCAATTGTCCTCAGGCGCTCCCCCTTGGAGATTCTCGCACAAAATTGGTTCCCAACATGAGCCAGCGGTCCTCGCCACAAACCCAGTCTCAGACCGATGTGCTTCTCTTTGCGATCTGAACAATATTTGGACAAATTTCCCTAGATGCCAGGTTCCACAATCCATTAACATTTCCTGGCCGGGGGTTTTCATCTCAGAGAGCGTAGTTACCTTAAGACCCCTTCTTGTAATCATTTTTTGCGGTGGCTCAACATGCTCAGTCAGTGGCCTCATCAGACGCTTGTGTCTGTCCTCTATGTTGTGTATGCGAAATATAGCATTTCATCGAGTCTCTCCAACAGATAATGCAGTGATTTCCTTGACAATAACTTCTGCCCACGCATTGATTTTGACCCAATCCCTAGCATCTCCAAATTCTGCTTTGTCTTTGGGTATACAGCAGGAAACGATGATACGCCCAACCCGCGGTAGATCTTGCTTGATGAAGCGGCCTTTAAACAACTCATGACGACGTAAGTTCGGCAACGTCATGCGAATTTCTCTTTGGATCACTTGCTCTTCCTTCTTTCGATCTTCTTCTTTTGGAGGCATGCCGACACTGAAAGCCCATAATGGTTTTTGTTTCAAGACGACTGCGTTTTTGCGGATGAAGTTGCGGGCTGGACTCAACCATGAGGCTGCGTGTACAGCGCTTCCTACTACGACTGCGGTATAGGAAGTTAAGGATGTAGCATCGATCATATTGATGGGCGAACAGTTCACAGTCCAAGTTGGATAAGATTGCCGTAGTTTATCAGCAATACATTCTGCAACTTCGCCAGTCGAGCCTTTTGCTGAAGCGTAAGCAATGAGAACGGACATCTTCTCCACTTTTGGTTGATGTAGAGGAAAAAGTATTAGCAAAATTGGAACCTCTTCACAAAATAGCAGTCCAAGCTCGACATCGCATCATATTTATGCCGCAAAATCACTCCAGATCAGGCCAAGAAGTACCGGAGATCATACGATGTTGTTATACGAGTTTGTCAGGCGGTGTTGTTAATGTGTGGTGTGATTCTAGACATCGGAAGACTGTAGCATGATGACCGGCATTCGTGATTCTATTGAGGCTCGACAGGGTGTTTACTTTGAATTGTTTTAATAGCAACAGATAGATACATCATACGTTGTTCCCAATCTTGCTCTGGCTTCTAGCGACCTGCTTCCGCTCATTCCTCTTGCAGTCGCATATTCTGGATCTTGTGCATCCACATATTATTTTTAAAGTGGCAAACGTCTCGCCTCTAATGGGATCGTCTGTTCAATATATAAACTATATTTCTCCAAAATTATAACACATCCCCCAGTGATTTCCCGGTAGCGACACCGGGAAAAGGCACATACCATGCCAACAACAGCACCGTTACATATCAAAGGAAATTGGATTGGACAGCTCCGGACTGCAGGATGCCAGTGATCCGCCAGGCTTTCAGCTTCAAGTCACGTAGGATTGGCCCGTGGGCAGAATCTGGCGGCAACATCTTGAAAGGTCTTTTGTTAGTATTCTCGTAGTAGTTGGGTGGAAATTATCTGGGATCAGAGCTGACATGAACAAATAGAGAGCAAGACGCAACCCAACGGGGCTAGTCTAGAAGATCCTTGTGTTCGCCTTTACTGAGACCTAAACCAGCAAAGCACTTCATCCAAGATCCTCGAAGACTGTGTCATAGGATGCCTTGGGGAAGATGAATAGAACAAGATGGCAGTCAAATCTGTACGTTTAAAATGAAAACGGCCACAATTAGTAGTGAACGCTTCTTATATTTCGATCTGAGGTAGTATTTCCATACTTATGAGCTTCTACTTCAATGCCACGTTTTGTCAAACCGGGTTCGGTTTATTACGGTTCGCGGGAACAGGCTTGAAGTCCTCTCCAAGTAAATGCGGCATTGACTCGAAGCTCTCCAGAATTCATAGCAAGCTACCATTTTCGAAACGAGCACTAATATTGCTGGAATGATCCCCACCCATCAACACCCTCCATGCATACCTGGACTACTCCAGACTACTCAGTAAATGGTCTGAAATCTTCCTCAGCCAAGTGGTATTGCACTCGTGCGAGTCCCATATGTAATCTACATCCGGCAGGTGACGGCTATCAGGTTAGGCAAATCTGGCGGGGTCGTACGTCCCTCAAGGCTCAGTTCCATATTTAAGGATGAATTGGTCAACCTTTGCTCTTTCGTGCTGAAAATGAGCGGCGAGCCTTTGCAGGTGTACTGCGATATGAGGGTTTCATTTCGTGGCTACACGAAGGGAGGCCGCAGCAATATAACAGCCGTGCTTGTTTCGAAGAAGAGTATGTAATAGATTTGTGGCCCCGATTCTTTCTGGAGGGACGCGATTAAAATTCGGTCCTGCTTTGGCCGCCCAAAATGTAATCCCTGCACCTGGCCGGCTTACCCGTGATAGGTGGAGTCGGACTTCATCAAAAAATGCGCCCGACAATGGTCGCTGGGAGTTATCCCCCTTCATGCAGGAGAAGCATTGCATCATGTCTCCCACTACTAGCATTGCAAGAACGTAGGTTTGCATACCAAAGGATCAAACGGTTCGGGCATGTGTTCGGTACCGAGGATATTATTTCTGAAAGGTGGGGTTGTGAACAACTACCGACGTTGGAGGGGCCAGTTCACCTCAGTCTCGAAAGTCTCGAGGTGGAATTGGGACATTCAATGAATATCTACGTGCTCGAAGTCCTAATCAGACTATCAGGAGGCGTGTACAATTGCCGTCAGATTGCTATTACTTCCAGGAACTTTTTCTGATCCTGGTAGAGTTTTGAAATACTCCAACGATATTCTCAGAACCAAGTACACTGCTATCGGATTTATTCAGAATGACGTTCGACAAGCAGTTTGACTCTGCCACTAAGCCTGGTCCGACTCGAAAAATTGTTGGAGCGGTCCTGATGGCAGCTGATGCTTCCGGTCAACTAGGCTGTATGTCCCCACACGGAGAAGTTTTGGTTAACAGCGAGCTAGGTGATATAATCTTCCAGAAGGCTAGAGGGTTCACATCTGTCATTCCCGGGACTGCCAGCCCGATGACGGAAGATACCACGTTCTGGATCGCTTCATGCACAAAGCTTTTGACCACCATAGCGGCGATGCAGTGTGTCGAGCAGGGAAAACTGAGCCTCAATGATGATCTCTCCTTATTCTTCGAAGAATGGAAGTCACCAGACATTTTGACAGGGTGGAATCAAGATACAGGAGAACCAGAATTCAGAAAGGCGACGAAGAAGATCACTTTGCGCCATTTACTGACACATTCTAGTGGCATGGGGTATGATTTCCTTTCACCGGACCTTCTGAAGTGGCGACAATGGCGTGACGGCACAGTCCGGCCAGGGAACGGCGAAATTGTGAGGTCAGGTCCTCGCCAAATTGACTGTTCTAGAACCCTAACGTTGTTGGCTTTAGCGGAAACAATACCTTATGCCTCTTTTGTTCGAGCCAGGAGATGGCTGGAGCTATAGCTGCGGCATCGACTGGGCCGGCAAAATGGTCGAGCGAGTGAACGGTGACATGCCGCTTGGACAATATATGAAGAAGAATATTTGGGATCCTTTGGGAATGGGGTCCACGAGTTTCCGTCTCGGAGAGAACGAGAGGGTACGCAGTCGACTTTGTGCCACAACCGCCAGAACAACAGAAGGAGACCTTGTACCAGCTGACCCATATCCCAATCCGAATCCAAAAGATGACCTCGGTGGTGGGGGGATGTATTCGTCAGCCGAAGACTATATCAAGGTGCTCATATCCTTACTCAAAAATGACGGCATTCTCCTCAAATCGGAGACCGTCGATATGATGTTTACACCACAGCTGCCTGATGAAGCCAGCTTGGTTGCAGCAGTCACCGAACCAGCGGCAGGCCCCATGTTCCGGGGAGGGGTTGACAGCACGGCATGGAACTTCGGGCTGGGCGGCATTCTGAACATGGAAGACGTGGACAGTGTTTGCAAGAAAGGAACAATGTCTTGGAGCGGCCTTCCAAATCTTTTCTGGGTTCGTCGTAATCACGGGCATGTCGTTGTCTGCAGCTGACCATTATACAGTGGATCGATCGCACCGCGGGCAATTGCGGCATATATGCGTCCCAAATAATCCCTCCAGGGGATTTAGAATCAATCAATCTTTCGGTCGCATTTCGCAGAGAGATCTTCGCTCGCGATAGTGCTTAAAGGGGACCAGGGGCACAAAGAAGAAAGATTCCTTAACAGCTTCAAGTAAGGCATTGAGTGACGGTATGGATCGATCTGTTGATGTTGGTACCAAGGTGACTCGACGTTTCCTGCTTCTGGACAGGATGAGGGTTTTTGAGAACCACATCGGCGCCATAAATCGATCCAAATTTAGTTTTCATTGTGCGTGTGGTGCGGATCTGTACGGAGTATTCTGGAGCCAACTTAATACCCCGGATCATGGGAGCCAGTTGCGGAACATTCTCCATCGGCAGCCGAGCAATGTGGGGTATGCCCCAGTCTCGAGTGCTGTGTGGAGGATAACCCGAGATATCTCCTTGCCAATAAGATCACATCAGGCAATTCTTGGTAACTAGCTGCCCCTTTGAGTGTGAGGGGCTCTTAGGTGTTGCTTACTGTGCCAGTCGACCACGGCGGTTCGCTCTTGATCAACCAGAAATGCACGCAGGAGCAAGGGAACCTAGCGGTTTTCATCGAGGTAGAATAAGGTTTCGCAAACCCGGGTCAGCCTTCTACACAATCATGGGATCCATGTCCACTTTTGCGCCCTAGATTGACATGCTGACACTTTTGGCTTCGTCGGCCTTAGAACACATCAGTCGATTCTGGTGAGAGGGGACCAGGATCCCGGACAATGGTAGGGCGTACTGGACATGATAGCAAACGCGCAGGACGGGCCGACTCAAGACCGACACGGGAAAGCTTCTGATATCGATGTAAAGATATCAGATCACCGACAGCCGGTGTACGCCCTTCTCTTTACAGCGTCTGGACCAATTGCGGACTGTGTATGCTTTTGAATGAGCTCAGCAACATGGCTGGTATACCTTGGTGCACGAAGTATAAGTAGCTCTCTCCTCATCATCATCGAAACCCGGGAAACAACCAGAATTCGACACCTTTCTCAATAGACCGTGATTCTGATTTCACCATGCCCACCGGAGGATGCCTTTGCGGCCAACTCAAATATGAGTACACGGGTGAGCCCGTCATGAAGGTAAGAGTCCTCGTCGGGGTCTCCCAAAGGATGTGGCTAAATTCCATAGGCGATATGCCATTGCATTACTTGTCGACACGTCAGTGGCAGTGTGTTCACGACCAACATAGTTGTCCCAGAAGGCAATTTCAAGATTACTGCCGGAACACCCAAGACATACGCAACAACTCAGGATAGCGGAATGACACTGAAATATTCATTCTGTGCTAGTTGTGGCTCTGTCATCAACAAGGTCGCAGATGGCGAGGGTTTTCGTGGTGTGATTCTTGTTTTGGCTGGTTCTCTTGACGATGCATCGGGTGTTGAGACCGCAGAGCCAGGGGTGGAGTTTTATATCAGCAGACGGGCCTCGTGGCTTCCAGCACTGAAGGGCAAAGGGCAGTTACAAGAATTCTCTTGATGTGATTGCGCGACGAGGCTGGCCGCATATATGCTCGGCTGACCTTCCTGGATTGTGGTGGAGAGGGACAATCACATTGCAGCTGCGGTTGGTTCCGTCATTGAGGAAATGAACTACTTATCTTTGCGAGCTTCAGTCGAGCTCAGTCGTGCGATCGTGTAAAATTTTCCACTCGCAAGTCCCCCATACCTAAGGATGCGATCGTCATGGATGAGCGCACGCCTCTCATTACGACGGTCTACGTAACTCGGCGACCGCCTAGATATCCACACACGACACTGAAGCGTTTCTGCTCCATCGCCCTAGCTGGCAGTCTTATAGCCATTGCCATCTGCTTTCTTCTTCCAGGCGCCATACTACCCCGTGGCCAAGACCCTGTCTCCTCCTATCTTCCTTGGTCCCGCCCTTTTCCTCGCTCATGGCCGCAAAGCGCCGGTATCACCTTCGAAGAACTTGTTGAGCTACTACTAGAGACCCCCGATGAGGACAAGGCACGTTCATGGAGTGAGTACTATACGTCGGGTCCTCATCTTGCAGGCAAGAATTTGAGCCAGGCTCTGTGGACAAGAGAGAGATGGGAAGAGTTTGGCGTCAAGTCGGATATTGTCGCCTACGACGTATTCATCAATTATCCGAGTGATCATCGGCTGGCTTTGTTAGACGGGCACAAGGTCAAGTATGAATGCAGCTTGGAGGAAGACATCATTGAGGAGGATCCATCAACTTCATTGAAAGATCGCATACCCACATTCCATGGCTACTCCGCCAGTGGCAATGTTACCGCCCCCTATGTGTATGTCAATTTCGGCACATACCAAGACTTTGAAGATCTACAAGCTGCGAATATCACCTTGGAAGGCAAGATAGCCCTGGCCAAGTACGGCCGCATATTCCGTGGGCTCAAAGTCAAAAGGGCACAAGAGTTGGGCATGCTTGGCGTTGTCATGTACTCTGATCCGCAGGAGGACGGCGACATTACCGAGGAGAATGGATACAAGACGTACCCAGATGGACCAGCTAGAAATCCAAGCAGCGTGCAAAGGGGCAGTACGCAATACATCAGTGTGTTTCTCGAGTCTCTTCAGCTGATATTTGCTGACAGTCGCAGGTACACTCCCCGGTGACCCAACAACGCCTGGTTATCCCTCCAAACCCGGTGTACCTCGTGTTGATCCCCATGGCTCCACTCCTCGCATCCCCTCGCTCCCCATCTCTTATGCCGATGCCCTCCCTCTCCTTAAAGCTCTGAACGGGCATGGACCGAACGCAAGTTCGTTTGAAAAGTCCTGGCAGGGCGGAGGTCTGGCTTACAAGGGTGTTGAATACAACATCGGCCCGTCACCAGACTCCGTGGTCCTCAACTTGGTGAATGAGCAGGAATATGTTACAACGCCGCTGTGGAACGTTATCGGTATAATCAATGGCACAGCGCAGGATGAGGTAATTGTTGTTGGAAATCATCGAGATGCTTGGATTGCAGGAGGTGCAGGAGACCCTAATTCCGGCTCAGCAGCTTTGAACGAAGTTATTCGGTCCTTCGGAGAAGCGCTCAAGGCTGGATGGAAGCCGCTCCGAACAATTGTCTTTGCGAGCTGGGACGGCGAAGAGTATGGTCTCATTGGATCGACGGAGTGGGTTGAGGAATACCTTCCGTGGCTTTCCAGCAGCACAGTCGCCTATCTCAATGTCGATGTGGGCGCACGCGGAACGCACTTCGAAGCTGCTGCGTCTCCATTGTTGAACAAGGTCTTGTACGCGGTAACCAATTCGGTGCCTTCACCAAACCAGACCACTAAAGGGCAGTCAGTCGGCGATGTGTGGGAAGGTCATATACGCACAATGGGATCCGGCAGTGACTTCACGGCTTTCCAGGACTTTGCCGGCATCCCTTCGCTTGATTTTGGGTTTGGAAATGGAGCGAAAGACGCCGTCTACCACTATCACTCAAACTATGATTCTTTCCATTGGATGGACGTTTATGGAGACAATGGATGGCACTACCATGTGACTGTGGCCAAGATATTAGCGTTGATCATCGCGCAGTTGAGCGAGACTCCTGTCTTGTTCTTGAGCGCGCAAGACTATGCCAAAGGTCTCGGTGTCTATTTAGACGACGTCAAAGCGAGATCCAAAACGCACTTGGCAGGGTCGAGCTTCAGCTTCCAGGCACTTGACAATGCTACAGCGGAATTCTGCAAGGCTGCCACGAAATTCGATGAATATACCGCTGACTTGACCAAAAAGCTCGCGGAGGACGTGCCATGGTGGGATTGGTGGAAGAAAGTGAGGCTTTTCTACGAAGTGCGCAATGCAAACGAGAAGTACAAAACATTGGAGCGTCAGTTTCTTTTCCCTGGCGGCCTAGACAACAGGTCTTGGTTCAAGCACGTTGTCTTTGCCCCTGGCCGGTGGACTGGTTACGCGGGAGCTACCTATCCAGGCCTTGTTGAGAGTTTCGAAGACAAGAACATGACAAATGCCAGGAGATGGAGTTTGATCATCGAAGAAAGGCTAGAAGCGGCCGCAAAGCTTTTGGGATAGTATGATGCCCGCAAGAGTCAGCGATGGTAACTCATTGCCAGAAGGTTACAGAGGACGGCGGGCTGAACGCCTTGGACCAATGGCGAGTCAAGCGAGCCAATCTTTGCTCTCTCTACCGAGTATACGTATTTAGCTTAGCCAGGCAGCAATATCGGATTCGTGTAGAGTAATATTGCGCAGGATCTAAACCACTTTTCGCTGTGTCCCTGATTATTAACTACCAGCCACGCTTCAAACAGCGCGTGGAACCAAAAAGGCAAAAGTGTCAGCTGCTCAAATAACGGTTGGAGCACAGCAATCCTTGAAGGATTGAGTTCTTCTCCGCGGAAATGATGTAAGGATTGGTACCTTGGTAAAGGATCAAAGACCAGCATAAGCAGAAAGCCTGAGGGATGTCAAACCTCACGTACTGTTAACGGTCTAAAGTGATAAAACATAATGCTGACCTCGACCTCTTCGGCTTCGCCCTTGCATCTCAAAATTTCACGCGCGGCAGCTCTCAGAGCTCTGCGACCCTGGAATCATCCAGCAACAAACCGAATCGATATTGCCCACACAAATTCGATAAAATATGGCGAGTTCGCTCAGAGTCCGCCTCCCGTGGACATCGTCTCCCCTTGTGGTCAATGCCCCCATGGGCGGCTTTGCTGGTGGACATCTTGCGAGCGCCGTCACGAAATCAGGCGGTCTTGGGATGATCGGCGCTATCATGGCTGATGACTTGAAGAAGGAATTGGCCATTGCGGCAGACGAGCTGATGGCTACTACTACCCAGAGTCACATACTCCCTATCGGTGTCGGCCTGTTACCATTCGTCGTCAAGGCTGAGTCTGTGCTGCCCATCCTTAAGGAATATCAACCGGCAGTGGTCTGGCTATTTGCTGCGAAAGAACTGAATAACTACGCCACGTGGTCTGCGACCATCCGGGAAATCTGCCCAAATTCTGAGATTTGGATCCAAGTTGGGAGTGTCAGTGCTGCCGTCGAGATCGCCCAGATAGCCAAACCCGATGCTTTAGTGCTGCAAGGAGCTGATGCGGGTGGACATGGGTTTCAGAGAGGCGCCAGCATCATCTCGGTGGTGCCGGAGGCAGCGGATGTTCTTGAGGCAAAGGGGTTTGCTAATGTTCCGTTGTTGGCATCAGGAGGGATCGCGGATGCTCGCGGTGCCGCAGCTGCACTCGCTCTGGGGGCGTCTGGTGTCGTGATTGGAACCAGGTTCCTCGCAGCCAAGGAAACAAATGTGCCACCGGGATACCGAGAGCTCGTGCTGGCCGCAAAAGATGGAGCACAAAGTACCATACGGAGTACATTGTTTGATAACGTCAAGGGCCCCAATATTTGGCCAGACGCGTATGACGGAAGAAGTCTGATTACGGAGAGCTACGCCGACTATGTTCGAGGTGTCGACATCAAGGAGATTCGAGAGAAGCACAACGAAGCTGTGACTGGAAAGGATGGCGGGTTTGGGAAGACCAACCGGGCGAATGTTTGGGCAGGGGCTGGGGTAGGGTTGGTGAACAAGCTGCAGAACGCTGCCGATATCGTAGAAGAGGTGCGGAACGGGATTAGCAAGATACTGGAAGGTACTATGGCACGGCTGTGATTCAGAGTCATGTCAGATTGTTGGGAGCTACTGAGAGCGCTATAGTATTTGTACCTTACATCATCAACCGACAAGGGCTTTTTGAAACTTTCAATCCTGCCCTCTATAAAGTCTCAATAATAACTCGTCCCACCGACCCCTAATCCGCTCCTCGTCGCTCCAAGATCGCTACTATATCTCCTGGCGCCGGTGGGGATGATTCCAGGTCCAAGTCCGATCGGGCTCGAGACTCGTCGGAGCTGAAGGCTTTGACGTCGGGTGGAAGGTTGTGAGGTTCTCGTAGTGGCAGGTGTCAAGAGGCGGGTCTCCGGCATATCATCGTCGTCTTCCACCGCCTCTTCGCCTACAGATGGGGCACTAGACTTTCTGGAATGTGCTTCAGTAGCCACAATCGCCGATGCTTTAGCGCCGTCGCCGTCGTCGTCATGGTCGTTATCCTCGTCATCTTCTTCGTCGCTTTCGTCTTCGTCCTGGTCACCGCCAAAGCCTTCCATCTCCACCAGAAACCATACTGGAACGGCGGCAACAATGGCGACCACGGCCAATGTCCACCAAGAGATCACAACGTATCCGATATCGACTCCTTTAGTGAATGTGGCGCCGGCCAAAGCTGGTCCAGCAGCTCTTCCAATGGCAGAGATGCTGGTTGCCACCCCATTCAGCGTACCTAATATTTTTAAGCTAGCAGCGCTATTGGTAAGGAGAATGGTAGAACAAGGGAATGCAAAGATGCCGCAAAACCCCTTGACCAGCATTAGCAACATCATGATACCTTGCCTTGACGAGTCGGTCGGCAGAAGCGCGGTGAAGGGCGTTGCGACGTAGACCAGGGGAAAGGTAACACAACAAGCCTTGAGACAGTTCAACACGCCGTACCTCCTCGCAAAAGGGGGAAAGACAAAGAACTGGATCAGCATGCCGAAAACACCGTAGATGGTGAAAAGCAAGCCAATCCTGTTGGAGTCGATCCCGAAGCCACCAGCAAATTTCCAAGGTAGATGAACCTCAGGGTCGTGGATAGATTGCACGTGGAAATGCATAAATATTGGAAGCAGTTGGTCGTAGGCCACGGAATGCATGGCCAGAAACGTGTAGACGACGAGATTGATGTTCGACTGACCGGAGAAGACCTCTGCCCAGCCTGTGCTCTGTTTCGGGATCTTAGCTGCGGAGATGGAGCCGGATACCGGCGTGGACAATTCACTTGATATGCCAGAAAGAAACGGATCGGACTCTTCGGTGTTCGACCATGTCCTTCTTAGCGGCTTTCGAGTGCAGAAACTGGTCAGAAAGTTGCCCAGTATCAATCCATAGTCTCTGTTGGATTTCTTTTCCTCGAGCGTTTCGTGCAAGAAAAGGAAACCGGCAGTGATTCCACACATGAAAAGGATGCTGATCAAGAGGTTTGGCAGCGCAAAAGGATAGTCCTTGAGTAGCCTTAACCTTCCAAAGACTTCGGGATACCGTTCCACAGGGTGTACCAGAGATCCCCCAAAGGACGGCCCAAATATGCTCCCAATATTCCACACGAGCGGCATGATGCTGAATGCACGTGGTTGTAACTCTTTCTGAGGAACCAATTCTGCCACGGCAGTTCGGATGATCCCGACATTCCCATTCGACAGCCCTTGCAAGGACCGTGCGACGAAGGCCCAAAGAAGATTTTTGGAGAAGCCGAAGAGTATGGATGATACCATGGTACACGTCAGGGCGAGGATGATGGTGGGCTTGCGGCCAAAGCGGTCTGAAGCCCGTCCCCAGGCAATTCCGGTCAAGCATTGTGAGAGCGAGAAAGTCGCAGACATGAGACCGGCCCATTTAGCTACTTTATCATCGCGGACGTTGAAGGACTGGATCATCTCCGGCTGTACAGAGTCAGTGAGAGTGATCCAACGCGTTGGTGTGACAGTTGCACTCACGATATATGGGTAGACCGAAGTCATTGCAACGGGCTCCGCGAAGCGGCATACCGCAAGAATGAGCAGTTGCTGCTTGGGCAACTGAAGTGCCCGTTTCCCTCCTTTGGCCATGGATTGAGAAGAGCGAGCGACCGGAAAGAGCCATGGACCTCACTCTTAACCATAAGATATCGTGAGATAGAGGTAGATGGAAGCTGCACGGTGAAGGCAGAGGAAGAAGACTCTCTAGGAGGGCCATCGCAGAGGGACCATGGGTAGACCGTCAAAAGGCGCAGTGTGGCCGAGTCCCGCCACTGCTGCTGCCGGGGTCGTTGTGGGCAATGGCAGAATGACCAGAATTCGCCCAATCCTTGGGCTTAGGATGAGAAAGGCGTTAGATGAGAGCGGCAGGAAAGAGGTTACTAGGCCAAACGAGGGGCAGGCCCCTCGCTGATCCCCAATGCTAGGAGCCCATCACGGTGGCTGGTCGGAGGAATGCTGAGGTGGGCTCATAGCCAGGTGCCGATTGCCGCTCTCACCTCCAAGTACGGGGTTCTAATAATTAGACCCCTCAACCCAACTTATTCCTTGGGCACCCTATGCGACCTCGAGCTTTGGTGTCCTTCAAACCCAAGAGAGTCACCATCTCGAGTTGCGTGTTATTCGTATGGAAGTATCAAGTCATGTGCCTGCCACGCGAATCCCTTCCCCTCGGCAGCACACCATGTGGCAAAAGCACAACAGAGACAATACTCTCTGCGCTGAATTACTTGTTTCTGATGACAATCGCTGGGGCCGAAGCAGACACAGATCTTCGAAGAGCGTCGTTCACATGGCGAGAAGACGAGATGTTGGGCACTCTCAATGGTGGCGGACCAGCAAGGCCTCACATGGTGCAGACAGGTTTTCAGTCGAGGAAAAAAGGAATCTGTCGGTCGGAGTTGAAGGCAGTCCCGAAAGGACTCGACCAAGATGGATTTGCACTGAGAACACCTAGAATCATGATTAAATGGGCTTTCTTATCATGGCAAGATGAAGTGAAACAGCTCAAGACAAAAGATACAGAACTCTCAAAGCCGCTTTTGACAGTTCGTGCGCTTGAATGGCTTAGTCCGCTCCAATTGCAGTCCAGGGCATTCGCTTTGAATCAGGATATTTTCATGCAGTGTTCCTTCCAATACCCGCTTTATATCGCGCCAGAGCCCTATCTCGCGACTACTTATAATCGACAATCGGCTTTGGATAGGACTCGACCAAGATGGATTTGCACTGAGAACACCTAGAATCATAATTAAATGGGCTTTCTTATCATAGCAAGATAAAGTGAAACAGCTCAAGACAAAAGATATAGGACTCTCAAAGCCGCTTTTGACAGTTCGTGCGCTTAAATGGCTTAGTCCGCTCCAATTGCAGTCCAGGGCATTCGCTTTGAATCAGGATGTTTTCATGTAGTGTTCCTTCCAATGCCCGCTTTATATCGCGCCAGAGCCCTGTCTCGCGACTGCTTATGATCGACAATCGGCTTTGGATACCCGTTCATCGCAGCCAAATTCCCATAGCCGCGATTGTAAGGGTCATGGATTCCTTTGTTGTCTTCGATGTCCGCCAGCTCTGGCACCCATCTACGAATATAGTCCCCTTTCGCATCAAACTTCTCACTTTGAAGCAAGGGATTGAAAATTCGAAAATACGGCTGTGGGTCAGCACCACAGCTGGCACTGAAACCCCAGCCGCCGTTGTTTGACGCGAAATCGCCGTCAATGAGGTGCTCCATGAACCATTTTTCGCCCATACGCCAGTCAATCAAAAGGTCTTTGGCTAAGAAAGAAGCCACGATCATACGACAACGATTAGGCATGTACCCAGTATGTGCTGCTTGGCGCATTGCAGCATCAACGATTGGAAAACCTGTCTTTCCCTCGGTCCATTTGTTAAACTGATTCAAGTTGTACTCCCACTCGATATTGCTGTATTCTGGTTTGAAAGGTTTATACATGCTGCGAGGAGGTTTCAGCGATCAAGGCTTCCACAACAGAAAAGAAACAAGAGGGAAAGGAGCATAGAGCACTTACCAAACATACGGCCAGTGGCATAGGACATGTTTATAGAACTGGGAACCGATGTTAGCCTCGCCCGCATACTGCTACCGTTTGGAGGACGAGGTCACTCACGTCTCTCCACGCCACCTCAGCGATCCACATCGAGTGCCCTTGTTTCCGATCATCAGTCAAATTCTTCAGCGGAGCGGCTTCTCGAGCTTGTCTGACAACAGTCCGTGCGGCAAGTGTACCTGCTGCAAGATGTGGGCTTAGGACGGATGTCCCGTTGCCTCCCGGGAAATTCCTAGTATCGTGATATTTGGCGATTTTCTCAAGTACGAACTTGTGCAGTCGATCTTGAGCTTCATGTTCTCCTGCCGGCCACATACCACGGAATCTCACGCTTTCCTCCTTAGTCAACTGCTTCGACAGAGGCGCTGCCGGAATCTCGGTGTCGAATAGTTCTGAGTACTTCTCCCGAGAAGCTAGAGGATTTTTGGCCGGTGGAGGAAAATAGTCAAGTTCTTTCGGATGCTGATTGAGGTAGGCGCTCCATTTTCGATGCCAGGGACTGTAGACTGATATTGCCCCGCCGGAGCCGCTCTTCAGTTTTCCAGGTTCGACAACGCAAGTGTCGTGAACGACACTGAACGATATTCCCCTCTCTAAGCAGGATCTGGTCAGAGCAGCTTCTCTTCTGAGTTCATCCACCTCATACTCGGCGTTGCAGAACACATGCCGAGCACCCCAAGTTGTGCATAGCTCGGTGAGTCTCGATGGAACATGCCTTCTCTTCTCAACTGTCTCAACGTACAGCGGTATGTCCAGATCATTCAAATCCTTCTTCAAGACGAGGAGGTTGCGAAGAATGAAGTCGACGCGCACAGGGGCTGTCAGGTGAGCTTCGAAGTCTTGAGGTGATATCAAATAAAGGCCAATAAGGGGCACATTGTGCACCTTGGCCATGCTGCTTGCCAGATGCAGTCCCTTGTTGTCTGTGGTGCGCAAGTCACACTTGAACCAGTGAAGCACACAGTCACCTGGCTGTATCCGATCTCGATCTTCTTGTGTTCCTTTGATGGCTTTTTCCAATGTCTCTATGGGTCGCTCGATCTCGCCAGCATTATACGCCTCGGCACGCGCGTTGGTCATCTCCGGCGGATAATACTTGCGGAGGACGATGCCGTACTTGATCTCATTTGTTGAGTCTTTGTATTGTTTCGACAGAAATGAAGTAGGGCGTGGCTTCTTGACCGCAGAATTGATAGAAGCTGCCGCATCGTCTGCTTTCCGCTTAAAAGGGCGCATGGTTGGAAATGCTTGGTTTGAGACAACTTAATGTCTATTGTTTGCTTGATTATGCACTGGAAAGGTGGACTAATGAAAGCTCGTGCTCGTTGCAAAACGAAGCAGAAGTCCAAGACCAACCATCTCCGATAATCATGAATATGAAGGGTGATGTCAAGGGCAAGGATCGCTGGGAAGCGAGATCGATCTACTGTAGTTACAGTACAATGTGGGTCGATCTGGGACGATCTGGGCTACGCGATTCAGTCAGACATCACCTTTAGCGCCTATTACCTAAACCCTCAAGCGAGCCATCATCGATAGAGAACTCTATGATGTCAATATAATACTGGAATCAATCCCGCTCCTGCCGCTAATCGAAGATGATACTCGCGAGCTACTAGGGAGCTGAAGCAGCTTCACCTCGAGGGATGCGAGGCACCTTGCGACTTTGCACTCCGATAATATTCTCTCAAACCCAGTCGTGGGCTGTGATCTGTACGCTACCGGCAGAGTCAAACGGAAAATATGAGGGATATATCTGTTGAGAACTCCGTATTACCTTTTAGAAGATGGAACCTGTTTTGGCGCTGATTCATCTTCTCGAGGGAGGAAGAGAAAAGCGTTCTTTGTATACCATGTGAAAACAATGGCAACCGCAATCCTAACCAATGCCATTTCCTCTGTAGCTTGTCCCTTTTGTTTTTCCAGACCGTAGCCCTCAAACCCGTCTTTAAAGCGATCATATCCCATCATATATAGAGCCGAACTCCCCACGCCATCGCTGTCCATATGCACTAGCTTGAACAAATCTGAGACTTTAGATGCTCAGTCAAACAACAGCCCGCCAGTATGAAGCGCCCGGCACGACTGTGCCATTTTCCACAAATCTTCCTTATGCTCAGGACCGATAAGAGTATTGTTATACATCTGGCACGGATTGTTTCCTGTGCTCCTGCCGAGAGGGCGAGTGGCCACTGAGCACACTGTTGGGGCAATCATGATAAAGGTGATACGTCGCTTGAGTCCAACGCATCAATGTTGAGCTCTTTCGGTGCCGCCTGACCACTCTTTGATTGCCATACTTCATTTTCATTGGCCTGGGGCACCGCAGTTGAACTTCCCTCGTTTTCCTCCTCTGGTATTGTTGCACAATACTTCTTCAAGACTTGTTTGAGGGCAGGTCTTCGAATCGGCTTTGCCAAAAAATAGTCCATCCCGGAGGCCATACATTCATCTTCATTAGACTTCTCGGCAAACGCAGTCAGGGCGACAATAGGTGATTTGAATCCCATTTCCCGTATAAGTCTCGTTGATTGGATCCCGTCGAGATTGGGCATTTGCACATCCATAAAGACTAGATCAAACCGTTGCCCGCTGACCATGGATTCTCGAACCTTTTCGAAGGCTTCTTGTCCATCTTTCGCAATAGTGACATCTATACGACCGTGAGTTTTGGGTATTCACTGGTTCGGGGAACTTACCATAAACATCCTCCAGCCTCAACATGCGAAGCACCACTTCTTGGTTCACCTGGTTATCTTCCGCCACGAGCACGCGAACTTTTCGACCCTTCTGAGCAGCTTCATTTTCCACTTTCTTTATCTCATTGAGCTTTGCCTGCGATGAGTCGCTGCTTGTTGTCTTTTTGGCCACATAGGGTTGAGTAAACCCGACTATTCTTGGGACATCGGCCAGTTTCAGCTGGTCATCCCGCGCCGAGGGTAAGGAAGCCGTTGAGCCACTATGGTTGTGCGTTGTTGGGTCGGGTTGATCATGCAATGCTTGGCCAACAAGACTGCTGGCTTTGGAGGCTGTCCTGTGTGTCGAGGACGCCATTGAAGGGGTGCGCTCCGATACATAACGAAGCGGAATCCTCATAGTAAACTTGCTGCCAACCCCTACCTTACTGTCGAGAGAAATGTCGCCACCCATCAGTGCCGCTAATTGAGCACATATACTTAAACCAAGTCCGGTACCTCCATATTTCTTGCTCAGGCCAAGGTCGCCCTGTACAAAGGGTTCAAATATCATTTTCTGTTGTTCAGGTGGAATCCCAGGTCCCGTATCCTCAACCTCGAATTCGAAGCTCAAGTCTTTGGTGTTCACTGGTGGAGGTGACATAGATCGTTGCCTTTCCACGATTTTCGGTATGTGCGTCGTGCCTCCAGCCACATTAATGCTGAGTTTCGAATCTTCAGTTCCACCAGAATTTGAATGATTCTTGTCATGGTCTCCGCTATCTGGTAAAACCAGCGAGCCATCTGACATCCGAACTCGCTTATTACTTGAAGACTTCGATTTTCGCGAGTTGAGGGACGATTTCCGCGCGCTTCCTGCTCGACTGGGAAAGTTCTCGACAAGACCTGTGCATCGAACACGAACTGTAACAGAGCCATGCGCAGGAGTGAATTTCAGACTGTTGCTGACAAAGTTCATTAGGACCTAAGGGAGGTATTAGCAAACGGAAACTTGATCTTAAGCCAAAACATACCTGCAAAATCCTGTTCTTATCACCCCATAGGCACATATCCCTTACGCGGCCTGTGCCAACAGGTCCGTACAGTTTCTCTCCCGATAACTCAGAAGCGTCGCCAAAAGCGTCATTCGTCCCAAGGAAAAGTACTTTGAGATCTACCTGTGCCTCACGAGCCTGCTTTTCAAAGGTGGGCATTAGTTGCGTACTCAGATCGCTCAGTCTGAATTCCGCTTCGTCTATCGATAGCTGTTGTCCGACCTCATTCTTGCTGAAAGTGAGTAGATCAGTCAACAAGTGGAGCAGCAGATCTCCGGATTTGTAGATGGTATTGAGGGTTGACCGGATCCGGCCTAAATCATCCTCATTCATACAAACGGTGGTGAGGCCAAGGATACCATTAAGAGGCGTCTTCAATTCGTGGGAAATATTGGCGATGAAAAGTGTCTTGCTCTGGTTCGCCGCTTCCGCTGCCTTCTTGCTCTTCTCAAGCTCTGCAGTACGCTCCTTTACCCTTTCCTCGAGACGCTCGTATTGCATTGTCAGCTCGTCAGACATCTCGTTGAATGTGCGTGTAAGCTCGGTAAGCTCATCGGTGATAAGGTGTTTTCGCTCTGGCACTTTCCGAGGTATTCTGAACGTTCTGCGTCGCAGGTGGCGAGGAGTGGTCGCTCGTTCTGTTTGTTTCGTCTTGGTGATTCTAGTTAGAACACCAAAAAAGCCCTCCTTCCTAGCCACATCGCGTTCCTCAGCATCTAAGATTTCCTCCACTTCTGCTCCCTGCTGACCGATAGTGCTGGAATACTCGCTGTTATCGTCGGGTTGGTAAGGCTCGACGGTTCTAGCGGTTGCGGCTGCGAGATGTCGGATTGGAGTGATGGAATAGTGTGCCATGGGAAACATAACGGCTAGGAGCAAGCCGGTTACGGAAAAGACACAGATAAGAACAACATCGCGCAGATGATCGATGGGTGCAACTACCTCGTGGTGCGACTGTTCCACGACCACCACCCAATCGACGAACTTCGTAGATATCGTGGCATAGCCAGCGGAGATTCTTATCCCATCTTCGTTGTGGGTTGAAATATAAGCACCAGCATTGTTAATTGCCTTGTTATCTTTGCTCCATGCCGAAACAACCGCCCGATAATCTGAAGCAAGGAATGGCTTGGTGGCATTGTCGACACCGCTCCGAGCCTGGTGCCGATATCCCAGTGTAGCGTTGTTTTCGGGCGGCAGGACAAACCGGACGAGTTGAGACTCCACGTAGGACTTGCTAGATCCCCGAATCTGTCGCTCAAAATGATTATTCGACGTCGCCGGACCAATGAGAAGAGTCTCCCCCGTCTTATCCAGTCCTTCAGGGGACTGCTGGATTTCATAGATCATATCGGTATTGACCAGAACGGTCATCCATCCCAGGACATCGGACCGAGACGTGTTATTGATCAGCGGAACCGTGAGTGATAGAAGTGAATAGGTCTCGTTCACGACCAAAGGTCCTAGGAAAAGAGTGTCGTCAGGCCGAATGATTTTTCCTTGGTAGAAAATCGTTGAAAAATTAGTTCCCGGTTGCGGAGGGCCATAAGTCAGATTCGGATAAAGCGAAGGCGGGTAGCCCAAGCCCGGGTCTCCCAAGTAAACCGCCGAGCCATTCGTGTAGTTATACGGCAGTTTGATAGAGCCGTTCAATCCAAGCGCAGTGACGTTGAGTAACCCATTGACAGCGGTCTGGTTGCCATTGAATGCATTGGGATACAGTATCGCCTGAACAAGAACGCTGCCATTGGCCAAAGCGCCCTGGAGGTCATTCACAGAGCGCTGCCAATTCTCGTTTGATGTATTTCCTTCTCAACAGCATGATTAGCGGAAGCACCTTACGACGAAAGGTGATCAGAAGGATTACCCGAATTGTATCTTCCCAGAGCACTTTGGATTAGCAGCCGCGTGCTGATCAGCCTGGCCTGTGAATCATACAACAGCAGTGCGCTTGTGAACTGTGCTGCTTTGAGCGATGCCGTCAGGGACAGACCAGATAATCTGTAAACGCCAATCAGCACCCGGAAACTTCAGGAAGGACAGACATTTTGCCAGACCTGATCCCGGTGATGAAGTTATAATTTTGGAACCACTAGGCACAACTAATTCAGTGTTATCCGCCAGTACGACCTCCAACAAGACGTACCACAGCAAGTGCAAGAACCATAAGAGACGTCAGGGAGCAAAAGAGGACGAGCAGTCCGAGCTGCTCCCGTATTGAGATCCGCATGGCCGCGGCTGAACCCCCTTCCTTGCTCTTTGCATCTCAATTTGAACTGCGGCACGCGTCGTTCTCGGCCTGTCCTCAGCTTTGCGGTCGGTTCATCATGAGCGCCGCATGTTCAACGTCGTAGGTGCGCGAGATGGCCAAAAGGTACAAGAAGATCGGCTCTCGTCCTTTGGCCGTGGGTGCGGAGGAACAAGCGAGCAGTACCCGTCCACTGTAAAGACTTCGTCCACCGTAAAGACTTCGTCCACTGTAAAGACTTCGTCCACTGTGGCGGGCTGAAGAGTCAGAGAACTGGGTTGACCCCCAGGCGGGGTGCGAGAGTTGAAAACAGGACGACGGTCGGCAGAAAGTTGCAGGCAATAGGATTGACGGACGGAGGGGATTGGAGGCGCTTGCGTTCGAGACCGAGAATAGAGCCGGTGTTTTCGGAGCACAGAGTCAAAGGCTTCAGACAAAAGATAGCTGGACTCAACAGCACGACAATCCTTACTCGCACTTGCACAGGTGAAAGACTGACAAGACCTAAGGGCTGGGGGTCTAGGTGCGGGTAGAACGAGAGAGATGGCGAGACAGAGGGAAAAAGAGGAACGATCAACAGGTGTGAGTGTCGTGTCCACCCCCAAGCCGCAAGCGGGCGACAGAGCCGGCAAAATTGGCCTGCCGCCCGCCCTGGATAGTGGTAGCTTAGATGGCGAAGGCCCACGCGGTACTGTACGAGTATGGGCCTTTGGTGGAAGCCGACGCCACCAACACCGAAAAGGCCATGAAAACGCCACTTCTAAGCGAGAATACGAAGCTGCAAAGGGGGTTGCCCACCTATCCACCCTTGAGCATTCAAGTCTCAACTGTGCGCTAGATACTATTGGCACGTCCATCGAATGCAAGGACATTCAGGCGCAGAAGGGGGCTCGCAAAGACTGCCGCTCCAGCTACTACGAAGCCCCGTGCTCCGTTGAAACAAGTAACCTATCTTTGAACAAGGAGTCACTGGCCGAGGATTAATTGTGAGCGCATTCCAGTACGCGGCATGCCAACAGGAGGAGAAAAAGGAATTGGAGGCTCAGCAAACACTAGAAGGAGAGCCACGCCTTGAAACTCCACCATTATTCTCAGCATCAGCGACACTTCCTTCCTTCTGGAACCCCTCAGATGTGAGCAAGTTGATGTGCTTGCGCCAACCGGGAAATAGATTCATTTGGTAACGTGATGGTTACCCATGCGAATGTTTATCCTGTTGAGCCATCTGTTCCTCCTACACAAAATACGTCGTAAACTCGTATGATATATGTGCTCACTGCAACGTCTTTCTGAAGCACTGTGTCCCAATCAAAGCCCTTGGTCTTTGTAAAGTTCATTGCTTCCAGAAAGCCAAGCAAGAGTCGCCTCTGTCTGCATAGATTGCATGTTTAGTTCCTGGTCTTGTGATGCAGCGATCCATGTACTCACGTGCAGTCCTGAATCTAGGTGGATGAAGGATCCGACACCGTGGTGGCAATCATAAGTACTGTTGGTTTGAGATTTAGCGACACCTCAGTAAAATATGAATATGGGCCCAGCCGCCCCTTCTCCTGCCTTTACCCCTCATCTGCTCTTCTCTCTTTTGGCGTTTTTTCGAAATGGCGGGCCTTTGGTCTGGACGCGAAGGAAATTTCCTTACTGCCACACGATGCAAGGTGTCGAATTTGGACGGCGAGGCGATTTGTGAGGCGGAACAGGGTTTGCTAGTCGGCCACTTACAACTAAGTTCGGACCTCCAGAGCCTTAGTCCCACTGGGCTTTGCGCTCGAGACCCCGAGTAAGTTGCCCAACGAGCAAGAGCCCCATCAGCATTCAGCATCACGATTTGTGGGTGCCAGAGTGATTTTCGGCTTTGGCATGTCCAGCTTTGGCTCCCCTCCCCGCCAAACCTACGTTGTTGTTTCCCCAGCCAGCATGCAGCCTTGTGTTCACAACCACTGGATGTATGCCTGCTGGCTCGCTCAGGCTATATCGCTCAGATCCATCAACCGCCTTGGTTTAATACTGTCAATATCCTCCTTTCCGAGCAGTCTCCACTGATCCCATGAGTTGTTGGGTATCTCAGCCCAGGCGCATCCAGAATGGCCGAAACAAGTACGTCATCTGAAGCACAGTTCGTGTTGGAAAAGGTGAAACTGACTTTGGCTCCTGCGCAGGCAATATTGCGCCCATCATCAACGTCGCCGCTGCCGGCTTCAGACTCTCTCTGCTCCTAAACGCCATTAGTTCCGAGATTTCGAACGCCGGACTCGAGGTCAAGAACGTCTCTAAGGGCGTCACAATGTTCTCAATGACGTTGAAGCATACGGGCCAAGTTCTTCAGGCTAGGGACTCAGTGCACTCCCAAGAAGCTGTTGAGACAGCGAAGTCAATAGCAGACGAAAGCACAAGGGTATTTGACGAGATCAAGGATATGTGGGTGCGTGCAAGTGCGCAAGACGCCAACAGCACCACTACCTCCCTTCAACAAAGATTGAGACGGACTTTCAAGAAACACAGGGTTACATATCTGCTTGCACAACTCGAGAGTCTTCAGTTGAGTCTCTCAGTCATGCTACAGGTTGTCCAGCTGGGGAAGGTGATGGCGTCCACCTCACGAAGGTTTGAAACCCCGCAAAAAGTGTTAGAGACAATAGCTGACAAAGACAAATTATAGTGATTCCCCAGAGGAGGTCTTGTTGAAGAAAGAAGCTATCAGTCAAGAGCGCGCCGAGGCCCAGAATGCTGTTATTGTTCGCTACTGGCAGATGAGTAACATGGACATGTTGTTCGAAGCTTCCCAGCGGGAAGAGCAAGAAGACGGCAAATCATGCACCGATAAGGGGACCGCGGGAGTCATTCAATTATCGGTGGTTCCCATGAACAACATTCCTCAGAACGTTGGCAGCGCCACTCCCGAAAACGCCACCTCGAGAGCCTTGGTGAGACTTCCAGTCTTTTCTCTCGGTGAGCTTGATCACATGTTACATCAAATCAGGGACTCTCCGCGAGATATGGTTCGGGTATCCGACCGAGCAATCGACCCACTACTCGAAAGATGGACAATTTGGCGTGAAGTACGAGAAAGGCGCCACAACCGTGACTCTGGTTCGAGGTATGCCCCCTCGGTGCACAACCTCCAAGAAGACGATGAGGAGACGGCTTTCCATGAGCGACACCGAGAGTGGGAAGGCACCCCTCGCGGGTATTACCTGGAAGGCACCACAACCGACTGGAGGAAGCCAAATTCCGCATCTGCACGTCATGAAGCGTTCAAGCGACGGAAGCAGTACTCTGGATACCAGCCGAGCGTGAGTGCGGCAAGCAGCGACGTGGAGGATTCCCCAGGGGGAAGTAACAGTTCTAAAAAGCAATACTCGTCGCGGCACGTTCTAGACTCGGGTTCAGAATCGTCTGCCTCTGAATCTGAAATGGCTCAGCCCAAACCACGACGCAGGAGTAGCGGCAACCCAACTGCTGAATGGAAAGCACAAATCCCTGGCGGTGAAGCCGCAGCGGCACCCCATTATACGGCGCCGGTCCAGCCGCCGTCATGGATCACAGCTAATGGTATTGGTGGTGTCAATCGCCCGCCATCTGCTCAGCCCTCTGTGACTTCAGCCCAGTCAACCGCGTCCAGGTTGTCATCTCCGGCGTACCATCCGCCAGGCCATCGTCCTTGGGCAACACCCGACCAGAATCCAGCGCATCACAGTGTCTCGTCCCCTCTAATCCCGGCGCACATGCCCAGCGGCCCAAGTTCATTTGGCCCCCCGCAGGCTGTCAACTTCCCCCGTTACGGTGGTCAGATGCTTCCACAGGGACAGGGACAGCATTTTGGGTACCCACAACTCACTCCGTACACACCGCCTCCCTCTCAGACCCGATACATTTCTCAATCTTCACCCCGCATGGGCGTAGCACCACGACCAGTATCTCAAGATGGTAAATCCGCAAGGTCTCCCTCCCGATTATCCCAACAAGGTCCCTCTATGCGCACCCATGATGAGAAGAGACACTCAAGGGAGAAATCAACCAAACAAAGTATCCGCGAGAGTGCCACTAAAGGCCTTTTGGGGGCTGGAGCCATTGCAGGCTTTCTAGAAGCATTGGAGGGCTTGAGTCTTTGATCACGGGCATCTTTCTTATCAGTGTTTGAATAAGAGGCATCATAGACCTTAGTGTCGACTCCTTCCAATGTATTTGTTTTCCGACCTTCAGAATCTTGATGACTCGTGCCCAACCCAGATGGACCGTATGGAATCAATAGCCTGCAAAAGTAGACTGATTACGTCGATATTTTTCACCCTCCAAGCATGCAAGTCGCGTTATGGCCTTACATTGTCAAAGCCATCCTACCTCAACAATCCACCAGTATAGGCTAGACAGGAAAAGGGGGATATTTGCACCAGACATTCCAGCCTGAATTCGAACTCGTGGAAGTATTGTGACATAGGACTCGACTTCTCTGAGTATTCTGGCCTTTATCCTTGTGGAGAGTGTAGGCCCTTTGGAACGTAAGATCCTCGTAGCGGGCGCAACACTGGCGAGCATGTAGCTAGGAGGTACCGAATAAATATTTTCTCTACAAGAGCTTTCTGATCTTTGGAGAGTCCGTCCGTAACGGCGCTAGGACGCTACCAGCTTTCAACCTGGTACTATATTAATAATGTTAATATGATTATTATATCGCTTAGTCTCCCTAGGACGGAGATTCGACCTGGATCTGTTCCTCTCGGAGCAGCCTGCCGACAACTTATGTGACAGAAGACGTCATTTTGAGGTACGGCATCCACGAAAGCTCACTCCGGATGAGGTTGCCGTTGCTGGCTGAACCGACGACTATCCACCTTCCACGAAGTAGAGTGTCTTGAGAATTAAAGTAACCGTTTGAATCCTCCTATCCTGCAATCGCAACCAGCAGAGGCCTGCCGTACGGATTCGCCGAACGCAGGTGACCCGGACAATGAGGTCACTGTTCGCTTTGGCGGAGGTGGCGATTGCTATAGAGCGGTGTGTGCCCCTGCGGGTTCGATGCCTATCTACCCGCAGCGTTGTACTTGAGAACAACGGCTACGAGAGCTTCTTTAGGTCTTCTGTTGTCGCAAGCAGACAGTCATGAAAGTAGAGCTGGGAGCAGCTCGTTCTAGAGATAAGTGTCGTCTGGAAGTGACGAGGATAATCGCTGGTAATATAGTAACTACATGTAGCCACATTGCGAAAACTTAACCGTCGATGTCCAGCGATGATAGTGACCAGGTGACTGTATAGATTTGTACGCACCGTTTCAGCTTGAACTCAAATTGCGCATTGGGAATAACTGTGGCAGTAAACCATTTCTATGGAGGAATTTACGAATATGGACAACTAGATCCATGCCTGTCGTGACCATCAATTTAGCAAAAGCTGTAGATCGTCTTCGCATTATCGCAAGGCATCCACATGCCTCTCAATGCTAAGCGTTGTCTCGTCGCGTAGAGGCTTGGATTCGGCTCGTGAGGTGGCTAGCCAAGAATTGGGTTAAACCGCTCCTCATTGTCCCCGCGCCCTGGGCCCAAGGGAACCAATGCGCTCGATCCCAGGGACCCCTCGGGTCGCTTTGAGACACCCTCTCCATGCAGCCTCAATTTTGGGCGGTGCCCGTTGGTTGTGGCTCGTGGCGGCCCCAGGCGTCTCTTGTGCATTTTCCCACCTCACCCGGTATCCTTCTCTGTGCCCGCTGATGCCTTTTGGGCATCTGCAGCGGCGATCTCGCCTCAGGAGGTTCACAGTTGCACCTATGTTGCGGTGGCCGTCCACCACAAACCCTTACCCACTAACAAACCTTCCTCCCTTCCTCAGGATCGAGGACTGCCTTACATTTTTCCCTATCGTTACTCCTATTCCCATCCTCCCGCCCTGCGTTCTCACCGTGTTTTTAAACGCTCTGTCGCCGAGCGACCCTCCATCTGTCGCTTTCAGACCCTGTTGTCTCATTCTACCTAGACGATCCCTTCGGCCGTTCGACCGCGTCGCCCTTAGCGTCTTTTGGCATGCCCAAATCCATCCCACCAGTTGCCCAGCCCAACCCATCCAATCGTCCCGTGTCTACTCTCGGAATCGCTCCAGTTACCACCTTCACATACATTTCCAACTCTGCAACCACCTAACGGCTCGTACATATATCCTCTGTCGAGTGTAAAACGACGTGTCCGTCACTGATCACTGGCCTGCGAATCGTCTCCGGTGAACAAAGTGGCTCTCCGGCCATTTTGTGTACGCTGCTGGACGCAGCCCAGAATCAGGGCCCTTTGGCATACCCAAACCACCTGCCACCATTCCGTGCCCACCGCGCCTCATGAGGAGGAACACCCTATAGAGGATTTCGCATCGTCCATGTCTCGCCCGGACGAGACACTGGTAGCCGCTGCGGCAATTCTGCGTGGACTGGCCAAAGGCTCGACCTCCTCGACCTACACCAATGGCCTGAAGCTTCCACCATACAAGCTTCCCGGTGAAGATACACCAGGCAAAGAAGACTTCGAAGCTGAAATAGCCGCTCTTGCAAGACGCATACACTACCTGGAATCTCGGGCGGACGTCGTCGGTCGCTCACTACCAGACACACCAGGTGAATTCCAGAGTCCTGCCTCGCCTTTATCCCGCCCAGTGGAACCTCGAGGTTCTCTGGGCGAACCTGGCGCTGATTTCTCTGCAGACTCTGCTGAGAGGACACCTACAAGCTCAAATCATTCGAGGCGTGTCAACAATCTCCTTGCCGCCAGAGACTCCTTCCGACCCTCGGAGCCGGACCGTGCAGTCAGCGAAGATGATATCAGCATATTGCGAGAACATGTTGAAAGGCAGGCGGAGCAGATTAAGAGTCAGCGAGACACCATTGCAGAAATCAGTCGCGGTCTGCGAAATTCTGAAGAGCAAGCCAAACAAGCTTTCATGCGGGTAGAGAATGAGGACGTCTCGATCTTAGAGAGAGAACTGCGTAAACACCAGCAAGCCAACGAGGCATTCCAAAAAGCACTACGTGAGATCGGCGGCATCATTACTCAGGTGGCCAATGGTGATCTGTCCAAACGAGTCCAGATCCAGGCAACGGAGATGGACGATGAAATTGCCGCCTTCAAGGTCACCATAAACACTATGATGGATCAGCTCGAGATCTTCGGCAGCGAGGTTACTCGTGTCGCCCGCGAGGTAGGCACCGAAGGCATTTTGGGGGGACAGGCTCAAATCAGTGGAGTACATGGCATATGGAAGGAGTTGACGGACAACGGTATGAGCTCCCACATGTTCCTTTAGAAGAATTTGAACTAACTGTGAATCAGTCAATATTATGGCAGCGAACTTGACCGACCAGGTCCGAGAGATCGCAACAGTCACCAAGGCTGTCGCACGCGGTGATCTCAGTCAAAAGGTACAAAGTCGCGCAAAAGGCGAAATTTTCGAACTACAGCATACAATCAACACCATGGTTGACCAACTTCGAACATTTGCCACCGAAGTCACTCGCGTAGCAACAGATGTCGGAACGGAGGGTGTTTTAGGTGGACAAGCTCAGATCGAAGGTGTCCAAGGCACATGGAATGAACTGACCAAGAGCGTGAATGCCATGGCCGACAATCTCACAACACAGGTTCGAGACATCGCAATGGTCACCACAGCCGTGGCAAAGGGTGACTTGACACGAAAAGTCACAGCAAGCTGCAAAGGGGAGATTCTGCGACTGAAGATTACGATCAACAATATGGTTGATCAATTGCAGCAGTTTGCGCAGGAGGTCACAAACTTGGCCAAGGAGGTCGGAACCAATGGCGTGTTGGGAGGTCAAGCTACAGTGCACGACGTCGAAGGCACTTGGAAAGATTTGACGGAAAATGTCAATGGCATGGCAATGAATTTGACAACCCAGGTTCGAGAGATTGCTGCGGTCACCACCGCTGTTGCCAATGGCGATTTGTCAAAGAAGGTTACCGCCGATGTCCAGGGCGAAATCCTCGACCTGAAGGTGACCATTAATTCCATGGTCGATAGATTAAACACTTTCGCGTTTGAAGTCAGCAAAGTGGCGAGAGAAGTCGGCACAGACGGAACTCTTGGAGGGCAGGCGAAGGTCGACAATGTCCAGGGCAAGTGGCGAGATTTGACCGACAATGTCAATACGATGGCTTCGAACCTGACAGACCAGGTGCGAAGTATCTCGGACGTCACACAAGCCATTGCTGCTGGAAACCTAGACAAGAAAATCGAGGTACAGGCGCAAGGTGAAATCTTGACCCTGAAAGTCACTATCAACAACATGGTAGACCGCTTAGCCACCTTCGCCCATGAAGTGCGAAGAGTTGCTCGCGACGTGGGTGTCAATGGCAAAATGGGTGGTCAGGCCAACGTTCACGATGTCAGTGGCCGATGGAAAGAGATCACAGAGGACGTCAACACGATGGCCGAGAATCTGACCGCCCAGGTTCGTGCGTTCGGTGAGATCACGGATGCGGCGACGGAAGGAGATTTCTCTAAGCTGATCAGCGTCAATGCATCCGGTGAAATGGATGAATTGAAGAGGAAGATCAATCAGATGATTTCAAACCTCAGAGACAGCATTCAGAGAAACACGGCGGCACGTGAAGCAGCCGAATTGGCCAACCGGACAAAGTCCGAATTTTTAGCCAATATGTCCCACGAAATCAGAACCCCTATGAACGGCATCATCGGCATGACACAGCTGACGCTGGATACTGATGATTTGAAACCGCATTCGCGAGAGATGCTCAACACCGTCCACAATCTCGCCAACAGCCTGCTCACTATCATTGACGACATCCTCGATATATCGAAGATAGAGGCCAATCGCATGGCCATTGAGGCTATTCCCTACACCATCCGTGGTACCGTCTTCAACGCTTTGAAGTCACTGGCTGTCAAAGCGAACGAGAAGTCGTTGTGTCTGGCATTTGATGTGGATAACTCAGTGCCGGACTATGTGGTCGGCGATCCATTCCGGCTGAGACAGATTATCCTCAACTTGGTCGGCAATGCGATCAAGTTTACTGATCAGGGCGAGGTCAAAGTGACAATCAAGAAATCCAAGGACCTACTATCAAACTGCGCAACTGACGAATTTCCCTTCGAGTTTGTGGTTTCGGACACAGGAATCGGCATCCAGTCGGACAAGCTTGACCTCATATTTGACACTTTCCAGCAAGCGGATGGCTCAACGACAAGGAAATTCGGCGGTACCGGTTTAGGGTTGTCCATATCCAAGCGTCTGGTTAACCTCATGGGTGGCCAAGTGTGGGTGACCTCCGATTTTGGCCATGGGAGCGAGTTTCACTTCTCGTGCATTGTCAAATTCGCGACGGACGACATCAGTGTCATCAGTTCCCAGCTCTATCCTTTCAGGAAGCATAAGGTGCTCGTGGTAGACAAGGGAGTTTCCAAGTTCTTCGAACGAGTCCCTGCAATGATCGAGGAGCTCGGGCTACGCGTCAAGGTCGTGAAGGACGAGACAGAGGTGCCGGACCCTGTTACAGTCGCCGTCGAACGGAACCGCAAAGCCACCGATGGGGGCTATGATGTTATCGTCATTGACGAACTTCAAACCGCGCAAAAGCTGCGAGAACTCGACAAATTCAAGTACATACCCATGGTTCTGCTGAACCCAACCGTATCTATCAGCCTCAAAACTGTACTTGACCTTGGCATTGCTTCATACATGACGACGCCCTGTCAATTGATTGACTTGGGTAACTGCATGATCCCTGCTTTGGAAGGCCGGTCCACGCCCGTCATCAAGGACTACAAGAAGTCACTCAATGTTTTGTTGGCCGAGGACAATGAGGTCAACCAAAAGGTCGCCATCAAAATCCTGGAAAAATACAACCATGTGGTGACGGTCGTGGGCAACGGCTTGGAGGCCGTCAACGCCATCAAGAATGACCGATTTGATATCGTGCTTATGGACGTGCAAATGCCGGTGATGGGTGGGTTTGAAGCCACGCGAGAAATTCGGCAGTATGAAAAGGAGAGGGGACTGCCTCGAACGCCCATCGTTGCGCTGACTGCCCACGCCATGCTCGGAGATCGAGAGAAATGCATTCAAGCACAAATGGACGAATATCTGTCAAAACCGCTCAAACAAAATCTGCTTATGCAAACGATCTTACGAGTGGCTTCCGACAGGGTGACAGATATTTTCAACAAACAGGCTCGATCAAAATCTAATGGAGCTGGTAATAGCAATGGTGGTAGTACGGATGGAAAGGAGGTCTCGTCACAAGCTAAAGCCGGAGATTCTCGAACGACATCGAGCTTAAGACCTCCTTTTAGTGAGAGATCCGTGACATCGTCAGGACCGGTGAATCATGGCAGTGTTGAGAGTCCCTCCTTGGGCAAAGATGGCGAGCCCGATCCGATGTCGGCAGCTAACAGCAGCGTACGTTCGATGTCATGGTCGGGGTGAAGACAAGTCAGAGCTAATCGGCGTGATCAGGTTCTTTTGAGGGCTCACAGTCAATGAGGATGTTCCTTTGTGTTTGCTGGACCTCTACACTTCTCCCAATGCATCAATTGATGAGATTATGTTTGGGGCATTCGTATTGTTGGCAGCGTGGAGTAATTCAGGTTTTGGCTCTTCTTGGATGTTTGCATTGCGATGTGACTTTCTACTTTTGCTTTGCGGATCTCCCAAGGGTTGATGCGGGATGAGGTGGGTTATGCGAAGGCCGCTCAGCTTGTGCAGTCTCCGTATGGTATCAGCCGAAAACGTTGATGAGCAGCTGGGTGCTTGTAGGAAAAGACAGACCAGGCATGGCGGGGACATGGGTACGGGACTCGGTCGGGCAGAGATCCTGTTTACGGAGCCGAAGCGAGTCCATAAATCGCTCATATATTTCTCGAATCTTCATGGAACGAACCGATCTTGTTCGTTCAAGGACTTGTACGCAGATGACCGCAGATATGGATATTTTGGAATGTTCTCAGTGTCCTTCTTCCAATCACTTGATCGCAGCGGAGTCAATATGCGTCGTTGATGTAGCGGAAACCTGTTGAGGCCATCGAGAATCCCCCAGTCTTTCCGGAGACAAGAGGAGCCCCGGATTTCCGAATCGCCAGCACAGGGAACTGGAGGCTGTACGAAAATGTCAGTGTCGACTGTGTTGGACAGGTTAGACTTGTACGAAGGTAAACGCCGAATCAATTGCTGCGACAAAGTTCCCGCCGACGTCCATATTGTGACGCATTCCGGCATGTTACAGTATATGATTTCCGCTCATTCTCGCCCATTGTTCACGCGCTACCGATCAGCTCGTTGACGTGCACGATATCCCTCGACTTGTTGAGTCCTAGCTTCTACTGGAACTACTTCCGAGATCCCCTCCATCCCTCGTTTGTGCGAAGATCGGACACATTCACTATGAGTCGTGCATGAACGAAAGCACCCTCCCTGCACCCGAATATGTCACACGCCATCGACGAGGGCGCTCCGCCTGGTGCTGAACACTCCATGGGCGAGCACGGCCTGGTTGAAGCTCAGGTTTCTCGAGACAATGGACCGGCGTCCAATCCTTCTGCCACTCGCCTGAACCCACGAAGTTGCGTCACATGCCGTCGCAGAAAAGTCCGTTGCAATAAAGAAAACCCATGCGCGAACTGTGTAAGAGCGGGGATTGAATGTGTGTTTCCCGGTCCTGGTAGGGCACCCAGAAAACCGAGGAAGCCGCCTGATGCAGAGTTGTTGGCTCGCCTGCGTAGGTTAGAAGGTGTTGTCCACAGCCTCGGTGCCCAAGTGGATGAGAACGGACTTGTGTCACCTGCTCCCACAGGGTCGACAGATATGAGGGCACGCTTCGGTGAAGTGCAGTCGGCAGACTCACCAGTCTCCGATCGCTCAGACCAGAAAAGACAGTCTATTGACAAACATTTGGGGCGCCTAGTGATCAACGAAGATCGCAGTCGCTATGTGAACAATGCATTCTGGACAGGCATGAGCGATGAGGTGCTTTGTCACACCTTGATTTGTGTGTGAGAGCTCCAGCTGACAATTTCGACAGATTGCCGAGATGCGGGACTTGCTCGACCCGTCAAGCACCGAAGATGAAGACGAGGTCAACTCGCCCGACACCGACCGCCAACCTAACCACCAAGCCTTCCTCTTTGGTTACTCCTCAGTCATGCAAGACTTGAGGGAGCTGCATCCCAGTCCCAGCCAGATCTTCATTCTTTGGGAAGTTTTCAAAGAGAACGTCGACCCTGTGGTTCGAATACTCCATCGGCCTACGGCCAAAACAATTCTCATGAATGCTGCGAGCAGTATCGACCGAGTTTCCAAACCAGCAGAAGCCTTGTTGTTTTCAATCTACTTCGGGGCAGTCGTGAGTTTGACTCCGGAGCAATGCCGGCAACTGTTGGACGAGGACAAGCAGTCTTTGCTGAAGAAGTACCGGTTTGCAACAGAACAGGCTTTGGCCCGGGCAGATTTTCTAAATAGCTCCAGCCTCATGTGCTTGCAGGCACTGTCATTTTTCCTCATATTTGTCCGGCATTGTGACGATTCAAGATTGGTATGGGCACTGGGAGGTCTTGCTATTCACCTGGCACAGTCGCTGGGCATCCACCGCGATGGAACCCACTTCGGACTGAATCCTTTTGACACAGAAATGCGACGCCGATTATGGTGGCAAATTTCCCTGCTAGACAACCGGGCAGCCGAAGACCACGGCGTCGATCCTTCTTTTAATGACCAATTTTACGATACCAAGGTCCCTGCGAACTTGAACGACGACGATATCTATCCCGGAATGAAGGACTGGCCGAAAGAAAGAGTCGGAGCAACCGAGATGACGTTCTGCCTGATTCGATATGAAATTGGCTTGTTTTCTCGACGCTTCAACTTCGGTCCTGGATGCAGTACATCGCAGGTTTCCGAGCTGTCCTTGGTCGAAAAGGAGAAATTGATCGATGAGTGTCACCGGAAGCTGGAAGAGAAATACCTACGACACTGTGACATGAATATGCCTATATATTGGGTGGCAGCAACAGTCGCCCGCCTCATCCTGGCCAAGATGTGGTTGATGGTCCACCATCCGCGAGCGTACTCGAATAACGGCGAGGGATCACCGATGCCGCCAGAGATCCGTGATCGAGTCTTCATCACCTCAGTGGAAGTGATAGAATTCTCGCATCTCCTCGAGAAGAACGAAAACACGGCGAAATGGGGCTGGCTATTCAGGACATACATGCAATGGCAATCCGTGGCATGTGCGTTGTCAGAGATATGCGTCAGACCCCCTGGGCCCGATGTAGATCGAGCATGGCGGGCGGTTGAATCGGTCTACGGGGAACGAATGATGAACTACAAGTATCAAAAAGGAATGCTGTGGAAACCCTTGCGGCACCTCATGGCCAAAGCAAGGGCACGAAGAGCAGCGCAACAAGCCCAGTCAAACCAGGCCCAACAGAAGTCAAAAATCATGTTTTCCGAGATAGGCGATTCAACCCCTATGGAACGGTTTATGGGAGACTTTCCAGCTAACCCTAGCACGACCGCCATGGAAGCATTTGGCATGGCCAGCGAGCAGCCCTACAATGCAGGAATGATCTTGGATCCACAAGTACAAGAATCTTTTCATCCGGCAAGTGGCGGTGCGATGGCGGAGAGTGGTAACACCATCTCGCAGGACAATTCCAGCAGTGCGGGCGTGAATTGGACCCCAGAGCATATGCCGATGGAGAGCAATGACATTTTGGACTTCGGATGGTCACCGTCTGTGGGTGACTTCGCCGTGCGGGGAGAGCCTTTTCAACGATTTTTTGTTACTGCTCAAGAAAATTGGTTTTGATAGGTCATGTGAAAGGGATGTATGTAGCTTTAAGGAACTCGTATGCCAGAATATCAAGAGATTGCCTCCTTACCCTCCCCCATGTGCAACCAACTGTCGGTGCAAGAGGAAAATCCATCTGCAGGTGAGACGGATAGGTTGACTATGAGAAGGCCGCCAGTTACCAGATGTGGCATGGCATGGCTTATTGACGAGATCTATTTTGGGACGGCGGCGTGAAGGGGAATCTAGATGCTGGAGCTGTTGCTTGTGGCTTGTCAGAAAGTAAGCGCCAGTTGACCAAAACCGCTCTCGCAATTGGTTCATGGCCAACGATTTCTCTGTGGGCACCACAAGCACAGAGCCAAGGGGGCTCAGTGCCTTAAGAGGCTCTAAGGGTCAGATTCCCACTCTACTGTGCTAAGCTTCTCGGAGCCCGTAGCGTTTGGCTTAGGTGGATTCTGGCAGGCTCACCAGGCTAGTGTCCTGAATCTGATCGACTCGATAGGCGTTGGTTTGGGCCCCCAGGCACTGACCACTAGGCTGAAGGAAGCGCCCAGCTGCCCCTGTCCCTTGCCCAATTGAATGGATATGCTAAGCCTTTGAAGCTGCACCACACAGGTCCACTGGTTGCGAGGGTCCAGAAGATCCATCTTTCCCCATGCATCTCTTTTCAGCTCCAAACAACATCTGAAACCCGCTTCTTCTCAAAACAGACGCCTGTCGCCTGGCCACTCGTGGTGTAGATCTCTTTATCCTTTTTTTTTGGTGATAATCCCACAGCGCCTGCTGACTTCGAATCTTTGTTTTCCTCCTTCTCACCCTCCCATTCCCCTCCTCTCACATCTGTGTTCTTTCCTTGTTTCTATGCCGAGTCTGAAGCCATCTCGTTGCTTGCCTTCGCTACGTGCCCAGCATTGATCTGTCCTTCATTGAACCGTTCCAATCCCATTTCTCCGGAATATACGTATAGTAATCTCCAAGCGCAGCTGCAAGCATGCCATCTCAATCCCAATCCAAGCTCAGGATCATGATCAGCCTGTTCTTCACCAGTGAGTCGCAGTCCCTTCCTATCCCAGCTTTGGAGAGGAGCCATCCTTGCTGACCATGGCGCCGTCTTTCAGCCTTCTTCCTCCTAGCGCAGGCCGCTGTTCCCTCATCAACGTATGTCGGGCGAGGCACCTCACCGGATCCAAACGATAATATCACGGTTTCTATCAACGTGCCGAATGACAACTCCGACTCTCTCTTCTTCCACTTCTCTGCGCCTGCGGGCCAGGCATGGGGTGCCTTTGGCTTCGGCACCCAGATGGCGGGAGCTTTGATCTTTGTCACATATGCGTCGCAAAGTGGGAACAACGTCACAGTCAGTCCTCGTCTGGGAAAGGGCCATGTCATGCCCCAACATACCTCGGATGTCCAAGTGGACGTGCTGAGTGGCAGTGGTATCATTGACGGATCTTTCGTTGTCAATGCTAAATGCTCCAACTGTCGAAGCTGGGATGGTGGGAATATCAATGTGGACAGCACGAACCAGCCCATGATCTGGGCCGCTGGTCCAACAGGCTCTCTGTCTTCCAACGACGTCAATGCCCAAATCAAACAACATGAGGGGTACAATTTCTTCAATATAGACCTTAAAGCTGCAACCGGCACTGGCGGCGTCCCGGTCGTTGGCGCGTCCTCGGACACGGTGGTTGGTGGCGGTCCTGTTGGTGATTTTCACCGTGGCGCCACTGGTTTCCACGCGTTCCTCATGGTTGCGGCCTTCTTGATCGTCTTTCCAGGAGGATATCTGTTCCTTCGCGTATTTGAGAAGGTGTGGCTTCACTGGGGTATCCAGTCCTTGGCCCTGCTCATGACTATTCTGGGTATGGGTGTTGGAATCGCCATCAGCAAGAGAAACAAGATTGTGAGCAAGAACCACCTTTTTTCCAGTCTCCTGGTTGGGACTAACATATCTAGTCTCCTAACTTGACCGCTGGTCATCAAATCCTCGGCTTCGTCGTTGTCGGTCTCGCGCTTGTCACCTGGATTGTCGGACTGGTTGGGCATCGCATCTACAAGAGGACGAAGCAGCCTGCCAAGATCATGAAAGGACATCGTGTGCTGGGTCCTGCCACGATAACCTTAGGTCTGGCCAACTGCATCGTGGGTTTTCGCTTCGCCGACAACACTCGCGCAACCATCGTCTTTGCCATTGCGATGCTCTTAATGCTCATTTTCGTCGGAACTGTGACATTCTTCAAGCGCCGCCAGCAACAGCGAAAAGCGCCTATGAACACCCCAGCTGCGGCTAACTTCCGCGAGGGCCAAGCCGAGCCGCCCAACTATACGGGTGAGGCGCCACTACCTCTCTATGGTCAAGGGGGAATTCCCCTGCAGAGCTATGCGAATAATCAGGCCCCTCCTGTGTATCGCTAGGAACATGAGCCCGCGGGTGGTCTGGCTCAGAGCTCTTGCAATATCGGCTCGAGGAAGAGCCTAGGGCAGTCGTCGATGGGGGCGTTGAAGATGGGATCGTTGTTCACCCAGGCTTGGGCGATTGTGCACAGTCTGCGGACGCGCGGTACGGCATCGGTTGGCGACATGTATGCTCCTTGCTGTAATATCTTGTTGAGGTGTGTTTGGACAATAGTGTTTTCTTCAGATGAATACCACACCCTGGTAAAAGAAAAATTCGGTGAAAAATGAGGCGGGATAAAAGTAGTTCAATGTGGGTATAATGGTCGATCTTGGTCCCATACTCTGTTCCATTCTGTTTCCGTGGTCACGCTTTATTTGAGCTGTAAACCTCCACCCCTATTAGGTCGCAGTGGCATGTTGGTTGATCAAGACACATAATTGGGACCCTATTTCGGCAGGTCATCCATATCCAGAGTTTTCATCGTAAATGTCTTTCCTGGAGATTACGACGTCAGAAGTGTCTACTTCTTTACCGCTCAAGCGACATACTCGCACAGTCCGTTTCCTTGGCTCCGGCCTGTTGGAGTCGAGAGTACATCTGGCTCTCCATCATTGCTTGCGACGTGTACTATAACCTTTTCGGAAGGGATACCAAGATAGAAAGAGGTCAGCCCTCCACGTTTGCGGCCAAATATCGCCTCTGTCTTGTGGAGCAGCCTTCTTCTGAGCACGTAATGGGGCTCTCGAGTCGACGGTGCTGGCACCAGAAGGGATACTTCTCGATGGAGTCAAATGTGGGATTGATCAGACATTGACCGCCACACTTTTCGGCAGTTGTTGATCGTCCTTAATGGCCTGGGGTCCTTTGAGATGCAACAAGGCTTCAATAGCCATACCAAGGAGCTAATCCGGTCATTCCCCGTGAGCTTGGTGTTGAAAAAGGACTTCTGAGAGTCGATGATTTGCTGACCGGCCCTCCTCCGCAATATTTCCCCATGTTACTCCATATTCTTTGCCCTCCAACCTCAATTTCCTACCCCAAAGGGTGGCAGGGATTCCGGGAACAGTTCCTGAGAATGGATGCCATTAACCGCCATGGTGTATATCCATTACAGCTTTGGCTCTCAACAAGGGGCTTGAGCTGCTCCTGGTCGACTGCTTCTTTACTCCTCAATCCGCAGCAGTCGAAGATTCGACTTCCTGAGCAGGTACTTCTATCGTCGGACCAGACTATTCGCACGATCTGCGACGTCCTGTCTTCAATATGGTTGGAAGTGCTCCTGTTTCTGCCAACCCGCTCAAGCTCGACGTGCTAAGTCACGCCAAATGTCTCGCCGTATGCGTCGTGGCTACTATGTCCACGTTCCAGTATGGCCTTGACTATGCCCTTGTCGGCGGATTCCTCTCAATGCCTGGCTTCCTCAAGGTCTTCGGTTATTACTCGGAGGAGCTTGGCAAATGGAATATTGACCCTACCGTCCAGCAATTGATATCTTCATTGGTGACGATAGGCACTTTTGTTTCATCGCTGCTGGTCGGACCTTTCAGCGCGAAATTCGGGAGAAGACAGGGCCTTTGGGCGGCTACGCTTCTCAATTTCGTGGCTACCGGCATTCAGCTTGGAACAAAAAGCAAAGCAGCTCTCTATGTTGCCCGTCTTATGTTGGGTGGGCCTCAAGACTTGTTTCTTTCCAGTATCTTCCGCTGACTATCTCTGAGGTGTCTCCGTCGGCTGGTTTCTTACATTCGCGCAGCTCTACATCCATGAAACGGCACCGGCACATCTGCGTGGCATCGCTTTTGCCTTGTACCAGGTTATGCTTTCGATAGGGTCCATCGTTGGCGCCTGCGTTGACTTTGGAACGCATACCATGACAGGCCGGAATGCATATCAAATCCCCCTGGCAATCTTCTTCGTGGCCCCAACTATCCAGTCCATCCTTCTCTTCCTCTTCGCCCCTGAGTCCCCAAGGTGGCTCATGGTCCAACGCAAGGAAGATGCCGCGGAGGCGGCATTGCGCAAACTTCGAAACTCGAATATCAACGAACTAGAGTTCCAGGCAGAGTTGAATGAGATCCGACAGTCAACGCGCGAGCAACTGGAGCAGAACAAGAAAGCTCTGTTCTTGGAGATGTGGCGAGGCACGAACTTACGTCGAACTCTACTCTCGATCGCTGTCGTTTGTTTTCATTCGGCCAATGGGTAACCGCACCACTTATTAATACCTTGGGCATGGCTAAACCTAGTATAGATCAAGTTGGAGCACGATATACACCACGTTCTATCTTCAGGTGGCTGGTGTTAAGGACCCTTTCGCCTACTCTGTCCTGGTCACCTGCACTGGCTTGATTGGTGTGCTGACCAGCATCTTCTTCGTGCGACTGATCGACCGACGCCTTGTGTTGTTGATCGGCATCACAGCCTGTGCAATTTGCCAGCTTGTCCCTGCGATTGCGTGGAGCGCGAGTCCCGGTACTGAATCGACAGGAAAAGTGGTTGTCGCTTTTATTGCCCTCTTCACGTTCTTCTATGTCGCTTATGGTGTGTATCTAACATTGAAGTTGGTCTCGAGCAAAACTGACAGCCATCTAGCTCCCTACGCTTGGCTCCTCGGGGGCGAATACGTCAACAATCAACTCCGCTCCTTCACGTTCGGTCTGGCCACCGCAATGAACTTTCTGGGCAACTGGGCAGGGACTTTCTCTGCTCCTTACTTCATAAATCCTGCAAAATTTAATTGGAGTGCCAAGTACGGATACATCTGGTTCGGAAGCAATATGGTTTGTGTCGTCTTCACTTATTTCTTCTTGCCCGAGACACGAGACCGTACATTGGAGGAGATCCACGAGATGTTCGAGGCGAGGTTGCCAGCAAGGAAATTTAAAGGTTATGTCTGCACTGGAGTGGAAAGTTATGCTGCCGAAGCCATGGGCAAAGATTTGACCGAGACGAAGCACATTGGGCACACAACACACGTGGAGGAGTTGCGAGACGTTCAGGCTTGACCGGTGCACGCCACATTCCTCACATTGGCCAGGATGAGGAGCCAGTGCTGCCTGCAATGGCACTTGTAGCAAACAGATTATGAGGATGGGACATCCCTTTGATTTGCTTACCATGGTCTGAGACAGAACACATGCTTTCTCTACCATGGAGCATAAGAATGCTCAGGAACGACGAGGTGATCGGTACGAGAGAGATATACAGTATGAAGAGCAGCTATGGGAGAGCAGAAATAGCCAGGTCTAGGTAGAATACAGTTCCACGTGGGGATGATTTGTTGTCAAAGGTGAATCGCTTCTGCTTCGCCGTTATGGTACCTTCTGTAAAGTTGAGGTCGGCTCGGCTCGTTAAGTTGCCGTTCCCCGCCTTAGGAGTTCGCTGCGGAGAAATACAAAGCTTCCGCCAATCATTTGTCTTGCCCTTCAAATTTGACCGCAATTCCCGCGCTCTCACTCTTGACAGCAGACAACACGGTCGTCTCGTACATCTACATTGCTCCTCGGCCCGAGTTTGACGCCTCTCCTGCCAAATGCCTCTCGACACAATCTCAACTTACTCGCAAACGCTGCTCAGACAGGATGGCAGACGATGGAATGAACTGCGGCGCATCACCGCTTCAATTTCAACCCAACCTTCCAGTGATGGGTCCAGCATCCTCACCATGGGCAACACGGTGGTCCTCTGTACCGTGACGGGACCAAGAGAAGGGTACGATTGAACCGTCCTGCAAAGGATAATCTCTGCCGAAGCGAGCATAAGGCTAACGTATATCTACTCAAAGACGAGGCCAACGTGACAATAACAATGCCCTCGTCGAGACCGATTTGAATGTCGCCCCCTTTGCGTCGATGGACCGGCGCCGGCGAACCCGTACCGACAAGCAAATCCAAGAACTCCAATCCACAATTTCCTCGTCATTCCAATCCCATTTGTTCACGCATTTGTATCCGCGCTCCCTCATCACCATCTCCTTGCACGTCTTGAGCCTTGATGGAGGGCTGCTGGCCGCATGCTTGAATGCTGCAAGCCTAGCGTTGGTCGACGCTGGTGTGCCCATGCCGAGCATCCTCACCGCCGTGAGCTGCGGGCTCATCGTCTCGACCGACGATTCCAAGGCAAGAGCGGAGCCGTTATTGGATTTGAACAATGCAGAAGAGCAAGAGCTGGCATTTCTTACAATGGCTACAGTCTCCAATGGCGAGAAGCAGGAAGATCAGGTGTCGGTGTTGATGATGGAATCGCGAGTCGAGATTGCCGCTGGCAGTGGTAAGGTGGAGGCTATGCTGGCAACCGGCGTGGATGGCTGCAAGGAGGTGAGGAGGAAGATGGAGGATGTGGTCAGGAAGCATGGCGCTAAGGTCATGATGAGTCGGAGGTGATGTTGCATGGCAAACCGACACATGCAGCGACCGATGATATGGACCCCAAACCCTCGCCTTTCCTTGAGGTGGACTTCAAAACGCCCACTCGCCATGATCAGACACCACCCGGAATCAAAGTCTACGAGTCCTAATGATTGGATCATTTGGACGTTCGATACGCGGGCTGTGGCCTCAGCGAGTCCATCCTCGAGGATCACAGTCGCGTGAGTACGATAGGAACGAAAAGCATATGGGCCGCTTCAGTGAGAACGCCTTGGATTGTGTGTTCTACCCTGCGTGGTAGAGATTGCAGGAGCATACAGAAGGCAAACACGAAAATGGCGTTCCAGGTCCTCGTCCATCCAAAGCACTGCGTCGGACCTGTGCTCCAACCTGATCAGATTTCCTACCCCTCCACTCTTCCTTCGACCTTCCGGATGATGTCTACCAACGCATCATTTCCCTCGTCAAGCAGGTCCTTCAGCTCTCTCAAAAGGCCCCCCCGCTCTATCGCGCGATTCTGTATGAGTTGTGTCAACCTTGTCATTGTCTGCTGCAAAGCAAGCAGCTCCATGTTGTCGCGAAGCCACGGTGATGTCTGTGATCGAATCGGGCCAAAGTTCTCGCTAGTCTATGACAGTATCAGTTATTGTGGAGAGAACAAATTTGGACCATGCAGGTACATTACGTGTCTATGGAATGTTCGGAGTGGCACAACTCGCCTTTTGGTCTTCCCTGTTTGCACTGTTGTTGCCAGCATCCTTGAGGTAGGCGACGACGCCCTTGATTGTCTTTGCTAATGGACTATCTTTGATCTGACCCTTTGACAAGTTGTCGAAGTATCGTTGCGGGATAAGCTTATGCACTTCATTTCGTGCACTGTTTTCCCCGCCGCGGCGGATTTGCGCGTAAGATGCCTCTTGTGTCTTGGGAGCGATGCCAGGCCGGGAAAATGGAGCGTATCTCGACTGCTGGTACCGTCGGTTCGTGCATCTCGCGATTGTCGAAAAGAAATAGGCACAGCTGAGGCGGTGCCCATATTTATATATACGGAAAAGGGGACAGCAGCTTCGAAGAAGAGCTAGCCCCATCAGCACTGATAGAACTTCACATAATGATCCAGCCCATGTCAAGCCGTAACAATTGGCCAGCATCTCATTGTCCAGGGACGTTGATAATGACGTTAGGGCCTCGGCCTTATTTATCCTTACCTGGCCGGGGACTGATCCTGTGACATGGTGCCTGTTCGCCCTGTTTAGCGCTAGGATGCTACCACTGCTGGCATATTCAGGTGACGAACGAATTGAACCCCGGGCAACCCCAAGTGATGTTGCCATGGTCGGATAGAGTTCACCATCCTGAAACCGGTGCAATCAGAAGAGCAAAATGTGTAAGGTCGTCTTGAGTTTCCCGGCGTTTTGACCCGAGCATCAAGAAAATGTGAAGACCCTTGGATGGGGCAAAGACCGAGAGACTTATACTTCATCGCACCCTTCTGTGCCTAACAATACTTTGCCGAAAAGTCGTCTGGGTTTGTGCGGTGGCCTTTCCACTAGCCACCGGGTTTGAATTCAAAAAGAGGCCGCACCACGCGGGCTTCAGAAGGTTCATTAGGAGTCGTGATGAAGCATTGATAAGTCCAAAACACTCAAAGAGACCGCCTCCTTTCAAGAACATATACAATCACCTTTTCGTCAAGCACTGATACTACCCAGGCAGGAGTAATGGATGACATGATCCCTTTGTTCGTGACGTGCCTAGCTGAAAGGAACTACCTCCGATGACAAGAATAGGGACTATGAGCCCTGCCGCTGGTCATTAGTACAAACATGAGATTGGTTGATGGGCAGGACTGGGACTCCAACTGAACAGCGTGATGGTGCGAAATTGGAAGAAGACAATCTGCGAAAAAGTGTCACATAGAGTCCTCAGCATCTCAAGGGCAACAGTTTGTTCCGAATCAGCAGATCTCAAGTCTGGCGCGGGGAGATGGATGAGCGTTGCAGCCACAACAAAATGCGTGGCAGCTGGGCAGTGCGCAGCTGTGCGTAAGACAGATCGGTGCCACAGAAGGAACCTCTCATGCAGGTACGGATTCTCTCCCGCGCGTCATGGCGAATTGTTCTTCTTCGAGAGACAGGATAATTAGAGATGCCGAATCGGCCCACACAGATGGAAGCTTGCATTTGATTGATTTCCTGCGCCTTCCCACCCTCGAATCAGAGCCATTGGCCTTGGTAGCTGTGGCGGTGGAAACTATTGAGGCGGCCCAATCATGCTGGTAGGCATCGGAGAGCGTGTGGGCCCCTTAACAACCCCCCCAAAACCCCCAATCCCAGACTGGCAGGCAGGAAATAGTCGCCAGTGGGCCGTGGGAAGCCCCCCGAACAAACCTGCTGGAAATTTTGTGAGCAAGACACCATCACGGCTTCAATGCCCCATGACCGGACCCGTATCTACCTATGCATCTCTCCTTGGACTCTTCCTCCTGATCCCGCATATCTTTCTGTTAAACCTTCATTCGTTGCCGAGTGGCCTGTTGTTACCCTCGCTTGCACGCCTCGAAACACTCCAAAACTGCAGTCTCGACTACAATTGGTATGTGGCCGCCTCCTTGATATTGCTCTCCTTGACCGCCACTTGAGGGTTCGACCTTTCTTTGGCCCTTGTTTTTATTTCGGGCAGCTCACAAAGTGACATCAAGGAATTGTGCGGCGCTCCCGAGCATGGAAAGATACCCGTAAATGTCGACATCGCTCCCTCGTCCCTCCTCCTTGTCGCTGCCTCGGACCACCCATCCTTTCCTCCTCAAAATGCGAGGCTCCCATCTCCTCCCTAAGCAGCTTCGCTCCCTGGGTCAAACCGACAGCTGGTTAAATCGCACTGTCACCTCCAACCTCCTTGCTGTCTCCAACCTTGCCTGCCAACATCCGATCCACACTGTTGTCGCAATCGCGTTGTTCGCCAGCACCTCCTACGTCGGTCTGCTGCAAGAGAGCTTGTTCGACAGTGGCATTAAATCCTTGCAGCACAATGGAAGAGTAGATGTGGAAGCACTGCTACAAGGAAGCAGAACATTAGAATTATCTGAGAGAACAGCATGGAAATGGCAATTCCCTGATGATTCAAGCATCCCCCTTGCGCCCTTGGTACGTTTATCCAGATCAAGTGCGACATTGAGATACTGGCAGTGCTGATATTGCGTACGGCAGGGCTCAAACCATTATGCTTTGACAACCTTTGTGTTCCCAGACTCTTCTTCGTCTCAGCTGGCTCCCGAAGCCAATGCTGTTCCGGTACCGCAAAATGTCACGGCCACCAGTATCCCTACCACATCGAACTTACTCTCACCGATATCGCACGACACTTCCTTGGCCTTCTACACCTCCTTCTCGGAGCTTCCTGATTTCCTCCGGGCCGTTCAAGAGCTTCCCGCACATGAATTGCCGGACGATCAAAGTCGTCCGTCTTGGACTATGAAGGCTGTTCGTCTGAACGGAAATGGTCCACGTGGTGCCTACCGGACTTGGCTGAGCGAAGGGTGGTCGTCTTTCGTTGATTTGCTGAAACACGCCGAAACACTGGACATTATCATCATGTCGCTTGGTTATCTGTCCATGCACCTCACCTTTATATCCCTTTTTCTCTCCATGAAACGTCTGGGTTCGAACGCCTGGTTGGCTGTTTCGGTCTTATTTTCCAGTCTTTTCGCGTTTCTGTTCGGGTTGGTGACTACAACCAAGCTCGGAGTGCCAATCAATATGGTTTTACTGTCAGAAGGGTTGCCGTTTCTGGTGGTGACGATTGGGTTTGAAAAGTCCATCATTCTGACAAAGGCCGTACTCTCCGCTTCCTATGACAAGAATCGGCGAGGCTTGGAGAACGAAGCAGCGAATGGTAGTGGCAGTGGCCCGATGGCAGCTCCGGCCATCCCGAGCTCCATCCAGGATGCCATTCAGATCGCTGTCAAGGACACAGGGTTCGAGATCGTTCGGGATTACGCCATCGAAATTGCTATTCTCATTCTGGGTGCTGCTTCGGGGATCCAGGGCGGGCTCAGACAATTTTGCTTCTTGGCTGCATGGATCTTGGTTTTTGACTGCCTTCTGCTTTTCACTTTTTACACGACAATTCTCTGCATCAAGCTGGAGATCAATCGGATCAAACGGCACGTGGCTCTGCGCAAAGCACTCGAGGAAGATGGGATAAACCAACGTGTCGCTGAAGACGTTGCGACAAACAACGACTGGCCTAATGGGCAGACAAACCAGGCTGGTGCCTTCAACATTTTCGGGCAGAAAATAAAGGCCAGCAGTGTGCCTAAGTTCAAGATCTGGATGGTTACGGGCTTCGTCATCATCAACGTGATTAACTTGTGCACAATACCTTTCCGGACCGCGCGAAGCATCAAAGCGCCTGGGGCTGCTATTCCGAGCGTTTTGACACCTGCTCCCATCGATCCTTTCAAAGTGGCGGAAAATGGCTTGGACGCAATATACGTGGCCGCAAAGAGTCAGAAGCTCGATACCTACGTCACCGTTCTCCCACCGATCAAATACGAACTCGACTATCCTTCAGTTGATCACTCCGAATCGGCAGATGATCTTGGGTTCTTTGACTCCGAATACACGGATCAGTTCCTCAACGTGGTCGGCGGAAGAGTGATCGAAGGCGTCCTGAGCAGCCTCGAAGATCCCGTGCTTAGCAAATGGGTCTTGATCGCGCTCACCCTCAGCCTGATCCTGAACGGTTATCTCTTCAATGCTGCCCGTTGGAGTCTCAAAGAACCGCAATCTGCAACAAGTTCACCTGCTGCGTCCAAACCCCCGCAACTGGAATTGCCCTCAACGCCCAAACCTCGAAAGGCCAGCCTCGATGTCCCACAGAATTCGGGGGGATCGCGAGCCGAGTGCGAGCAGATGCTCAAGGACAAGAAAGCTGCCTTCCTCACAGATGAGGAATTGATTGACTTGTCTCTGAGAGGCAAGATTCCCGGTTATGCCATTGAGAAGACGCTGGAAAACCCCGAGCTCATGACTAGAGGCGAAGCATTCGTTCGGGCAGTCAAGGTTCGCAGAGCAGTTGTGTCGAGGACGCCGGCGACGAAGAATTTTGCGTCTGCGCTTGAGGCCTCCAAGACTCCATACCGTGACTACAACTACGAGCTCGTCCATGGGGCATGTTGTGAAAATGTCATTGGATACTTGCCTCTTCCTCTGGGGGTTGCCGGCCCCTTGGTCATTGATGGTCAGAGCTACTTTTTACCGATGGCCACTACTGAAGGTGTGCTCGTGGCAAGCACTAGCCGTGGGTGTAAAGCCATCAATGCAGGTGGCGGTGCCGTCACCGTTGTCACTGGCGATGGAATGACTCGAGGCCCATGTGTTGGCTTCCCCACCCTGGCTAGAGCCGGCCAAGCGAAAGTGTGGCTTGACTCGGAAGAGGGCTACCGGAGAATGCGCGAGGCGTTCAATTCTACCAGCCGATTTGCTCGGCTGCAATCGATGAAGACTGCTTTGGCGGGCACGTATCTCTACATCAGATTCAAGACGACCACCGGTGATGCAATGGGCATGAATATGATATCAAAAGGCGTTGAAAAGGCACTTTCAGTTATGGCCACAGATTGCGGGTTCGATGACATGACGACGATATCCGTGTCTGGGAATTTCTGCACCGACAAGAAACCTGCAGCAGTAAACTGGATTGACGGAAGAGGTAAAGCCGTGGTTGCAGAGGCTATCATCCCCGGGGATGTGGTACGCAATGTGCTCAAGAGTGACGTAGATGCACTTGTGGAGCTCAACGTGTCCAAAAATCTCATCGGCAGTGCGATGGCAGGCAGTATCGGTGGGTTCAATGCACACGCCTCCAATATTGTGACAGCTATGTTTCTCGCCACGGGTCAGGACCCAGCTCAGAATGTTGAGAGTGCCAACTGCATCACCATTATGAAGAAGTAAGTTGACCATGATAGGAACTAGAGGACCCCTATTGATCTTTGGCAGCACCAACGGAAACCTCCAAATCAGTGTATCGATGCCTTCGATTGAAGTAGGCACCATCGGAGGAGGAACCATTCTCGAAGCACAGTCTTCCATGCTCGAAATGCTTGGGGTACGAGGAGCCCACCCAACAAATCCAGGTGACAATGCCCGAAAACTGGCCAGAATTATTGCTGCTGGGGTCCTCGCTGGAGAGCTCAGTCTTTGCAGCGCCCTCGCGGCAGGCCACCTGGTTCGGGCACACATGGCACACAACCGCAGTACGGCACCCACGCGAGCAACGACGCCAGTGTCAGCCGCAGTTGAGCCTTTTCTGCGAGCGCAAAATGGTCCATCTATACCTCCATCCCTCAAAATGACGAACGGAAGATGAAGCTTGCTGAGTTGAAACCAGGTGTAAAAATGAACAATCCTGTATATATTGGCTATCCACCCATCAGGCGTTGTGAGGTGATGGTCCTGGCCTACTGTGACCGGGAACTCGATGTTCACAATGATCAACGACGACGGCAGAGATATAATGGCCGAATACCCGGCGCCAGGGAGAACAAGGAGAAGAACTGAGCTACAGTGGGAGCCTTGTACAACATGTGAAGTACACAAAATAGAGCACGCAAGAGCAATCGTCACTACGGTGCTGTGGACCAACGTCGAAAGTGCAGCCCCCAACCCCCTCCTGACGACGATCAAAGAGTCTGGGTACTCCCTCGCCGTGAAGCGAGTGGAGCACTTTTTAAACTTTTCGATCAGTCCTTTGTGGCGCCCTTGGCGGGCGCGCAGGGCGGCAAGACGGCGTTCCTGGGCGGGTTGTTTGTGGTTCAAATGGCGTCTGTGGTTCCTGAAGGAAAATCCAGAAGGTGGAGGGTGGAACCGGCCACTGTCCACTTACAAGACACCAGGGTTTGACTTTCTGGATGGTGGAGATTCTTCTAGTGCGCCCGGACGGTGGATAATATGTCGTGGTACTGGAGAGTAAGGGGTTGGGAAAATGGCAAGGAATCGATGCTCATGTGTTCTGCATAAGAGAGAGAAGAAGCCAGAGACACATAATGAATTTTGATGCAATGCCGGCAGCGGTGGTGTAGACGGTTGATTCACGTATGTACGAGTAGGGAGGTAGACAATGAATGGTGTAACAGCGATCTCACATGTGATTCACCTAGATACCCAAGGTACGCAGTAGTAGGTGGATGGGAGAGACAAGATGGCATTGGGACAATGAATGGCAGGGCCGGGCGCCTCTTCAATAATTAATTGGCACCAAATAATAATAATCCTAAGAACACTCCGGTCCAAGCAGGCGCCTTCCAGTCCGATTCCCTAGTCAGGACTGCCTTTTCAACCACGCGATACACTATTGTTCCACCACCACTCAACGCCTGCGCACAACTTTCCCTCTTTTTGTCATCCCGTCTTCACCATCCCGACCACGCTTCCAACCCTCTCGCTCGCTCGTTAATTCCTCTACCACGCTCGTTTACTCACTCACATTGCCGTCTGCTGGACAGTCTGGATCATCTTTTTGAGGCTACTGAATCCCTGAGTGCATCAATTCCAGTCGCGCCTGCGCATTGGCCATTTGCCCTCGTCCGCTCCTTGACCCGCTACATCCTCCGACGATTCCTGCTTCACATACCTAGTCCCCGTCCAAGTGGCGCGGATTGGTCCAAAAGAAACAAAGAGGACATCTTTTCTCACCGAGCGCCCCCTCAACATTCCGATCAAACAACTGAAGTGGATGAGCTCGCAACATGCAAGCTACGATGCCGCCGCTTTCGAGAGGCCCTGAACTGTCACCCGTCTCTACGACGAGCGAATGGTCTGGTGTCAACAATTACAACCAACTGCCCCGAAATGACGGACCCTTCGCAGTAAAGCCGACTGACGAGTTCTTGCTCTCCAAACCTCAGCCCTCGATGCGCCCTCCCCCAAATGCCGGGATGAACTTCACTCCTCCGTCGTTGGACGCCATGGGACAGCGTCGTCCGTCCGAATCTGGCTCGCGAGGGTCGTCACGCGCCGGTTCTATCGCCAATTCCCGGTCCAGCGATGGCACCATCTCGGACGAACAAAGCAGAAAATATCGGAGAATGGAGGCAGAGCTGTTTCAGCACTATACAATCCTGAAGGGTTTTCTCAAGGGTGGTTCTCAGGCTCCTCCACGCCCTAACAAGGCTCGGGATAAGCTCCTACGACTTTCACCCGTGCAGTTCCACGAACTAAGCACCGATGTCTTCGACGAGTTACAACGGAGACAAGCCTCAGCCCCCCTTCCTGGACGCCCACCCCGCCAACAAAACATTCCCCCCTTTCTTCAACCGAGACCCGATTTCCACGAAAAGAGAAACCAGGCCAGGCAGAAGCTCTCGTCGTTGCAGACACCTCGGTTTCGCGACTTGTCAACTGACGTCTTTTGCGAGTTGGAGCGCAGATTCCCGCAGTTTGCGAGACCCGACGGGGGGAGAAGAGACAGCGCCCGTTCACAATCCAGAGGTCCCACCGCCTCGTCCAGAGATGGCCCTCCAGTACCCAATGGCTTTGGTGCGCCGCCCAGAACCCAGTCCTTCGGTTCCTCGGGTGCACCGAATTATCCTCAGAGACAAGAGTCGGTATCTAGTCTCCCTCAGTTTGAGAATCTCCCCCCACCCAGCGACTATGGCCGACCAATGGCGAGACAATTTCAGAGCAACACCATCACGCCCAATAAAAGTATGATGGTCGAGGACGAGGACGATTCCCAGACCACAGACACGAAATACGATCGATCTAGTGATGCGTTTGGGCTCGAAAGCTCTCTTACTAGCCCAAGGAGCGATAGGGATACATCTGCGACATCGCAAAGTCTTGCTAGCGTGAACTATCCCAAGCCGAATCTGCCGAGCCTTGCGGAATTGCAAGAAAAGGTCTCTGATTTAGAAACAAACCTTGAATCAAAGGATGAGGAATTGCGCCAGATTAAAAGACAAAACGAAGAATGGGTCATTACGAAACAGGATCTAGAGAAGAAACTTGAAGAGGCAGAAAGCTTGAACAGGTCACTCAAGGAGGAGATCGAAAAGCTCAGAGCCGAAACACCACATTACAGCGGTGAGAATGTGCTTTGGAAGACCAAATTCCTCAAGTTGGATCAGGACCATGGGTTTCTACGAGAACAACTGACGCAACAGCAGCAGCTGACAGAGGAAGTTAGCAGACAAGGTCAGGCATACCTCGAAGAGATGAGGGCGATGGCGGAATCAGGCGGAGGCAGCCTTGAACGAGAAGAAAAGCTGCAGGTCGATGTCCAGAAACTCGAAGAGGAAGTAAAGAATTGGAAAGCCCGTTATGTGAAGGCCAAAGCACAACTTCGCAGTGTCCGCGCTAGCTCGCTGGGGCTCAACATTGCCCGACCCGATGCGAGCCAACACGCCATGGCTCTGCAGGACAGGGAAGGACTGGTCAAAGATGTTCATGTCACCAAATTTCAGATCGCGATTGATGAGCTACTTCAAATTGCCAGGTCTGACAGTCCATCAGCTGTACTTGACCACATGAAAACGGTGGTGTTGGCAGTGCGCGGGATCACGTCAGACATTGATGCTGGGTCATCGACAGAAAAGGACGACGAAATGGCCAAGCGACGGGCCAAGCTCAAGACCAAGGTCTCGGCTACAGCGAACAACTTGATCACAGCTTCGAAGAATTTCGCTTCAGCTAGTGGGCTCTCGCCACTGAGTCTTTTGGATGCTGCCGCTTCACATTTGACGGCAGCCGTTGTTGACCTCCTTCACACTGTCAAGATTCGCCCTACACCCGCCGGGGAATTGGAAGATGATGATGAACCGACATTGGAACCGCTGCAGAGCAACGGATATTTTAATATCGCTGAGACATTGAGAAGGCGGAGCGAAGTCGAGAGCATCTATAGCGCCCTCAGTACCCCATCGGCAACGCGAAATGTCTCGAATCGAGCCGGTTCAGGCCTTCTTCAACGCGGTGGTTCAACCTACGTGAACGGTACCGGACTCGGCATCAAATCGGACTATGGGACCACTCAAGAGGAAGCTGATCTTGAGGATCTCAAGGTAAGTGCGAGTGTAGACAGGGACGACTGGCGATGCTGACCCAGAGTGCACAGATGTACCTTGAAGATCAGACTGATGGATTAGTCCAATCCATCACCTCCCTGGTTGATACCATTCGGCAAGACGAGGCCATGGCCACGATCCGAAATCATATGACGACCATTTCTGCCACGATTGAAAACATTGTCAACTCAGTGGACAGGACTGGGAACGAGCCATCCTCATACCAGGGCACCTTAAGAGAGAAATCAAGTCCGATCGTGTCGATTTTACGAGACTGTCGAGAGCAGGTGTTGCAGGCAAGCAATGAGCCTCCGGAAGACAAAGAATTTTTGCAGCAACTTCCTCCCCTTGCCTTTAAGATCGCGCGGGAAACCAAGGAATTGGTATCTAGAGTTATGGCGATTGAAGCTGGTCCGGTCAAAGGCGGCGAGGATGATTTCAGCTGACCGCTCCTACGCGTAGTACGGCGAGGGGACATCGACCTGCAGATAGATAGTGATGTATCATCAGGCACGCTGCCAGATAGTAATGGAATGCATTGTCCGGACCGAGATGTCTGAGGATAATCAACCTGAAGACCCCCCTTTTTTCCCTCATGTCCAGTCGGTTGTGTTGATTGGTTAGACAGAGGATAAATTTTCCTGCCAGTGGGTATCCAAAGAGGCGTAGCCAGCCAGCTAAGCAGCCCCCAGTACGGTGTAGTAAAGGGGTATTTCAGTGATTATCTTCCCATCAGCAAGCTCTCAGCTTGATCTCCAACTGGACGTACAAGCTCATCCTGTCGGCATCTTATTGTACAATACTTTGTGTATCAATAATTCGGCACTCCCGGAGGGATAGCATTTCTTGCTGACGGACAGACCTTTGATTCACTCGGTCGTGCGGATTGAACATTTGCCAGGTCAATATTCTAGCTCTTGCTCACAAGAGCTGTGGTAGCCCATACTCAGTCACTACCGCAGACTTCTTCATTCACTTGTTGGGCATTGTTTCCGTCGTCGTCGTTACATTGAACGTCCGTCGTGGGAAGACAAGGAAGTCAGAGCGACCAGCCGGTGAGTGTCACAGCACGTCACCACCCAGCCTGGGTTGGAGATGATGGCCTTCGCTTGAACATGTGCAGCGGGTGAGGGTGGGCTGACTGAATGATTTTTTGTGCAGCTTTTTTTGCCTTTGCCACAATCACGTGCAGCTTCCACCAACATTGCCACAGCACTTTTACCGAGTAGCAGGCCCCCATTTCCATCCTTTAGACACTCCTCCCACCCTCCGGGTACCGTCCAACGCTGCACCACTGGCAGTGACTGGCACCAACCGCACCACGCAGCCGCAGATCACCCCTCATTGGAAAAACAGCCATGTCGCTCCCCCGCCATGCTGTCAGTTCCTTCAAATTTCGACACACTTTATTAACCCCGCCATCCTCATCTTCCTTTCGTCTTCAACAGCATCTCTCAGTTCGCCTTCCATCCTCACCCACCTCGTTTGCCAGACTCTTCTCCTCATCCTCTGCAGCCATGGGTATGACCGCTTGGTTCGAGGTCGAGTGGACCGACGCGCCGCTCGACAAAGCTAGAGCTGATGCCAAACGCGCTGGAAAGCCAGTTCCTCCTCGTAAGTACCTTTTGCCGTTCACTACTTTACTCTCTTCGCTCCAACGATCGCCCTGCTGCTCGTCATCACCGTGGACGTCTTCCGTCTCAACTGCCTGTTTGATCAGATTGTTGGCTAACTGGTTGCTGTCATCTCCAGCTCACCGAGGTAGGATCAACTTCAACCTCTACGACGATGTAGTGCCCAAGACCGCCGAGAACTTCCGTGCCCTCTGCACCGGCGAGAAGGGCTTTGGTTACAAGGGCAGCTCCTTCCATCGAATCATCCCTCAATTCATGTTGCAAGGTGGTGATTTCACTCGTGGCAATGTCAGTCGCTCCTCAAAGACGGTGGAACGGCGGACATTTTTACTGACGAGCACAGGGCACTGGCGGCAAGTCCATCTACGGTGAGAAGTTCGCGGACGAGAACTTCAAGAGAGCTCACACGAAGCCGGGCATCTTGTCTATGGCCAATGCTGGTCCCAACACGTAAGGACGCCCGCTGTTTTTGCCTGTTTCCGTGCCTTGGGTCAAATGTGATACTGACATGACTGGCTTTCGACAGTAACGGCTCTCAATTCTTCATCACCACCGTTGTCACTTCGTGGCTGGATGGCAAGCACGTTGTCTTCGGTGAGGTTGCCGACGCAGCGAGCTTGGAGATCGTCAAGAAGCTCGAGGGGACTGGTTCTGGGTCTGGTCAAGTTAAACATGAGGTCAAGCCCACCATTGTCGACTGCGGTGCCTCCTAGAATACTACCACATCCGTGGTCTTGGAAGGGCACACTCTAGTCTAAGAGCGCAGTTTGCAGGAGGCCAAAAGTGTCAAGAGTCCAAATTCCAACAAGCATGAGCAGATCATGTCTACAAGAACGTGCTTTGCCACCGACAGCTACAGCGCCAGCATAAGTAGTAGGCAAATGAAAAGTTGATCACCTCCATCTTCATCCCAGCTATGTATACTTTCTCAGAGTCTTCTTTCTCGTCTTCCTGACGGAGGCTCTCCGAGGGCTTGTCACAAACTAGTGCCTGTTTGCCTGCGCCTTTACTATCCACTATTCTCACAATAGCCAGGGCTGTCGTTCCTCGCCCACTTTCAGATGACACAGCTCACTAGAATCCAAGTTGCCTACCCTTTGGAAGAGAGTCATGTCCCGGGCTCTCAACGGATGTGGGAAATTGGCAATGTGGATTCAAGTTCGGTTCGGATGCATGTAGATTCATTATGAGTCCTTGATTCCCTCTCCCTGTCCTAACAAAACCCCAGTTCCTTGGTTGTCTAAGTCCTGGCCCTGGAGGCTACTGTACATAAGTGTGATTTCATCAATAAAGCCATCATATCATACTACATCGAATCTGTTTGTCTTCTTTGCCACGTCGTGGCAGCCTCTTCTTCCTCGGTTAGTTACTGTAATTATTAGTCCGTGTTTTTGATTTGTGACGAAAGCGGACGGGAGGCCTGTAGAAATCGGTGCTTCGGGGGATCTCACTGCCTGTCGAGGAGAGAGACAATATTGAGATCGGCCATACTTTCCATTTTCTTTAGCAGAAGGGGACTTTGAGAATATTCCCTACAGGCTGGCCTCATTCGACCTGACAGAGCCAAGGTGGAGGGAGGAATTTGCATTTCGAGAGATTGGGGTCCGCCCACGAAAGAACTATTCGAGACATTCATTCATTGAGCCCAAGTACATGATGGGACCCCCTTGTACAGCAGCAGCAGATTATTATATGTTACATGTCGTCCTATAAACCATAGAAGGAGGTTCCCCAGCTAGGCCCGTTCTGAAAGGGAGTTACACGGTCGCCGCGCGCCAGTCCAGCACTGCCTTCGGCAACGACGCCGTACCGGACACGCAACCGCGACAAGGCGTCGCGGGTAGTGGCCGACTTCCTCGCCTCATTGACGACGGACTTGATGTCCTCGGTCTGGCTGTTGACGACGATCTCGCTCGTGGTGCCCCGGCGCACGTGAGCCAGGTTCGCCTCGGCGTGCATGAAGCCACTTAGCCCGGCTACTAGCACGATGCTGACCAGCACCAGCGCTGGGGGAAGGAACAGGAGCCAGCTTCGGCTCGCGTCTAGACGCAGCATGGGCAGTCTTGACTCTAAAATGCCGCTCTCGTTGGGGAAGTGCCGCATGATGGTTATGGCCATGGCGCCCGAGCCGACCTCGATAAAGTTGCGCAGCATCTTCTGCGACCAGTTGTACGAGGTGGGACTGGTCGACACGCTGGTCCACGCCACGGGCAAGGCGGCCGTCAGGTTCCCCAGCTGCGCGGGCGCCAGCACCCCCGGGTCCGTGAACGTCGGGTAGAACATGGGCTGGGTGCCGTAGATGCTCACGCCGTAGACCTCCACGGCGGCAGCGAGCCAGACCGAGATGCAGCCGGCGCACGGCTGGGCCAGGCTCTCGAGTTTGGAGAGTGTCATGCTTGGCGGCGGGCACTTGGACTGGTCCTTCCACGTGCAGACGACGCTGTCCTGGAGCTCCACGTCGATGTCACACGCCAGGGACGAGACACCCTCGACGTATCCCAGCTCCAACATGACCTCAGTTGGCCCGTTCTTGTAGCCGCCCTCGATCGTGCCGTTGATGGCGACAAACACCATTGTCGTGACCGCCCTCGTGTCGCTGAGATTCCTCCACCGGTCCACCCATAACGATAGCTGGGGCTGTTGCCGGATCCACAGATCCGTGGCTGACATGTTAGCCTGAACGGTGAACATGTCGGCGTACTCCGAGGTGATATTGATGGGCGTGGCTGAGCACGAGATGATGGTGTGCTTTTCGATGGCGTACGCAGAGAACGCCCCCACCCTGGACAGGTTGGCGCGGTCAATTATGAAGTTGCGTTGGTCGGGCATAGGCTCGCTGCTCAGGCCGTTGGCCCAGGATGTATAAACCGACACGGCGTCTCCAGCTGCGCCGGGGAGTAACCCCGGAGGGTTCATCTGGAAGCCATCGAAGGGAAGACCCATGCCACCGCCGTCCGAATGATTGCTGTAGTACGTCGTGGTGACATTCGTGGTCGAGTACGCATGTCCGACGAAGATGGAGTTGGCCAACTGGAGAAGTGCAATGACTGTTGCGGTGAACAGGACTGCCAGTGGACCGAGCCCTCGAGCATGCCACAACGCCCGTGGCGAGGCCGTGAGGGATCCCCGCGTCAAGGCCAGATAGTGGTCCATGTCGCTCATCGAGAAGGTCTTTTGCGTTAGAGCGGGCCAGAGTGTCGTCTCTGCCACCTGAAAGGTCGCATAAGCCATCATAGCCACCGACGCGGTGTAGACGGCGGTGATGATCCCTTGCACCTGGCCCAGATGTGCCACAACTTCGGCCAGGAACTCGGACACTGAACAATCGAGCGCCCACTCGGGGCAGATGAACTTCTGCGTGCCCAGCCAGTGCGTGAACGCAAAGCATCCCACCGCAAAGGCAGCTCCGATACCGAAAACAATGGGAATCGTCGGATTGTGCCAGATGAAGCTGCGGATGCTTCGAACAGGCTCCTCGGGCGGCGGTACCTATTGAGCAAAAGGGTTAGAAGGGGGGCTCGATATCGTCAGACCTGATCGGGGGCAGATATTCCTCACCCTGGACATCTCTCCATATCCCAGAAGCTCATAGGTGACTTCCCCAGATGGTTTTGAGGTCATTGTTGTCAGCCTTCAAGGCAGGCTAAGCAGTGGCGGCTTCTCAGTGCAAAGAAGGCCGTGAGGCTCCGTAGCGGACATATTGCACTGCACAGAGTCGGCAGACTCGCCACAGTATATAAAGATAGTAGTGTAAATGGAGTATGAGGCCAATGTTGCACAAATCGGCCGAGTCCCAGAGTACAGTAGCTGAAGCAATGGCCAAGGCCCTTTGACAGTCTGCTGAAGCGAGCGGCACGCCTCAGGCCCACCCCTGTGAGCCGTGTCAAGCCAGTATCTGGTCGCACTTTGCCGAAAGCGCCCAGTAGTGTAGAACCAAACGAGGCTCGGAATGTCTCAAAGATACCCCTGTCCCGGGACGGCTGGTGTGGCCAAGGAGACACACAGCGTCGACCACCTCGTTGGGAGCCTCACGTTGGTAGGCTCCGGAATTGCCGTGTCATTCGATCTGGAGCTAGCGCCAGCGTCAAACAAGTAGCACACTGGACAAATCGTATTATTGCTGCGCGCGCAGGTGGCTCCTTGGGGGCCGAAAATAGACGAAACATGGGTATGCAGCCACATGGGCCAACAACGATAAACCCAGAAGCCGTGCGAGTGGGACAGCCGGGCTTTTCGTTCGTCCTATCCGCATCAACGGAAACAAGTTTCCTCTGGACGGGCCGCTGGACTTCTTTGCAAGCCGCCCGTCCATGACCGCGGCTGAAGGGCGAGAGAACATGTATGTGCAGAACTGTACGTACATTAAGCCCTTTGAGCTTTGAATAGGGTGCTCCGCTATTTCAGGCCCAAGAGAAAAACCTATGCAGGAAAGCCCGAGAGGCCTAAACTAGGTGCTGGTATATTGGCCTCTGTATCTGGCCTCGGTACTGGGAACGTCGTGAGAGGACATGGTGTGATGGTTTGTCTGTCGGTTGGACAAGACAGCTGGGAGAAGAAGATCCCCATGAGACTGCTTGCACATGTGCTGCAGCCTTCGCGTTCATCGCTGGACGACGGCTTGGAAGATAGGGCATGCACCTTCTCGGAATTCTGATCGCCTGGGGTCTGAGCAATATGATATGTTGGTTCAGCTAGCTTGCCCTTAGACACTTGTTGAACACGATGTTCCCCCACATTACAGCCACCATCGAGGTCTCTCTTTGCGTCCACAGTGCCTCTACCTCTGCAGCTACCGCACCGCCATCCTCTCTCCAGTAAGCCCGTTAGATACACAATATGAAGCTCTTTCCATAACTCGCCTCGGTTTGCTGGCTGTTCGGTGGGCGACTACTGCACCTTCAGCCTGCATACCGGAGCATGCCCGGCAGCTTTCGAACCGTCGACATCTGTACTGGTCATCTGCCGTAGGGCGTAATAATGGAAGAGAACGAAAAGGTCGCCAAAGCACCGCTGTCCTGTCTCGGATGGCTGAGGCCATGAGATGGACTCAAATGCTCAAGCAAGGTCGCCCTGCCATAAGCCCGACTCAAACCAGTTTCAGGCTGAGTTGACCATGCAGGCAAGCCGCTCAAGATTTGCGAAGCAGTGGTTCTGGCACGCAGATAATAGCTGAAGCCCACAAAGTCCTTTTCGGTTAGAGTCAATCATCCGACTATTCGCCTACCACTGTTCCTGTCCTTTTAAAGGAGGTCGCTAAGATGCGTCGGTGGATGTAGTGCTCTGTCCTGAGCAAGGCGTCGTGGCTCGGTTGAGCCTGTCGGGAGTTCGAAAGGGGAGTGCTCCGGAGGCGTTCTCGCGTGGAAGACCCATCACATCCCTCGATGGTGACCTTGTAAAAGCGTCGGCTCAAAGCAGGACGTAAATTCCACTTCGTCACGAGGCTGCTTTGGTTTTCAGCCTAACCATCGGTGACGCCGGTCTTTGTGAGGCTTGCCTGAGTAGCTTGCAAAGATAACAATGGCCGCAGCCCGTACGTGACATACAGAACAGAATGAGAAGCATAGGCTGCAAGTGTATCCAATAAGATGCTGACTGAACGACCAGGGACAGGTGTTGGTTCCCAGGATGAACCTCAGCCTTGTGATCTGGGCGAGTAGGACATGTCTGTTTCAATCAGTCCAGCAACCCCTGACCGGCTGTTCTGTGAGATGACAATGATCTTGATTGACTGGGTAGGGACCACAGCCCCTTGGCCCCATGAAGATACCGAGCAGAAATTGAGTTCTCAATACGCCCCAGTCTTTTGTCTCGGCCCATCAATAGCATAGCTCAAGATGGTATGGATATTGTTGGTATATAAATACAATCAACTTCATGTTCGTATATGAATACCCTGGCACCTGACAGCCAATGCCAACGCTTTATACTCAGTCTTCCAGGGAGAGTCAAGGCTGAGAAAACAGATCGACCAAAAGAAGGCATCCTTCTCGCGGATATGAGGCATTTGCTGTAGCTGCTGCCGGGTCCAAAGGTACGACGCCTTTTCTGGGTATTTCGTATAGTTCTCTTGCGCAGACAATGTTTCTTTGCCTTTTTCTGCTTCCCATTCTTCATCCTGCTCCCGCTAAAAGATATCATCACAAACCGCCCAATCCTTTTCGGCTCTCTTCTTCCAGTACAAGCCATTGTGCTCCCAATAGGTTTCCCCAGTGATGGGATCGACCTTTTTCTCAAACCATTTGGGTCTCCACTCTTCACCTGCGGCCTCACGCTGGCGACGCGCCGCCCGCTGTTTTTCCTCGACACGATTCTTCTCCGTCGCCGCGAATTCATATTCGCCGTCTTCCATGGCACGTTGATCTGGGCGCAGGCGTGTGTCGGTGGGAGGGAGGTGGGGACGCAGGGAGTCGTTGATAGCATTCAGAGTGACGACAAACGGGGTGAGGTTGAACGGTATTCCCTGTGGACGCGCATGTGCCTCCCAGACGAGGAAGGCCTGCTGTCTATCGGATTGAGTCCCTCTCCCCATGCTCGAGTGTAAGCGACCATCTCCTACCGCTTCGTCTTCAAATCCCTCGGTGACTCGAGCGTAGATTTTGTCATTCCACCTCCCGCCAATACTCCATTTTGTGACACCATTGACGTCCATCACTTTGCCGGAGACTTGGTAAGCCGAACTGGCCTTCCACCCACGTTGTTTAAAGTCAAGAATGCAGACTTCGCCCGTGGTCCAGTTCTTGACCTCCATGGTGCCATAGTTGTCCACTGTTGGGTTTCCGGTAATAATGCCTACCACAGAACTGGTAACCTTCTTCCACGTGTACAGCTCGGGCGGACCGCCGCTTGAAGGACGGAGGCGCAGGAACCATGTCCCCAGTGGGTTGATGTCGAATGACTTGCCGTAAAACTTTGACTTGACCGCCGACTCACCCCAGTAGTCCCACCGCGCAGATTCTGCATACGCAGCGCCGATAGGAGGGTGGTGGCTGACTTGCTCAATGAAAAATCGATATCCTTTGTCGGGACGGACGTACTCGTACGTTTCACCCAAAAGAGGGTTGAACGGCTTCGCAACGCGCCCGATTGTGCTGGCGTATTCCGAGGCCGCGAATGCAGCGACATACACGAGACGCTCAGTGGCATCCGGGCGGTCCGCTGCAATGTCGAGGAGATCGGCATATTCCATATCTTCAGCAACACGCTGGAGAAGAGAGGTTGGTTCGTTGAAAGAAACCGGCAGAGTCATCTTGGTCATATCTTTGCCTATCATAGACTTAAGAATACCCCAGAGTGAAATCTTCGGACGATTGTCAGCATCCAGTTTCAGTCGCTCGCGAACTCCCCCTTCGTATCCGGCATAAGAGGGTTCAATTTCCATTTGCTTTCTGGCCCTTTCGTCGACAAAAGGTTCTTTTTCTTCCTCCAATAATGACGGGACATGCACAGGCGGAGGACTAAGAAGAGGCGGCTCGACTACCTCAACCTTGCCTTCGCCGATCGCATCGAAGAACTCTTCATCATCTCCAGATTCGGAGTCAGAGAGATTGGTGAGTTGCGCGATGATTGATTTTCGTCTATTGCCATCTCTAGTGACGGATTTCCGTCGTGACCTCGTCGAGATTTGAGCCTCTACCCGAAGGTCAAGTTGATTCTCAACCGCTTCTGCGAATTGGACATGGTCCATCGATTCTTGTTGGAGCATGGAGCCCGGACGGCTTGCGGGCACCGATTGTCCCTCGAGGGCCTCTTTCAGAGCCCGTTTCGTGCGCTTACGCTTGTCCTCCGATTCGGCGATGGACTTCTTAAGATCTTCGTGCTCATAAGCAATCTTGGCCATACTTTCTTCCCACATCCTCCGGGCATCTGCATCTCGATCTAGCCGGTATTGCCAATAAGCGTCACGGTCTCGAGCAATCTTGAGTAGGTCCGCAACCAAGCCATTGAGGCTGTTAACGGCTGTTTGATAGGTGAGAAGAGCCTGCGCGACATCTGGATCGGATAGAGTCGTGTCTGCCTGGGATGATTGCCTGGCGATCAACGCGTCGGAAACTCTTGCCAGCAGGTCCAGTTGTAGCTTGGCAGATTGTGCGGTGATATTGAATGCGTCTTTACTTCCCGGCTGGTGGACTTCACGACTGCTAGCGTCGTCACCGTCGGCATCCTCTTCAGCGTCGATATTGACAACGGCATTGGTAGGCAGCCTTTGAAGCTCTTCGCCTTGGAGGCTCGCATCGTACGAGTCGTATGCTGATCCACCCTCCACATCGGAACGGAAACTTACTTTGGAAGAGCTTCCCGCAACTCCTAGCGACTGAGCAGGATGTTTCGATCTGCTGGCCGCTGCACTGAGAGTATCTGATGTATCGGTGCGGGTATGTCGAAAGCTTTCGCCGTCAAGGGTACGCCTTTTTTCTTCTTCCTTGGCTTCATCCTTTGTGAATTGGATGGCGTTGTTGAGGGCCCAGAACCATCTCTTTGCCTCGACAACGTGATTGGCCTTTAAATGGTACTTGACTGAGGACTTGCCATGAATCTCAAACCTCGTCTTGTCCTGCGGATCCATGTGCAGTTTTGCGATGCGCATATTGATGGCTCCTCGACAAGCCGAGCCAGCGTCATCTTGATGTTTGTAATAGCTGAGAACCCCTTCTTCGAGAACAAACCACCGTAACTTATACCCGCTCGTGTAATTTGTCCATTTCTTGAGATATCCCTTCATTTCTCGGGCGTCTTTAGTCGCATCGCTGGATCCAGATCCTGTTCTAGCCTGCGATGGGCTGTTCCCCAGAATCGCCTTTTCTTGTATGCCTCGCTGAGCAGCAGCGGCGGCAGGCGACTTCTTCAAGATGGCCTTTGTCCGATCATCTTGGGTCACATGCTGCGGAAGCCTCCCTTTACGGTCGCGACGGAAAGGATCAGCTCCATGTAACAGTAAGATCTGGGCCAACTGGATATCCTTCTTGCGTGCCGCCTCGTGCAATAGCGTTCCGCCGCTCTGGACTGTCGCAGGCTCAGTCGGTAACTCCAACGCATTCACATCCAAAGTGCCCTCAACCCGCGGCTCTGTCAAAATGGTTTCGAACTTCTTATAATCACCTTGGCCCAACGCGGCATGTATTTCCTTGATCTTGTCGTCAAGGAAAATTGAACGCGCCAACTGTAGCTGTTGAAAGATCTCCGGAGTTCGAGCGAGGTCGATGGGTAGTTTGCCTTGCCTGTTCGCGAGGGCATCATTTATGTCGGGCACTTCCAACAGGTCTCGGACGACAGGTGCCCGGCCGAGATGAGCAGCCAAGTGTAGAGCGGTATTGCCTTCCTTGTCCTGTGCGTTGACATCGAGGCCTTTGCCTTCTCTTAACACCTGCTCGACGACCTGAGGTTCTGCGCATTGGATCGCTAGGTGGAGTATTGTTGTGCCGGGAATCGGTTGCAAATTGGAAGGAGAGGGTATGGATTCGGTGATAGCTTTGGAAATGGCGGCAGTGTCTTTGCCTCGGAGGACTTCGAAGACTCGAAAGGTGCGGACCGAGTCCTCGATCGAACCTCCCTGGCCGGAAGAGATGCCTGAAGGAACGGGGTGCAGGTGGTGGGACGATTCTGGTTCCCGGGAGTATTCGTTCGATTCCATGGCCAGCTGAGAGTTTCTGGTGGTGGTCGGAGACAATGGACTCAGTCGTGGGCCCTCGCTCGGAGTCAAAGGAGACGTCGAGGAGAAGGGGCCAGTGGTGGAGGTGGTGGTCGTCACGGGCGACTCAGTGTCTGAACCGTTTTCTCGAGGAAGGGTGTCGCTGCGGAGAAGATTGAGGACTCTGGCGCTCTTGGAGCGCTTGTGGGCAGGTCTTTCTGTCATGTTAGCATCGACGGCGGGGGCGAAAGAGTATGAGGAGGAGGAGTAGGAGGCGGGAAACGCAGAGAAAGTTAGACGCAAAGGTTGGAAAGCCACTTACATTGCCAGATGGATGGGCGAAGGCGACTTAGTCGATTGCTTTCTGCCTTTCTGGGAGAGGGATTCCATCTTTCACCCCGCCATTCCTCGTGATGATTGGAGAGTTTGTTGCCGCAATCGATTGCGACAAGGTCGATCAACCAAGGAGTCAAGCGTATGCACAATGACGGAGGGAGCAGCGGCACAGCTCTAGCGGCGGGCAGACTGAACTTATGCACCTCTTGACGTTCCCCGAGAAAGGCAAACGAGGTGCTTCGTCGAGATTGAGAGTCTGACGACAGCTAGGTAGCGGCGAGCAGGGAGCAACGAGAATGAGAAAAACGGTCAGTCCTATGAATATAGAATAATAGTAGTGGCGAGGATAATCAGATGGTAATATGGAGTATATGTACTGGGATGAGGTGTTGTTGAAGGGGGGACACAGTCAACTACACATATTACTGCGTAGGGGCCACTGCCGCCACTGCTCAACCACTAATGATACTCGATATCTGGAGAGCATCCCTGGCTCGGGCTTGCCCATCCTCTGCTGCGTATTATCATTACGCACAGTTTCCCATTCCACATTTGCCTCCTGGGCGGTGCCCCAGACAAACTACCAGCCCCGTTAAGGGATTGGACACAACTCCGGGTCTTCCTCGATCCTGTCTCACTCGCATTGGCTCCCACCATCATTTATTGGTCTTCCCGCCTCAAATTTCCCGCCTCGCAAACTGCATATAGATCATGTTGGTAAACCTCGACTATGTGGCAGACGCCCGGATGTCGGATCGCACGGGACCCCGAATTCGTTTACGGTATTATGAATCTGCCAGGACTATCTGTCATCGCCGAGCAGCGTCAAACAAGCGAACAATTATCTTTCCGATCTATGCAAATCACCAAAAGGTCTGCTGATCAAGCTGTGAACGTTTCTTTTCGTGTCTGTGGTCAAGTCAAGGACTTCTCTTTTTCATCTACCCAAGCAAATCATCCAGGCCATTGCCCAAGGGTGTGGTGGGTTTGTTAGGGTTGGAAGCCAGGCCGCCAGGCCTTTCGGTGGTCGAGCTCGCTACTGATGCTGCTCCCCATATTCCTGCTTGGCTCTTTGCCTTAGCCATGCTCGCTAGATCTGGTCCCTTCTGCGGCCCAGTGGTGCCCTTGACCCCTGCTTTACTGCTTGCGGTACTCCAGAGGTCTCCAAAAGCATCGCCAACTTTGCCAGCCGCTGGTTTGGAAACGGGCTTACCCAGTGATGCTGCAGAAGTGGAGGATGTATATGAGGGGGTGGCTCCGCCCAAAGGCGTGGATCCACTCGACGTGGCAGTCGGCTGCGAATTTGTCGACATGGGCACGGATGTAAAATAGTTCGGTCCAGAAGGTCTGAACGCAGCAGGTTGTATAGGCTGAGTAGGTTTCTGCACAGGCGGCGGTGAAAACGTTGACGACGTCGGTGTCATTATCGAAGAAGTCGCCGATGGCGCGGGTGACGCAGTTGTGAAAATGTTGTTGAGACCGGCAGCCTGTCCAGGAGCTACTGGCTTTGGAGCTGCAAATTGCGTGGCCGACGTCGTAGTCGAGGTCGTCGGAGGGGGGGCAATACCAGCTAAGGGATTGGATACGGGTTGTGTCGCCGCTGGGCTGGTGGCCGATTGAAAGTCATCAAAATCATCGTCATCGTTGGCTGTACTGCTTTGCAAGCCACCAAAATCATCCAGACCGCTCGACTGGGCTGCTGGTGCCTTGCTGTTCGACTGCTTCGCCGCGGTTTGTTCGTCACCGAAATCGAAGAGATCTTGCTCAGGCTCTTTCGGCTTTGGCGGATCTCGTCTCGCGGTGGTTGTCGGTGCCGTTACTCGTGTAGTGGTGCTCCTTGTCGGTCGTGGAGCCTCGAAATCGTCTGCCTCGTCGTATTCCTCAAACTGTTCGCCACGTCGCTGAGTGCCCGAAAAGTCGGTGTCACGACCACCGAAGCCTCCACCATCGCCGTAGACCTCGCCTTGGTAACCTCCAAAGCCACCAGTCTCGCTGCCAAAGCCGCCATATCGACTACCACTGGAGAAGCTACCACCGATCCCCATTCCGCCTTCCACTCCTCCGTATTTGTTACGGTTTGCGCGTGCTTTCTTCCGCTCTGTTCTGATGGTATCAACATCACTCAATAGTTTTACCAATTCTGCAGATCTGTTTCGGACATTTACGCCCTGGTCTTTGCCATTCTGATCGATATAATGGAACTGGCGGAGCATTCGGAGGAGGGAGAGGTGCGACCGGGCATCGTCGATGACTCGCTCCGATCCGTTTTTGCAGAGAAACTCGAGGAGTTGCAAGGCCTGCTCTGGCATAAGCACGGTGAGGATTCGAGGGGTTTTTAGGCACGTACCTTGTATATCTGCCTCCACTCTTCCGCAGTCTTGTCTGTGAATCGTTTGTAGATCATTGGCATGATTTCGTTGAGTTGTTGGCTGGGGTAGTCAGCCAGCGATTCCAAAGGGTAGGGGTGCGAGACTGACTAGTTGTGTGTGCCCTGGGCGATTTCCTGCATGAGACTCGCAGATGCCCCCCATGGATCTCCATTTGTAGCTTCTCGGACCTGATTTAAAGGTAAGGGTCATGTTGGAGAACTAATTCAAGGGAACAAGCGGCTGACCTTGGCCTCCATCTCGGTCAAGTTCATGACAGCTTCATCATCGTCAGCATCTCCCCTAGCAGCCAGAAGATTGACATACCATTTTGAACTTTGCGGACGCCAGCTTTGAGGTCGTACAGCGTTAAATTGCTAACCTGGTTCTTTAGGCTTTCGAAGTCCATCTTTACTGGCGGTGTGGGTAAGACTGTCAGGGTGGGTTGGGAGGAGAAATGGAGACGGGAAGTGTTTTAATGGCCTTGCCTGGGAGAGACAGCTCCTGAGCCCAGTGTATCGCGATGTCACGGTGAAAGCAGCTGGTCGAAATTGTTCCCCTGGCGTTGTGATGCCAGATACTCCGTAATCTGTGGGGTTCCGCAGCCTCAGTTGTTGTTCTGCGGTTCGACCAATCATGGCGCAGCCGATGTCCCCGGACTCCAAACCTCGTCGACCTTCAAAACCCTTTCTCACCACTTCGTTTGTATAGTGACGAATCGACAGTGAAGTAGGGTACTGTGCCATCGTCTTGAGGTAAGTGACCTTACTTGGTTGGTACAACTGAACACTCTTGTCCTTACTGGAGAGGGGAACTGCTTGAATCATGAGAAAGCCCGCGTCATCTGGCGCTGGGATGAATCTAGTCTGCTAGTTGGTGAAGAGGAAGAAGTTAATAATCTCAGATGAGAATACACTGCACTAAGATGAAGACTATTCCTCTCTTGACAACGGACGCCTTTCATTTAGATGCACCCACCGCGGCCGTCTCAGAGCGCCAACCTCTTCTCTGGACTACCTCGACAGAAAGAACCGGGAGAAGGGAATTCGACCCGTCCGTCGGCTCTAGAAGAGACTCACTCTGAAATGATCCTCATCTGTGACTGGAGAGGGCATGAGCACGTCCTCCTAAGATCTAACAACTGAGTAAAGGATGTATACTGGAGGAGCAGGCCGGGCCATGATGCGATAACGCAATGCAGCTCCTCCCTACAAATGCTGTGCAGCAACTTCCGCGGAGATCGATCATTGACACAAACGCAGACATAAAATTGATGTGTCTTATGGGTTCGATGTAAGTAGCCTGCATATGCCAGGTTTCGGTGTCTTCTGATGTCTTTCGTTCACGTTCCACCGTCCCGGCCTGACTTTTCAAGACGTCACGTCAACAAACGTCAAGATGAAAGGACCCCCTCTTTCGGACGGTACTGCTGATATCATAAATCCCCTCGGGATCATTAGCGTCATTCAAAGGAGGTATGTTATATCGAGAGGCATGCCTTTTCTCTCCAAGGCCGTCCTGACCGAATCAGCGAAAACTGTTCCAGCGTAACGCATTCTTCGCCCCTTCTTTTTTGGCGGAGCCATTTCGTCAGATCTCTGTGCCGAATGTGTCATGAAAATGTGGTAGTAATGGAAGCATGGGGCATAGATGGTTTGAGGTTCCTCTCCGCCTTTTGTTACGCACTAACAGTATTATGCTAAAGTACGACAGAGAGCGACATGGTGGCGTATCCTAAAGGTGGAAAAGCAAACAACAGGGACAAAGGACTCAAGCACATGGTACGCCTCCTGTTGTGTTTAAGTGAGACCAAACCAGACTATATCCCTGCATGCGTGCCACTGCAAGCATGCCACTGATTTCTCCAAATACTGGACCACGCCCTCGGGTCAGCCACCAACAAGGGAGGCGATGGCGCTTCGTGCACCGACAGCATGGGTATTTCCCTTGAAGTCATACGAGATACTAGCGAGCCGAGTTTCGGCCATTGGTCTTTGCTCCAGAACCTAACAGCGGCGGCTTGCCGAGGCCCTCCATGCTGAAAGTGGTCGCGATCGGAGTAGATGGCCATCTCCAGATACTCGTTGGGAAGGCTGGCTGCGAGTATCGCCACGTGGTTGTCGTCTGTCCTTGCATTTCGGCTCGCCTTCGAACAAGCTGAGGCCCTTGATCTGGCCGAGGAAGCCGCGAGCGGTATCAGCCCTGGCGGTTGGTTAATATGGCAGACAACTCTCGGTAGGCTACTGCTGGCATTCAACCAGGGCCATAGCCGGAGCGGTTTCTGCTATGTGCCAGACTAGCAACTTATCCGTCCACAAGATTTGACACAAATTCCGCGTCTTCAGGCTAAATTCCGACCTCGATGTTTTCCATGGGACTATGGACTCAGATTCTTTCACCTCCTCGACGCAATTCCGCGTGGGGGGGAACGACCTTTGTGGAGCGAGGCTAGTGTTCAAGGCTAGGAGGATGCCGAATGGGCAAAATCCCCATTTCCCCAGATTGCAAAAGTTCCAACTTCACGTGTTTCGGCGTTCTGCTTTCTTTCAATCATCAGGCCACGAAGGCGTCCCGGTATCCCAGAAGAGGTTGATACTTTGGCATCTCTCTGTTACAGACAAGCTTCTCGTGCCACCCTTGATCCTTTTAGCCACTGACTATCAGCCTCGCTTTTACCACAGCTTCACCGACGCCGACGAAGGCGCCACAACTTCGGCTGCTCTCCCGATCCGCCAATCCCGTTCATCCCCTTAGGCGAAGACTTGCCTCGACAACCAAATATCTCTCAACTGAAAGCCTAAGAACATTGCCGCCCTTCCTCGTGCACCGTCTATCATGCAGTGGGAGGCGCTTTAGCCTAAATATTATCCGCAAAGGACGTCCTAGGCTGTTGCAATTAACCCCCGGAAAACTTCTGCGGAGAGTCTCCGGACGCGGCAGTTCGAAATGTGGGGGAGATCGTCGACTGGGCGGTTTCGAATGCTTGATATGTGTGCCAGAAGGACGTGGTAGAATCCCCGAAGCAGATGATTGCTTTCTCATCCTTCAGGTACTCTTGCAAGTTCGTTAAGAGCACTGCCCGAAGCAAACATGGCTCGCCAGGAGAACCAGATCGTTATCGGGACGAAGCGAGGAGACACAACCATTGACGTGCAGAAACTGTTGGATAAGCCATGGTACAAGTACAAGCATCTCAGGAAGCTCTATGGCTGGCTCTGCGTGGTGCTCATCGTGCAGGCCACGAACGGCCTTGACGGTTCCATTATGAATGGAATGCAGACATTGACGTACTGGGTATGTGGCGTCCAAGAACCGTGGATGATCGTTGGACCCATCTAATTGCTAATTGCGAGTATAGCAATCCTACTTTCACCATCCAACAGGTGCTCAGCTTGGAATCTTCAATGGTACTCAAGGTCTCGGCGGTGTCATTTCGCAGTTCTTTCTGTGGTGGCTCGTCGAGAAGATTGGCCGGAAGCTGACCATTATATCTGGAGCTGTCATCATCATCGTTGGCGTCTTTCTACAATCTTTCGCGCAAGGAATCGCCATGTTCGCAGTGGCACGATGTGTTATCGGACTCGGGCTGAGTTTCGAGTACACGGCCGCCCCTATGCTTGTCTCAGAGCTTTCGCACCCGACCCACCGCGCTCAGTTGTCGACACTGCTCAACACTCTGTATTACTTCGGTGAGGGGTGTCGCGAACGGAACTTGTCGCATCTGCTGATATGACTTTCAGGTGCCGCCATTGCAGCTTGGATCACCCTAGGAACCCTCTCCATTCAGAGCGACTGGAGCTGGCGCAGCGTATCGTTGATTCAGATGTTCCCGTCTTTGATCTCTGTCACTCTGACCTGGTGGGTCCCCGAGAGCCCGCGCTGGCTCTGCTCACGGGGCCGAAACGAGGAAGCATTCAAGACCCTCGTGGACTGGCACTGTGGTGGCAATGAAGCCGATCCCCTTGCGACCTTCGAGTACAATGAGATCGTGCAGACACTAGCCTACGAGAAAGAGAACGGGAGCAGGAGCTGGCTCGACCTCGTCCGCACGCCGGGCAACCGCCACAGAACCTGGATTGTTGTGAGCTGCTCCATTCTCAGCCAGGCCACTGGACAGACCATCATCGGCTATTACCTCGTCCTTATCCTGAAGGGAATCGGCATTACCAACCCCCGCCACCAATCTATCATTAACGGTTGCCTGACCATGTGGTGAGTGCCAGATTTCTGGGAAAGGCGGGATCGAATGAAGTACTGACATGACTTGTAGGAACATGGGATGGGCATTCTGGGGTGCATACGTGATTGACAAATTCGGTCGGCGAGCCATGCTCTTGACCTCCCTCACTGGCATGTTGTTTTGCGGATTCTTGCCATGGACGATCTGCAGCGCGTTGTACGTGCAAGATGGAGTCAAGGATGCTGGCCCGGCAGTCATTGCATTCATCTTCATCTTCAATGCCTTTTATGCCACGACGTGGAACGGCATCTTGACTGGATACACGGTCGAAGTGATGAGCTACGACATCCGGCCGAAGCTCATCTGTACGCAGAACCTGCTAGTACAGGCGACCATCACCGGCTTCAATTACTTGGTAAGTCCTCTGACTTGACAGGACCGACACCCCTGGCATTAGCTGACACTATCAATAGAACCCTGTGGCCTTGAAGAACATCGGCTGGAAGTACTACGTCATTATCAACATCATCATCCTCATCACGTGGGTGGTGGTGTACTTTACGTACCCGGAGACGTCCAAGATCACGCTCGAGGAAGTCAGCGTCATCTTCGACGGCAAGCACGCCGTGAAGAACGACATCCTCCAAAAGCAGGAGATCAATGCCGGCGACGAGGATGCGGTGGGGAGCGGCGACAAGAAGGGCGCCGTGGAGATCATTGAGCGTGAGCACGTTGAAGTAAAGTAAAATGAAGAAGGATTCAGGAACGGAACATGGGAGAGATGAACTAGCCAGCTAGCTTCGAGAGCAGCAACTTAGCCTGTAACAAAAACAAGCTACAATAGATAGAAGCAAGTAATAACGCCATCTTTCTTCCGTAAAAAGAACCTAGCTTGTCCTTCTGCGATGTCTTCGTCGCACGGAAGAATAGCCATACGACTACTATGTGATAAGCCATGGGAGTAAATGCCTTTCGTCATCATCGCCATGCTGCATTCTCTATACAAATGTCGCTCTAAGAATTGTCCCTCGTAGTGATTTTCCTTGGTAATAGTGCATCGGTAATCACATTATACCAATATCGAGCATTACAGAGGCAGATGTGAGGAAGATGGCAAAAAGTCATGGATGAAAAAAGGCTGCATTGCGAGATACCGCGGGACGTGGGTACCCGGCCTAATCCCGGATAGGCTTAGGGTGTCGCGTAGTGTAGGTGTCTAATGAAACTGGCTTTTCCTCTCTTTTCCCCCCCGTTCTCCCTCACAGATGTTCGCACCACCAGGGCTTCACTTGGTCCTCAAACCATCGTCTATCGGTGGAAATATCTCCTTTCCAACCATCTGAGTGGTATATATGTCACCGCGGTGAACGCAAAGGCCAGCTCGAAACCAATGTCACCACCGTACCCGATTCCAATCAGCTTGCCAATGGGGCCGATGTACCACACCTGAGCCATTCCCATCGCAGCACCGAACACGCCGAAGAGGAATGCAGTCAATGCAGCAATGCCAGGAGGCAGCTTCTTCGGCTGGTCGTAATTCTCCGGAACATAGCCGGAGAACCCGCCCTTGTAGATGAAGTGTTCTGGCAGAGCGATGCCTTCGTAAATGGCGAGCCAGTAGCCAATCACCAGCATAAAGTTCTCCAGCACTGATTCGAAATGGCTAAAACCTGGGATGGCTATGGCACAGTAGATGACGGTTCCGATCAGGGTCCAAAGGAATCGCGGGACTCTCTGCGCATAGTGGGTCAGGAGTTGCAAAGAGAACGTGAGAGAATAAATGTTAGGTGCGTTGTTGGCGAGCGTCGAAAGAGCCAAGATGACCAGGCAGAATTCCCCAAAGCCACCCAGGCGCGGAACAAGGACCTCATGCAAAAGACCTCCCACGGCATTCTTGGCGTAGGCGTCCGCGTACGACTGATGCGTGGGGATCGCTGTAGCAATGGCCGCGCCGAGCATCTGGGTGAAGCACAGAGGGAAGAGCAGGCCGCAGAAGACGTAGAAGAAGACCTTGGTCCGTGACGTATTGACAGGTTGATAGCATGTGTAGTCGCTGGCGTAGGCAGACCAGCCTGTGGCAAATCCGAAAATTGAAGCAGCAAAGGACAAGATGGAGCCTGCCTCGCCTTCGCCGCTGCCCATGGGGATGTTGACAAAGTCACCCCGACGAGCAAACTCTCCCAAGGTGATGAGGAGAATGATAAAGCACGGAACCCAGGACACCATCTCGTAGAAGTGCACCACCTTGTAGCCGAAGAGGGTGATGAAGAAGGTTCCCGCGGCAAGAATGATAATCGCAACCGCCGATGGTATGTTATCGTTGACGGCACGGAGGAATTGGGCACCCACAATGATGTTGACAGAAGACCAGCCAAGACACGCCAGACAGTTGAAGACGGCAAATATCTTGACATCGTAATACCCAAACCAAAAGCGCGCGAGGATCATCTGGCGCATGCCGAATCGAGGACCAAAGGTGGAGAAAAAGCAGACGGGCAAGATTCCCAGCAAGTTGATGAAGAAAATGGTGAGCACCGAGTCGACAAAGCCGAGGTCGAAGACGGGCACAGAGAGGACGCCAATGGCGAAGGAAGAGACAACCATGTTGGCAGCAAGCCACTGTTTGAAGGGGTTAGCAACAAGGCTTCACGATAGGGGAATCAGAGAGAGTGAGCATACCATGGTGCCGACTTTGAAAGTACTCTTGTCCGTCCGCTCATCCTCAGGAACTCGCTCAATACCTCGCTGTTCAATATGGAACCGGGCTGCAAGACGTTGAAGTTTTGCATAGGTGGAGTCCCCAATGTCAAAGGACTCTCCGTGAACGGCCCCTGGGGCGTCCGGGCCGACCACCGAGTCGTGCTTTTCGCCCTCGGTGACAGGATACTGGTATTCGACGTCGTAACCGTTCTTCTCGTAGGAAGCCATTTTGCCGAAGTCGAGCCTTTGCAGGCCGTTGGTGTACAAGGCACAGGACTGTAGAATTGGGGATGAGGCAGGGGCTCAATGCGCGACGAGATGAACAAGGACGATCCGAGGCATGAGACCCTTTCCAAAAGTCGATGGGAACATCAAATAATATAGTATCTCCTGTCGGCCATTGCCACAAATGCTTGACATGGAGGGCGCCGTCACTCCGGCCGCTGAGACGGCCATCAAGACCACGGACATCCATCGACCCTTTTGGTGCCCCACTGCACGATCTTCGAGATAAGGGTCCTAGGCTTTGGAGTTGTTGGTAGTTGCCTCGCCCTGATTCGACCGATGCGGTCGGGGCCGACAGGGCTCTGATGTGGGCACATGGATGGATCCGTCAAGTCATCCCCAAGCTACCCCCAAGTTACCCTCGACGACAAGTTCAGTGTCCGTGCTCTCTACAAGCGAGAGAAGGCTTGTGTGTAGACGGACGGTCCTTACGGTCCTTCCGTTGAGGGCCGCTCTCTGACTTGTGTAGCTGGCCGGAGGTCGCCTCCACCTTGGAAGTCCACCATGGAATGCCAACCACTACCGTAGCTGAAGACCGCTAATAGTATCGGGTGCATTGTCCATATCGAGAACGACAGTCGTGGGGAAGCTGGAAGCGACAGAAGTTCGAGAGGAGAAGAGCTGTGAGCTTCTTCTGGAAGGAGTCCAGTCGACTTGCATCTCGGCGTTCTTGGCGCAGCTTGGACATAGATAAGCATCAATACCAGCCTTGGCCGCGGTCCAATCAATGTCCCTTCCGTCATGCTTGTTGGTCAGGCCTGATTGGCCTTCGCCGCTGGCCGTGTCTATCTGTTGGATCCAGAGCGCATCTATCGCTTCCGCCAGCTTTCTTCTGTGCTAGCCGAACCCCGTGTGGCTGATGTTGTCCAGCCAAGTGGTGATGCTGACCTGGTTTTGTACGTAAACGCAGCCTACACAGCACCCGGAGCATTGAGATTGGACCACGCCAAGTGCCAGTTGACAGGCTAGGGAGGCTGAAGCCGCCATGTGGCAGCCCGGGGACCGCCATGGAATTATAGAGCGTACACGTTGCTTCTGGTGTTGTACTGAGTCCTTCGTACAAGGGTATCTATAGAGAACTATACTGCTCCACTGTAGAGCACTCAGGGGTCGCATCAAACAAAAGACATTAGATTTTGCGTAAATCATCTGGGATATCTATTTGTCGAAAATACAAGCCTGGGATGTCCCTGGGCTCCCCCGTCGGCCGTAGCCGTAACGACAGACAGACCGGCGGACTCCCTTGGGGACGTCGAATATCACCACGGGGCTCATATCCCTCCACCAAGCGACTCCATCCCAGCCAGCTCGTTCCCCTGCACGTTGTTGAAGTTGTAAGGAAAATCCACGATCCCATCCAGCATCCAATTTAAAGGGTCAAAGACATCGTAGCTCGCCTGGCCAAAGTCCATGCCGACCTCGTCCACCAGTCCAGTGGCCATCCCGGCCATGCCCGGCACAATGGTAGAGTTGTGCAACATGGGATCAATTACCGTCGGTTTCGCGTCCATAGTTGACGCCGGTATGATGATATTGTCATGTTGATCGAAGGTAGGGTTTCGCTGCCTCACTGCTATTCCGTCAGTGTCATCCGTGCAGAAAACAGGGCCATCTTTACCATCAGATGGTTTCCCACCACGGAAATGGAAATTCTGCCGCCATTGCCAAACCGAATCAAATACTACAGACATGGACATCCGACACTTGACCTTGAGTTGCAAACTGTCGTCGAGAATACCCTCCCCAATGTTACTCCGGTCAGGCTCTGCGCGCACTCTTCCGCTTTTCCAAACCTGCGCCAGAACTTCCGACAGGCGTTCCGCAAGATCGTTCTCTATCACACTCATGCTTCTCAGTGCCCACACCGTTCTCGAGAGGAGTTCAGACGCTCCTTGGGCATCCAGCTCGTGCTCCCCCAGAAAGTTGTGCATCAGTTTCAGAAGGGAAAAGCCAGCACCGAGCATCATGTGGAATATATAGTTCGTCGCATGCGACAGTGACAAGCCGTGTGAGTAGCTTGAGGGGAGATTGACGCTGACAGTGGACTCTAAGCTGAGGCATGTCTCGAGGAAATCAGTCGTGGCATGATACAGTTTTAACATGTCGCTCCGATAGGAAGACAGCGAGGGTGGTGAGAAAAAGGCACTCAACCTCATATGCAGAGCTGCTGCCTTGAGATACACCTTTGTGATTGGTGAGGTGTCCTTGCGTAACTTATCTTCAAGCTCTTCCAGCTCGTGCGCGAGGAAAGAAACGTAGGTAGGCCGCTCCGTGTCCGCCACAAGTCCAACGGGATCGTGTGGATTCATGTAGAGCGTCCTGGAAACCTTGTCGACGAATTTTTCGATGAGCAACCGGTTCAAGATCGGAGCCGGCAGTTCGTAATTTGGATTTGTCTCGATCGGCTTGGGTCCCAGAGTCCAGTCGTAGATGCTCAGCGGAGGCTGCCCATAGGCAGTGCAGATTCTCTGAGCGACAATGTTACACACACTCCACACCACCACTCGATCTTGCAATTCCACTTCCCTGAGCTCTACCCGAAATTTGGAAAAGTCTTGGGCATGAGTCGGACGGTGGAGGCCAATCTGCAAGGCAATCTGCATCATCATCCCACAAAGCATGAAGGTTGGGTCTGTCGAAGTGCTGCTGGTGGGTAGAGGCCAGGCACAAAGCAAGATGAGAGCCTTGACAATGTGATAGTTTTGAGGAACCTCGGCGATAGTCGACCAGACCAGCCGCATTACAGGTCCAGTCAGAGATCCATACAGATCGGGCTCCGGCGTGTAGTGCCGCGCGCCCACTGAAATGATTGTCCAAAACAGCAAAGGTGATCGAGCATAGTATTCATCCGGAGTTCTGTCGGGATTGAGAAAAGGCAGAAAGGGGTGATGGAAGGTGAAGAAGCGTTGGAAGAGCTCCTGTGCACGGTCAATCGTCAAGCTCACCTCTTCCAGTCGCTTGAAGATGGGTCTGCCTGAACCGCCACCTCTCAAGTCAAGCAGTCCCGCGGCGGCGGCGTCTGAAGTGAAGGTCCCGTCCGCCGAGGGTGACTGGTGCAGCTTTGCGTCGTCATTTGTGTGAGAACCATTCGCCGCACCCCCGGTCTGCTGTTTTGCAGCTACCTGTTTTCGCAGCTCGATGATCTCGCGCTCCATTTCTGCATTTCGTGATCTCTTGCCAATCCGCTTAAAATTGTCCTCGATCTTGCAATCGAGATTGAGTCGCTTGCAACGGGTACACGTCTGAAAGGGTTCCTGCACAACATCGCATCGCAACTGTGAGGGAACAGCATTAGCAATGGCACTCCAGAAGACAAGCGAACGATTGCGACGACATGCCGGGGTCACGACGATGACTCGACACACCGTCCGTGAAGGACGGCCAAAACAACGGCGGCACCACCTCAGGGATGCGTGTGGTGTTTTGTCAGGGCCCTTCGCATTGTGCATGTGGTTCGCTGCGCCAAAGCTCACCTTCTGCTGTCGGCATTCATTGCAAGCTCTTTTCACTGGCCTCCTCCTGCTATCACGCATGTGGTCGTCACCATTGTGATCGGGCGACTCAAGGCTCGCCGGGGAGCTGTCGAAACCGGCAACGGACGCATTCCTTTTGTGGCTTCGCGACGGGCTGGTATAGGCGGTACCAGGACCATCGCCTGGGCTTGCGGCGGATGTCGAAGCCAGATTGAAATCGTCGCCAATCTCAAGGCCGATGAGGGTTTGGATTGGGATTGTCCACGCAGCAGTCGCCATCCGATATCGCAATCGATTTTGCTAAGAGATAAGATAAGATGGGTGTGTCTGGCAAGGCAGTAGTTAGAGTTGGAGGCACAAGCAATGAGAACAATCAAATGAGGCGGGCGTACATCTATTATTATTGGCCACCATCCCAAGGTCTTGTGCCGAGAGCAGCATCAGACCTCTTTCTCATCGCTCTCAAAAGGATACAACGATCTCTTGTGGAATCTAATGGCGGGTAATGAGGAGAAGAGGGAGCTGTTGAAGGGTCCATTGGAGAAAACGCTGCGATGTCCCCAGGCGTCGATTTCCAGTGCGACCATCGACTTCGCCCAACCACAGACGCAAGATCAACGCGGTACGGATAATTATTATGAGTCATTTAATGAACGAATTAACAACATTATGGCTAATACGCGGCTCACAGTAACCGTTTTCGACTCGAGCATCACGTCTGAACCGTTTCTGGATTCAGTTGTGCTCGAAAACCTGAGGAAGAGACAGCAGAGGGAGAGCGAGGCCAAGAGTGTCGGGCACAAGACGACAAGATGAATCAATCATGCACCGAAATCAATTGCTGAATCGCCACCCATCTGGTTCGGGCCGTGCGTTCTAGTTGTACAGCTCGTCATTCATCCTAATCATTAATCGTCAAGACATCAAGTCATGCCATAAGTCTTTGGTGCCCCCAGTCGAGCAATAAATCAACACGCTGCAGACAAATCCTCCCAAGCGCCCAACGTAAAGAAAATCCAAAGCCGCCAGGGCCTTGTGTAACGGTCCAACATAATCTCGTAAAAACCGAAAATGATGGGGAGATACCGTTTCAAGCTTTCCGTGAGAGGCTCATATTGCTGACGGGAAATCTCGAATCTCCTTGCGAAATGACATAGGCTCCAATACTGCGTCGAAGATCAGCCCTCCTTCGTTCCCTCTTCTCGTCCTCTTTGCGTTGTTTGGCATGCAACAGCTTCTCGTGAATATCCTTGATCCCTACCAGCGGGAAGTGGAACCGCAGTGCCGAGCCTGGCAACTTGTGTAGTTTGCGACCTGCTTGAAACTTTGCTAAGCTGGAATGGCTGGATTGCTTCACGATACCTCTTTTCTGCTTGCGCCGTTCCGATATTCGTCTGACCAGTGACACGGGACCGTTGACAACCGTCCTCTCCTGCGGCAATCCTAACGAATTGTTCACAATTCCTCGTTGTAAAGACCGTTCCTGAGGCTCTGGCTCAGGACGAGCACTATCTGTGTCGTCCCAAAAAGCACGCGGCCGCCAGAATGGATGCAGGCTTCCGTCAAGATCCTGATCAGCCTTGCGATTGCGAGCGTTCTTCAGACTCAAGTTCCGAGAAATGGAGCTCATCAGCGATTCTGAGCGTCGTCGGGACCCGCCCGGTCGTCTAAGAGACTCTGTTCGCTCAGTTCCCAATTGCTTCTTTACTTCCTCGTCAGCAGGGGTGGGTGGGATCAGCTTAAACTGCGGTGGCTCGGGTGGCTGTCGAGGGTTGCGCAAAGGGGACTCCACTTCAATCTCTGGCAGATTCTGCTTCTGTACTTCCTGAACCGCTTTCGACTCTGCTACAGGAAATGGCTCAATCAGCTGCACCGAGTAGTTGTTATGAGGGAAATAGTTGATCGCCAAAGCTTCGCTGATCTCAGGAGAGCCTGACTGAAAGGAAGGTTGTGAGAAAGGCGTATCAAATATAGACGGTGGCCGAAGTGCTGCCCATTCTTTTGTTCCAGGCATCACCAATCCCAGCGGATTTGATACCGCCTCGCCTTCACCTGCAGGAACTCCTAGCACATTCCCTGGCATCATAGAGAGGCGCATGTTAGCAGTCGCGGAAGACCGTTCGGTTCGTTGATTTCCAGCCATACGTTCAGCGTGTGACATTCCATCTCCGTGCTCCCACTCTCTCAGGCTGTGGACAAGCCGCTCTGACTCCATCCTGTCCAAGGTCTTGCGCAAGTCCTTCTCAGCTTGTTGTCTCCGTACGTGTAGATGCTCAGATGTGATGGAATTGGCTCGAGACGTGCTTCTGGACGTCGGTGCGGACAGCGAAGAGCTACGAGGGGGTATCACAGGCGCTTGGTGCTGCTCCCTGCCACGATCCAAGGATTCGGAAAATGCTCTTTTATGTTGCCAGGAAGAGGGAGGGTTGTCAGAAGCTTTGCGAAATTGCGAACGTCCAGAACTGTTCGAAATCGACTGCCTCTGGCTAGTGTGAGCAGAAGAGCTCAGGGAGGAGGTTCTCTCTGGAATCACAGCCACACGGATTACTTCAGTTTTAGGCAGGACGGTGCTCGATGCCAGGCTATATGACCTCGAAACCTCGGAACCGAAACTCCAGCGATTTTGATTGCTCAATCTCGCCTTCTTATGAACGAGACGATGAGGGGAGTCTGAAGCGGAATTGACGGAGTTCCGATTTGAAGCCGGCAGGGGGGAGCTCACTGAACGCAAAGATTGATGCTTGCTGACATGGCGCAATGTTGTTTTTCGTTGGGGTAAAGAATTGTGTTCGAAAACATACGCTTCAACCGTCGAAGTGGTGGAGATTCCAGAGAAACGTCGATTATCTTCAACATCCGCCTGTCGATCTTGGCTCAACTCATCCTCAATTGGCACGGAATTGTTCCATCCGATGATGTCTGCGAACTTCTCGGTCGATGCCGATGGATCTTGACTCTGCGCTTCCAGAAGCCTTTCGCGCAGACTTTTGTCGCGCTTCAAGTTATGTTGACCCGTACTGTGGCGGACAGGATGAGGTGGTTCGACACTTTCAGACACAGACACTTGAGGAAGATCAAGATGTACGCGAATTTCCTCGCTGTTGAGAACTGCGTGGCCGCTCGATCCTGACGTTTGGTATTGAGGGTAAACCCCTGAGACACCGCGAGTCTCACTAGCAGTTGCATGATATCGATCGAGAAAAGGCTCTGGAGACTGACTAACGACAGGGTGTACTCCGTAGAGCGCGACCAGAGGTGAGATAGGCAAAGAACTGTGTCGCAGGCGATGGGCAGCTGCACCAAACTTGTCAACAGAACTCAAAGGCCATCTAAAGCCATTGTCCGGACGTGGCGTATTACGATCAGATTCAGCTTCTGACGTCAAGTCTTCATGGGCAGTTTTGAAGGATTCTGCATGTGTAGAGGCGATGGAGGGCTGTTGATCCAGGAATGGGCGCCGGGAGAGCGACCCATAACGTTCCCGTGGAGGAGTGTTGTCAGGAGTCGGCGGGCTGTTCTGGTTGATTGGCGTCACCAAGTTCGATCGAAACACGGCGGCATCTGAAGATGGAGTGGCCTCTTCTGGGGCAGGCGGGCTGGTCTCATTGTTCGCTCCTGGAGGTGTAGGAGGGAGATTTGGCGACGTGGCCAAGATGGTAGACACAGAGTGGTAAGAGGGTTCTTCCGGCCGGCGGTCACCAACGTCTCGGGCCGAGATGCGGTAAAGGGTTCGAAGGTTCGTCGAGCCGGCTTTGGAACCGTTGCGAAAGGGCAGAGATCTGGAGGCCGACGGCGGCGACTGACCTGGGGAATCTCTGACCGGCCCCATTATGGTGTATTCGGTCGTCCTCCCCATCGGAGCGCCGAATCATAACATTGAAAGCAACTCAACAGCCCCTCCTCTTCATTGCGACAGATGGCCACAGGAGTACGGACGCGATATTGTGCCTCACTGCATATGCAGGTCTCTTGTTGATCAAAAGGAGGGCGATTTCGAGAGGCAAACAAGAGTACGTTCGAGGTTTGAGAAGTTCGTGAGGTGTGGTGAATAGCTGGAGGCGTGACGCGAGGTGCGACAAGTCCAGAAACAGCCAGCAGCTGGTGGTGCGTAGGCGTTCGAGAAAGTCTGCAGTCGGCGTTCAGAGAGTCTCTCCAATCACCTGGCTCCAACACCGATATAGATCCTTTGCGGTTCAACGATGGATCGAGTGTCAGGCTAAGAGGACTGTCTGGTTCGAGGACACAGTGTTGTCGGCGAGGGCGTGCTACTGAGGAGTAGTGGAGATCTTTGACAGCAGCATTGACAAGTACCAGAAGGTGATCGCCTCCAAGCACAGGGACGGACGAGCGACCTCGAGCAAGGAGGAAGGGGACTGTGGGATGCGCAGCGACCAATGTGGACACAACACCGGTGAATTAATACGAAATATGTCGTCGGATGGGAAGCCTTTGGGGGACTAGAGGTCGCGGATTGTTGGACTCGAACAGCGATGCGAGACGTGAAGAGAGAGAGAAGCGACGAATACAAGGATCTAGGGGAGAGAAACTGGGCGAATCGCAGGCGGCTAGATCAGGGCAGCTCAGCCGAAGTCAAGCACAGCTCTTCCTGTTATTGATGCTCCATACAAGACCTCCTTTTGACTCCTCTGATCCCCTTTGGCCTGCATCAACCCCCTTAAAACTCTCCTGCCAGTACACAGGTGCTCATCGATGAGGGAGTGGTACAGGAGGTACACGAGAGAAATCATGATTCCTGCCATTCCCACCTCAGTCCATCAGCGTGACCAAGGCGCAATTTCATTCGCATTCCTCTCTGGTACTCGCCACATTCCTCCGTGACCACTCATCTTCGACTTTCAGCTTCAGCCCCAGGGCAAGGGGCCAGAAACAATGTGCACCTCTTACGGAGTAGAAAGAACACAGCCTTCCCGGTATGTGTAGGGCTGAGCAACATGACTCTGCTGTCAGCTCCTTACCGTAATCCGAATCATCTGCCCGCCGCGGGCGTGGGTACGCCCAAGTACTTGGTATGTAAGTCAATTTCCTCTCATGCTGAATCTTTGACCTTTCAAAAGGACACTGTCCGCTCCGGTTCTCAATGTCTATGGTTTTTTATCCTCGATCACAATCACCATCATGTCCATCAGGCGCCTCGCATCTCCGCCTCTTTCGTTCGTGTTCGTTCTTTTCGCTTGCCGACCAGTCCTCGCATCTCCGGTTCCTCGAGTTATCGAGCCGGAGCCGGGCCCTCTGTCCTTTCTCGAGCTGGTACGGACGACATTTAGCAGAATAATTGAAGCCGGATTCCTCAGAGGCATCCTGACTTCACTGTTGGTCCTAGGATGTCTAGTCTGTCTCCTCATAGGTGCCCTATGTGGGTTGGCTGCCTACCTGAGGCATCATGACACGAAGTTGTGGGGACGACATGAGGAGCTCTATGTCCTTGGAGACGGGAAGGACGAGAAAGAAGAGTCGGCTTCACTCCCGGTCGAAAAGCATCTGAATGAATCCGACCCTTGCTATCAAGACAGGTCGCAATTTCTGGGCCAAAGCCGTGTTTCTCAGTACCTTTCCTGTAATGCTTCGACACCGGTGACAAAGATCAGCATCTACGCTTCGTCGTCTAGAGCATCGACCGCAACTAGAGCTCTATCTGCATTGACTTGGACGCCGCAAACTCCGATTCGAAGCCATTCAATGCCGCTCCGCTCCGCGCTGTCTGGATCGCCACCCTCGTCGAAGCCGTCTTCGCAGGCTCAGACTCTTTCCTTCGGACCAAGGGGAGTGGGCATTGACTCAACTTCGTCCCCAACTCCAAAATCCGTCCGTTGGGCAGATGAGGTTCAGATGACGACGGTGGAGAGAATCTTTTCAAGAGCCAGGGCGACATCAACGAAAGGTAGTTCCAGTGTTCATGTCGAAACCGATACTGGATTACGCAGCATCGACGGACACGCTCTTGACATCAGTGACGCATTGGCTGAGTTCTCGTTCCCAACATATCACCCAGATTCTGTGTCCCGAACAGGAAAACTCACAACTAATTTGGCCACGTCTCGCATTCGAACGCAGTCTGCAGAGACCTTATTCGATAGAACAATGTCAATGAAATTGGAAGGCGATACAAGTTGATTCGCGCGTTGAGGTTGTGGGTTTTCAATGCTGAAGACCAACCACTACAAAAGATGGATTTCGCCGCCAGGATTGCCTCAGGCGATCCGGAGTTCTTGAAGAATGCATTTAAGGCCATCAAAATCAAGTCATGCATCTTTCCTTGAGCAGACAGACGTGTATGCGTAGTTTTTATTTTTTTGCCTCAGCAGGAGGACCCTAGCTGTTGAGTCCTTTTTTGTTCAGCCACAGTGTAGTGACCACAAGTGGTGTCGCAAGCTCTGCTGAAGTTCTGCCTGCTGGTTCAGGCCGCCTACATGTTGCCAAGAAGAGACAACATATACGTCAGTCGTCAGTATGACCTTTCTCCGGCATCGTTCTGAGTGAGGCGGCCAGCCCCGGTCAATATTAATGTCACTATGGCAGGTTATCATTGAAAAGTCTAGTAGTATCGGCTGTGCTTCTAAGAACCAGTGCTAACTCTCACCTTGGAACTGGTAAAGTACTTTCTATCTGTCTTATCAACTCGATGTTCTGCTCAATGAAAACGAGGTGGAGGTGCCCTCAGCAGTCCGTCGTCCTCGGCAGATTGACCCTTTAAGCGCATGGCGTGCGCGACTAACGCCGCAGCCTCGTCAGGCCACCCCGTTGTGGCTTGTCGATTGTTCGTTTCTTGAATCTGACACAAGATTTGAAGGGAACAGACAATGGAAGCAGCCACGAAGCCCTGGTGCAGCTCTCAAACTCGTGTGTGGTCTCGACCTGATATTTGGGTCGATATTCAACAGCTCGCTCGATTGCGTTGAGTTGCCGAAGACGCGATGAGATTCATGTTGCGTTGGCACAAATGAGTCTCGATGAGAATTCGCAGGGGCTTCAATGCGCGAGAACTTCTTGCTTCTCTGGCGTCAGACTCACGGGCATACCAATACCGCCCGTTGCCTTCGCCTATTTCTATCCGCCTACTTGAAGTCCATGCTGCCTCACCTTTTCTTGATAGCAGTGGGGGCATAGCAGTCTCACTACGCACGTTTTCTGTCGAAAACGCCCCTCCGTTCCAAGCCCTGTCTTACACATGGGGCTATCCGTTGATTCCAGAGTCCCGACCCTCACGGAGCAGCAACTGGCGCCGTCTTGCGTTTGTGCAACGGGTACAGGCTAGGACTCCCCGTCTGCTCGACCTGGATAGCCATCACGGTATTCCTGGAACCAGCATCGGGACATCGTCTCCCTCCACTTCCCAATCTCAGAACCTCCCGGTGCTGCGCACAAGAATCACGGAAAACACTCCGTGTTTCCCGGTGAAGTGCGAGGGTCGCAATATCCGCGTGACGGCAAATCTACATGATGCGCTTGCCATGCTGGCGCGACGGCGCAATGCTACTTCGGGGCCCAAATACATTTGGGTGGACGCCCTGTGCATCGATCAGTCCTCCCTGGCGGAGCGAAATCAGCAAGTCAACCTGATGGCGGACATCTTCAAGGCGGCGCAAGGCGTGGTTGTGTGGCTCGGTGAAGAGGATGAGTTCACGCAGGACGCGTGCACGGTAATGGAAAGAATTGCGGCTGTTCCCAGGGAGAAGTGGCCCGGAGTTCCCTATACAGGCTTTTACGACAAGGACGGCTCTTGCTACCACGAGCTTGGGATTGAGCCTTTGAGCTATCAAAACTGGCTGGGTTTAATCGCATTCATGAACCGCCCCTGGTTTTCTAGATCCTGGGTGGTCCAGGAGCTGGCGCTGGCGAGAAAGGCCACTGTCATCTGTGGGAGTCGAGTGCTGCCGTGGGAGCAACTGGCCAAGACGATTGAATTCATCCGTGCCACCAAATGGTATCATCACTTATCCACCGAGAAGATGCGGCATATTCCTGGGTTGGGGAGTTCAGGAGCGTATAAAAAGCTTTTAGCAAGCAATACCAGGTTCGGGCTGGAGCCCGTGTATCTCAACAACACACGGAATGCGCTGCAGTCGTATTCCCAGCGGGAAGATAACGGCAGCCCGTCGCTCAGGATACTAGTGGACACGCATAGGTATACCGCCGCGACTGATCCTCGAGACAAGGTATACGCTTTCCTGAGTCTGTCGAATGCAACAAAGACGTCCCCAGAGAAACCCGACAGGATCAAGCCAAACTATCAGACTCCCGTCCACAAAGTATACACAGAGGCTGCATGCACTCTGCTCCGGGGTACGCGGAATCTGAACCTGTTATCCCATGTGCAGGACCGATCTTCGACCAAAATCAAAGGTCTTCCATCTTGGGTTCCGGACTACTCTGTGCCTCTTTCGCCGTATCCGCTTGAATTCCGAGGGAAATGCAACTGGTCGGCCTGTGGAAATCTGAAATGGAAGGCACCCCGTGACGAGACGATGCTCCTCAGAGGCCTTTTGCCAATACAAGGCTTCCACATTGATACCGTCGCCGAGAAAGCCGTCATGCCGCACGAAGCCACAGATGCTGGAGAGCCATGGGCCAGCATTGTGAATCTCGTTTTCCACCTGCCGAATCCCTATTCTATGCCACCAATTCGGAGCGCTCCGATCTCCCGCCTCGACGTCCTCTGGCGTACGCTGACCACAAACACGTATTCTCGGCAACATCCAGCTCCTTCTGAATGTGGAGCCTTATTCATCGACTATATTCTCAATCTGCAGATACGACACCGTTTGGCCCCGTGGTCATCGCACGACACTGATTTTCAACCACATCAAACACCCATCTCTACCCTCACCAATCCCGATTGGCACGGTCTCCTGGCGTCTGAGCCTGCAGATTCTCCGTACAATCTCTCTTTCTATCGCGATCGATTGACTGCGTTGGTCGAGAATATGTTGTCAAGCGATTCATACACGCCGCTTGATCTTGCTCAATTACATCATGATATCGAGCACGGGTCTGGAAGATCGCGAAGGCTGTTCCGGACGAAAGACCTATTGCTCCTTGGCACGGGCTCTCGCTCTCTCCAGACAGGAGATGAGGTTTGGATTCTGGGAGGCGGTAAGGTACCGTACCTCCTTCGTCCTGTTAATAGAGAAACAGATGGTCAATATCTGGGTGAGAGAACCCATCGTTTGGTTGGCGAAGCATATGTCCATGGTCTGATGCACGGCGATCCACACCGTTTCGATCTGGACATGGTGGAGACAATTTTGGTATAAACGCCGCCACTCCATGAGCCCTCACCTTCACAGACAGGTGTCGAAGAAAGAAGGGTTTTGTAAGCAGGGAAGTCACCAGCATATACGAATATCTCACCGGAGGGGTCCGCTGGAATTTATACATCGTGCCCTAATGAAAGAAGTCAGCATGGTCTTACACCGGGAGAAGTGACAACATCAACAGGTGCAAAATTGATCATCAGAAAAATTCGAGAAGATAAGTGGCTGGTCGGTTTAGACACTGCGTCCAAAAGTCCAGGGTTGCGAAGATGATCTTCAACCACTGTAACGGAACGCTCCTCTGGCCCCAGCGGCCTCGTCATTGAACAAAATCTGAGGCGAATGCAACGAGCACTTACTTGTTTGGACCGATGCCTGACCGAAACGAATGCCACTGAAAAGGGATCAGCCCACATTGATTTCCAGTTTCCCTCTCCTCGCTCTCATCTCCTCCACTTTCTTTTTGTCCTCCTCAAAACGTTTCACCATGTCCTCTTGCTCCAGCTTCCGTCTCTCCCGCATTTGGAACCTATAGAAGTCCTCCAACGGCTGGGTTTTCTCTTTCTGCTTCTCCGCCGATTCCTTCGCCTCGTCCATCCGCGCGCTGCCTCTTGATCCTCGGGTAACGGTGATGAAACCATCTTCGTCGGGAACCGCGCGTTTGCGTGCGTTTTCGCGAGACCGAGACTCTTCAAGTTGCGCGTAAGCAGTCATATATGCGTTGACTGAACGAAGAAGGTCCTTGCGCGCGGGATATTGTAGCGATTTGTGGCGCTCATACCTCCTCAACCCGAGTCGCGGCATTTTATCCAGCACTAAATCTCCCGCGCCTTCCCATGCGATCGGCGTACCCGCTTTTGCGGCTCGTTGGGCGGCTTTGAGAGCGAGTTCCATGCTGGGTCTGTCCACAAAAACGACCACGGCCGATGCGCCACTCTTTTGAATTTCGCTGTCGAAGACATGTGGCAGCGAGTATGTGTCCAGTCCGGCCTCGATTTCTTCGAGAGACATTCTTTTGCGCTTTCGACTTGATTTCGTGGTGGAAGCGGGCTGTTTGCCCGGTGCATTCTCCGAAAAGTATATTTGCTGTATGCGACCGCCTTCGAGTTGGGTCGTGAACAGGTGTTTCAACGACTGTTCAGTAGCGTAGACTGGGATATTCACCAAGAACAAAGATCTAGGTACATCCTCATCGGGGATTTTGGGATCGTGACGTTTGAGGTAGAGGTAGTGGGTGGCTGCTTGGGAGGAAGTTCCTGTGCTAGGTATTTCCAATGGCAAAGCGGTGAAACCGCCTACCTCTCGGGGAGCCCTTACCATGGCGAAGGATATTGTCCTACGGAGCATACAAAGCAGACTTCAACTTTTTTTTGTCGCAGTCGGAGAAAGACTGCGCCATGTGGGGATTACAGACGGAGCCTTAAATGACAACAAATGACGGTCATGGTGTGTCACAACGAGGCTGTCTTTCATGCCGCTAAAATCACTTACATTCCTTCAACCACTTCCTTTTGGAAGGTACTACCTGTTGAGCAATCCGCATTCTGTCTTGTTCAGGCTGCCCGATCGAAACTCTAGCCAGATATGGGTGTACCTCATTCTTTCAGGCGTTCCAAGATATGACAAACAGCCCAACTTTCACCCCACCCTCCAGTTGGACATTTCAAGCGATTCTCGAAATCAGCGCCTTTGGTGGACAGGCAAACAATTTGGACAACGTTATCGGGATTGCGTTCATATGCCATCGCCAAGCTCTGCTGCACGGCCTCGGCTAACTAAGTATTGTTCAGAAGTCCGTCAGGGACAACAAGCTCCGGCTTCATCTTCTCGCGTTACCGATCCACTGGTTTCTCGTGTCTGGGGGGCACGGATAACTGCATCACTTGCCTGATGGAGGATAATATTCTTGTGGAACTAGCAAACATTGATCTTACTGGCCATCCTGCCTGTTCTCCCTACCCAATGCGTACATTCATTTCAGAGTCTCTTTCCGCGGCTAGAGTCCGTGCTATTTTCGCGAAGGTATTGCCTTGAACAGGAAGATTACCGAAAGCACGGAAGATCCTAGACTTGAGACACAACACCATCGGAGGATAATGATTGAAACAAGTTGGACACCGTTGACTGCACAAAATGTCTGGGTTTTGAAGAACCTCAACGAGGTCTATCCCCCATCGCACCAGCACGGATACCGATGATAGCTCATGATTGGCGCGCTGAGAGACCGGCTGCACGTGTGACTCTCTAGAGCGAAAGAATCTGGCTGTCCTTGACTGCAAACATCTCTCTTCCTAGCAGCATAACGAGCTTCACCAATGTTGTGGATTCCGTCGTAAGACTTCACTCAATGGCTTTTGCCATGCAAGGTCCCAAGCCAGATGCTTCAGTATTCAGTATAATTGAGTGTATATCTTCTCTGATCAAGTCTTGTATGGTTAGATCTTTACACACCAGCACCCGAACAGACGAGCTGATACGATGGAGGCCTAAGCGAAACGTCGTTGGGGGAAATCCAACCCTATTCGTCAATGCTGACGCCGTGTAGTGTGTCAACAAACTCAGTTTCAAGACATCGCAGACCTATGAGAGGTAAGAGAGGTTGAGGTGATGGTTGTGTGAAATGGAAGCGTCAGAAAGATGATGTGCAGCTTCGCTCAGTCGCCGGCAATGTTCTGATATCGGCCTAGCCTATAAATAAATAACAACGCTAGACGGCTTTTGGTACTAGCTGGTACTAGCTAAGAGTGACGTCAATCACGGTCCTTGGTACTCCGTATTCGGATTAGCGCGTCGGCATGCACCGAGTTCATCCTGCTGCTTTTCAACATCGGTCATGGAGCAGCAGATGCGATGAGATGAACTGGCAAACTTGACATCAAAACAATATACTACCGCTGCAAGCTCTCTGCAGGCACCTCGGCGCCTGGCGGGATATATCGAACAAAATCTTCAAACCAGCGGCAGCTTTCAGGCGGGAATAACAGACCATGAATCTGAATAAGCAAGCACGCCCACGAGGCTGGGCTGTTGAAGCTCTCGGCAACGAAGATGGCAGTCTGTATGGCAACCAAAGCCTTCATCGCACAGATCGCGGTCATTCTGTCTCTCCACTTCAACTTTCGTTGCTCTCTCATGCACCTTGAAGTATCTGACTGGTGCGGGTCTTCCCTCGATACATGAACTGCTTCTTTCTTTAGATGGATGTCCTCTACCACACTCCATCTCTCCGCAATGTTGCCATCCAGTGGTCAGCAATGTCTCACATCCTTTACGCGGAGACTGGGAGGTCAGTATAAGTTCACCTTGTTTTGGCACCTCGCATACCCTCGTCTTCTATCCTGTCAATAAACAACACAAGCGTCGAGAAAACATCCGTTCGTTGCATTATTAATTGAGGGGTCGTGCCTTTTCTTTCGACATATTCGCTCGTGTCCCGGCCGGTGGTTTCGAATTCTACCTTTGTACCTTTGAACATCTCAGCAGACTCACTCAGTGGATTCCCGCAAGATGTTGGCTTCCTGCTCACTGCTGCTCGCGGTCCTCGCTGGGTCGGCCCTGGGGCTGCCATTCCTGAATGGAGAAAAGCGTGATAGCAGCTACTATCCATACAGCACTACAACTTACAGCACGCCCTACTCGACATACCCCTCTTACAACCCCGTCTATACGCCTTCCACAACCTACCCATCTCTGGTGTATACGACGACTTCTATCTACTCTTCCCCAGTCTATACCAGCACTTCAACATACTCTTCTCCAATCTATTCGTCCACCTCGACATACTCTTCTCCCGTTTATACGAGCACTTCAACATACTCTTCTCCCGTTTACACGAGCTCTTCGACATATACCTCTCCTGTGTATACGTCCACGTCGACCTACTCTTCTCCCGTCTACACGAGCTCTTCGACATATACCTCTCCTGTGTATACGTCCACGTCGACCTACTCTTCTCCCGTCTACACGAGCTCTTCGACATATACCTCTCCTGTGTATACGTCCACGTCGACCTACTCTTCTCCCGTCTACACGAGCTCTTCGACATATACCTCTCCTGTGTATACGTCCACGTCGACCTACTCTTCTCCCGTCTATACGAGCTCTTCAACATACTCCTCCCCGGTGTACACAACGACCTCAACCTACTCATCTCCCGTCTATACAACCAAAACTTACTCTTCACCCGTCTATACAACCACAACCCACTCTTTCCCAGTGTACTCTAGCTCTTCCACTTATTCACTGTACAGCAGCTCCTCGACATATTCAACTTACTCTACTACGTATACCCCTCCGGTCGTCTATACTACAAAACCTTATACAAGTCCCGTTGTCTACCCCACAACGACCTACACAACGCCTTACACTTCTCCCTACACTTCTCCCTACACTTCTCCCTACACTTCTTCTGTCTACTCTCCGTACGTCACCCCGCCTGTATATACCACCCCGTACTCGACCTGCCCCGCCGCTCCCACCATTACCAGCACGATCACCTCTACAGTAACTGTGACAAGCACAGTAACATATAGTGTCACATCCACTGCGACATACACGGCCACCTCCACGGTGACGGATACTGTGACAGACACAGTCACCTCAACAACCACCGTGACAGACACCATCAGCAGTGTGGTGTACTCTTGCTCCACAAGCTACAGCAGCAGCACTACATATAGCAGCCCGACCTATTCAACCTCAAGCTACACCACACCCCCGTACAATCCCTACACGACCACGTATAGTTCCGCGGTGTACCCCGTCTACACCCCCTACACAACCACGCCTTACGGTTCGGGCTGGTGAGCCGTACATGATGCTTCGAACGGCAGGCTCCGACTCAAAAAAGTGCTACTGACTTGGGTTCATGGTCAACGGATCCTTCCATCTTTGTCTAGGTTCAACTACGACAAAGTCGCCTCCGCAAAGTCCCAGGCAGGAGGGTCGGAGACACTGCGGGAAGAAGAGTGGCCGCTTGACACAAAACCCGACGGTGTGGAACAAATAGTTTGTGATGGGCAGATTTTGACCGCGCACTGCAGCACACGATGACATTCTCTTTTGTTTCCTATGTACCTAGCTAGCCACGCTCCTTAGCTCAAGAAGGGGGGCAGCCCCTCATAAATTTAGTTCGATAATATAGTTGTCTCCAACACCAAACATGTTGACCGCCATGTTACTGACTTGTAGTCTGTGCCCTTCGTCCCGGACCAGCCCCGAGTCCTCCAGCCAAAAGACCAGTTGGTGTTGTTTTTGATACGCGTTTTCTTGGGGGAAAAAAGCTTAAGATGCATGTTTAAAGCATTCGTGAGACTGCTTCCCACGTCACGGAGCACGGGTAACGCAAGTCATGCCAGAGAGATCATATGCGGAACAGAGAACATCATGTTATCAGAAGCACCAAATGGCAGTGCGATCATGGGAACAAAGCCTTTGATCCAGATACTGTCAAGGAGAGTCACGCAAAGTTTGGCAGGCGTATTGTGTTGCGGCTGAAAACGAAGTTCTGACTCGACGACGACGAACTTGAAATGGTCGGAGATACGGGGCTGCTTGGCGTCATAAAACCCGAGACTTTGTTGATGTTGTCAAGGAATTAATTGACTTTGCTATTTAATTTTGTCTCCCCATCCAGCATCCTGTAGACACCATGCGGACAAACATGCTGAGGGTATCATCATCTGCTGTCCGTTGTTTGAAAAGCCATCCTTCGGTCGGCTGGCTCGCGACGCCAACACTCCGCGGGATCTCCTCGACCAGCTCATTATCGGCCACTGCGCTCCCCATTACCGCAACAGGACCACCTCCCAGTGCTCCCGTGCCAACCTCACCTCAATATGGCGACCGAATCGAAGAACGAAGAAGAAAAGCAGAGTTACTCAAACAAGGCAAAGAGCTCCGCGCAGCAACCCAACCGGGGGCGAAGACAGGTTCTCTGAAGAAAAGGTTTTGGAAAGAGGTACACGTCAAAGAAGTTCCCGAAGGGTACCAAGTCTATTTGGATAAAAGGCCTGTGCGAACTCCGAATAAATCGATCCTTACAGTCCCACGCTCGAAGCCGCATCTGGCACATGCTGTCGCGATTGAATGGGATCTGCTCGAATCTGCACAGCAAGCGTTGAAAAATCATAATATTCCTATGACCTCAATCGTGGCTCGAGCGCAGGACATCATTGAGTCAGAAGCACAGGGAGATGGCAAGGTCCGGAAGGAAATCATTGCAACCATGATGCGTTACCTGGACACAGACACGTTACTCTGTTGGGCACCAGAACACAAGCCGACTTCGTCCTTGGAAATGCAAGCTGAGCGAACAGAGTCGCTACGTGAGATCCAGATCAGGACGGCCAAGCCCATCCTCAGCTACCTCAGTACATCTGTGTGGCCTGGTGTCGAAATCAAACCTGTGCTGGGCGAAAACAGCATTCTGCCAACGCAGCAAGATGAAATGACGAGAAGCGTGATACGTGGGTGGATTTCTGGGCTGCCGGCATACGAACTCGCAGGCCTCGAGCGGGCAGTGCTGGCGTCAAAGAGTCTCCTCGTCGCTACGAGACTGCTGATCGAGTGGAGCGAGGAGTTCCGGGATATGCAACACCCCGGCAGTGAGAAGCGGTTTGGTATAGAGGAGGCAGCTGAAGCCTCGAGCCTGGAGGTCAGGTGGCAGACTGGGATGTGGGGGGAGGTCGAAGATAGCCATGATGTGGAAAACGAGGATATCAGACGCCAGCTGGGAAGTGTCGTTCTGCTCGTGAGTGGAAGCCGATAAGTCTGTCGAGGGATGACGGAAACCACATGCACATTCACGTTCCCCAACGCCAGAATTGAACTTGGAGACTTTCGAAATATATCTGAATAGGTTCTTTATGAACTGGACCAGCGTGTAATGTAACAAGGAGGATACCCGAGTAGTGGTTTGATACCTCCGTACAAGCAATAGAACATGTATTACCAGAGTATCGGGACCCGATTAGACAGTTGCCGTCCGCTCTGAGAGCATTATTGTCGTTCTTAGCTCGCAGCTGCGCCTTTCCATCATCCAAGCCCGAGATCCTTATATCTGTATGTATGTATGTATGTAGGTATGTATGTATGTATGTACACTATGTACATATATGCGGACGCCACCCTGGCGGTTGAGAAACGTTAAGTGGTGGCCCGGGCCGAATGGCGACTCTTCAGCCACAGCGTCGGGAGAAAATGACGTCTTGATCTGATTCCAAATGCCCAGATGCCGCCGATCACAGCGATCAATCCCCTCGGAGACTTCTTTCTGCCATGTTTTTTCTTGTACAGCGTGGACTTGGCCCGACGATATATTTCCTGGATGGGCAAAACCCTGTGCCTGCAACGGTCCCTGCGTTAAAAGGGAACGGTGACCATGCGCACCGCCACAGGTTGGGAAGCAAGGGCCCAGGTCTGGGTGCCAGAGTACATATTATGACGATGCTCGCCTCTACGATCTGGCTACGGCAGCTGTTCTTTCATGTTCACAGCAAGCCCGGAAGGTAGAGTCCTGAAGCTGCTGCGACAACACATCGATGACCCTGAGCACATTTATTTGCCTGAACCCGACTCATAGGATCTTACACATCCATAAAAAAGGGATCACAATCCCTTATTTGCATTGAACCGAGACGCACAGGAATCGCCGGGAGAGAAGCACCACTCAGTCCACCAGGAATGTGAACTGACCAGTGGGCGAGGATGAGAATTCCACTCTTTAAGCGTCTGGTCATCACGACCTTGAACATCCTCTTCCCGCCGCTCGCGGTCATGCTGATCACGGGGCCGAATGAAGACTTCATCTTCAACTGCGTCATGTTCATCCTGGCCATCATCCCCTCGCACATCCACGGCTTCTACATCTCCCTCACCTACTTCAACCGCAAGAGAAAAGTGCGCAAGGGCGTGTACCCGGGGAAGCCCAAGCATTTGATCTGGAGCGATCGAGTCAACAACGGGGGCGCAACCCGCCGGGAAATGGAGAGACTGAGGTACGAGAAGGAGCAGGGACAGGGACGGTCTAGCCGACGAGCCAGTCGCAGAGGGAGAAGTTCATCGGGACGTGATGGTTCCCGCAGGCGAGTCGAGAACTGGGACGACGGGTACAAGGAATATGCAGGGAGTCCGCAACATAGCCGGCTCGGGAGACACAGGAGCTACAGAGACTACGACCATGACTCGGACCGGTGAAGCCGGAAGAAACTCCTGTGGCCACGGGCACGACGGCCATGAGAAATAGTCTTTACTTGCTCTTTTCTCGTTGCAAATGGCCGACTACGATACAGGAGAAGAGTCTGGGAGCGGCGGTCATCCGCCGCAAGGATGAGCAATCCCATAGGACAGCCCAGTCAGTCAACGGAGGCAACCCATCGGCTCGTCATCGTAGCCAGGTGCGTCCATGGTCTCAACTCTAGGATAGGGAGAAGCTTCGTCCAAGAACCAGTCAAATCATAACTCCAGCCGTATCATGCTTCCATCCCACTCGATTCGTACGGTTTGAAATGTCTGTGTTTGTTCTTCCTCTATTCCCATGTCTTAGTATCTATATCCCTGTGAGATGGTCTCATTTGCAATGCTAGAGAAGACCTAGAGACCAGGGTCGGCTCCTTTCGGACATTTTCAGCTCCAATCCGTTATCGAGAGGGAATATCTCTGTCGCACGCTGGTAAGTTTCGCAGTTCATGTGTACCGTAGCCTCATCCTTCGTCCGTCGCAAAAGCTCACATTGCGTTGCTCATTCCAACCCGCCCGAAGCCCGTGTACATGTGTGGCCGTTGAAGGGTTTGCCTGGTAGCATAACCCATGGGATATCATATCATACAACACATTAGAGAATAAGAATTTATCATGCCATCACCCATAAAAGCGCAGGCCCAGTCTAACGCGTGTGGCTGATTCCTAGTCTTGACCATATTCTTTTCGCCAACCCCTGATCATTGTCCTCTTCTTTGAGCTGAGGGCCGTTACAAGGGAACGACCGGAATAGGGAACTAGCTTATGTCGGTCGCCTTTTCTCGTTCCTTTTCTCTCTCCTTCGCCGAGTTATCGTCGCCCTTGGTGGGTAAGGGATAGGGGCTGAAGTCGCGACTGCTGGTACTAAAATTCGACTGGACGGGAGGATGTTTCTCGCCGTAGGTGCCACCATTACTGCTAGACTTGTATGAACCCTGTTGCTGCTGCGGAGGAAAGTCATGGTTGTTCGGTACCGGCGTATTGATCGAGCTGGGATCCGTTGACACAGGGCTGATAATACTGTCCATGTTCCCATCTCCATCCAGGGTTACGGCATTCAGCCCGCGCAGGCCGCCCTCAATGTCCCTAACCAGGCGTACGAATTCTTCAGGCACGAGTCCACTCTCACCTGTCCTGGGATCTTCAGCCACCAGCCAGCCCTGACCGTGCCGATATGACACCAAGATTATCTGCCCTTCTTTCAAGGGCAATTCGTTCTGATGCTCGCTTTCGAAATCAAAGAGTGCGACAGCCTTGCCGTGCATTTCCTCGTCGGGGCTGGCAATGGTGAATGAATAGTCTTTTGAGAAACGGGCATCGTCTTCGGCGTCCGAGTATTCGTCTTCGGACACGGGCCCATCCTCGTCGTAGGGGGAAAGATTGCGCTGGAGTGGTTTCGCAAAGTTGGAATCTCGGTGTTGAGGCTCGTGAGGGAATCTGAGCGCGTGGGTGTCATAGGTCTCGACAGCTTCGCCGGGACCGTCTGTTTCCTCTGGATGCCCTGCTGCGCCGACCACGACGCCGCGATTAGGGCCAGCCGCTCCTGGCGATCTTCCTCGCTCGTTTGATTTGTGCTTTTTGTGCCTGCTCGTGGTGACGATGGGGGATTGAATATCCTCATCTTCACTATAAGGCGGCCCATCGTCTTTGAAGGTCATGGCAGGTAACCGATCTCGACTAAAACTGCTGGCGTTTGTTTCTGAAATCCACGGCGGTGTTGCCGACCACTGACCTCTGGAGTCGTCCCATGACGAGACAGCCGGGTCCGACAATCTTCTTGACTCGCTCGCTGGTGTGGAGAGACCTGATTGATGGGGAGGGGGACCGTAATGTAAAGGGTGCGTTGTCAGGTAGGCAAAGTCTCGGACGAGGGTATACGGTAGGCTCGAGTGGAAGGCGGGAAAGACATAGGACGTGGGCCGGGACTGCGGAAGGTAGGAACCTTTTGAATGCGTGGAAAAGGTCGACATCCGTCTCTCAGCATATGAAGTTGGTCTTTGCGAACTCGTGCGCCGCGCAGTCGGGGTGGTAGTGATTAAAGGAGGCAGACTCGGAGGAGAGGTGGTGGCCGTGGCCAGCGGGGGGGACATCGCAGGTGGTGAGGCTGTGATGGTGGCCATCCTGACCGTTCAAGAAGGACGGGATCGGTCGCCAGATGTTGAGATGGTTAAGGAGGAACAGTAGTCGCAAACGAAGAAGGATGTAAGTGTTGTGCCTTGTCGAAGCGCGCCTATAGGCACGAGACGTGGGCAACGAGCAGGAAGCGGTGGGCGGCTAGGAAGGTGTCCAAGGTGCCAATGGCGGCGGTGAATCTGGAGAATCGAGAAGCACAGCGCGCGCGCTTAGCGAAGAGGGCGAAGAGGGAGGGTGTCGAGGACGAGGAAGATGAATGGGAGTTGGAAGGCGTCCCCAGAAGCCAGCTACAAGCGGCTGAAGGGTCCTGATTAAGATAATGAGCAGTGTGAAGACGTCGAGTCAAGCAGTCGAGAATCAGGCGAGGCGAGAACGGCGAGGGTCGAGAAAGACGCCAGATCTAAATATAGCGACAACAGAGAGATGTGATGGGCCGAAACGCAGGCAAAAAAGTCCAAGTAGTGTGCCCCGGGGGGATTAGAAGAGCAGCAATGTCAGGCGATGGGCCATGTTGGTGGTGGTAGTGGTGGTAGTGGTGGTAAGGAGGATGACAAGAAGAGTGCTGCTCGTGTAAGGCAAGGCAGGACGGTCAGCGCCAGCCTGGTAAACAAGAATTGGGAAGGAGAGGAGTCGGCAGCAGGTTGTATGGTATTCGCACGGAGCAATGTTGTCGAGATCGTGGGACCTGGATCGTGAGAGGAGAATGGGTTTAACTGGCTTGAATGGCTTGAATGGCTTGACTGGCTTAACTGCTGTAACTGCTTTAACTGGGCCTTCACGCCTGGTCCTACCTCCAACTGGAATGGGCACCTAAACGGGGGTAAGAGGGTAAGGGCGGCTTCCAACCACAGGCGACCAGAGACACTCCAGACTCCCCACAATCGCTCACTAGGCGTTTCAGATGCCGCCCAAGTCCCGCCGGGCGTCGTTCCTTCTGTCCTCGCTTGCATGGAGAACTTTAGCCGCATCTTGATCCTGGACCGGGAATAATTTTCTGCCCTGTTCTCTCCGATCTTGACTTCGATATACGAAAGTACATTCGATATCTCCAGGCTTTGTCTAAGCTCCAGCTGTGAACCACGGTGAGTGCGTTCAATTCAAATAAACACTTCCCCTCTGTTGTTCGCCTTCCTGTGATGACTATCTTATTGGAGCTGTCCTATTCTCTTGCTGCGGACATCCACACATAATACGCAAATTTCAAACCTCTGACTGCGAGCCGCGTTGAACTTGTTGTCTCCCCCACCTTCAAAGAAGTCTACTGACTTGGAACTGGTAGTTATGCTATACTGGCTGTAGAACTGTAAACCACTGGTGCCACCTTCTATTCCTCTCTCGTCATGTCCGCAGATCCTCGACGTGCTCGCCTTCAGGCGCGAACACACACGCCGCAACCTGCTCAACCAACACCACAACCCCCCTTCACTGCCGCTCAAGAAGCTCTTGCTCCGTCGACGATTGCTCCAACACCACAGACTGATTCGCAAATCATCCCTCCGACAGGACTCGACGGTACCATCGATCCATCCACTCCACCCGCCACCGCAACGCCGACCACCCTCCCGACCGCTACCGCGCCATCTCCTTCACCCGCCACGACTTCACAAGATGAAATCCCCTTTAAACTCAAGTTTTGCACGGTCTGTGCTTCCAACAACAATCGCTCGATGGAAGCTCACCTTCGTCTCTCTACTTCGTCGCACCATTACCCCGTCATCTCCTTCGGCACCGGGAGCTACGTCCGCTTGCCAGGACCCTCTATCTCACAGCCCCAGGTTTACAATTTCAATACCACCTCCTACACAAAGATGTACGATGAACTCAACGCACAAGACTCACGGCTGTATCGAAATAATGGGATACTAAACATGCTTGATCGAAATAGGAAGATAAAATGGGGCCCGGAACGGTTTCACGACTGGATTGTGGGCGCAGCCCGGATGGAAGCCTTGAATCGAGGCGACAAAGGCGCCGAGGGAGCGGAGGGTGGTGTGGTCGACGTCATCTTTACCTGCGAGGAACGATGCTGGGACGCCGTGGTGGATAATTTGTTGGATCGTGGGGCTCCTTTGAATCGGCCTGTTCACGTTTTTAACATCGATATCAAGGATAACCATGAAGAAGCGCTGGTCGGTGGAGGAGCGATTCTTGAGCTGGCTGATAGCTTGAACGAGGCGGCCGTCCAGGAGAGACAACTAAGCGGCACCCAGGGATGGGAGAATGGGACCGGGGCGGCGAGGATGAGCTTTGATGAGAAAGTTCCTGAGATTCTTGCTCGATGGCAGGAACGGTGGCCGAATTTACCAGCATTGTGGACTCTGTCATGGTTTTAGAGATATGAGATGGCAGTCAGATCACAGCATGACTTGTCCAGCCAGGTTGGTCCATCGTCTTTGAACACTTAGCGAGGCGCTGGAGGATATTGGTTCACGCTGTAATGTCTCCGTATATGATTCTATATCTTGCTCGCCTTTTCTATTCCCTTTTCCCTCCTTTCCTTGAGGACGTCCTTTCTCAGCCCGATCTCCACGTCCCTTGGCCCCTCTTTGTTGAATTTCACCAGCACAACATAGTCATCGTCCCCCTTCAATCCCGAGCCCTTCAACTCGGGACCCGGCTTATCCAGCGCGAGCACGCTTCGTCCGTCCTCGCCAAAACTCATGCCGATGGGAGAAATAAACTTCTCCTTCCACGGAACTGGTTTGCCTTCGGTGTCGATCCGTCGTTTCAAGATCTCCCTCTTTCGCAAGATATCTCCCTCCCCGTCACCGGGTGCATCAAGGATCTCTGAGACCAGATACAGCAGCAGGAACTGCGGCGGAAACAAGATGATGTCTCCGCTTCTCGCCATACTCAGCCAGTCCCTCGCAGTCCGCCACTCTGGCGCCATGGTCTCGATTTGATCTGCTGTCGCGTGGACGCTGGGATTGCCCTTCTCCGAGGGGTCGACAAAATAGATGTACATCTGCGTGGTGAACCGTTTTGGTACATTGGGCGGGGTGATCCAGTGGGTGAACGGGATCAGGCGGTCTGTGTCGAGAACGGCGTTGGGAGAAACGGAAGAGAGCCAGGATTTGAAGGGGATCTTGCCCTTGTGCACCGCCTCGCGACCGGCCTTCCTTACGGCCGTGCTGACGGGGAGTAGCGATTCTGCGGTACTGGATTCGCGAGCCAATAATATCCCCGTCTCCTCGAACAGCTCCCTGATCGCGCCGGTGCGGTAGGCGATGTTTTCCAGATGCCGATTCACGTCCTTGGGGTCACTGGGCACGTCCCCGTCACTGGGTTCGAGGTTGCCACCAGGAAAGACATGCGCCGAGGGGAATGCACTTGAGGTCTGGACACGGTGAAGAAGCAGAATCTCATTGTTCGGGGAGACGAGAATCGTGCTGGCTGAGGGAGAAGCCGGCTTGGGAGATTTGTGCTCGGAGTAGCCTCTGACCTCGAACTTGGCCTTCGGTTTCGCAGACATGGTGAAAGCAACGTCCACAAAGCGGTTCACAAAGTTACCAACAGTTCGGAAGTGGCGGCAGGGGATAAATGGATGCGCCCTGTCTGATTCCGGTGTAGATAGCTGCCAGTACTGTCTAGTATTGGTAGTGCTAGAGTATAGAAGCCGATAGGGTAAGCGTCGTGTCGAGCGAGGATAGCGGCACTGTTGCGAAGGGTACAGATATAACCGACTGGAGTCTAACAGAGGAATATAAGAACACGAAGACGACCTGCCCAGAAATCTACATGACGGGGATGAGAGAAACAACAACATTTGAGGGAAAATTGGTCGTGAACGGTAAACGAGTGAGATGATAACCCTAGACCGAGGCTGAACAGAAGGAGCATTTGGCCCGTGGGGGGATGAGAGTTGTAGATGGAGAACTACTGTGTGGGCTTCGTATGAGGTACCGTATGAACTGGCTGGCTTGCTCGGCTTTCGCCCTGAGGCTCGCGTAACTCGTTCAATAGGAGTGAGACAGTGCCTTGCAGAGCCGAGAACGCGCCGAGGTCCATTTATGTCTGACGAAAGGCGGACTTACAAGTGTACGTGGCTACAAGGAAATATACTCGTTGACTGGTTAGAACAGATACCCGTTCTGTCTCTGTCTCCGCCGTGACACACCGCTGCTGAGCGAGTCCTGGGACTATCTCTGATCTATTTTGTATCTTTTTCAACTGTCCGTGGGTATGTCATTCCAATCATGAAATCATAGAAACTTGTCAGATGGCGGAAGTATCACACTCCTTCCCGCCCAGTGAACGCCCGCTTCGCCTTCGCCATGCTGTTGTTTCGGCTTTGTGTGGAGCTCCTCAAGAGTAGAGCTTCTTCTCGAAACTGTCCAAGCCATGCACATTGCCTTCAGCTTGGGCACTGACTGTCCGGAGCTCAAACCGCACTTTGCCACTGGCTACCTCGTCGCGGAACTCGGCCAGGCTCTTGCAACCGATATCTTGAAGAGAATGTTGGAGACCAGCGAGCAGGTAAGGCACGAACTTGGTGACAGAGCCTCGATCCAGTACAGCTCCCGAGACGCCCTGCGCCACCAACAGTCGATCACCCTCTGAAAAGTATCGTGCTGTTCCAGCATTGCTGGCTTTGGAGTTCTTGCCTCCACCACCGGCCTTCTTGTCTTCCATGGCATCGATGCTGCCCATGCCTCGGTACGCTTTGACCAGCTTACCTTCGCGGTTGATGTAAGATTGGCCAGGGGATTCAGTGGTACCGGCAAGGAGACCACCCATCATGACAGTCGAGGCACCCATCGCGATACCCTTGACGATGTGGCCAACATTCTGGATACCGCCGTCGGCAATACAAGGCACGCCGAATTTGGCCGCAAACGACGATACGGCATGGACAGCTGTAGCTTGAGGTCGCCCCACAGCCATGACCTCCTGTGTGATGCAGGCACTGCCACTGCCCATGCCAATTCTCAGGCCATCGGCACCAGCAGCGATAAGGTTCGCGGCTTGTTCCCGAGTCACCACATTTCCAGCAATGACGTCAAGTTGGGGATACTTTTCTTTGATGTATTTGACCATATCGATCTGATACATGCTGTTACCCTGGCTGCTATCGAGAACCACGATATCCAGCCCGGCATCAACCAGCTTCTGCAGTCGGATCTTATCCTCGGGTCTAGTACCAATTGCTGCAGCCGCAAGCAACTGCTTTGAGAGGGGTAGTTTAGAGGCGAGAGGGTAGTTGAGGTTCTTGAGAAGGTCGGACCGGGAAAGGAGGGACACTAGGTTGCCGCTTGCGTCGACGATGGGCAGTTTACCTTTCCTTGACTTGCGGAGGACATCGTTGGCCTCGGCCAATGTAGTGCCAGCTGGTGCAGTAATCAGATCTTTCGACATGACCTCCGTGACCAAGTCATCGGGACAAGGGTGGAACTGGATATCGCGTGTGGTAATAATGCCAATAAGCTTAGACTTGAGCTGTCCGTTTTCTATTCGTGTTGTCAGCTGCTGTCCATTCCCAAGACTCGAAGACAAAATGTAGGATTCAGCGTGGTTCTCAGACAGAAATCTCCATAATTCCCCATTGCAAGTTCATGCTGCGGATGAACGAAAGTTTAAAAGGGTAAATAGTTTTGGACATCATTGAAGGATAGGGGCGAGGTGACCATAAGGTTGTTTGGGAACATACCGGTGACAGGGAACCCGCCAAATCCCCATTTCTCTTTCAGCTCTTTCGCCTCTCCAACAGTAGTCTTCGGGCTGAGGACAATTGGGTCGGATATGAATCCGTTTTCGTATCTCTTGACTTTGCGTACCATATCGGCCTGCTCCTCAGCAGAGCAGTTGTGGTGGATGATACCGAGACCGCCCAGCAAAGCCATATGGATAGCCATCGAATCTTCAGTGACAGTGTCCATGGGCGAGGAAAGAAGCGGAGTTTTCAAGGTGATTCGTTTGGTGATGGGCGAATCGAGGGTGACCTCAGACGCAGGGAAGCCTGTGCACGAGTATCAGAATCATGGTTTCGAAGCACAAAGAATTCAAAGGGGTAACATACCAATATATCCAGGCAGAATCAGGAAATCGTTATAAGTCAGAGCACCATTTTTGTTCGAGTCCAGAAGGGAGTTGATGTCGAGCCCATCGCGAGTGCCGTAGTCGGAATCGAGAACTTCGAGGGCTTTCCGATAGTCCAGTTTCTCCCCTTTGCGGGTAACAGAGGTGCCGTTGGCGATGTCTCCATTCGCAATCGGCATCTTGACGAGGAATTTGGAAAGAGGTTTCTATCAAATACAGCAGAGGGATCATACAGTTGGGCTGCTGGGGTCAGGGAGGGCCTTTCCAAAGGAAGGGAAAAATTTCAGAAGGTCTTGAGCAGAAAGGGGATTTTGAATGAAAAGGCGGAGAGCGGGTGGCCCCTGCGCAGCCAATCGTCTCTGTGTGCGACCCCGACCAATTATCGTGCACCTCCTAAGCAATCTTGGCATTCGGTGTCCCGCCATCCGTTTTGAGCACAGATGTAAACAAAAAGCGTCAGGTCAGAAACTGCAAGTTTCATTTTCTCCCCTCAACTCACTGGGTGCTGCGCGGATAAATCAGAGCACTCTACAATCCAATATCACTGTCTAGGTCTGCCAACGACTTGATATCCTTCAAACATTCGAAGTGTTCATTTTGCAACTCCTCAACGTGGCACCGCTGGCGAGCTGAATGATACCTTGCGCAGACGGTTGAGGATGCGACGCAAGCCTCGAATACGACCAGTTCCAAAGCTCTTCTACATTGATCTTGCATTCCACGTCTCTCCGGGATGTCGCACTACGCACTTCGCCGTGCCCAAACAGACAACCAATTCGGGTTTCCTCAACGACAGACTTCGACTGCTTCGACTACTTCTTCCATCTACTCAGGGGCGTCCAGTGCTTTTCTTCCCAGCCGTACCAGCACGGTCACTTCCACTAACTCCAGTATCTATTCAAGAGGCTCTCCAGGTCACAAGCGGTCAAACACAACCATTGAGGAAATGACGCCCACCAGGACCTGTGGTGGGAGCAGCAGTGTAGAAAATAGCCCAGACCATGTATATCGCAACATCCGCCAAAGCCTGCGTCCTCTTCCTCAAGCTCCATCGCCGACCACGACACCCAATGCTCGCCGTCCGAGTCCCTACCACACCCGAGCTCACACCATCGACCGCTTTCCTCAGACTGCCTCCGAAGATCCATTGGAGGACAAGCACCTACATGAGCATCATCAAGACATGCATCAAGGCAGAACTCATACTCACCAAGGCTTATCGAATCCCCACGCAAACACATTCAAAGCCCCTGACCTTCGTGAGCTGCAGAAATCCTCTACAACCTATCTGAAAACCTTGTCGAAATTTGCCCAAGAAGGTGAAGCCGAAGAGTTTGGAATCGCAGCACCTAGCCAGTCTGTTACCGGATTGCATAATCGGAGACAATTGAAACGCACCGACTCAGTCGCAATAGGCGCTCGGTCAGTGGCTAAGAGTTACGGATGGGGCGAAAGAAACTGGATGGACAAGCAGCGGCAATTCTTGCAGGCCTACGAATATCTCTGCCATATTGGGGAAGCGAAAGAATGGATCGAAGACATTATCAACAAGCCAATCCCACCCATCGTGCAACTAGAAGAGGCTCTACGCGACGGAGTTACACTGGCAGAAATTGTTCAGGCATTCCATCCCGACCAGCGCCTCAGAATCTTCCGCCATCCGAAATTGCAGTTCAAACACTCGGACAATATTGTCTTGTTCTTCCGATTTCTCGAGGACGTGGGCCTGCCGGATCTGTTCCGCTTCGAGTTGATCGATCTATACGAAAAGAAAAACATTCCGAAAGTGATCTACTGCATCCATGCCTTGTCGTGGCTCCTTTACCGCAAAGGCATGGTCGACTTTCGGATCGGAAACTTGGTTGGTCAACTTGAATTCGAGCACCATGAATTGGAACAGACACAACGAGGCCTCGACAAAGCTGGGGTTAGCATGCCTAGTTTTTCAGGAATGGGTGCCAGTTTTGGCGAACCCGAGCCAGAGCCTGAGCCAGTGGAGACCGAAGCAGAAAGAATAGATAGAGAGCTACGGGAACAAGAAGCGATCATCTCAGACTTTCAAAATCAGGTACGAGGTGCGTTGGTCAGAATGCGACTGGGCGATGTGATGCAGCGGCTCTGGGACGCAGAGGATTTCATCGTCGAAATTCAATCGCGCGTTCGCGGTGACTGGGCAAGACAAATTGCCGATTACAGGCTCAATATGCAACGGTTCAGCACGAATCTCCAGGCTGCGGCCCGTGGGTTTCTGATAAGACTGCGACAGCAGAAGAAGGCCCAGCAATGGAAGTCGAAAGCAAAGGATGTGCTCAAGCTTCAAAGCCTCTTCAGGGCGGGCCAGGTCCGGACCCAAACCCATTCCATCAGGTCACAGGTACAAACGCATGAGTCTGGTATTCGCAATCTGCAAGCTGCCATTCGAGGGGCACTCTCTAGGCGAGACGCATTCAACCAGTACGAGGCCACCAGGACAGCAGAAAAAGAAGTAATATCACTGCAAGCTGTCGTTCGCGGCATGCTGACCAGAGCTCGGCTTCAAGACGATCACGGATTTCTACAAGAGGAAAGCTATGCGATTACCCAATGTCAAGCTGGAGCAAGGTCGTTGCTAGCAAGAATAGCTCAGAATAAGCTGCGACAAGGGCTACTCAACTCGGCGCCGGCATGGGCTTCACTACAAGCCATCGTCCGAGCGGGTCGAGTCCGTACCACACTTTCTGATCTAAAACAGTCCTTGAGATCACAGTCTACGTCCATTCGCGATTTTCAGGCAATCCTCAGAGGCGCAAACGCGAGGGAAGCCTTTAGCTCGCTGAAGCTTTCTCTACTGCAGCACTCAGCCAGTACGATACCGGTGCAGGCTGCCATCCGTGGCTTCACGAGGCGGAATCATATGCAAAAGCAGCAACAGAACCTTCAGAGACATGCGTCCAAGTTCACCCAACTCCAAGCACTTTCTCGCGGAGCACTTCTGCGAATCCACACAGGAGAATTACTCACAGAGCTTGGTAAGACTCAGGATGAAGCAATTCAACTACAAGCCCTGATTCGTGCCATGCTCTGCCGAAGTCAAATTGGCGATTTGCTGAGTGAGTTGGAAACACACGATGAGTCTATTACCGAACTACAGGCCCTTATGAGAGCAGCCGCTATCCGATCCCAATTTGCAGAGAAGAAGCGTTACTTCAAAGAGAACATGGAAAAAGTGATTAAGATCCAGAGCGTTGTTCGGGCTAAGATTCAAGGAAAGGCGTATAAGAGCCTCACTGCCGGAAAGAACCCTCCTGTGGGGACGCTGAAAGGCTTCGTACATCTTCTCAACGACAGTGATTTTGATTTCGAAGAGGAGGTTGAATTTGAACGACTTCGCAAGACTGTGGTCCAGCACGTTCGTCAGAATGAACTTGCGGATCAATATATCACGCAGTTAGATATCAAAATTGCTCTCCTCGTCAAGAACAAAATCACCCTGGATGAAGTTGTCAAACACCAGCGACATTTCGGCGGCCATGTCGGTGCTCTCCTCCCCAACTCGGACATTGCTTCGAAGGATCCGTTCGACTTGAAAGCGCTGAATAAGACCTCCCGGCGAAAATTGGAGCACTATCAGGAACTCTTTTTCCTGCTTCAGACTCAACCTCAATATCTGTCAAGACTCCTGAGACGTATCAGGGAACAGGCCACTGCGGAAAAGGAATGTGACCGGGTCAAACATCTCGTCATGGGCATTTTCGGTTACGCCCAAAAGCGAAGGGAAGAATATTATCTCGTTAAACTGATTGGCCGGTCCATCAAAGAAGAAGTTGACTGCTCCGCCTCTCTTCAAGACTACCTCCGAACGAATTCATTTTCCAACAAACTGTTTGGAGCATACAGCAAGTCGCCTCGCGACCGTAAGTTTTTGAGAGACATCCTCGGCCCTCTTGTCAAAGAGAATATCATTGACAACACTATGCTCGATCTCGAAAGTGACCCTCTTCAGATCTATGTCTCTGCCATCAATAACGAAGAGCTGAGAACAGGACGACGAAGCCAGAGAGATCCCAATGTCCCGAGGGAGGTAGCCATCCGGGACCCAGAGACCAGAGCAACGTTTATTGCACACATGCAAGATCTCCGCGATATTACGGATCAGTTCTTCCTCTGCCTAGAAGACTGTCTGCAGCGGATGCCTTTTGGTGTCCGGTGCGTTGTTCAGCAGACATATGAGCATCTCGTCGCCCGATTTCCTGGCGAAGAGGCTGATTTTGTGCTTCAGCTCGTGGGCCAGTGGCTATGGCGTCACTACCTCCAACCTGCTCTCCTGGAGCCCGAAAAGTTTGGTGTCGCTGATCGAGCTATGACGCAAGAACAAAAACGGAACCTGGGGGAGATAGCAAAAGTGTTGAACCAGGCCGCCTCAGGCCGTGAGTTTGGCGGTGACAATGTTTACCTCCAGCCCCTGAACAACTACGTGCGCGAGTCTATCGGACGGTTCGCGGCAATCTGGAGTCATGGTGAGTGGATCAGACCCAACCTGCTTTTCTTCGAGCTAACCTTTCGGGCAGTAATATCAATACCACCGGCAGAAGAGCACTATGATATTGACGAGTTCAACGATCTTTACGCAAAGACAAAACCGACCTTGTACATCAAGATGGCCGATATTTTCTCCATCCACAAATTGTTGTCTCAAGAGATCAGTTCAATTTGTCCGAATCAGGACGATGTTCTCCGCGACATCCTGAGGGAATTGGGTAGTGTCCAGAGCAATGAAAGCGAACTCAGGGGTGTAAGCTCCAGCGAGATCAGTCTGACACTGACCCCCAAACTGTTAAACTCGGAAGATCCAGATGCGGATGTGAAGACTCTGCTGACCGAGACCAAACGGTGCGTCCTCTATATCATCCGGGTCCAGTCAGGGGCAAATCTCCTTGAAATATTGGTCAAGCCAATCACACCTGAAGATGAGGACAAATGGGAGATTTTGGTCAATGACGAACTCCGCGCTGGCAACGGGCGGCGTGGTGCTTATACCGACGTCCACAACCATCTCGACATCAGCAGCCTGTCATACCCCGATCTCAAGCGCATTGCTCTGGAAAATATCTTGCAGCTCGAGTCTGTCGGTCGCTTGACACGGTCGAACCAGTACCAAGACCTTCTCAACGCCATCGCTATCGACATTCGAACCAAACACCGGCGACGACTGCAACGACAGCGTGAACTCGAGAACGTGAAGACCACTCTGGCACGGCTTAACGAGCAAGCATTGTATCTTGAGCAGCAACTGAAGACTTACAATGACTATATTGAACAAGCCATGGTGACTTTGCAGAACAAGAAGAGCAAGAAGCGGTTCGTGATGCCCTTCAGCAAACAGTGGGAACACGAACGCGAGCTTCAGCGTTCTGGCCGATCCTTCAAATTCGGTTCGTACAAATACTCCGCACGAACTCTGGCAGACAAGGGGGTGCTTGTCCACTGGCGCGGCTACCAAGAGCGACAATGGGACCGAGTGGACTTGACCTTCTCTTCAAACGAAGTCGGCGTTTTCACGATTGACGGCAGCTCAGGGAATATGATGATCCCAGGAGCCAACGCTCAAGTGCCACTCGACGATCTTTTGCAGGCGCAGTTCAACAACACGCAATTCATGGAGTTCTTTGAAGGAGCGTTGCGCGTAAATGTCAACTTATTCTTGCACTTGATTATGAAGAAATTTTATAATGAATGAGTGATGACTGCATGCGTATGCATTCCTACAAAATCTGGGCAGATTGTGTTGGAGGCTTCTTGGAGGAGGAGGTCCTGTTGGAGACTGATAGAGGACCTCGGAAGTGGAATGAGAATCAACATTCTGGACAATAGTATTTGGTTCAGCCTCGTAAGTATGCCACCGCCTTGTTGTAGGGCTCAGCGGCTATCTTGCAGTCATATGAGCAGCATAGAATAAGAAGCTATTCAACACAGTTTCAAAAGGGTAATTAGCTTGGATACCCTCCTATACGCACCAAGGGCTGCTTCCTACACCCTCAAGCAGCTGTGCCGTCGGGATATCTGACCAGGCAAATCAAATGCTAATACTATTCATACACTATGCCATCCCAACGCCTTGCAGGCGTCCTCGGTAATCAGTCGTGTCTGTCGGAATTCGCCCTCTACGTCCCAATGTGGCAGGGACGGACGTATTGCTCCAACGACTACCCTTCCACGGGCCTTTTTTGCCGGTATCTGAGCGTGTCAAGGAACGTGCAGTCATTTTGGGTCCGTGCTTGAGTGTGTATACCTGGAAAGTCGAGGAAGAGCCAGGCACACCACGCGGCCATTGTTGCACAGAACGTCTGTGCGGACCTGTGTATGAGGGAACTGTTTACTCGTTTATAGTCTCCTTTGTTTGGTGATTTTCGACCAAGTGTGAGAACTGACTAAACATCGCAGACGCCCATCAGCACTTGTACCACCTTCGCAAGAAGCGCACTGCGGAATGATGACAGGCCACCACAAAAAGAGTTCAGGGGAGGATATGCTTTGCGCACAGCCCGAACTCATGGTGGGTGGCGGTGCTGAGTGAGTAAATTGATTTTGAAAGCTCTGCTGTGTTGGATCTCAAAAAGGAATATGCAGTCTACGGATTTCTCGGAAGCCAGTGTTGTTCTCGACTCTCATGATACCCACCCTGTGCAATCAGCCGCACCAGGATCAGGTACGGATTGTTTCGAGATAGGGTCCGTGACTTCCGGGCGAGCTACCCAGCTCGCAACGACAGTCCAGCAGAGATCACCTATACGCGTCTGCATACCACAGAAGTTGCTCATCCGCGCGCGGGCAGCTGGAGGGGGAACTGCCGAGGGAATAAGATGACCTGTCGCGCCTCCCTGTGAAGGAGCTTCCGGAATGATGATTGATGATATTTCAGGCCCGTCCTCACCGTGCAACAATGCAGATCTCAGCCTGATTTGTTGCAGAAGCTTATCCTGCCTGAAGCATGCAGCGTAAGGCCCGTTCTTCAGGCATTCGGCGAACCATGTTGGGTTGGCCTCCTCTCGAAGGCAGGAATCGTAAATAATAGACCGATCTCGTGCAACCTTCCAGGAGATTTTTTGGATCTGAGGAATTGTTTTCCGGATAATCGTTCCGTTGATGGCTCTGAATAGACGCGGAAATGCAAGGTACAGGTACAAGTGCACAGAAAGGTTCAGACACGGGCCCACACTCGTTGCGTCCGTTGCCGGCGTAACCTCACCAAGTCGAGATGTGTCATGGACGAGTTGGGACAAGTTCAGGAACACGTCTTGAATCTGTCATACGACGAGATGCGACTGCACCACGTGTGAACTAGTCTGGGATCCATGCCCAGAAAGCTGCCATACAGTACCTACCTAGACGATGGCGCGGATTTGAGATTGGATGACAAGAAATATATCATGAGACTTGGAAGGAAATTGTATTTGACCACAAACACGGAGTCACGAGGGACGACGAGTGTAGGATTCTTGCCGAAGTGGCTTGGGCTGGACTGGCTGGGCATTTGGTTATGCCCGGGAATGCAGTCTTCTGATCACCCCTTTTCCAGAGGAGAGATCTCTCGAAGAGCGGTTCGATAGATCGGAGATTCTCTTTGGGCGTCGGCACGCGGGACAGAGGGATAGCAAATGATATATGCGCATGATGTCAACGGCGGCACAAGGGGAATGTGGGCTGGGCTCGCAGTCAAAGAGGATGGCAGTTCGATTCATTCAGGACCCATCGATAAGGTATGCAGGTCAAAGGCTCTGCTGCCGTTGACAAGGCCCCCCTAAGATCGCCCTGCGACTATGTTCGCTTTGCCATGTCTGGGGGAACTATCGAATCGGAAGAGAAGTCGATCACTCTGAGCTGACGTGTTAGAGCTTCGACACTGGGAAAGGTGGAGAGCTCGGGTGGTGCTAGCTCGTGGCCAAAAGTTGGTATCGGCTCGTTAAGCCTGGCTCCCCTTGCATTGGAATGCCTGAAACGGTCGAATCAAGGTGTGCATGACCTCCCTCGCGTTCAGGGGTACCACCATCATGCGAGCGCTGTCTCTGCAAATCCCCGGTGACACTCCATGTGAACTGATCGATAGTCTGAGTGGGTAACATGCTTGGGAAAGGCTGTCGCGGCAGGGTAAGATGATTCTCTCCATTCGGTCTGTATAGGTGTAGGGCCCAACGGAAGTAAGCGGGAAAAGATCAAAAGGATAGGAAGAGCCGCGTGAATGGCAAATAGACTCTCCTTTTCTCTCGCATAGCTCTCCTTCTGTGCCTTGAATCCTTCTCAGTCCATCCATGAACGAATAATATTCCTCGAGGATGGTTCAATAGGTGTATATCTGATGCTTCTCGTCCAGAAATCTGCTCTTACCAATCCACATTGCTCGGGTCAGCAACCCATCAGCCATGGCGCACCACCAAAGACACCCTTCGATAGCATCGTCTACCAAGACTACCACGCCGACAGACAGCTGGGAATCGTACTTCGACTCGTGGGGGGTGGAAGACGGAGACGTGCCCGACATGGCACCACCCCCTCGGCGCACCATTATTGAGCCTGTGATCGTGAATGACGAACTCTACGACCCGGAAAGCCTGCTGAATGCCGAATTCAACCTGGATCGTGCCCTGGATTTGGAGTTGGACTGGGATTTCCAGGACTATCACCACGACTACCAGGACAGGTGCTCCCCCAAGGTGTTTGGGAGATTGAATGACGCCAATCCGGCCAACAAGCGGCATGCGATTTGCGTCTCAAACCGACGGGCAGCGGCAGCGGCAGCGGCATGTGGTCAAAGCCAGACTCGAAGAGATCGTCGCCCAGCGACTGTGTCGACACCAATGGCCACCCGGCCTGATGACGTTGAGCGGATGGCAAATATGGGGATGACCCAGCCTCGTCAACCATTCGTGGCAAGGCAGGGGGAGATTGGCAGATCTGGCCATGCGTGCTTGACCAGGAGGAGGACCCTGCATGGGCGCCGGTCGGACTATTGTTTCGAGAGCTCCAGCAGCAGCAGAAGACCACACCGGGCACTGCAGCGTAAGGAGCATTTCAACAGGAACCCACCGCAGGCGGAGCCACCTGTAAGTTATTTTGCCCCCCCGCGCGACGCCTATCAAGCCCGATGATCTCATCACCCAGCAACCACGCCACCTCCCCTCTCGTGCCCTTACCCCCCCCCCCCCTAACCCATTACGCAGCACCGGCACCACTGGGAAGTACCACTGGCATCTCCAATACCTCGCCTGGGTAGCTACGTCTTTACCTAAGCCCTTGGTGCAAGGACTTTGCCCCTCCAAAACGACATCGTCACCCATCCGTCACCACTAACTCTTGCTACCACGCCCCTCCGTCCCCCGAATTCCTCTCACAAGCCCATCCATCTGCTCTCCCAATTCCAAACATCACACCATCCTTTCAATCTTTCACGACTTGCTCTCTCCCGACCACATCTCGTTTCCGCTTCTTTGTTTACGCCTATTACGCCCTCGTCCTCTTCGTCCTCCATTCCCCTCCCCGGCCCCGCTTCCTCCTTGCAGCCGCCATCTCAAAAACCAAGACCGGTCATTGGCACTTCACCTATTTCCGTCAAAGCTGCGCTCCGCTTATCCTGCTGCTGAATCATCCAGCTCGCCGTTTCCTGCAACCACCGAAAATCTGGGCCTCAAGAGACCCTACCTGCTACTATCTCTTGCCTACTGCCGTGAACTTTTTCTTCCCATCTCGCAACCTCGTGTGTCACGCTTTGGCATCGGCCACAATCTCTCGACCTCTCTTCCGCCTCTCCTCTGGTGTTTCCTTCACATCGCCCGCTCCCTTCACCGACCTGCTCTGGATCACTGGCTAAAATGAGCACCATTCAGAACCTCAAGAACTTTATACGTCATGGGAAGCAAGCCCGGGTTGCCGACCCTCCCCGCGACCATCCCACCACCAACGTCTCTCCTGTTCACGCCCAGCAACAGAAGTATCACCATGGCGTCAGCGAACCGATAGGCAACCATCATAGACAACTGCAGCATCACGCTCAACCTCAACCTGGTGAATACTCCGTCGCGGCCGGTAACAATCGAAATGTGGCTGCCCAGGCCGGAGCTGCCGCAGCTCACGCTGCGGGCAAGCACCAGAAAATCCAAGCAGACATCGAAGCCATTGTTGCCGAGGAAAGGGAAAAGGCCAGCAAGATGCCCCGATACCCCGGTCTCGAACGGTTCATCCTCGTGGAAAAGATGGGAGACGGCGCTTTCAGCAACGTCTACAAGGCCAGAGACACCCAGACGGGAGACGAGGTCGCCATCAAGGTGGTCCGCAAGTTCGAGATGAACCAGAATCAGGTATGCCGGGAGTCATGGGACACTGCCATGTCTCGGAAGTTTTCCCTTTCCTGCCCGCCTACCTCTTCACGCCCTGGCTTTGCCATCCCCAGCATTGCACGACCCCTCTCCTCTCTATCTCATTACACCGTTTCTTGCTTTCAAAATCAGCTTCAGAACCAACCTCTTCTAACCTAGGGCGATGCTCACCTTCATCCGAACTTCAAAAAGCAACCAAAGGGCGTGGAGGTGCGCACTTCCAACCTATCCGAACCTTCCTATTTACCACCTCCACTTTGATCCAATTGACGCACTGATCCACTCCTTGCCTCCGCTCGAACAAAGACTAACCTTTTGTTATAGCGAGCCAATATCCTCAAGGAAGTCCAAATTATGCGCCAACTCGACCATCCCAATATCGTGAAGCTCATTGACTTTTCCGAGTCCGGGCAGTACTACTATATTGTTCTCGAGCTTTGTCCGGGTGGCGAATTGTTCCACCAGATTGTCCGCTTGACCTACTTCAGCGAAGACCTCAGTCGTCACGTCATTACTCAGGTCGCCAACGCCTTACTTTATCTGCACGAAGAGACCGGCGTCGTCCATCGGTATGTATTGGAGTCTGGATTGGCAGATTTCACGCGACGGGCTAACCGCATTCCAGTGACATCAAACCGGAAAATCTTCTCTTTTACCCGATACCCTTCGTCCCAACTCGCAACCCGAAACCCCGGGGACCTGACGATGAAGACAAGGCGGACGAGGGAGAGTTCATTCCAGGCGTTGGTGCTGGTGGTATCGGCCAGATCAAGATCGCCGATTTCGGTCTTTCTAAAGTAATCTGGGATTCTCAAACGATGACGCCCTGCGGTACCGTTGGTTACACCGCCCCTGAAATTGTCAAGGATGAACGCTATAGCAAATCGGTCGACATGTGGGCTCTGGGCTGTGTGCTATACACTCTCCTTTGCGGCTTTCCTCCCTTTTACGACGAGTCGATTCAAGTCCTGACGGAAAAGGTTGCCCGGGGCCAGTATACTTTCCTGTCGCCCTGGTGGGATGACATTTCGAAATCAGCGCAAGATCTGGTTTCGCATCTTTTGACTGTCAACCCCGACCGGCGGTATACGATTCAAGAGTTCTTGAACCATCCCTGGATCCGGAATACTAACGAACCTACCTATGCTGCCGCCGATGCTCCACCTCTGGCCACTCCTCTACATATCCGCCAGAAGGAGATTGCCCAAGCAGGCAACATCCCCGCAGAGTTCCTCACTACACCCGGTACCCCAGGTGGCAAGCGGGCAGATTTCCGATCGCCTGGTGCTGTCAACCTTCGTGAAGTATTCGACGTGGGTTATGCCGTCCACCGACAAGAAGAGGAAGCGAAGCGGAGAAAGAATTTCAAGCAAGGCTACCGGGGTGCAGGCATGCCTGGTGGACTGAATCCTCTCAATGAAGACGAAGATGATGAGGACGAAGATTACGAGGAAGAAGTGTCTAGCAAAGTACCAAAGAACCAGCAGCCAGCCGATGTGTCGAGTATGGAAGCAAAGATGCGTCAAACTAATCTCGGAACCCAACCCTCTGCCGCGGCCCAAGCACGAGCAGCGGCGGCGCCCGCCAGAAGCCAACATCACAATACCCAGCAGGAACAGAGAGGGTATGGACAGCATAGCGCGGCGGTAGCAGCCGCAGCCAAGCAGAGCGTTGGACGGCGCAACAAGCAGCCGTTCGAACTGAGCCTGGACAATTCGACATTGTTGGGCAGGAGAAATAAGATGGTGGCCACGAACAATCCAAATGCACCTTCAAAATTGAGAGAGGAGCTGAGTGTGAGGTGATCAGGACATGGTGAAGAAAAGATTTGCTGGGAATCCCTGCAGCGAAGGATATTAGCGGGCATCACCACCTCCCCCAATACACCAAAGATTCAACAGGCCACAAAGTGCGAGAAAAGGAATGTGAGCGAGCGTTTAGTTATGCTTGGTCGATTTTGGGCATCTGGAATGGGGCTGGGAGCACCAGGTCCACGGCTGAAGATGGAGGACGACTAGCAAACTAATGACGGGTCTAGAAATGAATGCGACATGACGATACAGACTTGCTCCGGGTTTCCCTGGTTCCTTTGTGCTTTTCCCATCTGTGTTACTACTGTCTCTCTCTTCTCTTTTCTGAGCCCTAAGATTTACGGAATGCCAGATGGAATGACATATACGGTGTCGATGTGGCTGTGATGCCGGGCCTGGGCGCAGGAGCTGGACCGATGTACGACACATGACAAACATGATGTACGAAGCACGGGCAGCATCTCCACACGCGGCGAGGCGGCTTGTGTTTCCCCTCATTCAGCTTCACTCTTTTTTTGCTTTTGTACCCACAACACACTCACGAAACCGCAGTCAATACCACCATGCCAGTCGTTCTAGCTGGGAAGATGCTTCTCCACACAACATGGCCCGCGGATATGACCGATCTCGCTGCTCAGGCTTTTACAATGGCTTTGCAGAGTTCGGTACGATGGCCTCCTCTTCTTCTGTTTTTTTCTTCTCTTTGCTCGTCATCTGCCTTGTGTCGACACACACATCGAGCCAGGTACCACCTCGCAATTTCACGAGGACATAGACCAGATGAGATAAATACGTATTGATCTCTTCTGTTGAGCTTTTCCCCTTCTTCTCTCACTGAACTACGCCACAGGCTAGGATCAAACTCGACAGCTGATCTCCGGCTCCATCCCCTCCCATTATAGGAATACAGTCCATGATCTTCTCTCACTCCAACGAACAACAACAATACCACGGAACTCCCCTGAGCCAATCTCGGTTGGCTCAGGACGCAAGCCGTCCATCTCCGGATCCAGATCAGTTTCCGCACTCACCACATTCACCATACTCGACCCTCAATAGGAGCAGGTCGAGTTCACCGTCATTCAGTCAGAACCTCGAAAAAGCGTCATGGAAGGACAGTGATCAAACACTCGAAACCTCCGCGAGTCCCGGTGAAGGAGGCGCAGAGGTAGCCGAAAAGCAACCGGTGCCCATGGCTGTCGACGAAACCAAAGAGCTTCACGAAATCTCCGAACTTGACCGTCCTGGTATCGGGTCACGCCAAGCAACATCTGCAGCACCATCGATCGCAGCAGCGCCATTCGCATCTTCGTACTGTTGCGATCTCGAACGATCGCATAGTCACGATGCTTCGGGAAAACCGCGGCCTCGGTCATCTTCTTCACTGTCGTCCAGCTCCAGATCCGCGACCCTACACGAGGTGCCCAGTGGTTTAGCCACCGCCAGTCGGGTTTCCACCGATGCGTATGGTAATACTTATCCTGAAGGTGGCAAGGAGGCATGGTTGTGTGTGTTTGGCTCTTTCTGCGGCCTGATGGCTGCGCTGGGGATGATGAACACGCTGGGAACATATCAAGCATACCTTTCCACACATCAGCTCCGAAGCTTGAGCGAGAGCACCATTGGCTGGATTTTCGGTATCTATGCCTTCCTCTCCTTTGTCTTGGGAATACAGATTGGGCCAGTATTTGATGCCAAAGGGCCGCGTTGGTTGGTACTTGCTGGATCCGTTTTCATGGTCGCCTCGCACCTCTTGATGGGGGTGTGTACTGAGTACTGGCATTTCCTGCTTGTGATTGGCGTCGTCGGTGGGCTGGGGACCTCGTTGGTTTTCACGCCCGCCATTGCCGCGATTGGCCACTTCTTCCTGAGAAAAAGAGGTCAGACGACGGGACTTGCTGCGGCTGGCGGGTCTATGGGTGGGATCTTGTTCCCACTGACACTGCAAGCTCTGTTTCCCAAGATTGGCTGGGCGTGGTCAACTCGGGTCTGCGCGTTGATCAATCTGGTCCTACTCATCTTTGCGAACCTGTTCATCAAGTCACGCCTGCCGCCACGGAAGGCTACCAAGGAAAACATTCTCCCTGATTTCCGCATTTTTAGAGATCCAGTCTTTGCGTTGACCACAGCAGGGGTCTTCTTTGTCGAATGGGGATTGTTCGTCCCACTTACCTATCTTAGCAGCTATGCCCTGAGCCACGGCGTCTCGACCTCATTCTCATACCAGATCATTGCAATTTTGAATGTGGGCTCATGCTTTGGTCGATACTTTCCCGGGTTTGTGGCCGATAAAGTCGGCCGGTTCAACGCCATGGTTGTGACCATCTTTCTGTGCTTGGTATCAACATTGGCGTTCTGGCTCCCGGCCAACGGATCTATTGCGCTGATCATCGTCTATGCTCTCATCTTTGGATTCGCCTCTGGATCGGGAATCTCGCTGACTCCCGTCTGTGTCGGCCAGCTGTGCAGAGTCGAAAACTATGGACGGTATTACGCCACCTGTTATACTCTCGTGTCCTTTGGATCCTTGACCGGCATTCCGATTGCAGGACGATTGGTGACGGCGTGCAACGGAGAATATTGGGGGTTGATTACGTTTACAAGTTGTGCTTATGCGGCGTCGTTGACCATGTTGACGGCAGCAAGAGTGGTTGGCGCTGGATGGAGTTTGAAGGTTGTATATTGAGTGCCCAATATTGGGATGAGGAATAATCAATATAGAGAGAGAGCGAGATCGCAATAAACATAAGATACAGTGACAAGCTACCTGCTAGAAGAATGCCATGCACACTGGTGCCTTGACAGTGTAAATCCAGCCAAGAAGACACAGGATACATGATACTGAGTTTCACATCGATCTTGGTCTCCCGGATTTCAAACCCCGCGCACTTGTGATCAAATAGCGAGACAGTCTCTGTCACAACAAATGGGGGCCAGAAAATTCTTGCCTAGGCCAGCTCCTTGTCTCGGCGTTTCTTACGTGTTCAAAGGCACAACATGTGTTCACATCTTCGTATTTGTTCTGCCTGGAGTTGAGTATGTTGAGACTCGAGCGAGAAAAGAAGACTCGACACACCTAGCTGTGCTGAATGGTACCGGAATCCAACGCCTGGCGGTACTATTCAATTGAAGTTGGAAGTCGGCCAGATAGCGAGCCATGCAGCAGCTGGTGCCAGCTCCAGTACGACGCTGACAATGGACGACCGTGGATTCATTCTCGACAGCGATGCCACTGCCCGAGACGTCTACAGCGCTCTCCACGGCGAGGAGATTCGCACCTTGTTGCTTGCTCCAGGCGAGAAAGGCACCCCTATTAGCTGTGAGATGCAAGTGGTACCTTCTCCTAGGAGTACTCAATTCGAAGCCCTGTCCTACGTCTGGGGCGAAACCACCCCGTCCAAGCTCATCTCGTGCAACGGCTTTGCATTTTCGGTGACCGAGTCTCTATATACAGCTCTTTTGCATCTGCGATATCCGGATGCCTGGCGAAGGCTATGGGTGGACCAACTCTGCATCAATCAGCACCAGGGTCAGGAGCTGATGAAACAAGTGGGTTTGATGGGTATGACCAGCCAACCTCTCCTTTAGGTGAGATTCCTGCATGCTCATGCCAACACAGGAAGGCTCTATTCATCTGCGTGCCGTGTGATTGTGTGGCTGGGCAGGTATGATCGGAAGATGTCTCTGGCATTCGAACTGCTGCAGGAGACCTCTGTGAGTTTGAGCCTGGTTCGATCTGACTTCTTGAACTCGTCGAGTGCACCGTCAACACCCCGAACAAGATCCCTCACACCGCGGAGCACGTCCAAGTCTCCACGATTGCCGCGATATCCGAGCCGTGCTTCGGGCTCGCGTGAAAGTCTCAGCAGCCTCTCCTCCTCGACATCCAGCCTCAATAGTCTGTCGTCTCCTCGGCCAAATAATAGACGGCACAACACCCCTCCCGCTTTGAAGTACGCATTGTCGATTTTCCAGCATGTGTACTTCACAAGGAAGTGGACGTTTCAAGAGATCATTCTGGCGAAGGCCGCAATCATATGCTGCGGCGACCTCGAGATGGCATGGAGTGACTTGTCTCTTTGGTATTTTCATTATGCTTCAAAACTACGCAGCTCGAGTCTCTTGTATGACTCTAATGGCTCGTTTGAGAATATCTTGACCGTGAGAAACGAACTGGACAAAGGCACGTTGAAGCTGAGTAAGTTGCTCATGCTGACCCGGCCAAGAACGAGCACGAAACCCGAAGACGCAGTTTATGCATTGCTGGGTTTGATGCCAGACTTGCTCGAGGCTCTGAAGTCCGAGCCGAATATTCAGCCGCCTCCGGGGACAGTACGCTCCCAGGAAGAAAATTTATTCTACCTCTATCTTCAGGTCTTTCTTTACTGCATCGAAACAGAGCACGACTTGGCTATCCTAAGTGCCGCTGGCAGGTACAGAACCAGTGCTGAAGCGAAGTGGCCATCCTGGTTACCGGACTGGCGACAATCCCTCCCACTTCGTCCCTTGATCCTCACCGACTCTGCAGACCTTGAACCGGATTCTGCCTTTGCTGAAGATTCTCCGAATGATGTCCTTCCCGGGCCACAGGCCGAGACACAGCCCATCTACAAGCTGAGTCATAGGCCTGGCTTACCAATATCATCGATCTCAACCCAAGCCTCTCTGACACTATCTGGTGTCCGACTTGGCTTTTTGGTCACTCGTGCTCTGACTTGGCCTAGTGTTTTCCTGGTTGCCGACTCACAAGCGCAATCTTTACTGAGCGACGGTCCCGATGACAACCAATTTACCCAACCAATTGCTTCTCTGGCACCAGCCTTCTCCAACAAGCTATTAAAATCTAGCCAGACTGCTTATCACGGACTGAAACTAAGTTACGCAGCATCTTTGTTGCAGAAGTCACTCAAGATTGGCGCGCAATGTCGCTCTGTCAGGACTTCAGCCATGGTGGAGTCTGGAGACTGGCTCTGTGCCTTCAGAGGAGGGAATGTATTCTACGCTGTTCGACCACTCGATGAGTTCCCAAATACACACCAAGCAAATTCCAGTTCAGTGAGAAGAGGGAGATCGTTCGGACATTCTAGAGCGCCAATGTCTTCGCCTGGCAGTGCGAACCACCAGCCTGCCAGATACTTATTCGTCGGCGAATGTGCAGTTCACGGCCTCAATCCAAGCGAGACTCTGGCTCATCCAGACGAAATCATGGAGTTTGAGCTGACATGACTTGGCGCTGACAGCACTCAAATGCTCCTTGGGCTGCCTCGGCGGTGCAAATGGTAGATATTCAGGTTGGCTAAGGAAGCGCTTCTTGCTTCAGGCACGGATGCCCATACCTTTGTGAGACCCTGGACCGGGGGACGTGGACTGTGCAGGAGACAAGGACGGTCCCATGTTTTGTCACGAGGACTGTCTCCAGCTCAGCCCCTGGCATATTGTTGTGTCCGTCTAATACAAGGCTTCAATTCCGGCCAACGGACCAATCACAGCACGTCCTGGGCTCTGCGGCGTGATACTATTCCGGCCAGGCGAATCACCTTGTTCCATTGATCAGCTCCAGAGCGTATCGAATTCCGGCCTCCAGGAATTTCTTACTTAACAGCAATGAATCCAGAGAGGGGTCCATGGTGGGCTTCTCCTTCTCAGAAGTCATTTGAGCTCACGGTCACCTGGCCCACTGCCCCCAGCTGGACTTGGCCCTCTACAGCCTCGTCATCGAATAACCATGCTCGCCCTGGCGCGGCGTTGAACAACATGCAAAGACGGAACTTATTGTGGCAATATCCTCTTCTTGCTATCAGAAGACGCTGCATCAACCTGCAGACCGATGGACAATATTGAAATACTCCTTATATCTGACTTCCACTGGATGCAGTCGTTGCCAAGACGAGGCTGCTTGCCCCTTGGAAAGGCTTTCCTCTACTTCACCAAGCTTCCAAGGTTCCAGATTGGCTCGGACCTTTTGTCTTGTCTTGATATAGTTCTGTTGTGATGGAATTCAAGTGGTCTTTGCTCACCGCAACAGCCGCTCTTCTCCTATCCATTGGCCGGAATAACTTCCGGCCAAGGGGCATATAAGCAACCGGTCCTCCTCGCCGACGGGAGAAGACATTTTGGGTCTGTATCTGAACTCGAGGCCCTCCTCTCGTACTTTGCTCTACACAGGATCTATTCTACCGTTCACGTGGGTCTGGCCTGGCAAAGTTACACTACCTGATTGATAACCTTCAAGACTCAACCGAGGGGCTCTTTCACTATGGCATACCTTGTCGACTCACCACCTCTCCCCCCTCTTTCAACTCTCTTCCCCTACATACGGTCTGATGGAGGTAGCCTCCCACGCTCGGCAGACCCTTTCACGGTTACGACCAGTACCGGCTTCCTTCCTTGCCGCCCACCTTTACTCCGTCTGCCAGCGCAATTCGATGCGTTGTCAGCCATCCTCGACGACATGCCAATTGTTAAAGCAGATAAGTCGCCTGGCCTCCTCGCTACATTCAAGCTCGGCCCTGTTGTCGATTCTGGCGCTTTGCCAGACTTGACTTCTTGCGTTGATGATCTGCGAACGGATACTGGCGAGCTTGACCTCGAAGCCATCACCGCCGCTTTTAGGGACTATAGCTTCCTGGCCAGTGCGTATCTGTTGGAGCCATGTTGGGAGATGTGGTCAAAGGACAATGAAGCTGGCTACGGTTTGGGTAGAGCTATCCTGCCAAAGTGCATAGCGTCGCCGCTGGTGAAAGCCGCGGACATGTACGTATCTGTTCCGGCAACGCCCTCCAATTTGTTCATGTGTGCTCACTACTGGTTCTCACTAGCCTTGACATCCCGCCATTCATGTCCTACGCAGCTTCATATGCGCTATATAATTACTCTCTTGTCAATCCTAACATCGGCGCAAGTGTATACGACAATCTCCGCCTCATCCGCGCGTTTGAACGCGGTCTTGATCCGTCAAGCTCAGAAGCCGGCTTCATCTTGACCCACATCCACATGGTCCAGGAAACAGGACCCTTGATGTCTGGTGCGGTCGAATTGCTCTCGACCATCGAAAACTCTCCGAACGATGTATCTTCCGCAATCTCGGCATTCCAAACAATGCTCTCCACCATGGCCCGCATCGAATCCCACATGGAACAAATGTGGACGCATTCCCTTCCCAAGGACTATCTTTCATACCGCACATTCATCTTTGGAATCACTTCACAATCCATGTTCCCCGACGGGGTGATCTACCAAGGCACCCGCTACGGGGACGCCAAACCGTTGTATTTCCGCGGCGAATCCGGCGCAAATGACAGTATCATTCCTCTCTTGGATCATCTGATGGAGATACCCATGCCGAGCAATCCGCTCACGGAGATCCTGAGAGACTTCAGGAGCTACCGACCAAAGACACACAGGGAATTTCTGGCGTGGGTCATGAGTAAAAGCGCAGAGCTTGGTGTGAGACAGTACTGTACTCATCCTACTACTACTTCGCAGGAGACGCAAGCTCGCGGTGATGCGGTCATGGACGAGGCCAGCGCATTGCTCTTGCCGGCACTCTACCTCAAATTGCTTGACCATGTGCGCAGTTTTCGCTGGCGGCACTGGTTGTTTGCGAGAGAATATATTATCAAGCGATCCTCACACCCCACCGCCACGGGAGGGTCTCCCATCGTTACATGGCTTCCGAATCAGTTGTTTGCGGTCATGGATTTGATGGAAGATGTGTATGGTGAGAGCGGGTTGAAGAGAGTGGTGGAGCAGGGCACGGGAGAAACGACAGAGACAAGGGTGGTCAGGGAGATGATGCAGAATGTGTCCAGCCAGAGGGACAAGCTGGACAAGGAAGTCAAGAAGTATTGTGCGGAAAGGGGTGCTTGAACAAGCATGTCTATCCTCTGACAAAGCTCTGGCGTTTCGCAGGTGAGCCCCTGTTAACCAGCTCAGGACACTGGGGAGATGGAACCCTTGCTCACCAATGACGAGTGTTCATAGTCGCCAAGGTAGCAGAAAGTTCTGCTCAAAGGAAAAGAAATAGTGAACTGTCCTGTCACCCTGTGAATCGCATGGTCTGAACCACGAGACTGCCAAGGCTTGCCGAGATTTTCCGCCCTGTAAATTCCACCCCTTTCTGACTTCAATTCTTCCTATATCTATCACGGCTCGTCACAGATCAGACAATGTTTTCAGCAACATCGGCAATGTGCTAATGAGGCTGCCTATCTGTCACCACCGGTAACGCAATCGTGACAACATCTGTGAGAATGTGACACTGGCGGTTCGTTCATGGTAGGTCCTCCGCCTCGTTCCGGGTATAAATCTCTCCTCTGAACACTCCTGACTGGCTTTTTTCCTTTCCAGGCATCCTCATCAGGACCATTGCCACCATCCTGAACATGAATGGAAATCTTTGAGCGCCAACCTTCATTCCTCATCCTTCCGAGTCTTCAATATGTGGACTCACTGTCACAAAGCCATAAGACAATAGCATGCCACCACCGACACCATGTGGTCTCTGGCTCTTCTCTTCGGTCTCCATCAGCACTTCCAGACACTCTGAAACAGCTTCCAGTATCAGCAAGATCGGTCTCATGTGTGGAACCAAAAATTCACGCCTTTGTCTCGCTGCTTTACGACAGAGGTACAGAGACACACAGATGTGAACCTTATTTCCTTCAACTGATTTGAGGTCTTCGTCTCGCTGCTTTACACAGCATCGCCATAGACACACACTCACCAGCAAGATGTGAACCGTCTTTCTTTTCCACCAGATTAAGGTCTTTGTCCTGCCGCTTTACGACAAGGGCCACCGAGACTCACAACTCACATGAATCCCATCTTTCCTTCAATCGATTAGAAATCAGGGTGCTCGCTCAGCAACTTGCCAAAGAAGATGGGAAGCAAGGGCACAAATCGGCAGCCTTTTGTGGCGATCAACGGCAAGCGAGTTGCTTCTAAGTGCCGACTTCGATCCATATCCCTGCTTGATGCCGGTGATTCTGCTGACAAGTCGACCTTTGACCAAGAACCAAGAAAGAATAGAAGTGTATTCTTTCATCCTCCCTTCATATCCAGTTTTTCGTACTCGGAAAACAAGCCAGACATGTGATCCTGCATCCTGAGACAGCCGGAACGATGGCCGTTTCAATGATGACCCGGTCACCGCCGACCGCCAGGTTGTCTTCGACCACGTCTCCCTGAATACCTTGGCACCGTTGCTCTACACTCGGACCAACTCAGACAAGAATGGCCCGACCACATGCACAAGGTATATATATATATATATATCAGGACGGGTGAATCCCGGCAACCGCACTGACTTTTGTTGCAAAGTGAGTACTCTGACCAAGCGAAGAGACCTGCCTGTGGCTAACCCCTTCCAGCCCTGTCTGGGTTGCGTGCCATCAGACATTGGGGGCGGCCGAAGGCTTCGCCACCAAATTGACCGCTGGCTGTCCCCTTGGAACATGGTCTGCATGATGGCAAGAGCTCATTTCACATGAGTTCATCTTGTCGTCCGTTGTGTGGTGCCACCGTAACCCGAAACGCTCGCACGACCGGATAGAAGACACGCACTCTTCTCGGACCCCATTCACACACCTCAAAGTTCAGAGACGTCCAACTATGGAATCGAAGACGACACTTACCGGCGTAACCCTCCACTCAAGCGTGATGGTCGGTATATATATAAACAATGGTGGCCAATTCGTGAGTCTGTCTCTGTAAGCTATCCCTGGTCGCTGCTGGTATGCAAGGGGCTTGCTAATCCTTCCATGGTCTGTCCTTGAGTGGACGATACCCCGTCTTAAAAAGACAGATCGTTGAATTGGGGCCTCTTTATATCGGGGCCGGGGCCGGTGCCTCAGAGCGTGAGACATTGTAAGTGTCATCTTTTCGTCGATGGAGGCTCTTTCTGACTGTTCCACAGACGTGGCGTCGAGGAGGGCTTCCTCCGCTTGGAAATCTCAACGCTCTGGCTTGTGGCCTCTTTATATCTGCCGGTCCGAGGTGGACAGTTCAAGTGTCTGACTTCGTAAGCATAAGTCGTGTTGTCTGGGGTGGAGATGATTCTGACCGTACTATAGTTCTGGAGTTGAGTATATCATACTCCGCCGAAGACTCTCGACGCTCTGAATTGTGGCCTCTTTATATTTCCCGAGCCGAGATGGAAGATTCGAGTGTCTGGCTCTGTACGCTTACACTCCGCTGCCGACGGTGAAGACGATACTGACCGTGCTATAGCGTTGGCGTCGAGTATACCATACCTCCGCCCGAGAGTCTCAACACTTTGAATCGTGGCCTCTTTATATCGTTGGCCGGTCTTGGTTTGCTTAAGGATGGAACTCAGTTAGTACACATCCTGTCACTGCGCTGAAGATCGTGGCCGACCTCTCCAAAGCCTGACGTTGAGTGTATTACTTCGTTTCCTGAGATCAACACTTTTGCCATGGCCACCTCTTCAAAGTCTGCTGTATCGTGGTCATTTCAAGTATATAAATCAGTAAGTCCTTATCAATGTTACCGATGTACATGCTTGCTAACTTTGACCGAAGTAATCGGACCCCGAGGTGTTTGGGTCAACTCTGTGACAGTCTGGGAATGGCGGGTGAGGTCGTGAATTTTCACAGTGAAGCGTGCGAGCAGGAAAGGAAGTTGACTCTCGAATGGTCACTTCCATTCACTGCCGGTCCGTCACCGAAGCACTGCCCTCACACCGTCAACTCGAGACCTTCCATGCGACACGCTCACTTTCGCCCTCTTCCACCCTCCCTTGCTCTCCCGTGCGACGAAGGACACAGATCGACAAGAGCGCCCCAGCATCAGAGTTATCAAGAGAGATGGACAGCCAACAACGCCGAATGTACACGACCCGGGAACTCGAGGCAGCAAAGGTCCTGGCCACCTTCCACCTGGCCGGTGTGGAGTTTGTTGGAGACGTCGCCATCGTCTATTGCCCAGTAAAGAGTCAAGTTCAACAGCCAGTCAACGCAGCGAAGCCCGGCCCTCCAGCAGAGAACCCAGCGCTGGGCACAAACCATCAACCTCAACCCGTCACTCGCCCAAGCCTTCTCTCTTCCACACCCTTTCTAAACACCAACCCAACATCAGTTTTGTCGGGAACCTCTCACGGCACCTCCGCCATCTCCCAAGCGCAGATACCATACCGATACAGCTGTTACCAGTGCGACTATGTCTCTCAGAGAGTCGGATGCATCGTGAACCACATGACGAAGAAGCACAGCATGGAAAAGGCACTGGTTGACAGAGTCAGAATTAGGGCTTCGGCGGTACAGATGCTGTGGTGAGCTCGGAGGATGTTTGAGCGATCTTGGACACATAGGGGACGGACGAGGTGGTAGGCGGAAACGGGAGGAAAATTCGAGGCTGGAAATAATGCGACCAAAAGGAGGCGAGGAGGAGAGCCGAAGACAGCATGATCACCCGTGCGCCATGACTTCCTCGGCAGATACAGAGGCAACAGCAACTTCAAACCAACGACAAAAACCACTGTACGACCCATCACTTGCCAGGAGAACAAGGGCGAAGCCTAAGGCCAATTCCACGATACAGAGAGAACCGAAATGTATCTCATAAAGTAACCAGAAGAGCAACTTCGCAATTTTGCACTGAGCAGCGGTAAACCACAGCCGGTTTTTCTTTCCTTCTTTTTGTTAATCTTCTTTCTGTAGAGCTTTGGCGCCTCCTTTGCTCTTGCCTTTCACCAACGAACGCAGAACTAACCACATCCACCACAGCGTGTTGCTCGCCTTGCCGCTGTCGTAGTCTTGCGGTCGGTCACCTACTTCTGCCATGGCGCAGACAAGATCTGCGAGCTCCTTCTGGACTTTATGGTGTAGATACGCTGCCGTGAGATCGAGACCGTTTGTGATTCCGCCTGAAAAGTCAGCAATGAGTAGACTGATGGAGTAGGAGATGCCAACAATAAAGTCGACAGAGGGGGTATATCTCAAGAAGTGCGACGGCAGTCGAGGCAGCACAGGAAACCTACCCGATGACCAGATTCTTCCGTCTCTCTCCCATCTCCGGTCCACAAACTTCGCCGCAGGGAACTTCTCCTTCAGTTTGCCCAACAGACCTCTCGGCCCGGTGACGGTCTTGCCGTTCAAAAGCCCTGCGTACCCAGCAGGAAAGCTCCCGGTACAGATGATCAAAAAGTCAGTCTTGCCGGCTTCTTTGTGCGCGCGGAGGAAAGCCAAAATATCGTCCTCGGGGATCAGATTCGGATCTGGGCCCGGGATGAGAAGGGCATCGAGTTGGCCTGGTTGAACGGCTGGTGATGAGAGAGAGTCCGTCACGGGAAGCGTGGCCGAGGACGTCATCGAGGCGTGAGTGCCCGACCCCGTCGCCGCGATGTAGTGGATCTCGACCTGGATGGCCAGGTCGACGAGGGCTTTTGGGAGGCCGCATGCTTCAAGGTAATTATGGGAGAGCATTCCAAAGAGATCAATGGCTGAGGCATCGAGGAGTTGCACCGGTGGGATCAGAAGGATTCCGATGCGCAGGGAGGGCACGGTTGACATTTCGGAAGTCCTTGTGGCGGAAAAGAAAAGGGTTTCCGGGTTGGTTGGTCCTGGCCGGCGAGGTTGTTGCTATGCTAACATGAGTTGGGGTGCTCGAAGTGTTCGAGACTTTCAACCTCATGGTGGAGGAAGTGTGAGATATAAGTACCTGCTCACAGCGGAACCAAGCATATCGGGTCTCTAGGCACCCTGTTTCTACCTTGTTTCTACTTCCAAAGGGGCCTCCGGGAAAGTGAGAACACTAGGTGAGTTCGTGAGGCTATTTGCCCAAATAGTGACCTTGTAAGAGGCGTGCTGTGTGGCATCAGAGAATGCCAGGCTCCAGCATTTTGCCAGCAAACTCAGCTGCACCAGATCTACAATTGGCCGAGTGGACCGTGATTGGACTGGAACTGGAAGAAAATCCGCTGTTCTGATTGGCTGATTTTTCGAACGGCATGCAGATCTGAAATGCCCTAAAGTCAACCGGAGCAGAATGAGGCCGAATCCTGGTGGACAAACATATGGCTGAGCTGCATGTGGAAAGGCATCCTGATTTGGTTAGTTTGGGGGATTGTGGGGGCCACATGGGTGGATGTTCTTCCGGCCCGAACGGCTGCCGCCATGTTAAATTCGTGGAGGAAGATCAACACAACATGAATGAACATAGGTATATTTGAGCCTGGGGGCCCGGAGTGGCCTGTCCACGTTGCAGTTTGTTATTTATCTCGAAGGATGCGTCGCTTGCCACAAGGAAGATCCCCTTTTCCCCTCCCAGACAGTGGGCCAAGGCTCCGTAGTTTCTGGGGAACCACCTTAGCTGCCGTCGGTATGGCCTTCCCTGGTGTCCGGAGTCGCCAGATTTTACGTCAACAAAGATAAGGGGGCCAGCAACTCCAAGGAGCCAGCCTGGCTGGAATCAAGGACTTTGATATGGGATCTTGTCCAACGGCGGGAAAACAAGAGGAGGAGGTTGGTTTTGCGCATCGGACTTCCAAGATTTGAGTCGGTCCTTATCCGGCGCCTTCCCTAGTCCGGTATAGCCTTCTCCATATAAATAGAGACTAGCGTGATATCTCCGGATCCACCCCCCGAATGGGCAAAACGGTGAAGGGCCTGCCACCATCTTTTTTCCCATCCATTCATCCCATCACATCCAACACCTGTTGCTCTACAACGCGCCACCAGGATTTGTTCTTTATCTCCCGGGCGGTGGTGTTTTTCGTCTAGCTCCAACAGTCGGTTAAAAGCGAATCATAGCAATAAAACTTTATCGTCCTTCCCTTCCTCTCTTTTTTCTTCCTTCCTCACGTCTCTTGGGGTTGTGATATTATGTCCCCGTTCATCAGCATGCGGCGGTTTTCTCGATCCGGGTCCGTCCACAACTCCTCGCAACCCTCCACTTCAGCCTCACACCAGCCGGCACCTCCCACCTCATACACGCCGCCGCTCTCGCACGCACCCATGATGGCGAATGGGACGACAGGGTCCTCCCTCCACGACTCGAGACCCGTGTCGGCAAAGACCAGCTCGAGCTTTGACTTCGCCAATCGCCCCCCCACCAACTACCAGATCACCGCCCTGCCGCACAGCGCCATCGGCAATCTCTCACGCACCGACCAGATCGTGCTGCGACACTTCTGGGATGTCAAGTACGACGAGAACAAGTCTCGGGACCTCCATTTTGTAAGTCGACATTGACTCCTTCGAATCATCGATCTCATCGAAGCGACGATCAACTAACGCTATTCGCTCTGCGAACCTCCACCCAACAGCTCAAATTCCCCTTCTTCCCACAATATCCGAATCATCAGGATCTGATTCCTTATTGTGAAATCTACCACCTGGTGAAGACTTCACCGGGCGCGAAGATCATCAGCCTTGGCAGCGCCAACGGCGTCTACATTGGGTGAGTGCTTAAATATGCTTTGTCAGAGGGCCGAAATTATCATCACAATCAGCGAGACGCGCGGCTCGGATGTCCAAGCTCGACTGTTCTAATTACCCCCACGACTATGAGCCTTTGCTTCGCCATCATGCTGATACGTCTCAATGTTTAGATTCGAGCTGTTCTCCGGCTCCCAACTCCACATCGACATGGACGACAGTTGGCAGAACATTTCGCACCACCGGGTCTCGTTCAAGAAGTACGACAAGATGCTCAAGGACCCCACGTCGGACGCAACCTTCAAGTCCTGGCCGAAACCGTTGACCATCGAGTTCCTCGAGGAGCAGTATCAGCGCTGGATGCTCGACCTGACCAGTCTCTGCTGGGAGACCGCCGAGGTTAGAGAGCTTGGTGGAGGCGGCGGTGGTGGGGGCCCTGGTGACGGGCTGGACGGGAGCGTTGACGGGGACTTGAAGGATGAGATGTTGTAGTTTGTGTGAGTGAGTGACCTGAACATGTCGACCGTCGACCCTTCAGTGAGGAGAGGCTTTTTGAGGTATCTCTTCTATGAGTTTTGGGCGCGCCCGCGCCCCTGTTTCGAACGGAGCTGTCGCAGAATCTGTGATGCGGTACGACCCAGTCCAGCCCAGTCCAGCCCAGCCCAGCTTCTGTCTACCCGCGCAATATCACCCCCCAAAAAGAAAACTCATCCTCCGGGACACACACAAACACAAACACACGCAGAAACCCGCCAAAATAACCATGGAAACGAAACAAACCTCCCTTTCAGACACTTTTCAGAATGAGAACGCCTGGGAAAGGAAAAGGGAAAGGGGCAAAGCCAAGCCACTGAAACGAGTTAACGAGGACAAACGGCCTTTTCTGTTTTTTTTCTTTTCGATTGTCTTTACAACAATAGGTAGTAATGGATATCAGTGACCGACCCTGGAATGACCACCATCGGAATAAATAAATAAATAGATACCATGGGGGAGAGACACGCAGACACACGTGCTAGTTAGGTAGGGCCACCCATGGGACAATTGATCGGACAGGCTCTTTTGTCCTTTGTTTACGAGGTACGTGGGTGGAGACGGGTGTGTACCCTTGTTTTGTTTTCGGGCCAGCAACGAGACGAATCACGTCCTCGCCCTGTTGTAAGTATCCTGTGTGTATTCCTGGTACATCCATGTCTCCCGGGCGTTGTCACGCAAATGTGTTGGTGGGTGTGTCTTCCTCTGATCGACGGGAAGGTTGTGACTGACAGTTGCCTGCCGTTGATGCTGGGATGGGCGGCTTCTGTGGGCTATCCTGCGAGCCTGGTGCCTTGTTTGTACCACGTTTCGTGTCGATATGTCTGCTGGCTGTACGGAGTATGTTTCACAGCTAGGGCGCATAAGTTTGCGCAGCCGGAACCTTACCTTTGTGGCCTCGTCAGTATGAACTCCAACACTGATGCATCATCAGGCTATTGCTGGGGGTCCTAGGATTATCCATCCACGACATCAGTACATAAGGCTGTAGCCCGGCCGGGTATTCACGCCGGCAGCCCATCCAATATTGAAACGCCCGACGTCCACACGCCCCATTTAGCCGGGAGTCTTGACGATTCTCCATTCTAGGATCTGAGCACGCGGGAATGTGTCTTGTGACAGGCTTCAAAATTCTGTACCCTGCCGAAAGGCGGCCACCTAGGCTGGAAGCGGCTGGTCCGGTTTCCCATCCGCACAATCGTCGGTTCTGAGGAATGGGTTGCGCAATGTGAAAAGGCGAGTAGCAGAAATAAATCCGGAAGCCAGCATCGTCTGTGGTTCATAAACAAGAAAAGAGACGGGAAAGGGAAAATGGAAAATGGAAGATGAGAGTTTGCCTTATATTCGAGTGAAAGGATGACATTTGTCGTTAGATTGTCGTTCCACACACCAAATATTTTCTCTGAATCCTTCCCGCCAGTTGCATCATCCAGTTATACCGAGAACTGACATGTCATATGAGCCAAACTTCCGGTCGAGAGGCCCGTGGCACTTGTCTTGGTATCCTCCAGAAGCAGCTTGTCAGGGACCCAAGACAACCAATGTCCTTCCGACCCATTTACCACCCCATACATTTTTACTGCCAGTTCCGTCCAACAAGGCTGTCTGCAAAGGAGTGTGAGGACTTTGAGAATAGAAGAAATCGAGATATTCAAGCAGTTGTCGTTTGCGAACACGAAAAACCCGAAAAGCCCCAAACGGAAAACGGAAAGAGCCAATTTACCTGGGGTGACAATTTGATAGACTCGAGGCTCTCATACGTATGAATGTCGGATGCTGTGAGTACCTGTATACGGCGCATCGAATCCGCTGTTGCGATTCGCAGCGTCCTATCGGGACCCTTAACGTGATGTGCTGGCGTCAACTTGTTGTTTGCCGGGCGGGCGGTACTCTTCGGCCCAGTATTCCTCAAAGTCTGCCACAGACCTTCGAGCAATACGGCCAATGTCCATGACTTTGACATTCCACTCAATGGATTGTACCTTTCCGAAATGGATGCGGCTAGCAGGATCCAAAGTGTGATCTTTATGGAGATCGATGGCGATCGGCGTCTTGCTGAACTGAGGCTCCCCTGGGAGTGACCCAGGAGCCGAGTCGAGATAGCTTGGATACGCAATTGCGTGAGCTTGCTTCTCCGAGCCCATCTTCTTCTTTCCAACTCCGTGCCCGCCATAAGAATTGATAGGTACGCAGATCGAGTACCCTTGACGTTTCTTGGTGACGACCATCCGTCTGATCTTGCTGTGGATGAGCGTCCCCTTCGGCCCGACACTCACTTCTGGGGAGTTCACATGACAAGCGGGCTCCTCTCCGGGCTTGAGACCCAAGGGCTCGTGGCACATTAAAGAAAACACCCGGCCTTCGGAAAAGAAGTCCGCACCGTCTGTGCGCAAAATATAACGATCATCAAGCTTTTGAGAATCTGCTGCTCGCTGGTTTTCCTTGATACCCCTATATTGGACATTGTCAATTCCGCCAACAGTGGGGACCTTGTGTTTGTAGTCATGATCATCATAAGAATGGGCAGATCTCGTATAAGCTCGAGATCTTCTTGCGTCTTGCTGATAATTCGTGCTTGTGCAGGAGAGTGGCCCCGCAAATGTCGCCGGTTGCGTTTCTGTTCCCATTGTGGCGTAGGCTCGGTTCGGCATTTCGAAAGCACTCATGCCGCGGAAGCTTCCATCAGACGGCAGGCCACTTCCTGGCACTCCTGCTGAGAATGCTGTTGGCGGTGAATAGGCAAATGGCGTGCGCATAGGGGCAAAGTTAACCTGGGGAACGAACGATCTCGCATACGACGCAGAGGAAACGCCACGGTCAGTATACAAAGCACTGCTAGACGCACGTTCATCTGCTGCATTCTGGTGTTGATACTGCTGAAGGGAGTTTGAGCCTTGTTGAAGTCGCCGGCCCACTTCCTCCGAAACACTCTTGAAGTGATTGTCATATTCTCGCCAGTTTGGTTTCTTAGAATCTTCCAGCGAAGCAAAGTAGTCGTGACGGTCTGCAGGCGACAAGTTCGTGCATGCTTTGAGGATCACATAGCGTTCAATGCATCGCAGCGACAGCATGGAATCCCCGGATTCTCTGGCCCGGACTGCAGTATCGAGAAAGCTCTCCAAATCTGGAGACAGGAGGATGGCGGGATTGTGGTCAAGAAAGCGACTGTACATGAGGAAATCCCGGAATTTGATCTGCATAAAATCAGAAATCGAGGCAGAAGGTCGAGATGCTGCCTCGACGGTCGATGTTTCTTGAGGCGACTTCGACGGCCGTCCCATGTGAAATGGAACTTGGTTCTGGAAGGGATCAGGTTTTACATCCACTGTATCAGGGGCCGGTCGAGACTCCCCCCCGCCTCCCTGCAAGTTGAACTCTTCATCGAGGCGACGTTGATTGTCGCCGCTCCGTGGTTGAAATGGTTCACGAGGGGGGTTTCGTGGTGTGTTTCTGCAGACTCCCAAAATTAATGACCTTCTGAAAAAAATATGCAGCGGAATGCTGGCCGACGCACCTTCTTTGTGGAGGGACCATCGTATTTGGGATTGAGATCAACTTTTGGCTGTGTCTGTGTTGGAAACAATAGTTTCCTAGAGAAGTTCAATATCGTAGCCGATCCTGAAGAAAATAACCCTTACCGTCATGAGGAATGACTCTCTATTCAGAACCGTCCGAAAACATTCCCCACGAACTACCATACCGGTCGACAGGGTCATATATGGCCACACAGAGCCAATGTGCAACCGAGACAGTTGTGGCTATCAGGCCGAGGAAAACCTGGGGCGGTCAAATCGTAGCAGCAACTTATCTACCCTTGCCGGGGTAAGAGCCGCATCCCCCAGAGCGAGAGAGAGGGATATCATATTGGATATCATGTTGACCCAACCAGCGGCGCAAGTGCTAGCGTATGCCGCAAGACTTCATAATCGTTCCAGTTGATAGGCTTTGTGTGAGGCTAGATTCTGCGCATGCACGAGTTGCTTGCGGTTTGGTTCTAGGACGAAGAACCGTGGGGGAACCCGAGGCCGTCCTGTGTGGTTGGCACATGTGACAATGGTAGCAGCAGTACGGAGTAGACTGTGCGTCAATGATCTCAAGAGAGGCAGTGGACACTGTCGGATATGTAGAAGAAGCAGCAATGGGAGAGAAGAGGCGACGCAGGTGGCTTGGAGCTTGGAGGCAGCCCAGGTGAAGACCGACAAGGGCGCAGTGGTAATCCGAGCTGTCAGACAAAAAGAATGAATAATACGAAGGGGTGCTGGGATGTGGAGGGTGCTGGAGCCAATGAATTGGTTAGGCGGCTTCGTGTTCGTGTCTAGGTAAACGAGGGGGGGGGGAGGTTTTTAGCCTCACTTGAGCGGAGGGCCCACTAGCCCTGACCCACTAGGCATCACTAGCCCCGAAGCACGCCGACACCCTCCATCATTTCCCCCTTCTCCCGCCTCGCTCCTGGCGTCTGCCATCAGCCGTCTGCATAGGTTGCACGGCTCTTCTTTCTCATGCGGCTGATTCAGTGCCTTGTTTGTTCGCCCGAACCGTGGCCATTGGACGCTGGGTCCTGACTGCCGTAGATCAAACCACCTCAGTAGTTGAGTCGTCCGTCTTCCAACTCTTCCCTCACCCACAATTCCATATTGCTGCTTGCCTTGTCTATGACCTCAGCCCATTACCGACATGTAGTCATGCGGTGTGATTTGTCTGCCTTCGATTGATCGGTCGTGACCTCTTGGGTGAAGACGAGTCAAACTGTGCTGTCAACGCCACTGAAGAAGACGGCTTTTCGTACATGGCAACCACCGCCTTATGGCATTGCTACCGACTGAATCGTTATGGAAGAGAGGGTTTGGAAAAATGGACTTGTGTGGCCACGTTGCCAGGTATGTCTAGGATCGCTTGTCATGACATGGCGTAAGACTTACCATGGCACTTAGGTGTAGCTGTCCTGCCCAACCCTCGCTTCACTCCTCTGCCGACTATGCCGGTTGTTCGCCCTCCGAGCATTCTTTCGATACGGCGGAGGGAGGTGCGGGAATGGAGTCGCACGCGACAGCACTCGAAGACGAGGAACAGGATTCAGTAGATATCGTACAGACACCAAAGTATAACGCGATGAGGGACGGCACCTCAGACACACCACTCTTATTTTGGGATCGACAACCCCCTCTCGTTGCAGAAACACACAGCGCTTTTGATATGTCTCATCCTCTGCACGAACCACTAACAAGATACAAAGACACTTGGGATCACCTGACGCTGGTAGACACCCATATTCATTTCGTCACCGAGGTGAAAAAAATTAAACGGCAACGGCGGAAAGTCCAGACTCTCAGAATACAGGCAAGAGATGAACGGAGCAGGATGAAGCATATCCAACATCGACTGCAAGAAGCCTTTCGAGGCTTTTTAAAGGCAAGCGGACCACTTCTCCCCAAAGGAAATGGCCACGACAGTGCGACAGCCAGTATGCAAGAGATAGAGGCGGCATTCATGGAGCTAGAAGCCCAAGATGTTGATCTTGATATGGTTGAATCGACTCTCATTCCAGCGGAATGGGAGTTGAAAGAATCCGAGAAACAACTCTACGAGGGCCTATTAGGACCATCGGCCTCTGATGGGCATGATTCCGAGATTGGAGTTGAGCTGGCCCAAAAGATCTCTGAAAACCTCTCTGATAGACCTCAATTGAATGACATTGTCGTGAGTCTACCGCCCGAGTGTGGGCCAACTAGTCAAGAACGACTATCGGCACTAGCACGCCAACGACAGGAAGTGACAGATAGGCTGGTGGACCTGTCTGATGAGTACGCCGTGCTTCAAAAAGACATCCAGAGAAGAATAGCAGCTGGTGTGCTCGTGGACAAACTCTCCCGAGAGGCTCTAGAGGGTTTCCCAGATAAACGGGCGCAATTACTGAGAGAATTGGCTGATCTGACCACGGGCCTCGATACTCTCAATGAGATGGTTGCTGAAGGCCCAAATCTGATGTCGAAGGAGTCAGACGTACTATTTCGACACGATCAATTCAAGGACCTGCCAATTGGCGACGAGACAATGAGCCAGCCAGCTCTAACCGAGGGCGACGACGAGCTACATCTCCAAGCCCACGACTATGGGGAACGAAACAATGACATGCTTCCTTTTATGTCCCAGCCTATTTTGGAAGCCATGTCGCATGCCCAAGGTCTAGAGGCACAATCTCCTAGCTCTCGAATCGCTCAGTACTCATCTGTCGCCTGGGATCTACGTGGCTGGGACCCTGAGTCGCTTTCACTCTTTGTTTCCCTGTGGATTCTTGAGTGTGTGAAATCGTCGTGGTGGTCACTGATCAGCTTTCTCTTCATGAGTGACCTCGACGGGATACTCTCGACCAAGACGGCTGAAGATTATATCAAGAGAACGTGGTTTCAAAGCGACTCCGATTGCACCAGTGAGCTTTATTTCAGCGAAGATCCAGAATATTCGGGTTTCTCGTGTGCCCTCGAGGATGATATGCTCACACCTTCGTCTGAAGCTACCACCTCACAAGAGCTTTTGCGGGAGAGTCGGCCCTTGAAGCGGAGGCACAGCTCAGGAAACTCAGCGGCGACCACGACGCACAAAAGACTTTCCAACCACACCTATCCGAAGACAGGCTCTGAGCCGGGGCCTAGCAATGAAAGAATAGTGGCAGAATCTTTTACGCCGCCTTAAATGTCATGTTTCCATTTCGGCACTATAACAGTTTCCTTGCCCGGGTCTCGCTATGCTCGCAGGTCATCTTCGACGAGCCTGGGGATGCTACAAGGCTTTACAAGGATGACCATGCACACGAGTCTGGCGAGCTTCTGGCGAGGGAAAGAAGGCGCCGTTTTAGTTTGACGCTCGTATTGTTGCTGGTTTCAGCAGGCGTTCTGAAAGCTACATTATGGGGTCCGAGAGATGATATCAGTGCGACTATTGCGCATTTGGTTTTCCGGTCGTCTTGCGCGGAGTCTGTTGTTACCCCTTCCTTTGTATTTTATTCTAGTCCGAATCCCGAATGTATAACACGGCTCGTATCCGCTGTTTGCTACAATAAGCACTAGATCCTCGTAGATGGAGATCCGATCAGATGGCCTATCAGCTGCAACAGCTTATTCTCTGGACAGGACTCAGCCTCAGGAAACGTGGTTTATACATTTGGAGACATGTTGAAACTTCTACCCCGGCAATGGCACCAAGCATGGAGCGGTGTTGCCACTCATTTCACGTCTCTGCGACGTTCCAACTCTCCCCTTCCTTGTCACAGAGCCACGCCCGGCTGAAGAAATGTCCAACTGGCTGGCCCTTCCATGCGCGCAACCCTGGAGGTTCACGAATAGAACTGGTAACTGCAAGGCAACCAGCCCCTTCGAGTCTAGCGTCGTCACACCGGACGAGACGACAGCAAATCATACCGGAATAGAGAGATTCCGCGGATTTTTCTTGGGACTTGTTACAGCTGCAAGTGAAATGGACAAGGTGAGTGGCCATGTGATGATGAGCCTTGCAGGCCATGGGATAGGAGTCCCCGTGCACCTGATGCATCGGGGTGGTGGCTGAACTGGATTCAAAGCCAGGGTAAAATTCCAGGTCAACAATAGGAGACGTTTCACCTGCATTCCTGGGGGTGCCGGAGGGAGGAGGCTGCGAGGAGATTCAAGGATGTTGCCCTAGGTCGGTTTTCATTTGATGCCGGCAGCTTGCCTTTTGTGAGGTGTTGCAGTACCCCGAGGGTGTCGTCTGCCTAGTGCGAATACACACAGTACACATTCCCATGACATTGGATACCGGTCAATTACTGATCAAAACGTATTCTGGGGCCTGTTTCGTAGTGTTACTGATCAGTGGTCGCCTCAAGCCTTGTGAAGATCTCCTTAGCATTGCCTCGGGCCTTTTTAGCACATTGGATCCGAAGTTTCGTCGGCAATAGATAGCATACCTGACTTGTCCCGAGAACAGCCTCCTCGAACTCGAGGACAGAGACACAGCATCCTCACCACTGGAGCTGGAATACAAGTGCTTCTCTCGTGCTGCTCCTGGACCTTTCGTCTTCGGCACGGACTGTACGTTGGTCATAGCGCCAAACTTGGCAGATGCCAGACCGAGTTGGTGACAACTTCGACAGATGAATCCGCGCAGGTCTCAAGGCTGAAAAAGAGAAGAAAAACCTGCTGGGCTCCGAGAAGACGACTGGACTTGTTTTGCTCAAACCTGAAATAGAAATTGCTAGGCAGGAGATTCGTGCTTGTGGCTCGACCCTTACCGCCTCGTTTGGGACGTGCAACTCCCATCACAGAGCCACATGATATATATAGAGCAGGCTGATCTGACCCAGTGTGAAGAGGTGCAAAATGAAATACACCAAACGACAGTGCCCGCAGCATACTGACGCGCAGAGAAATGGCCAATATCAGCAACCTTGATGTCATCTTTACCAACACAAACATCCCAGCACAAAGTCTATCAAGTCGAGAGGTCTGAGGCTGATGAATCGACCGCCAGCTGAAAGATTCAGCAACGGCCCCTATCTCCCCGACCTGGTCACACCGCCTGTTGTCATGGTTGACGCTTCCTGACACGAGAGGCTCTGAGGGACCGTAAATTCTCCGCCTCTTCGATGACTGATAACTTTGACGAATTTGTTGATCCCGGCCGTATGGGTGTAATGGCTGTTTTTGTCTCTCCCAGCACATTGCTTTGCATACACAGCAGGCTCAAATCTGATTGAGAGCTATGTGCAAGTTCTTCTTCTTGGATGTTGTACACGTGGCTGCGCCATCGCGTCATTAAGCTCTGTATCTCAAGACGCAACCATTGTGCGCCTCGTGCACAAGCCAATATAGGGTATGAGCATATTGGCCGCTCTCCAAAGTACACGTTTGACATTTGCGCTTCACATTGGGCAGCTGCAGCGCTGCTCACCGCCAAATGTCCATCCAGTCACAAGTCACTGACTCGACGCCTATGCACGGTGTTTCGTTTCCCGAGCCAAGCTTGCATGGGTTTTTCATCTCGCACAGACCGGAGCACAATATCCTGAACCGGGTAGAGGCGTATCCTTGTTACAGGCTAAGCTTTATTGATGATGAGATCAATGCAAACCAGTCGGGTGAGAGACCGTCCATCACTTATGACAGCTGCCAGGGATCGGGTCTCTGAACGAGAGGCGCGCAATTAGAATTCCGTTTTGCTTGACCTATCATTTACCGTCGTGATCCATTTCTGATATGGGGAATTGCTTGATGCTGCAAACATACCTCATTTGCCCCGTTTATGTCACTGTCGATTGGTGGCTTTGGGAAAGCACGGGTAACTTGTTTAGCTAAATGGATCCAACAGGAGCCATATCAACCTCGCCCCGACCTCGAAATGGCCGGGACTGTCCCCCGAAAGGCGCCCCATCGGCAATGCTTTCGCCATGCATAGAGTCCCATTGAGTCCACAGGGACAGGTGCGTATTACCCGGAAGTTTGTTCGACGAGCGTTCGACGATGTTGTGCTATTGAAATGACTTTGTTCCCTGCCTGTTCGACCGTGTCCCAGCTGTGGTTAGACCCTTTTTATCATCCGCTGTTTGAAAACTTCCCCTCTTACTGTTGCTCCAGACCAAAGATGGACCAAGCCTCGCCATCTGGGAGTGTTTCTGCCTCAGCCCAGCTCCTTGAGCCGTCTTCGCGAAGCGAAAGCGGTATTTGCGATCGCCTTTTTGGACTTCTCCACAGCCGAGGGGGGGCATAACGGAGCACCAACAGCCAGGTGGAATACTTCATGAATTGCAGGGGCGCAGTCAGCCGGAGTGCTGAAATGGATCGAGCCCCGTGGACAAGGTGGGAACTTGAATGCTCACACAGCATTCCGCCATGCCATGTCACGGCATCACCGAGAGGCAATATGTCCGAAGCCAGGCAGAGAAAAGTCCCTTGCATTTGTACGAGGAAACGAATGACAAGGTCAAAATTGATTTTTTCTTTAGGGAAATTGCCACTTACTAGAACGGCCGTGGTGGCCCCCGCCGCGTCACTGTTATTGCTTTTTGGTTAGCCCAGCCACGCCTCCTGATTCAATATTCCATTGCTTGGATGGGATATGAGGAAAGAGACTGATAGTGAGGCTGGGACCTGGTCTTGGGGAGGCTCAGGTAAAGCAATTGACTTACTGAGACATTGGCTGGAAGAGAGGTCAATCAGAACCTGCAAGGCTGAGACTGGGGTAGTGGAACCCAGTGTTGGGTTGTGGAGATGATGTTTAATATTACCAGACCCACGGCGCCACTGATGCGCATGGCCATGGTAGATGATGTTTTCGGTGTTACTGCTAAAGAAATCGTAACGTCATGACAGTTACAGCTGACGCGTTACAGCCATTACACTTTGACTAGCGAGGAAAAGAGTAGAAGAAGAAAAGGCAGCCACCATTCCTCAAACAGTATCCCTGCAGCACACAAGGCTCGGAGGAAAAGGGGTTGGACGAAATGGTGTCGACCTCCATCTCAGACAATCTGTGGCAGTTGAAAGCAAAAAGCAAAAAGTGTGCTCATCCGCATAACCAGACAAGATGGCGCATGTTCCGCGGTGACTCTGCCGTTGCACCATTCTGAACGGAAACCCATCGTGAATAATTGCTTCTGGATGGGGTGGACCCCCTGCTGCTCAAAGTGGTCACCCACCTTGAGCAGCAGAAACGTATATGCTCAAAGCCATTCACAGGGCCACTCCTGGCTCCTGATTCTCTTCAAGCTGCTCTCGCCAATAGCTGAGGAAGTAAGGCATTGATGCTTCAGATACCCTGCCAACGTTATCTACTTTGACGTTGTGTTCAATGGTGGAGACTTTGTCGAAACGGATGCGACTTGCTTCGTGCAACTTCTTGTTCTCGCCTGCTCCATCCACCTCGATTGGTGTTTTCATCATTGGAGGCTCGTTGGTAAGCAGTGTTGGCTCTGTGCCTTTCATATAAATGATGGAATGTGCTTGGCGATCCTGGTCATCAAAACTCTTTCTGGTAGTCCCCTGCGAATTATAGGAGTTGATGGGAATCGCCCACGAGAACCCATGGCCCATTTTCACCACCGCGAATCGCCGGACCTTGCTAAAGATCTGCTGTTCATAAGGGCCTTTAGTTATGGAGCCTGTGTCACGGGCATGTCGTTTGACCCCCGTGGCGTTGTCATGCCACAACGTTGTGAAAACCCTGCCGATGCAGAACCATCTGCTTTTCCTTACACAAAAGCCGGGTTTCATTCCACCCTTTTGACTCGGCGGTCGATTTTGTTTGGCTTCGATAGAAGACTGCTGCCGCACCGATTTGTCGTTCCCCTTCCTGGCAGACTGGACGCGTGATTGATACTCAGTCAGTGGTAGAGACAAGGGTATTTCGTCCCGTTCTTCCTCCGTTGGAACAGACGTGGTCATTTGTCGAAGCTGGAGCACGAGGTCTTCGACTTCCCTGTTGCTCTCCTTGAGATATCTTTCCCAGAGGGTATCAAACGGAGCCTTTGACTCTTCCTTGTCGTATGGTGGTGAAGAGAGGCCACAGCTCCTGACCAGCAGGTACAGTCGGATGCATGTATCTCGAAGGTCGAATTGCCTCAGACTTTCACACCTCACCGCTTCCAGAAGGAATTGAAAGTCTTGGATGACAGGCAGCTTTTGATGAACCTTGTCAGCAAGCATTCGCGTGTCTCTAGGCTGCTGAGGTGTCGTGGCCAAGATAGCCTGCCAGAGGTCCTCGTCCAAATGACGACACGAGATGGGTACTTCTTCTTTGCAATTGTTGGCTAGCGGCGATGTGACAGGCGCCGTGCTTTGCGAAAAAGCAGCACCCTCTTCGTAAATGTCTCCACTGCTATCTCTCACGCCGTAGGGCCCATAAGCTGGGGCCATGTTCTTTGCGCGACCATCGGTCTTTGATGGTGTCTTTGGCTCTCTTTCCCCAGCATCTTGAGCTAACCCCAGTCCTCTGGGCACAGCTGTCCCGCTTGGACCATCATCTTTCGACCCCGGACCCGCATGTGGTCCTCCGGGCCGACGTCCTTTTCCCTTGGTTTGCTGCGGAGAAGGCATCACACAATGTCGGATTTATTCGGGACTCGATTTAAAGGTCGAGATTTCTTCCCGCAGAAGAGCTCCGAGAGACTGGTTCTCTTCCTATGTATGGGTATGGAGACGTGTCTGCCGTGAACAGTAAAAGCCGCCCTGGTTGCTGGGTGAGCAGTTTGCCCTAGATCGAAGGACAACAAGGGTCCTGCAGGAGCTCACAAGTTCACAAAGACACATCTTGTAGCTGGGCTGTCACCAGACGGGCTGTCTTATACTCGATGAGGGGCCTACCCAGCAACCTCCACCCCTCTTCATTTGTGCCAGTGAGGCTCTTGGGGCAATGTCCCGCTAGCAGGCGTCTCTAGAGTAAAAAGTTATCGAGGCCATCTCCTCCACTGACCTCTTCAGACGTATGCATGGTCAAGGTAGCGTCATTGGAGGGTCGTGGAAGCCAGGCGGGGTTGTGATGAATGCTAAGAGACATCTGCTCGAAGGGAAAGCCACTCGAGCAGCATGCACGTCTCTCGTATGCACCCGACCAAGCAGCAGAGGGAGATTGAGCGAGAGAATGACCGACCAAGGAGGGGGGAAATTGCCAGGGGGTGACACAGGGGTTGTAGCTGTGGTGGATGGAGGCAAAGACCCAACAGGCGAATATTGCGCGCCGCTTGGTGCTTACCGGAAATATTACCAGGCATTACTTGGTAACCCTCATTGATATTCCAGTGTCACAATACCTATTTATCGTAATACAAGGGTAATTACGCCGTCACGCCCTCCTTCGCAATCGGCCCGTGCTTCTGCCATTGGATCATTGGACAGCCCTTGCTTGAACAGCGGCTGCCTCACCTTGTCAACCATTCCTTTTATACAGGAGGCATGGCCCTCTGCTGCTGGGAAGGGGTTTTTGGTCAAAATGAGTTTACTTTCAAAGAACGTTGGGAATGCACTGGTTCTCCTGGTCCTTCTTCAAGTCGAGGGGGGCAAACAAAGCTCCGGTCGGGTAAGCGAAGTCGCACAGTCCCGACGTGGCTTTAAATTGCATTGACACATTTGGACACAGCTCGGAATCTGGTCCCCCAACATTATCCAACCTCCCTCGATCTGAGGCCAGACCTCAAAATGGCTCGGATACTCACAAGGCCCCTTCTAATGTTGGGGCAAATGTCGACGACACACAGACGAACAAATCTAGGAACGAGGTGGACAAGAGCAAGGAAATTACAGAACTTGCCGAAGACATGGCTCTGGGAAGAAATGAGTCCCTGGGGATTCCAGCGGAGATCCCGAAACAATTGTCTGCACACGAAGATGACGCAGGCGGAGAGCTCATTGAACAACGAGGCCCAGCGATTCTGATACCGCCATCAGACCTACATCATGAGCCTGAATCTGGCACACCAGAAGCGACCGATCGTTCTCAAGCCTTGCGTGCTCTATGGAATCAGTTTGATCATAGTGTGGATTCTTTCACACATCGTCTCATACGAGCTGGCGACCTAAGGAGAGAAGCTATTCGAATAGGGGAAACGGCGATCGGCCAAGTCGACGCGTTGCCGGCCTCTGCAATTGACGACGGCTTGCGAGGTCTCCGTGACACCCTACAGGGGTTGAAGCAGGTCGAGACTAAACTGCAGGAAGAGGATCGAAAATTGATTCAGCAGGGTTTTCAGATCGTTCGCCAGGGCTCAAAGATCTTTGGCCCCGCAGCAGAGACGTCGTTCCAGGTTCTCAACGACCAAGGAGTCGTTATGCAATCCCGTCGAAGTGCTACAGAAGAATCAATCATATCTGCGGACGACATTCGACTCGATCAAACCCCGGAGGCTCGACGTTATCTCTCTAAACAGGGCGACGTGGAATTACTGGAGGAGCTACTGATAAACTTGGCTGCGGAGAGGGCCATGTTGATCGACGCGAACGAACCGCCGAGTGTCATACAAGAACTTGACACGAGGTACAAGGAGTTGTCGGATAAACTGAATCAAGCTGAAGAGGTGTTGGCCCGGCTTTACGACGATCTGCCAGAGAGGAGGGTGAGCATCCCCCAAGAGCAATTGATAGAGCAACACAGTACTAGCCGAAGCGATATCGATCCCGAGGAAACGGGTAGCGCATCAGAGTCTCAATCACAACGAGAGCTCCCAGGAAACAGTCTGTCCCAGATCCTTGCAAGCACCACAAATGACCATCCGGATCCGTCCACGACACTCGTCAAGGCCTACCTCAACTATCAATCGCAGCAGTCTGCTCGGGGGCAGCAAGACTTGTCCGAAGCGGCTGAAGATGCCAGGGCAGAAGGCTGTCAAGCTCAGGAGAGAGACCCAAACAACCTTGACGGCAATAGATAGTTGTGAAAGGAGAAATACGTACAAATGACACTACCACCACTGCCAATATCTCCTCCACATGACGACCGTTTCATCCCACGCCGTATGTACTCCAGTACCAACCAGTAAGTCGCTGCTTCAACAGACTGGACATACCGAGTACTTGGTATTGTCTTCTAAATTTCCTATCCTAGCCACACTTCAAACCCAAGGGCGGTCTCTTTTCCCGTTTATTTTCTCCTTTTCTCTCGAACATGGCTGTCCCTGTCACGCGGGCTCCTGGTCGGAGATATCAGCCTTGCAATTCGGGTACTACGCGTATTGTTTGCTTCTGGTTGTCCAATCAACCCTACACCACAAAGGGAGGCATCCAACGACGAGATCTACATAGGTGGTCTGTTCGACCACCATGGAGAAGTCCGTTCTTTGCCACCGACGGTAACCTGAGCGTTTATTCTGGGGTGACACTGACTGTGCTGAGTGATTAATTGCCTCGTGACGTTTCGTTACACAATTTTGTCGCATGTCTGGACTGTTTCAGAACATGGATTGCTCCTCGTTAGTCCTACAACAGCGCATGATTGCCCGGCTGCCACCCTCAAGCGATGGGGGGTGCACGGAGTACAAGGACAAATAGTTCGTAAGTTCGAACCAGGCTGGGTCGGCTGGGCGCTGTGCGACCGGTGAGAACCCTGAAAGTGTACAGGTGACGGCCCGAACCTAACGACATAGCCTACAAACCCCAGGCCCCCTTTTCCCGATACACAGCATACCAGGTGTAGATGTCCAAAGAGTTGGTCGCACAGCCTCCTTTCATTTCCAGCTTCTTCCGTGCGGCTGGCCAATGAGTTGGCCAGGTCTCCACCGGTGACCAGGGACCTTGGGAGGAGGCCACAAGAGACGCTTGATTCGTTGAGAAAGAAGCAATAATATATCGTATATTTTGCTTCACTTAGAGTTGGATGGTTGTTTTCTATTCTGATTCAACGTCCAAAAAATACCATGGTCATTACCTGGATTTTCTGAGTTACACGGATGACGAGGATCGCAGGCTTTGACAGGGATATGCGGCAGGCTTGAAAGCCAGATGTGCCGAACGTCCGCAAAGATGCTGCTCAATGGTTGTTTCTTCAGCATTGCCAACTGCAGTCATTTAGCCAGGCAACCCTTACCGACGAGGACTCCTCCATTCCTCAAGTCAGGCAGCTCTGCTTAGGCCCCAGATTAGGCCCCGCTAGGATCCGGCAATGTGGGACTGGGACCTGGCTTCACCGAAGGATCACCAGGCCGCCCAGCGTCCGTCCGATGGCTCGGGACGCTGTTGTTCTGAGCCGAAAAGTTACTCGTAGGCTACCGTAGGTAGGCGGGTGAGTGGGGAGCTATCCAGACGACATCGATGAGCCCCCATGAGTGTTCAGCACTCGTACGAGAAGAATGCCGTTCGACAAGGACGGATCATGATGGAGTGATCTGACAAGTGTAGAGAACCTGATAGGCACACTGACTGTCCAGAAGTCGGTCGTAGCTCCACTGACCCTTGTCTCTTGTCCCATTTGTTCTCGCAATGCGGCTGAAGATAATGTTCACCAACGCAAATGGACGTGGGAATGGATTTGCAATTCCTTGAGAGCCCCCCCAGGGAAATTTGCCTCGGCCGTAATCTCGTCTCGAGAGGTGGGTAGAGTCATGATCGGCACGGGTGGGAAAGACGAAGCGATGGCGAGGACCAGTAATCGGTTAGTCGAGTGCTAGCGACTCGACATCATCCCGTGGAAAGATGGTGGTAGCCTGAGTTTGCTACCAGAAGAGGGGCCCCGGATAGTGCCTCGTATCTCCTGCCAGGTAGGTGTGCATGGCCATCAGACCCCTCTGCAAACCAGTAAGCCCAGCCGGAGTCTAGCTATTCTCAAGGAGAAGAAACTCCAGCTAGCGCAAGATTTGCTTGGGCTTGCGCCAATAGGCTCGCCGGTAGCAGTGCACAACGGACAGTGAGGAGCAGGGGGGGATGCAGGCTGCGAACTCAGGTTCGTGGCACATGCCATCGAAACGAAGCATTTTGCTGTTTCGAGTCCAAGTCACCAAGCATCCAAGCGCTGATGATCAGCTGGATCGGAGGTCGCGGCGACCTTCTCCAGGTTAGCCATGCACGATGCAGACAGCACACGGTGAATTGCATTGGCGGGTGATTAGTCTGTTCTGTGATTCCGTGGGAACGACTCCGTCTTCCACATCTCCCTCTCTCTACCGGCGGTTGAGCGGTAAGTTTCCTATTTACCGGCACTTCGAGTGAGGCTAGTGAGGCTCTGCGGTTCAAAGGGCCCCGAGCTCAAGCGAGGCATTGGAGCGAGCGCGGTCAGGAGGCAGAGGAACTGAGCGAGCACAAGCTGACACACATAGTCAACCGCCCGTAGCGGAGGTCCGAGTCTGCATCGCCTCTTGTGAAGAGTGGCTTCGATAGTGCTATGAAATTTGTATTCGTAAATTCGTAATAGCCTGCAACAAGCAGAGCCGGGATCCAATCCCCTTCTAACGGAGAGAGGACGAATTTCCCAAATATGGTTTCGACATGAACGAAGCAAAACAAACACCAGAACGACATGGTCCAATGTAGAGGCGGGAACGAAATCACATCGTTGAAAGCCCTTGCAAAGGCCATGGTCGTCAATCATCTCATCTGTAGCGAAACAGTCAAGAAAATACACAGACTTCAAGGCAGAAAGACGCAATGCTTCGTAGGATGAAACAAACTCGTTCGTTAAAGAGATCCTCAAAAGCCAAGCTCCATCATAACCAATAAATCTTGGTCAACGCCAAAGTTTGTGATTGGGAACGTAAGTGGTCTGTTGTTCAGGAAAGATCGGTTTGAGGCAGATTCAGTAACGTATTTGGAAGGTGTCGCTCACCGCGAAAACCGTGTCATGGAAACGTCTCAATTCCCCGGAGGGAGTGCGTTGGCCTGCTGGAAGTATTGCTTCAGGTAGGGTAGACACTCTTTGGTCACCAACCCGATGTCCTGGGCCTTGACCGTGTGTTGTACCGTACGCGGTTGAGAGTAGCAGAGACGGCTCCACTCATTTAGACCCCTATTACCTGGGCTTGTTTTCTTGACTGCGATGGGTCTTTTGTTGGTTGTCGGTTCGCTGGGTTGCTGTTGAGGCAGTGTGTCCTCCATATGGATAATGGAATGGGCCTCGATATCTCGGGGCGATCCTTTAAATTTGGCCAATCCTCTTTGGCCATAGGAATTGATTTGAATGCAAATACTGCAGCCGTGGTCCTGTCGGACGACAACCATTCTGCGGATTGAACTGTAGATGCCCTCCGCAAAACGATTGCTATAGCTCACGTTGTCGCTCACGTAGGTGTTTCGTGACTCGTTCCCGGCTTTTCCAGGGATGTTGCTGTAGGGTTCATGCCACAAAACGGCAAACACGCGCCCCGGTTCATAGAAGGCCGAGGTTCTGAGACAAAACGAACTGTCCAATCTGGGTTTATTCTCGCCTCGCGAAATTTCGGTTGTAAGACCCTGTTGCCCAATATCACCTCCTGACGGACTAGGCAGATTCAAGGCCCCAAGGCTTGGGTGGGAGATTTCCGAAGAGTTCTGGAAAGGGAGGACACTCTGCTGAGCTTGATTGTTCGTTCTCATCTGCGTCTGAGTTTGCTGGGGACTGGTAGCGGGAGTACTGTGCACTTGTCTCTGGACATGTGCACTCATTTTGTCGAACTCTTCAACGAGCTGTTTCCTCGCAGGAGACGCTTCGTCAAGGAGCTGGTCCAAGTAGCGGTTGGTAACCTCGGCCAACTCTCTGGCCGTCACTTTCTTGGAATGTTGTGCTTCGACCAGTTTCTGGAGTCGCTGGTGTAATTGCGTAAGAATCACGTATTGTTGAACGCAACTATCACCGTACATCCTTCTGCCGTTGGATTGCACCTTAGTCCCACGGCTCATGGACTGATAAGCGTGACTCGCTTCTCCCAGAAGAGGTTGTGCGTCTTGTCTAAGAACTGAGGAATTCGTCCGAAGATGTTTTACGACATTAACAAAATCGCCTCTCGGGATATTTGCGAAAGTTTGAAGCGGCAACTCGAGACTGCTGTCAAACCCTAATGTCCCTGGTGTGGTTGAAAGGGTGACTCGAGAACTTGGTTGTTCCCCAGGAGCAATTTGATAGCTCTGTGTAATTCTGTCCTCGGGCTCAGCACGAAAAGCCAGGAAGCTCCTCGCAGGACTTACCTCTCCTGAGGGAATACTGGATTGGTCGCAGTTGAAGGGGGTTGACGTTGGTTGGTAGCGGCATATCCTGGTTGTGCTGCTTGAGTTGCAATACGCGGCGTAGAGCGAGGAGCATCACTGGAAACATGAGATTAGGAGCTGCGGACCACTTTATGTCAGGAGACCTTACGAGCGTCTCTGCGCGGGAATCTGTCTATCAATCCTTGAATCGTCGTTGTTTCGCCCTTCTCTAGAGTAAATTGACCATCTTCTTGTAGCAGGGGCAGGACCTTACCAGCAGCTCGGCCAATACTGCGTCTGTCATCCCGAAAGGGCAAGGATTTGGGCTGCTCGGGCATGATGGATCACCTCACCAACCCAGGAAGCAGGAAGGTATACAATCAAACCACATTCAGGTCAAGAACATGTCCTTGTGGAGGCGGGGCTCCATGCCCACTATATACCTGGTCACCAGGTCTGGAGCCATCCTTGAGACTTGGGAGACCTAGGTTGCTGGTCCAGACCAGGCGAGTCTGGTAAGGAGCATGTCTTTGGACGAGTGGTGGCATATCCCTCTGAAGCCAGAGCTGCATATGGCACTCGACGAGCTCGCGTTGACTGGGCTTAAGAGTGCAGATGGTTCAGCCATGGCTGCGGGTTAGCAGTCTTCTCATTTGCCGGGCTGGACAAGTGTGGTGAGCTAGGGCGATGGGAGGGATGCCTGAGGCACAAATGGTAGGTTCATGTTTTGGTGGTATTGAGTCTGTAACAGAGTTGTAAAGACGAGGAGATTTTGACTGGTAGGTAGTTAGTTGCCGCCGGTCCGGGCACCCACCTCTTTCCCTCCCGCCCTTCCCTCCCTAGCCTAGTACTGTAGCTCGATGCCTGGCCTGATGCCTAGGGTTCTGGGCATGCCCCCTACTTAACCCGCTAACCTACCTAGTTACAGTAGGTACTGCGTAGACAACTTTGTTGCCGCCACCAGGCCGCTACAGTACTCACAGGGATGGTGGCCCCAGGCGGCGCTCCGGGTGGTGATACGCGATATGCATAACCTGAGTGTCCATTGTTGCCGCCAACCACACGCCCCCTCGTTCCCATGGATATCGACCCAGCCCCAGGACACTGTGACTGTGCTGTTCGTGCAGGAGTGACTGGTCGTTGGGCAGGATGTCGACCGGTTTGGATCGCCAGGGGGTCGTTGTGCAGCCTCTTGCTGAGGGCTAGGGTAAGAATAGGTCTTCTATGTCCCTTCTCTGGCGGTACAAGTATGGGGCTGGCTCCCTCCTCGGCTGACAGCATTGTGCTTCAGCCTCTTATCCGTCCCCCCAGCTACATTTGATACCCAGCGTGGTGAGCATGAATGCATTCGACTCTGAGTCTCCTGATCGGTGCCCGGTTGAAGAATCGACTTTTTCCACGCTCTAAATCTACTCATGAAACGTCAGTCCTCCAATTCAGTCTCGCTTGTGTATCTTCGCCGAACTGGCAATGCTGATAGCTGAATTTATAGAGATGGCGCCGACCCCAAAGAGCCTTCTTCCGGTCCCCGGGCGCGCTCATGGCGTAGACGCGTGGAGAAATGGTCATATCTCTCAAAGCTCCCAGAGAATCAGGCTAGTGGTGAAGCAGGTGGTCTCCCGTCCTCCTCCAAAGCCACGTCTCATGGTGTGACAGAGCAAGAACAAGAGCTGGAGGCAATGCGAGATGGTAACGTTCAGGAAGAAGCAGTCGCGGGGAGCCCTCGCGTGGTCGATTGTATCGCCATATTGCGAAAATACCGAGACGTCAATGCACAAGTTCTGAACCAGATCTTTGAGTTGAACACTATGAGGGCTCCCATGTTCACGCAGACGGAGGACGTAGTCAACTCGTTACAGGGGCTTCTACGTCAAGTGACCGACCATATAAAATCGGTGGATTTACCCGAGCAGTTCACGGTCCAGCTTGGTGATATCCACCGCACATTCGATCTATTCCGCAAGGGCCCATTTGCCTCTTTCCGGGCAGAAGAGGCACGATGTGCTTATCTGGAAAACACTATCATCCAATCTCTCTTTCACTCTGGGAGACGTTTAGATGGGTTCCTGCAGACGAATGCAGACGACTCAGCTTTCCCAGAGTCAAATACTATTGTGAGCCTGGCAGACGAACAAGAAGACTTGGAAGAGGAACATGACGAGCATTCCCCAGAAGATATTCGATACTTGTCAATGATAGGCGATCGAGAAATGATACTTGAACAACTCTGCGATCTCCGCGGCGAACAGAGAGAACTACTCGAAGAGCAGAAGTCAAGAGCTCACTTCGGTCTCAGCTTAGACGAGGACTCGTTGCGTTTTCTAAGTTCTTTCGAACCACATGAAGAGGCGCTGCTTGACGAGCTAGAATATGCGGACCTGGGCGTGGAGGCTTTGAAGCAGCTCATGTCAGACGACGAAGCTCTAGCAGTCTCAAACGAAACTTCTGGGCGTGAGCCGGACGAGGATGAAGGCGCCATAAAGTATCTCGAGCGAGAGATACTGCTAAGACAGCCCATTTCTCCCAGTCCCCGAAAAGAGATGCAAAGTCGGTTCTATAAAGAGATGCTGCATCGCAAAATCAGATTGATAGACCACCTCCGGGGGCCAGACATGACACCAGCAGACCCTAGCGACTTCATCAATGCATGGCTGCTGCACCGATTACGATTTCTGCCTCGACTCCTCGGCGAGTACACTTCACTCACTGAGACACATTACGAAGAAGTCGATGATGAGGATTTAGAGCATGTCTTCTTGGAGAAGTGGTTCAACGACTCCTCAGCGGCAGATTTTGCGAAGCATCGTACATTTGCCGACGAACAATCAATGCAAGCAAGTCTCGCAGAGTCGAGAGATCTGACGCAGCGAAGCCTTTCAGCCATCCCTATCCCTGCACCGTCTTTGCCGTTGCTGAGCCTGGGGCCTTCAACGACCACAGAGGACATCATTGCGCACGCAATGCAGGCACGGGGCATATCGCCTTCACCTTTGTCTCCTCCATAGTTCCATGTCAAGCATCGAGACTGCACAGAACTCCGTCCTCGTTTTCCTATCTCTGCTGTGTGCGATCGCCTCGAAGGGGCTATAGGCGGTGCTCGCATACCCGTCGGGCAAATTCCTTCCATCAGCCGCCCTTTGGTCTCCTATGTACTGCTTCTGTTTATGTCCTTACATTGTTTGTCTCCCTTGTACTATATACAATCGCGGCCTGGAAATGTATTGCGGCATGATCTGCACGAGGAAAAGGCATGTCGGTTCACCATGTATCAAGAGCTTGAGCCAACTCTACGGCACTTGGTTTTTTCGGAAATGACTGTACCGAATTCATACGAGGACTAATGTAACAGATGTTAGGATAACAGGTTGACTGGCACCGTACAAATCGGTTGCAGTCCTTCAATTGCGGCTCCTGCGATTGAGAGTGTTACAGCCCGTGCTTGTGTCCATCTGGTGCTGGCACTGTATTAGCCCTGGCTCCTCGAAGTCCCTTTCTGAGTGTGCCTCCTTCTGGCCCTTCCTCGAGTACCAGCATCACCCGGGCTGATCAGGATAAAGAACCCCATTTTAGAAGAGAGCCATCTTCGCCTTATGTGTACCGCTGCGACAGTGCTTTCAGCTGCGTCCGCGAAACCACGCAGCTCATCCTGGTCATATTTTCACCATGGAGAGCCAGGTAGAGAACATCTATCTATGCCCACCAGCCTAACGGCACATCCAATAACCTGGCTGAACCTCAGCTAACAGCTAGCGCCGGCCTCGTTGGGCATTCTCCCTAGAGCGTCAACTCAGCTTGATCAAAGTTGACGTGAATGACAAAGACTGGCACAGAAAACACTGAGTCACCGAGCACGATGGCCCAGCGAGAAGCCGCCACGCCAACCGACGATTTTCGACATTAACTGCCGAACTTCCCACTTCCATATACACGTGAAGCGCCTTTATCGAGATTTCTCCCCTTCCCTCGAAGAACAGGCACCCTTCGACTTACCGGAGGAGTCATGGACGGGAACATACTTGATGGATTCCATTGGGTGCCCTCCCCAATGCCCAATCACTCGCTGCTCCCACATCAACGCCCCTGTGTGGCAATCTAGCATTTTGATGAATGAACTACTGACCTATATCGAATCAAAACGACAAGGCTGCAACTTGCAATCAAAAGTTCCACCCACTTGTACGAGCGTATGCCGTCGTCCTTGCCGCCCGCGCTTTGAAAGGATGGATACCTTAGGCGCCGGGCGTGGAGAGTGATGTGCTCATATGACCAGCACCTTCTCGCTCGTTTCGATTGGCGAACGTTGATCGGACGTCGAGCAATAAGCAAGAAAGGCAACCAGCAACGCCGTACTCGCACAAGCCCTAATAAACCCTGCTCGGGTCTTGATATCCCGCTATGCTGGGCTTTGTCAGGCGCGTTGAGGTTGCTGGGCAGCTGGGCTGGCTACTCTTGACTTGGGTTGCCTCTCTGCGAAAAGCAATACCGATGCCAACTTGTGCTTTGGACGTGATCAGAATGAGTGGAAAGGCACTGAGAATCACGAGGGTCCCTCGGATCTCGGACCAGGTTGAGGGCACATGTGAACAGAAACTGTGTCCCCAAAGAGCGGCCACGATGCTTGGATTCAATGCCTAAATGCCCTTTGTCCTTGTATTGTACATCTCTTTCGCCCTTGACGTCTGGACAACCGCAAGAAATCGTGGTTGTACGTATATCCCAGACTGTCATGTATGATAACACCCATTCGCATTTCTCTCATGCATCCGGGTATTTGGTACAATCCTTTTCTCTTCGCTCCCCTCCGCCCCGAATGCCTAAGTCTGTTGAAGCTTTATCCCCTCCTACAATGCATCGACAGGAAACCACCACCGCCGGCGCTCAAGCTCACCGGAAAAGTCAACCCGCCACGCTCATAGACGGGCCCTTGGAGCTCGACTACCGCGGTGTCTGCCGCTCCTTTCCAAATGCCCGCCCACGCTAAATCATAACATCATGAAACTCGTCGCTTGAACCCTAAACTCAAATCCGCTTTCGTGCACAAGAGAATAATCATAAACAACCGACCAAGTATTCTTCTTCACCCCTGAGCTTTGAGCGCACTCACAGCCTTGTTGACCTCATCACCGGCGATCTTCTCCCATTTTGCCTTGTCGTCTACATCAAGAGCCTCGAAATCACCAATCTTATCATACAGCATCCGAGAAATGTCGCGGTTGATCGTCGTGTATTCGTCTTTCGTAATGGTTTGGTCATTATAATGTGGTTTGAGAGCGCTTGCAACGAGCTTTTGCACGTCGGATTTTGCAGTCAGGGACATGGTGGCGCGGTTAGGCGAAGCCTCCGTCGAGCGCGCCTTCAGGGTCGAATCCTGTCCGTTTTCAAGAATGCGCGGTACTCGACTTCGAGGTCTTGGCTGTGCCAACGGTGTAGATGTCGGAGGAAGTGGAGGGACCCTCGGCCCGTTAAACCGGGGGGCATTCGTCTCTGCCTGCTTCGGCTCTGGTGAGGTAGATGGGTGAGGCGAGTAGTCGGTAGATGGGAAGACAGGCTGTATGCTCGAAGACAAGCCAGCAGGTGAGCCGGGTCTGAGCCCTCCAGGAGGCGGAGGTGGAGTAGCTGACATTGCTCTAGGCGAAGAATGGTTCGAAGGTAAGGGTGACAAGGCAGGTGAAGAGGGCCGAGGGGAACTTTGGTCCGCAGGCGGACTTGCTGCAGGACGAGGAGAAGGACGGTGGAGATTGATGCTATGCGTGCCGGAACCAGCATCTTCAACCTCTTGTAGCAGGGACTGAAGAAAGCTGGGCCCCGCTGGTTCTAAGTGAGGTTGTCGTCTCGGAATGGGGCTGGCGATGCGTAAAGGCTGACGTCGCCGAACGCTGGTGATAGTAACAGCATTACCCTCAGAAGATGTGCGGCCGGACACGCTGGGTCGTCGACGTTTGTTCGCAGATGATGGTTCATTCTCGGGTTCTGCTGGAGATGAAGTTGGGGATTTCCGCTTTCTTTTGCGCGTCGCACTGGGTTCGTTCGACGAGGCTCGAGCTTGGTCAAAAGCATGCCACGCTAGGAGTTCATCTGTGCTCTCGGCTTGTGGAAGCGGCGACGCTCTAGCCCGCCGGTTCCTTGGTGTCGACTCGCCTCCGGGGCTGCTGGGAAGCGCTGGTTCGGTTTCTCTGAAGCGATTCCCAGCCCCGTGAAGTTCAGCAACCTGCATCCGGCGCAACCAAGCGTCATGGGCCTGCCTATCGGCCTGGGTGCGTTGTCGGTGGCGCCTCAGGTATCTGGCCGATGATTCATCGTCCTCATAAGGAAAGTCAAGGTCAAGATTGATGCGTGACCAAACGGACTGCCAAACTTGATTCCAGCTTGACTCCTGACCTCGTTGCCTGCGCTGCTGGCCCCGCGTACGTCTCCGATTCGATCGCCCCGACCGGACAATTACACGGGGATCAAGATCTCGTTGTGCCCTGCAATTGTCACAAAACCAGTGGCCGTAGGGCACCTCTTGCAGGTCGACACAATAAGTATGCCACAGTTTCTGACAGCCATCGCAGTACATCAGGACGTCTTCATTATCATCTTCGCCGCAGGCTTGACAGGGCTGGTCTTCATCCTCCTCTTCTGGGATTTCGAGAAACATGGAAGGGTCCAAGTCAGCAACCTGAGTTCGGTGTTCGACAGCGTATGAAGAAATAACATCACCTGTACTCATGTTAGCGTGGTGTACAAAGAGAACTGAGACTGAAGTGAGTAAACATACCGTTGATCGTACGCATCAGTTCAACAAGATGGAAACTGGCACGACAGATCGGGCAACTGTTAGCTCTTTCCACCCATGGAGTAAGACATTCATTGTGCAGGTAGTGCCCACACGGTCTCAAGTGGGCGATCAATTCGGTCGAGTCTTTCTCCGTCAATGTCGTGACGCTTGGCTCATGTTCGGCTTCGGTTTTCCTCGAGGCGGCGGCATCGAGTCTGGGTGGAGACTCGGCAGCTGGACTGGCAAAGGGAACTGCAACTTCGCCATCGCCGCCACTCAAGTCTCCTAAGCAGACAATACAAGTATCTGACATCCAGGAGATTGCCGGGAGGATTTCGAGGGAAGTCAAGCAGCAGCAGGATCATAGGCACAGGATGGGGTGTTTGGTGGTGTTTTAAAGTGTCAAGAAGAGGAAAGAAGCGACAGTGCAGGGTGGAGCGAGTAGATCCGATTTAAGGGCCTCGCTGAAAGGGGCAGCTCTGGCGGTCCAATCAAAATAGGCATCCTGGAGCTGGTTGATGAATGTGACTGGCTTCCGGGGCTTTGCGCTCAGCAGGCACAGCTTTGGTGGCGGCCTCAGCACAACCCTCGGTTGAACTCTGGGTCAAAATGGGGTAAGCTCAGAGGTTGGGATCATTTGCAATGGCAGATGACGCCTGCTTGTGCCTAAACCCTAGAAACAGGAGCATTTAAAGACACAGGCAACAAGAAGAACTGCGTTCACACCTTTGGCTTTTCTGACGCTGTGTGGAAGGAATGTCGTCAACAGGTGGGCGGGGTCACAGACTCTGGGGGTTAGTGTGCAAGTGTAGTCTCAAGAAGCAACACCTCTCAGTTCAAACTTTCAAGTGGCGGTGAATCTGAAGCCGGCGTCAGGCGGCCGAGGACGTGAGATTTAGGGGCCACCCCATAAAATCCCTTTAATTCAGTCTTCGGTAAACATCCGGTGCACGACATGGAGGAGTAAATTGCCCCGTCGACTGAATGCGTGAGTCGTAGGGCTCAGCCATAAACGTAAGAATTCGAACAGAGCCGATCTTGTGGCCTTGGAGGTCGAATCAAAACCAACTGCTCGGAGCAGGCGGCCCAGAAAACAGAACAAGGGGACAAAAAGGTAGTAAAGAGCAGGCCGACAGCATTGTGAGCCCGTTGGTCTTTGCATTCGTTCATTCGATTGGAGGTCTAACGATTCGCGTTGGGTCATGATAGGCAGCGTTTGCTTTCATCGACGCGGGAGCTGCATGTCCTGCTCGACCGAGACCGTTCTTTTTCCTCAGGCGAAGCCTGGGATGCTACTTGAGAATTTGTGGAAAAATTCAGTATCCGTGGGAATGAGAACTCCGAGCCCATGCCAAACATTGCTTTACACCTCCGCAATTTCCCTCAGTCGTCGAATGGTTGATCTGGTGGCAGCCGCAGCAGGGGTTCTGGCAGGGCGCGAGAGGTCAGAAGTTTTCAACTTGTGGTTCAGAGTGGCCCTCCTCTTGGACTTACGAAACTGTCCACGCGCCTCCAGCCACTGTCTTCTTGCAGCCCTTGCATTTCCAGATTCCGACTGCCTCTCTCTTAACGGTGTTCTTGCCGCAGAAGGTACAGATGTATCGGGCGTGTTGGGTGATTTCCATCTTCTTGACTTGTTTGCGGAGCGATGCACCATAGCGAGTGCCGTATTTACCGGTCACGCCGACCTCTGCAGATGGTCAGCCATGCCTCTGCCAGGATTCTGCGGAGACAAGAGACTTACTCTTTGTGCGCTTCGTCATGTTGGCGGTTGTCGACGAAGGATTGAATTGGGAGGTTGATCTGGAGATGTCGTTGCTAGTTTCACAATTTGCACGGTTGCAAAAGTTCGAGTGCGGATTTCACAGTGCGGTTTGGCGGCTTGGCGCGAGGTGAGTGTTGTCACGTGATTTTACCCCGCTGAGTCAGCCCGAGCCTCAGGTCAATGCGCGCTTAAGGGGCAGCCGGGGCCTCCTGGGATTCAAGGCCCATATCTGGAACGAATGTTCATGCCACGCATCATTCCACTTTCCTTTGCATGGCGGGGCTTCATGTGCCTGATAACTAGTAATACGGGGGAGGCTTTATTGTGTGTGGATGGATGTTCAGGAGAGTTTGTCTGAATTATGATGCATGTGCATTGGTCCCGGACATTCTGCCTCCTGACAAGCCTATGAGGCGGTGCCAAAAATATCCTTCCTTTGGGGGCGCTACTCCGTATCGCTCCCGCTTGGAGTGAGAGGCTCCCGGCAGCGGCCCCCTTGGACCCTCCCGGAGTACTAGGTTACCTACTGGGTGACTGGAGGCAGGTACGGAGGACCTACTTGGTGCACTCGCAGTCCAGCAGATAGCTAACTCATAGGTATCCTCGCCCCTGACGATTATTAGGGTTCGGAGTGCCTACGCTGCCTACACGACGCCCACCTCCAGCCACGTTCAATCAATCCCGCTAGTGTTCGGCTAGGCAGCCAATGGCGCCCACGACTATCGGCTGCACGTCTCAGGGCCAACACTTGGTGGCCCTGGCTGTCTCTGTTTAACGACCTGTGCGTTTTTGTCTTTATTCGCACGTTGGTTCAGCTCATTCGCGTCTTTAGCGTCGTCGACTCGTGGGTCCGCGTTCTCGTCCATTATTGTCAAACTTCCCCCCCAAAAAAGACGACACCTTGGCCTTGATTTCTACACCGTATCCATCCACAGACTTCAACTGCTGACCGTTGCTGGTGCTGTCGAGAATCTGTTTGATTTTGATTACACTTCTTATAGTCTCTTTTTTCTCCACGTTCCTTAGGGCACCTTTTCTTCTTCCTCTCCTTCTTCCACTGGTGACGACTGCGTGTCTGTCCTCTTACCTCCTTTTTCCTTCAATTCAGATAGCTCATCTTGCTTCACAATGGCTGCTCCTGCTGCCAGTCGCCAATACGACATAATCCTCCTGGGAGCCACCGGCTACACTGGCAAACTCACCGCTGAGTACATCACCACCAACCTCCCCACCAACATCAAATGGGCCGTGGCTGGACGCAATGAATCCAAACTCCAATCCTTGGTCAGTGAGCTGAAGTCGCTGAACTCAACGCGCGGCTCTCCCGACATCATCACTGTCGCCAGTCTGACTACCCCTGAATTGACGCCTGTGGTCAAGAAGACCAAAGTGCTTCTCAACACCGTGGGCCCTTATCATCTGTACTCGACTCCTGTGGTTGAAGCATGTGCCCAACAAGGAACGCACTACCTTGACGTAACTGGCGAAACACCATGGGTTCGCGATATCATTGTCAAGTACGAAGACACCGCCAAGAAAACTGGAGCCATCATGATCCCTGAGGTGGGCGTTGAGTCCGCGCCCTCGGACCTGATCGCCTACATAGCTACCCGTTTGATCCGCAAAGTCTGGGATTGCGGCGTCATGGACATGGTCGCCGCGGTGCACGAGTTGAAATCCTCGGGGCCCAGTGGCGGCACCCTGGCCACGGGGTTGGGACTGGCTGACCACTACCCGGCCAAGGTGATGAAGCAGTGCCTCAACGATCCCTTTGTGCTGTCCCCTACGCATCTGCGACCGTTCACCAAGGACACCATCTACCCCCGCAACCCCGAGCCAAACACGTACCATCGTACGGGTCTCCAGAAACTCACGGGTGTCTGGAAGTATCCCCGTCTGGGCCACTTGACAACTTCCATCACCGCCAAGCCCAATGAGGCCATCGTCCACCGGTCTGCCGGGCTGACGCCTTACTTCTACGGCTTCAACTTCTCGTACGAGGAGTACATGGCTGTGGCAAGCCCGGTGGCCGGCGTGTTGATTCACATCGCCATCACCATCTTGGCCTTGTTGCTCGCATTCCCCCCCACGCGGGCTGTCTTGAAACTGTTCGCAACCTACAAACCCGGCTCTGGCCCGACAAAAGAATCCACCAAAGGCGATGTCCTGGAACTCCGCGCCGTCGCCGTCGCCGAACAGCTCGCCAAGAACCCCCGCAAAGCCATGGCTCATTTCCGATACGAGGGCGGAATGTATGTTCTCACGGCCTTGTTGATGAGCGAAGCTGCCATGGTGATTTTGACAAAGGAAGAAGAAATCAAGAAGAGTCACGGTTCAGGGTTCCTAACCCCGAGTTGCTTGGGCGATGACTATCTAGAGCGACTGGAGAAAGCGGGTGTCAAGGTCGGAGTGCAGCAGATTGGGGATGTGGGCAGCAAGTAAGCCTGACTGGAGGAGTGCAGAGGACACACATTTCGGACGACGCTTTGGGCTGCAACTACTGCTCCGTGTCTTAGTCTCTGCTGACGCATTTAGAAGCTTTCGAGTTTTAATTCGTGCCGAATGTGGTGCTGCAAGAAATGGTGCATTAGAAGAAGACCTGTTGATACGTACGGGACATGGTGTGGGTGGCTTGCCACAGGAGTCAAGCATGGATGATGACGAAGGGGGACTCCCATCTGGGATCTGTTGGAATCTGTTGGGACCTGGGAGCTGGCTTTTGCGGGTTATTATGGTTTCTTTTTTCTGGTCCAAAACGTGTACGTTTAGAACATCCATCCCTCGTCCAGTATAAAAAGTAAACACACCAGTCCCTCCACAGTTGTGTGACCCCAGCCCCGTGGCCTCATTATGGCAGCACATGGGACAGGGGGAAGCCAAAGAAGGACACAGGCCTGTTCAGCCATGGCCCCCTCTCTTCCTTCTCCCGTCGAAGGATTCGACGCTTTGGGTAAATCCACTCAATGTTGTCCTGGATAGGCGATTCATCCGGGATCCCGCCCCCATCCTATATGCATGTACGCCCCGCGTGCCGATGACGGTGGATGTGCTAAATGCCCACAAAGAGGAGGACGATGCCACCCAATATGGATTATCATCCTTGAAAACATGTCCGAAAATCCTATGGACCGTCCGCTGAAGTCTCAAAATCTTGACCTGCGGCACGTCTCTCTTTTCGTTTCCCATTACATATGTGTATCCCTTGGTCTTTCAAGTCTTCCTCCTTTTGGGCCCGCTCGTCAGATATAACTAACCTTGACCCCCATCCCAAGAGTTCCCCGTAATTTCTCCCACGCCCTCCTCGCCGCTGCTCGCGTCTTCTCTCGAATTTGCTTCTGGGAAAATGCCATCATGAACGCTAGAACAAAAAGCAGGAATCGCAGCATTGCCGTAGGGTTCTTCTGAAGGGTTGTAGCGAGATTGCGGACCAGATGTGAGAGGGCGAGGAACAGCTGACGCGCTTGTGCTGTCAATGTGTTCTGTGAGGATTTGGAATTCTTTCGTGTAGCAGGACGACGGGGAGTTTGTGCTGGAGGCGAGAAGTGGGCGCGGCCGTGTATTGAAGAGCTTGGAGGAGCGGGCGGTGGAGGAGACCGTGGAGTTGGAACGGGTTGCGGAGGGAGGCTGGTCATTGGTGAAGATGCGATCGCTGGCGTCGGGTCCTTGCTTGCAGCTGCGTGGGCACCGCCGTTGGGATGTGCCCTTTCGATCCCGTAGTCAACCTCGCTGCTGGTACGCTGGTGTTTGGACGCGCCACTTTGGGAGGGAGAAACGGCCTCTTCGGTGGTACCGGCGGCTCCAGTTCCTTCTTGCTTTGCGAACACTTCCTCTGAATCCTCAAAGACGTCCTCATCCGCAACTTCGAGGCTGGATTCTCTTTCTGTTACGTCTTGTAGTTCTTGAAGTGTCTGCATAAACGCTTCCCGTCTTTCCTCGTCCAAAATATCACTGTTGGAAATAAAACTCTTCGCGTAATCCCATTCACCGTTTCGAGGCAACACATGCAGCGTGAAAATTTCGAGGACTTTTATGCGCGAGGTGAGATCTTTGGGAGTATTAGCACCATTCATTCCCGTTGATTGGTGATGGCCATTGCTCAAGGCGTGGTCGAGGTGGGTCGAGAGGTCGAGATCCGGTTGCGAAGAAGACGAGAAGTAGGTTTCCAGACGAGATTGGTTGAGTTTCTGGTCTGCAGCTTGTCCAAGGAGAAGATTTGACCTTCGATAGTGTTAGCAATGCCGCAGGCAGCATAAAGCCAGTTAGGAGGAACTGCCATACAAGTTATAGACAACCTCGGCGTCAACCGAGCCCTCTCGGCCCTGATACCCGTCCTTGACGACCTGCTCCCATATCTCGCCATTCTGCACGTGCCTGACAATATCTTTGTACTCCTTCGACCCAAAGAGTTGTTTCCCTTCTTCGTATCCAAGATCAACAATCGAGTTCAAGAGCGTGACGTATAAGCTCCAGATCTTGATGCGTTGGCTTGTGGTCGCAGTCGCAATGGGAGCCAGGGCTGGGCTATCGCCCGGTCTTTTCTGGCTTGGAGGGGTAATAACAGGCTGCAGGGCCTCGTATGCCTCTAACAGTCTGCGAGTGAGGAATAGCTGGGAGGCATGCTTGTAGATTTTGGAGATCTCGGATGACGTCCGCTTGCTCGACTGGTTGAGTGACGAGATGGACGACGAGAGGTCGCGGGAGCTTGACTGAGAGTCCGTGCCTATTGACATGGTGATGGATATATGAACACGCAACGAATGAGACCCCAAGAATGTGCTAAGAATCCTCAATTGGCAACCTCTAGAAGGATGAGCAAGTTCAAGTCTACCGTCGGGGTTGAGAAATGATTGAACGCATCAGAGTTTCGTCACAAACCTTGGAGTTACAGGTTGAGGTCGCTTGAACCTCGGCACCAGGCCGCCGAAGGACAACCTGTCACGTGGTAAGCACCTCCACGCCTCCCATATCGAGTCAAATACCTCGCGGGCAGTATCAAGTATAAAGTACAAACGCTCTCCCGAGGCAATTATTGATGAGATTCAATGCTTCGTAAGATCCAAAATCCCTTGTTGGGTGGCGTTTGCCTGCAACTTGTTGCTTAGGAGCTGCCAAAATTCCGCATCCTCCTCCCATCTCGGCAACAGTCGGCCTTCCTCCACCAAGCTTGCAATCCTCTGCTGTTCATTAGTCTGTAATTGCTCCTCTGAGGCTTCTGTGGGGTCGTCTTCAAGCATATCAAAGATATTGGCTTTCTTTGATATAACCCTCAGTTTCTTGAGCTCGTCGTTGGATACTGGATGTGGCTTAACTCTGTCCCTCGTTGCAACAACTCTGCCGCTGCCCCTTTTCTCATCTGCTTCCATGTGTGATGACCCACCTGCAGCATGCACGGTGGAAACTTGGTCGACCGTGCTTGGCACTCCTGTCAGCATAGACTTGACCGTGCTTACTGGGGCCTTGATCATGTCGGCGAGTGATTGTGTCATGCCTTGCTTCTGGCCATCCTGCCTTGCATGGGCTTCAGTTGTTGTTTGAGCAGCGTCTTTTGGCGACAAAGCACTGGTCTCTTCTTCCATTATTAAAGCAGGGCCCTTGCCCACAGATTCGACATCTTTTTGTTCTCTCCTCAATTTGGTAGGTAGCCTCAGCCCAATCTTGGCAGTCACAAAGCTATCATACCCAGCCTCGTGATAGCTGGCAGCGTAAACGTATTGGTCGAAGTGGAGCGGTAAATGTACCTCAGGTAGCGTCACAGAATCCAAGTCGCGTTCCACAGCTCTTAGGGATGTGTCGGCCCACCGCTTGTTGCCTAGGCCGGCGACATACTTGGTGTCAATGATGACAGGGAACAGCTCTCGTAGCCTTGCGCTGAAATCTTGTATTGTCTCGGGGAGGTCGCCAACGAAACACCGGTACAAATTCATGACATCTGTTAAGCAGTTGTGGCCGACAAGAGCTCGGGATTGGCTTCGCAGTTTATTCTGGAGCTCGTTGAGAAAAGCCTGGACGTCCTTGGGCTGATCTTCCGGCGGAAATCCAGCTACCACATAAAGGTGTGGAAGTTTGGAGATGTCGCCGCCGATAATGGCCTCCAAGATCCAACGGAATCCAATAGCATTCGCTATGTCTGCTTCACGTTTCTCCTCGCGCTCTCGTTTCTCATTAGCTTGTTGTTTGCTGGTCGGATTGGTGACCTGGACAAAATGACCCATTCCTTGCGTCTTGAGGTTCGGATATTCGTTTCTAACGATCTGATGTGTTAGTCGAACCTGATAGCGATTCAAGACGGAAGGTATGGGGTCTTCGGCATCCTCTTTCGGGATATTGAGATAGGATTGCTGCTTGCCCTTGGCCAAGGTTTGCCACTCATCGATCGACTGCCTGACGTGTTCTACCAGGAACGTATCTTCTTCCTTGAGTTTCATGTCTGGCATATTCGATCTCATCTGTTCGTCTTCGATCAGTTTCTTGCGCACTTGATCCTCCTCTTGCCGAGAAAGGTAATGGATGCCCTGTAGAAAGGGCTTATCGATGTTGAAGCCATTGCGAAGCAGGAAAGAAATTGCTATTCACATCAGCCACTGGCGGGTATCGGCAAGCATATCAGCATCGTACCACCACTATTATACGACCATACTCGAGCAAAAACTGATTCTTTCGTTGTGGGTAGTGGATTGAGATAAAAATTATAGGGTCGAACCTCATATCGTCCTGGTACTGTCAGTTTGGATGACCTGCAAGCGCTGTACTTGTTGTGATCCTTGCAGGAGACAAGGTGTTAGAAATGAGGGATCTGTGAACCGCATATGACCGCCCTCATGGGGATGAAAGTCGGGGATATGGACGCCGTAGCACAGCCAAAACGCGTACCTTCCTCGATATCCTCAGTGACAACAGTCAAGCCAACTTGCAAGATTTGATACATCTGTGCCGCCGATCTGAGATCTTGATAATAGTCGTGCAAATCAAGCTTGCCTGAACTACCCCCACGCCTCCCAGCAACACCAGAGAACTCCAGATCAAGGGCGATGAAACGGCTGGTGGCGATATGCTGAATTATCTTGATGACTTCTTCTGAAAAATTGCCGCTGTTGATATCCATGGCGGTTGGCAAGGTTTGAGATACCGGACAAGGCAGCGAGGCAGGGGACCGTGGCAGCTTGAACGAAAGACATGAAAATTTGCCGTAGAGACTGAAGAGGTTGCGGAAGAAAGTGCACATTCACGGAGGATCAAACAGTGCGGGTGACAAAGATGCTTGTTTGCTGCAAGAGTTGAAAGGAAACAGAATCAAATCACCCTGAAGGTGTTGTGAACTTGTACGAGTCATGGAAAGGCAATGGCGGCTCCCGTGCACTGGCTCTTCGTCACAGCATCATCCTCCGTTGGACATTAACCCGCCTATCTCTCAGACGCAGTCAATCCGTCGAATATAGCTAATGTGGCATTGTCAAGGGAGACGTATGCTCATCTTCTCGGGAGGGTGCCGCATCGACATCATTAGTTCAGTATCGCGAGACTCGAGGAAAGATTGTGTGGGGGAAAATTCGGTTGCATTTTGCCCTTTCAGTGCAATATTGTCCAACTGCCCCACGACATCGTCTTCACTGTCTCTAGACACGACTCAGCACCGCACCTTGAATAGAGGACGTTTCGTTCTTCTTCTTTCCTTGCTGTCCTCTTTGTGATCATCGCGAGACATGCGACAATAACTTGGTCAGACCCGTCCGTTTTCCACCAGCGGCATGTCCGCCTCACTCCCCTCCACTCTGTCCTCCCTCCTCAAAAAGTCGACCCTCGAAGACCACGAGCAAATTCTCTCAGAATGCAATAAAGCCTTGAAGTCCACAAAGGGCCCTGACTTGGAAACCCAACATGTCAAAATTGTGGCTCTGTTGAAACTCGATCGTTACGAGGATGCCGTGAAACTCATTGAAGACACAGCCGGGTTGAAGAAGAAGGTGGAACTAGAATATGCGTATGCTTTGTACAAGACCGGCCGTTTAAAAGAAGCTGCAGAGCTGGCAGCTACGGTCAAGGGGAGAGGGGCACAACACATCGAGGCACAAGCTCGATACCGTCTTGAAGACCCGAGCATCCCTTCGGAACTTTACAAGCGATTGCAACGCCAGGAGGTCGATTCGGAGCAATACGATTTAAAAGTGAACCAGGGTGCTATTGATGCACAGGCGCAATGGCTCGGTCTCGCTAATCCACAATCAATACGAAGAGTTGGGAGAGAGGATCTGGAAGCCTTTGAAACTGCGTATAACGCCGCATGTGGCAGCATTGCGAGAGGAGAATATGCCCAAGCCGAAGTTCTCCTCAAGCGGGCAAAGGAACTATGCAAGCACTCGGACGATCTTACAGACCAGCAAAAGGCCGACGAGCTGCTCCCTATCTCTGTCCAGCAGTTGTTCGTGCTGCTATGTTTGGGCAAAACAGTGGAAGCAGAGAGCCTGGCTGGTGAAATCAACGCCGCGGACGCTTCAGACCTTTCAACCCGTCAAGTCGGCCAGAACAATGTTTTACTGACTACGTCTGTGTTCAATCCATTTGTCGCCCACAAGACCTTCCATGCGACTCCAAACATCCCACCGAATGACAGGCTTTTCTCGTATCAGAGTGTCCCTCTGGAATCCAACAGAATTACCATCGATCTGCAGACTTTCAAATTCAATGGCGTTGTCTCATCTACATCAAAGGCCATCAAGGATCGCATTTCTCCCTCACTCTCACCGGATGTCCTGCTCGCATCCTTTTTCAATGCTGCGGCTTATGCCAAGAATGAAGCGGGTAAGGCTGCCATCCGAAAGATATTGCCGGTGCTTGAGAAACGGCCAAACGACATTGGGTTGATAGTCACCCTGGTTCAACTGTACGTGATGAGCGGAAACACGACCTCCGCAGTCGAATTGGTCGAGACGTTGTTCAAGAGATTGGAGAACTCTGCCGTCTCGGGAGAGCAAGATGTCAGATTCAACCCTATGCTCGTGAGTCTTATGATATGTTTGTATAAGACACGGGGTCAGAGAGACCATGTCAAGCAGGAACTTGCCAAGGCCGCATTATATTGGCGGACCAAATCCAATGCACCAACGACTTTGCTCAGAGCTGCAGGGGTGTCACTTTTGGAGTCACAAAATCAGGAGGATGCGAAGCTAGCATCCGACATCTTTACTAAGCTTCGCGAGCAACAACCAGATGACAAGGCTACAATCGCCGGTTACGTGGCGTCACATGCCTGGGATGACGAGGCTGTGGCTGGAGCAGATACCGATAAGCTGACTGCCACGTCTGAGCTCATTCGCAACATCGACGTCGACCTCTTAGAGAAGACGGGCATTCCGCAGTCGTCGAATGCTCTCACAATAGCACAATTGAGCCGGACAAAGAAACGGGGCGCTCCGGAGGGTGGCAACCTCAAACCTAAGCGTATTCGGAAATCGAGATTACCGAGGGACTATGATGAAAGCAAGAAACCGGATCCTGAGCGGTGGCTGCCCATGAGAGACAGAAGCTATTATCGCCCTCCTAAGGGGAAGAAGAAAGGCAAGCGAGGAGGGGGTAATGATGATCGAACGCAGGGCGGCGCTGTGGATGAATCTTTGGATGTCGACGCAAGGCCCGGTGCCGCCACAGTTGTTACAGCCTCAGCGGGGGGTAGCAACAAGAAGAAGAAAGGGAAAGGGAAGAAATGAAAGAACCATGGCCTCTCAGTGTGCATAGTGGTCCCCAGTGCAATGGACAAGGATCCATTTTCACGCTTTCCGATCCGAGAAGCTTGGTGACTTGCAAATTTGAGACTGTCCCCTCACTATGTCCGCACTCTTGACATTTGTATCGATCAAGATCTCGTGGACAGGGCCTAAGGCCCCTTCGTCAAGCCTTTCAGCCGAGAAAGCACTATTATGTGTACGAGGTAGATTTCAGCTCGACAGGAATCTGAGACATGTTAAGACCGATTGCGGCAAATGAAACGAGAGCAACAAGCTTTTCTCAGGCTTTTTACCCGAACACCACACTTGTATGTGACCAGGTGGCACAGCCGAAGGATAAAGGGAAAAGATGCAGACATTGGCTGTAGAGTGACGGAGTTGCAAGTTTAAATCATGAGACGGTGGTGTTGATTGTGGTGATGTTGTCGTGGTGGTGGTGGTGGTGGTGGGGGTGGAGGAAGAGATCATCTGGTGCAGGCGGACAAAGCAAGTGGAAGCCTCCGGTGCCAAAAAGTGATTGAAACTGCGCTGCGCTGCGCTCGGATCCTCGCGTCATCTCATCCATCCTCCACCATCACCATGAAACCTTCCGGCATCCTTCCATCGCCATCATCACTCATCATCATCATCTCCATTCTCCATTCTCCATTCTCCTCGTCCTTGCACTCGCCGTCATCGTCGTCTCCTCCGTAACCGAACGCAGTCTAGATCTGCAGATTGTCTGTTTATTTTCATGTGCAGATGGGAAATTCCCCCCTGGAAGTTGAAGACATCATTTCCTTCTCGAAGCCGCCAGCCTGCACCGCTAGCCCATCGCTTCAGACGGCCCTCCCCGTCAGCTGCCGTGTCACCAATACCAGGACTAAAGAGCTTTAGGGCCCAATGTGGCACACACTTTATTATTCTGGGATGACAACTAGAGCCAGGCCCAATGCATGCCGCGTGCCTTATCAAAACCCCCTTTGCTGCCCGGAGGGTGCCCCCGATTATTGCTGATGCTGACTGACCGACGGCCACTTTCAGACGAGGTCGGTCTCGGTCATGAGGACACATCCTGCTATAAACTGCCCTTTCAATGGAGTACCTGCAGCCACCTTGCCTTCTCCGCGATCAATGATCGATCTTCCGCTTTCGGTTTCGCACCATGTTGGACGGAGGCGGTGTGTGTGGCTCCCGGAAACCTTGTTGCGTCCATGGGTTCCCAACTCCCCGGTTCCCTTAATATTGGAATATGGTGATAGTGCTGGTGATTGGTTGGTCAGGATGATGCCGGCCGGGGCGTGGCGACGTATCGGCATACGGCTAACCCTCCATCTAACATGCAAGCAAGGTATTTTCTTCAGCTCGTGGCTCTCCCCTGAGGCAATACCTCCCCCCTTCTGCAGGTCCACTGGACCGTCAAATCCGTAAGGGCCCCATGATTCGTCCAAGCGCTGCTGAGCCTAGCACACGAGTCCCCCGGTCGCCAGCAATATTGGCAGTTTGGCCACATCCATCCAGCGTTCCTACCTCTGTTCCCTCCTTCACCACTGACAACCTTGCAATGGCCTTTCACAGACAGGTGCTCGCATCCTAATGCCACTGGACCTCCACCATTGCCTTCCTATTCAGCTGCTCCAGTTTAAAACACGACATGCTGCTCCTCCGTTTCTGAAAATGCTTGGGTCAACTGTCGCTGCCTTATCCTGCTGTCAACTCTCTTTCTCTCGTGAGATGGTTCGTGGCTGTCGCTGAAATTTACCTCTCTACACAGATACACCACGTTTTGGCGGGAAGCTGTCATTGTGAGTCTGTCTGCGAACAACTTTCTGCTGTGCGACCGCTGAGCTGACGACTCGATTGGGAAAACAGACCACGATTCCCTGACGTTTCATCTTTTCTCAGGACCAACCTTGAGCGGGCATTTTAGTCAGACAACTCCAATACCGACGTCCAGCAGGTGCGCTCAGGCCTGACTTTGTCCTACGCAATGGAGCTTTCCTGCGAGGACTTTGTGGCGGTCAACGTTCCGGCCAACTTTGAACAGCCCGAAGACCTGCATGAGTACTTCTCACTAAAGGCGCCGCCGAATACAAGCATCTGGCGGAAACCTTCAGCGTCGGATGACACCACTGCACCCATGATCCTAAAACGATTACGCCAGTCCTTCATTCTCGCGGAAGTAACTGTGTCCGCCGATTTCGCCAGGGAGTTTGATCAAGCCGGCATCGTCATTTTCGCCGGCTCGCTCCCTGATCCATCGAGGCCATCAACGGCAGCCGCTCGTCGAATGCCGCGATATCAAAGACCGGGGAACGAAGCTTTGGCGACAGGGAAATGGGCCAAGGCTGGCCTCGAGCTGATAGAAGGGGAGCTTCATGCTGCTTCCGTGGTGGCAATTTCTCCTTGCGGTGCCGACTGGGCCTCTTCAGCACGCTTGCCGTCGCCACCGACACCGTATGGTTCCTACTCACTCACTTCGCACTCCCTCCGCATCAAACTCGAGCGCGTCGAGGAGTCTCTTTGGATTTGGTACAAACTGCCGGATCATATTGCTTCCCTTGAACAGCCACATTACCCGTATTCGGACCTGGACCCACGATACCAACGCGAACGCAATCCGGAAGACGTTGCATCTGGTTGGAGGAAGATGCGTGAGATCATGGGCTTCTTTGGTGGTGGGCCGGAACACCAGAAGGGCACGGTCTGGGTCGGATGTTATGCAAGCAGACCGATGGAGTTCGAACCCCGGCACAACTGGGAGACCGTGGATGGCCTGGTTGCAGAATTCGAGGATTTGGACATCTTATGATCCGATGCGCTCGCTGTATTTGCAACTTAGAGGGTTGGACAAGTGGATCAGTTGAGTTTACGATTATCCAGACACTTCCCTCAATTCCAGCGCCCGGAGGTTATGGACTGAGCTAAAGCTGCGATGTGAACTTTTCAGATCTTGGCGTCGCAATGCTTCAGCTCTAGTTGGCCCGCATTGGACAGGAGATGAGAGGAGGATACGCCAGACAGGATCACCATGATCGCGTCAACAGCACACTGATGCGCTAGTCCCGGGAGACGACAACGAAAAGACACGATTTGAGGACTTTCCCGAGCCTGGATGACCGGTGGTAACCGAGCGCAGCATGGGCAACAATAGTAGAGCGATAGCCATGGTCTTGGGCAAGAAGGGATTTCAATCCCAACACGAGACCTTCCGAGTTCTGGCCGGACGCTTTTGATGTTCTGCAAATATCAGCAGAACGAGCTCCCAGGTGGAGAGGGATCATGAACCCAGGAAGTTTGAGGTTGCAGTCGCAAGACGGGCAAATGCCTGGTGATGGCGATTTTGGACACAGTTTTCTGTTCTCTGGGACAGTCGGCGTTGGAGCATTAAATGCCGTAAGGACTGGGCAACCAGAAAAAGGGCGTCAGTTTAAAGAGGGAGATGCAGATAAAGGATGAGGTGGTAGACGTTTTGTCAAAGCCAATGCCCAGAGGTAACAGCATGGCGGCATCTAGATGGTGTATGTTTAGACCACAGCACGGTTGCACGTATTCCATCGAGCGTAATATATCCAACACGTTTCTAAGACCAGACATAACTCGATCTATCTAATCGGATAAAGGACAAGGTTGGATGGATATGGTCATCCCAGCCAGCCAACCAACCACACAGTCCGAGGAGGTTGGACCGAATCACAATGGTTGGTGGGACAACAGGAAGAGACAGATGCGGAAACTGATTTGTGGGCTGCTTGTGTCATGTCACCGAGGACGGGCAAGGCCTGTCGGCTCCCAGGTAAATAGCCGGTCCTCCACTCCGAGGAGGTTGGACCGAATCACAATGGTTGGTGGGACAACAGGAAGAGACAGACAGGAAGTGTTAAAAACAAGCAAAGAAGAGGGACAGAGAATAGGTGAAGAGAAATGCAGGGCAGGAGCGGGGGTGGGAGGAGGAGGAGGAGGAGGAGGAGAAGAAGCCAAAGATTCGACTGACTTTGAAGCGGTCGAGTTTGATATGACTTTCGACACGGGGGCAAGCTTGTATCAATGAACTACCACACAATAAAACGTCCCTTGCTCCGCCCCCTGCTCTTGTCCAACGTTGAAACAATTATTGCCCAGTGCCGATTCCCAACCGGACGGTACCTAACATCGAGCATCCGCCCGTCCTCCTCCTATGATCAACCGGGGCAACGAAGTGAGGGCACGCTTTGTTGTTCTCCAGTGTCGCTGACTTCCGGTCGGATACGGTTACCCAGCATCAGGATGCGGGGCGAGAGACTGTCGGCTGTGCACGTTTTAGCTGACGCTTGAATAGCTGCCACGTGCATCTGGCAAGGTTCCGTCGAGAGAGTGTTTGATGGAGTGTGTGGGAAGAGCATTTCTCGGAGGGCTGTGTCAACAGGCAATGGAGAGAGGTTGCTGGTGGGTAGGAAATGTCGTGTTTAACCAAAGTCGTGTATAGAACGTGTCTTTTATGCCGCTGCCCGAAAGTTTAGTGAATCTCGACTATACGGCGGCCACTGGCTGTAGGCGTGCGTGCCTGGGAGATCTTGACCTCCACGCCCCGTTCTTTGGCCCAAGGAATGATGTCCCTGGCAACGTTAGGACACTCTTCGAGAGTGACTCTGCGAAGGTGGACGGCCTCTCTGATCAGATCTGACACAAACGTCCCAAGGCTTCCAGCTCGTTCGATATAAAGTTCCTCTAGAGCTAGACATTTCTTAATATGTTGGAAGCCGTGGGGACTGATGAAGTCGGTATCGCAAAGTTGAAGGGATTTCACCGTTTGAAACCATGGCATGCTCATTATGGTGATCAGGTCCGGAGCGACCTCTTCGTTGACGGTGATCACGAATTTCGACAGTTTTCCTGATATCGTCTTTTGGATACAGTCGAAGAGGAATTTGATGGGCCCGCCACAGTCAAGTATTTGGAGTTCCACAAGCTCGTTGAATCGAGGGGTAAGCTCACCAGGGTCGAAGAGTTGGCCGTGGAAGCAGCATTCGGCGAGCAGCAGCTGTCGAAGCGAGGTAGGTAGGCTGATCCTGTGTATGCGAGTCCCGAAAACCTTGAGATCGCGTAGTTCCGTCATATGGCTCAGGTCAAGAACACCAGTGGGGACGTGCAACAAAGACAACACCCGCAGCCGAGGGCACTCAAAAGAGATGGCGGCCTAGGGAATGTAGTCAGTGCAAATAACAAGATCGTATGTCCAGGGCGTTCTCTGCTTACCGTTTTCAGGCCGCTATCCAATCTGGATCCCATGCAATGGAATTTCAATGCTGTGAGACTGTCACTATGCAGAGACACGGGCCCATCATGTCGTCCTGACACGTATCGGAAGGTGGCCATTTGTAGAGACCGGCATTTGCGTAGAACAGTGACGATACTCTCGACGCTGATTGGTGTTATTTCGCTATCAATAAAGATGACCCTCAGGTCGTATTGACACACGGGCAGCCAGTCTGCGTAGTTGGGGACGCCCTTCCAGTGGAAATACTGCAGCGCTGGGAAGCGTCCCCTTTGCGCCAGTACCTGGCAAAAGTATCCCGCTACATCGGGTAAAAGTGGAGGCATCATGGCTGTCTTGAGTCTTCGACACCTTTTGAGGGCAACATTAAGCATTCTCGTAGTGATTGATCGGGTGGGTGCAGGAAAAGCCAAGGTATCGACCAACGGGCGCGAACTGCTCACAATGTTGTTCCATGACCTGGAGACGCGGAGCAAATGTATGTTCGAGCGGTAGCTGAGAAGTGAAAGAATCATCTCGATTATCTCGAACGGCAGGACGTTAAATGGGTCTCTTGCTTGCGAGTGTACGATTTCGATCCTCATCTGCTCGGCTGTTTCCTCCATCTCCTTGGCGAGCAATGCGTGATTTGCGTCTGAGCTGGGGACTTTCTTCAAACCGTGCTTAAAAAATCGTATTGCACCGAGCTTGTTGTTTTTGCGTCGTTCGGTGATCCCACTTCGAATGTAGCCTCGTGCGTCCTCGGGATCAAGTCGGATCATGGCTTTGGCGTCTTTCAAAGCCTGATCCAGACGGTCCATTCGAAGATAGACCGCGACTCTGTGGTCCAAGATATTGATGAGAGATATACTTCGGTCAGTCTCGCGGGCTTTCAGCGCGAGTTCCACAAAGGTCAGGGCAGTGGCGTAGTCACGTCTTTTGGAAGCCTCAAGGCAATGCTCAAGCAAGCCTTTGACCTGTCCGCTGCGACGTTCGGAAGCCATTGTGACAGGCTAGAGATCAGGCTAGAGATCGACATGAGCTTTGGAGGGTTGGATAGAGGAGGAATGAGGAATGGAAGACAGCGGCGCGTAGAGGCGCGTTGACGTCGTGAACATTTTCACGTGATGTCCGGAAAAACTCCCGGCCCGGAGGTTGTGTGTTTACCACTAGCCTTATCTGACAACTGCGTCAAGCTCCGCAAGAAGGGCAACGAGGGCGCAACAAACATTTGGCCCATCTGAGATTGTCGAAATGGATTCAAACAGCCTGGAAAGGGCATCTCAATACCTGAACAATCTCTTACTCGCGCGCGGACTCCTCTCCAATGGCAAGCCCATCGACTTTGCCGTCCCAGATCGTAATGGCTCCAGCACCAATCCAACGATGTCCCGCATCATCAACCTCGTCCACGACCTTGTTCTCCGACGTGATCAGGAGGCCGAACAACGAGAGGACCTCGCCATGAATATTCGCCAGGCCCGCGCCGACGAAGCACAGCGTGTTCTCGATCTCCAAAGGTTGCAGGCCAAGACTGCTGAACTCTCGCGATCAGCGGCTGCCACCGAGGCGCGGGAGCGAGCCTTGAAGGCAAGCGTGCGCAGGCTCGAAAATCAAGCAAAGGAGCTGAGGGAGCAGATGTTGAAGACTAAATCTACTCTGGATCAAGTGCGGGGCAAATGTCTGAACGACCTCCGCAAGAAGGATGCGGAACTGGACAAGCTGAAGGCCTTTTTGGCGGGATTGCAGCGTGGCAAGAAAGATTCGAGTGGAATCAAAATAAATACGATCAACTGGGAGCCAGAGCTTAAGGGCAAAGAACTGCGCAACGGACAGGACGTGAACAGCTCCGAGTGGAGCCTTGAAAAGGAAACCAACGAGTTCCTGGCTGCATTGGTCAATGAGACGAGTACGGAAAATGTGTCCCTTAGACGCATCGTCACGGACTCGATGCGCATTTTGCGAGACATGACCGGACTGGAAGACAGGGGAGCCGATGCTGAGAACGAAGAAGACCATTACCGCGAAGCCAGTCGAGAATCAACTTCGCAACAACCTCAAGCCGAAGACCTGACCTCTTGCGACGAGCTAGCTGAACACATGGATGCCATTCTAGGACACTGTCAGTCAATACTTAAAGACCCTTCTTTCGTCCCGATCGAAGAAGTCGAGATCCGTGACGAAGAAATCATCAAGTTGAGAGCAGGGTGGGAAAAGATGGCAAATCGGTGGAGGGAAGCGGTAACGATGATGGATAATTGGCGCAGACGTATGGTTGAAAATAGCGAAGGGCTGTCAAGGGACGATCTGTCGAAGTTGGAATTCGGAAAGAGTGTGGCTCTGCTACCTAACGGGCAACCTGTCTTTGGGACGGATGATGAATTGTCGTCGATACTGTACGAGAACAGTAAGCTGGAAGAAGATCAACCAAGAGACGGAGAGCTACCCCCCGAACCCAAACCAGAAGACATTGGACATTCCTCATCAGCTCAAAGCGACCTCGTCAAGAAAGGCCCCCTCAAAAGACAGTCACCAGAGCTCGACCTCGACCTTGACACTCCGTTGGCACAGGAACGGTCGCCTAAGAGGCGTGCTTCCATTGCGCGCAAGGCAGGGAATCTAGGCAAACCAATCCGACCATTACAGACGATTGACATGAACAGTCTCAATCGCTCACCGAAGGCTGGTCCTGAAAGGTGGACGGCATCACGGAAAAGTGCAGACTCGGGCATCGGCAGTATAGATAGTGCAGTGGATGACAAGCCTGAACCGGGAGATGACGAAGATAACTATGGTCAAGAGCTCGGGAAGGGGATGATAGGTTTGGAATCCCGACTTCCACGGCAGGTAAGGGTCACATTGTTCCTGTCTATCGAATCTTGCACCTGTACAAGTCGAACTGATTGCGTTACAGAAGAAAAAACAACAGCCCGCCTTGACTATAGGCGAAAAGCTCGCGGCAATAGAGGCAGAAGCTGTGGCAACCCAGCAAGACCTGCCATCAGCTGGTGGCGCCAGAGGCGCGAAACGAAAACATGGAGTTCACGCCGCGAAGACGAGAAAGGCATCAAGGAGGAGGAGTACATTGAGTCCGGAGGAGCTGGCTGAGTTGATGGGTATTGAATGACAAGGACACCAACCACAGGCTTTCTATAGGCCGCTTCTTGAGCTGTCATCCTCTCGCTGAACCTATTGATCAGCTCATGAGACACATCAACCGACACATTGTAAACTTCGGCGTCCGTTTCCTGGGCTTTTTGGCTGTAGAATGTGTTCGCGACTCGACTCTCTACATGTGGGCCAAAGTCAAGCATGCGAAGCATTCCCCCTCATCGTGGCCATCATCGTGGCCACCAATGTCCTAGTGCTTCTCAGTTCCTCTGCTTCACGATGTCATAGTCGGCTTGCATTGGCATGCGCCTCGTTCACAAGCACGATCCTGTACCGTGCCTTGCCCGCATCCATATCCACAATGGCTCGGTTGGCCTCCTTCATCGGGTAGTTGTTGTTCCACGTCCACACCTTTTTCCGTGCAAACAGGTCCAGCATCTCCCTGATCTCCTTGGGAGAGCCTATTCCAGACCCCGTGATTTTGATCTTCCTGGAGAGGAGTGCAAAGGCATTGAACGATGGGATGTTATCCTCGGGGGCGCCGATCTGGACATACGTGCCACCTACACGGAGGAGCTGGAGGTATTGCGGGAAAGGCATGTTTGCGCTCGAGACCGTGGAGACGATGAGGTCCAGAGACCGACGGTGCGTGCGTGCCCAGTTCTTGTCTTCGTTGGTGGCGATGAAAGCATCGGCACCCATCTTCATTGCATCGGCCTTCTTCGACGAGGTGCGGGATATCACGACGAGCTTGTCCACATTCAGCGCTTTCGCGCCCATGACTCCAAAATGACCCAGTCCGCCTAGCCCAATGATACCCACACGCTTCCCAGGGCCGGCGCCATGCTGTGTCAATGGCGAGAACGCAGTGATTCCGCCACAGAGCATGGGTGCTGCGATATCGCTAGGCAACCCGTCGGGGATCTTGAAGACAAAGTGGGAGTGGCCGCGCCAATAATCGCCATACCCGCCATAAGATTTGGACCCGTCGGGCCATTTCGAGTTGTATGTCCCCGTCTGTTTGATTTGGCAATAGTTCTCTAGGTCGTGGGAGCATTCATCGCAGTCCGGGCGAAGACAAGAACCGCTTTGGGCACCCACGCCCACGCGATCGCCTACTTTGATTCCATTTTCCGCCTTTGAGCCGACACGCACGGCGACTCCGACAATCTCGTGACCCACACAGACAGGGTAGAGAGTCGGACCCCATCCTGAGCGCAGGGTATGTAAATCGCTCCCGCAAATTCCACAATGAGTAATTTTGATGTCGACGTCAGTCTCGTCGAAGGGCTTTGGAGTGTAACTCTGCCAGACCATGTTGCCCTTTGCCGAGTCCTTATCGAGACCCATCCAGCCTTGAAAGGTGTAGTCGGTAGCCATCTTGTCGGCGGTCAAAATTGGATTGAGAGGGGGGCTTCTGTGGAGACGAGAAGATGGAGGAAACGAAGGGAGGAATGGAGATGAAGAGGACGACAGCTAGGTTTTTGTACCATATCACCTTCGGAAGCTTCCATCCATCTCATGCAGCGGCTATCATCACAAGGCGCTACATGGAGTTATCAATGTTTACTCCGCGTTTCGACCGAGGTATCTTCCCTTACCTTCTTTTTCCGGACAATGTCTGGACGAACTTGGTCCCGTCAGGCAGATCCCACGAGTAGGTGGACAGGTGGACGGGTATTGTTACGGACGTTATTCGCGGCTTGCCGGTCTCTGATTGATGGCCGTGACTCATTCTTTGAAATGCGACGGCGAGGAATTGGCTGCCACGGGAGTAGTGGACTCGCTAGAGTCGGCGACAGTGGACCTCATTGACACTCAGTTTGAGAGGATAGAGGATACGGAGAGTAGCCGCGGCGGCTTTTGAAGCGGATGGACCGAGTAGACAAGCAACATTGAGGAAGAGGTGTTGTAGCAGCATCGCCAGCATTGTGTGTGCATCGAGCGCAGTCGCAGTTTGGGGCGCAGTCTATATAGACTGGAATGACTAAGCGGCCTCTCTCTGGTGCGGTCACCCGTTGTGCGCGTCGTGACAGACGCGATCCATCAACTTTCAATCAAACACACACTTCCACTCTTTGCGACATTCCGTGCACTTCTCCTCCCATAAGAGATGATCCTGGGACGGTGATATTCTCCCTCAAGTCAACATGAACAAATTCTCTGCGGACTATTCGTCCAGCCTCAACTCAACGCCCGGCAGAACTCCCGCCCCTCGAGGCTCGAATTTTCTCTCCTCCAACCCTCCTCAACTGGCCAGCACTACTCCCGTTGCTCCTCCCCCCTCTCAGATCTTCGGCAGCTCTACCTTTGGCACTGGTGTCAGCAAACTCCAGCTCTCCAGGCCCACACAGTCACCCCCGTCACGGTCACCCCCGAACTTCAACAATCCTCCGCGACCGAAGAATGGCCCTCCCCAGATTTCGTCAAGAGCCAGGCGGGTCAACTATGATGAAGATGAGGAAGAAGATGACGGTGAAGAAGATGCAGACCAAGTCATGGACGAAGACGAGTATGAGGAGGAACCAAGTCAATTCCAGCGGAGCCGTGGCTTTCGATCCATCGACCACCGGCAACCCGCCTCCCTCATGAAATTCAGTACCATGAGCACAAGAGACTCCAGGATCACTGCGCCACGCAAATCATTCCGCAACTCAACGAGGCTCTCTGCGCTCCCCCACAAGGGAAACGAGACAGTGGTGCTCAACCTCGCTAGAGACATGGGAGCCAGGGCGCAACCAGCGTCTATCACCGAACCAGATGAGGTGATCCTGGAGACAGAACAAATCCTCCGGGAACTAGACGAACAATCTCAGTACCTCAAAGACAGTGCAAACATGCTCCAAACCATCACCGAATATGCTTACAGTCTGATTAAGGAGTGGCAAAGATTTGTCGAGACGGATCGACCTTCGCTGGATAGCAACGATATTGGTCCTCAGCCTGCAGCTCCCGCTTTTGCTAAGGCCAACTATCTCGCCTCGCTGCTCCTCGTCCTTCGCCATGCCCCGCCCTCGACAGACAACACAGTCATCCCGACGCCGCAGGTCCTTCTCGACTGGCTTAACAATTACCACGTCTCTTACGACCAAATGTACAGAGCAGTCGCCTCAGCGCGGCCCAACTGTACTTCACATGAGCTCTTCTGGGATGCTGTCCAAAGTCTAACACTACGAGGCAAGCTGCAACAGGTAATGCAGCTTTTCGCCGACGCAGATTTCAAATATGCGGCCTCGGCCGTGGACGACGGAGCAGATGGTGTTGGTTATAAAGGCGCTCAGCTTCAGACAGTCCAAAGCGTCATCTACCGAGCTCGAATTCTCCTCAATTCTTGCCCAGCCATTCAATCAGGCGACTGGAATGTGGCTGGTCCAGACTGGGACGTCTTTCGGACCGCTGTGGAAGCCGCACTGGACAATTTGACTGACGAGGTCACCGGCCAGGATGAAGACGAATCTACCTTCGAGGCCGAGAACTTTGGCCTGCGTAAGCCCGAAATGAATCTTCTTGGACGGGTGGGCCAAAAGCCGGCATCGGCTCTTCCTTGGACTATTTATCAGAACCTCAAAATACTCTACAGCATCCTTTTGGGCAGTGCTGAAGAGATTGCGGCCCAATCACAAGACTGGCTCGAGGCGGCGACCTCTTTGACCATATGGTGGGATGGCATTGCAGATACTGCTGCGGTTGCGCAGTGGAGTTTCGACGTTAGCCGGGCTAACAACTTGGCGAAACAAGATGAGGACTTCAATCCTTATCTCGGCCGGCTGAGGGATGCCTTCCTCAGTGTCACGGATCCCGATGATAAGAATTCTTTCCAAATCAACGCAATGTCCCCGGTCGAGGTAGGCCTGGGATGTATCCTCCAGGGAAGTACTCAGGGCGCCCTGGCCGTTTTGCGAACGTTGTCTCAATGCATTGCTTCATCCGTAGCAGAAATTGGTGCTAAGGCTGGCTGGCTGGAAGACGAGACACAGGCTCGACCGACAGGATTGAACGAAGAAGATCTCATGGTCCTCAGCTATGGCGCCCCCAAGCAGGGCGTTTCCAAGGACGACCTGTTGTTGTCGTATGCTCAACAAATTTTCGACAAGGCCACTCTCCAGCTCCCTGACGGCTCCTCGGTGGAAGGTTGGGAGGTCTCTATATCTATTGTCACCCGTCTTGACGACCGGGAAGCGATGCATACCGCCGTGAGCAATTTCGTGGAACAACTCCAGGTCACTACTCAAGATCGAACTGAGAAACTCACGAATCTCTGCTCGGATCTCGGATTACAGGATGAAGCGAGAAAGGTCTCCGATAGATTCGGCGACTACCTCGTGAACAATACCGAGGAGTACGGTACTGCCTTGCTGTGCTATGCGAGGAGTCACGCCAGCCATAAGATAAGGCAATTGATAGATGTGTTGGTCAGCTATTCGCTTGTGCAGTCAAGGGCGTACCCTCCCGAGAACGATATGGATGACGGATTACGGAGTCTGGTGGGAAATCCCAAGACTGCACTCATCGACATTGCAGAAGTCGACCCCGAGGCTGCTGAGATGTTGCAATTCTCCCTCGTCGGATACGCTTGTTTACGGAGGTTTTATACTCTGCGCGACGAAGAATCCCGCAATGGATCAACGACAAATCCTCGCCCTCTCGCACGAAGAAGAGCAGCTGCGAGAGCACTGGTGGCGGCGGTCAATTCTGCTGCCGATTCTATCTATGGCGGGCTGTACGACCCAGAGAGACAAAGTGCAATCCAAGTTGATGGGCTGTTGACGCTTCTGGGAGAGGCTACTGCACTTCTCGCGTCCACCCACGCTGCGAGCACAGGAAACGTCGAGTTAAAGAGGAGGATATTCACGACTGAACAAATCTATGCTCTACTGGCGGCAATTGAGGATCTCTCCACCGTGTCTCAGCGCGTCTACGCCGCGACAGAGGAGTGCCTGGCCGCTTCACTCCGAGAGTACCATGGCTCAAGGCCGCCCAGTCCGCGAGCCGTGCTGAAAAAGTCCATGAGCAGCGGCAGTGGAAGTGGTTTCTCCTATTCGCTGATGGGGAGTGAGATGCTGAGCAGGAGCATGACCACCGACATGACGAGCGCAAGTGGCAGTGGTGTTTTAGTCGGAGGGGCCAAAGGGCCCAAAGCGAAGGGCAAAGATAAGGAGGACCCAAGGGGAAGAGGCTGGGATTGGAGAGACGCTTTTACAGGCGAGGATGTGCGTGGACAGGATATTGTCAAGGTGTTGAGGACGGGATTGGCGGAGGAGTTGAGCTTTGCCGAGCTCGACGAAGGCGTTGCATTCTAAAGGACCGGTCGCAGCGCACAACACGAGACTGTAAAAGCCTTCTTGGTGTCTTGATCGCCGGCATCGAAACACCATCTGTCTCACGCGAAATGTACGAGTATGATTACGGGAAAATCTCGAGGGCGCGCTGGGCAGATTGCGCCATGTCGCACCACAGCAAGGGCATAAGATGCTCCTGCTCCTCATCCTCCCCGAGCAAGATGCCGGGAAACTCCAAGCTTTCAGCATCGCTGGACGTACGGGAGATAGGTATGGCGCAGCTAGACAGGGAGGGGAGCGCTTAGCTGCCTTCGTATTACTCATTGAGGCTTTCTTTTCCACACCAGCGGCTCTCTAATCTCAAGGCCCAGTGAATGTGCCGGAAGGAGTGTCCAGTTCTGATTCCAACGTATGAATGAAAAGCGAACTTAGACTCCGGGTTTTTGTGTTTACAACTCAAGCACCTTGTACCGAGTCTACAATAGGGCAAACGATTGACGTTTTACAGACAAACAAGGTCCGTCCGTACGGAGTTGTATGTACGTAAGAGCAACACTGCAATACATTATGACACGGAGTGAGTGAGTAAGTGTAGGGGGGAAAAAGGGGGCCGAGATTTATACTACTCTTTGGACATGTAATTACTAAAGAATGATAAATACCTCCCTCTGCCCTTCTCCGTTTTGAGATCTTTTCCTCGTGCCTCGGGTGTGGTGTTGCGAGCGCCAAATGAGTATCTTCCATTCACATTCAGAAAGCTCGTGAGAGAGACAAGAAAAGAAGCGTGCATCGCAACAAGGAAATTTTGTACAAGATAGTTAAACATAAAGCCGTAAATATAGAACGCGAGCAGTGTGCATTTTCCTCTTCGCCGTGAGATTATTCCCATTTTCTGAGCCGTGAGCCATCTAGTGCGTATCATCCTTTCATGTGCCATGAGCAGCTACGCCGTTCAAGCAAGAATCACTCATGGGAGAAGGTAGAGAGACACGATGAGTGCGTCATGCCCCTGTCCCGAGGTGTGGCTGCGCTCCCTCTCTTTCTGGACCCTCTTGGTCTTATTAGAGTGGCCATCCACTCGTTTCGAAGCCAAAGTTCATCGCGAGGAACTCGTCCCCGAATCCAAACGCCATAAGCTCGTCATTCGTGAAATCCATAGGAATCATGTCCCCTCCAGGTCCGGGCATCATGTAAGGCATCATGGGTGCCGCCTGATCATAACCGGCAGACATTTGATTGATGCCAGGTAGCATATTGGGTTGGGTAGGGTTGTTCATGATGGTATGAGACCATTGCTGCTGTGGTGTGGGTTGAGGCTGAGGCATTACCGGGCCTGGCCCGGGCCCGGGACCCATTGCTGCCTCGGACAGCATCTGCAGTCCGCTCCGTGGCTGCTGTTGGTGAGGCTGCGGCACGTTCCCGTCGACGGACGGGCGATGTTGCGAATTCCATGCCAAGTTTGCTGGGTCCTGCTGTGGTGGAACAGCTTTGTATGTGTTTGGCGGCTGTTGCGGTTGCGACATGTTGGTGGTGCGGGCGTTGACATTCCCGTTCGCCGGCGTGCGCTGTCTCGAAACTGGCCCACTTCCATTATTCACCGAGTCTATCCTCTTCATGTGCCAGCTCTTGAGCATAGTAAAAATCAGGGTGAACTTGTGAGCAACGCGGGACATGCCTCCTTCGCAAGCCTTGCTGAGTGCCTCGATCATTCTATCGAGATAGTATTCCACCCTCAGATCTTTGTTTTTGAAAATGCTATTGAATTTGGACCCCTTTGCAGACACAGCCGAATACATCTTGATCAACGCAACGGCGGCGTAAGAGTTTCTAACAAAGAAAAGGGTCGGTAGGGCCCGCAGAGCCGGAATCTCCATGGCTAAGAACGCGTCGAATGCGGAATGAGCCGAGTTGATGCAGGTTGTGAGGGCTTCTATGTGGGCTGGCGTGACGTTGTCCGGGTCCGGAGGCCCATCGATGGGAGTGGAGATGTAGGGAGGTCGGAAATCATCAATATTGTGGTTGTGGTGCATGGCGATTTCGTGCATATAAAGATTGAGAATCCCTTCAGTGTGTTGGATGATTGGATTCTTGATCATTTCCTTGGTGGCTGCGCGTTGCCACTCAACAAGCTGGCGCTCGAATGTCTTCAGGTGATACTGCGTTTGGGGGTCGGTCAACGATAACGGCGAAGCCGGGTCATCCATGGAGAATTGAAATCCGATATCTTCAGCTATGTGCTGTCCGCGCACGAGGTGACATAGGTACTTGTCTGAAAAGTGGGCGTCCACCGAAGACATCAGAATTTCAACACACTCGTCGGCGTATGCGCTCCAGCGGATCAGGAGCGGTCGTCGAAGAGACATTGATGAACTGGTGGACAACAGGGTCAGACCAGCACAACGTCAGCCTGAGGACATACTTACTTGGAGCACATGTAATAGCAACCCAGCCAGCATCGCCGCACTTCCACACTATTGGGATCTGACAATGGTCTCTTGTTCTCATGATACGGTCGCCAGATGCTGCCCCCACCTCGTCTCGATCTTTTACCCATTCCCAGATCCAAAGCCATGACGGCAGCAATATGGATCAGCTGGTTAAAGTTTAGCTCTTCGTATTTTTCCGGAGGCTGGTAGAAGCACGTCGTGACTTGAATCGTTTGCACCAGCTCCAGCGACTTCTCTCCCCGGATGATGACCTTATCGGCCAGGACCCTGGTGATTTCCAAAATCAGCCCAGGTTGAAGATCCGGTCGGACGGTGCCGGACGCGACCGCAAGCACGGCGAGGAACAAGATGGGTTTGTTTTTGCGGATTTCATCGGCGTGGGTGCCGCGTGGGAAGACGACGATCGGTAGATGCTCGCACATTTCGGCCATGTAACGGTCGAAGCATTTCCTCGCCGTGGTGATGTCGATGAGACCGCGTTCGATGGGATCCACCGTCGTTGGTTCTTCAGTCTTGGTCGTGTGTTCCAGAACGGGCTGGTAGGTGTTGGGAGGGGCTAGAGGAGGCTTGTACGACAGCGCCGATGATTTATGTAGCTCTCCGCCGAAGAAGTCATAGTCGGTGGTGATCTTCCTCTTGACGCCTTGTTGCGGAGACCGAGCGCTCGCTGACGATGGTGGTGCCGGGGGTGGGTGGTGGCGGGCGGCGGAGGAGGTGGAGGGTGATGCCATTGACCCCCATATCCCTGCACACGAGTATCCTGGGGGGGAGGGTGTGACACGGATATGGAGGGATCAACGGCAACATCGGACTCAGCTCCTCCTCGTGCAGCCAACGTCGCCGTGAGGGCGTCAATTTTCTTTTCCAACTCGGCAACTCGGCTGTCTGTCTTCTTCTGCCTCTTCCGGCTAGGAGCCGTGACGATACATTGTCTGCTTGCTTTCGCGCATCTCTTGCAAGATCCCGTGGGATGACTTTCGTCGGGCTCGCATTTCACTTTCAGCTGTCGACACGCCTCACAGGCGCGCGGTCTTTTAATATCATTAGGGTCATGGGGATTGCCGGTCGGACTCTGATCGTCAGGGCTCTCCTGCGTGTGTGAAGTGGTGGGGTAGTAGTTGGGCGTGTGAATGGATTGATACGAGTTATTGGGCGATGGCTGGAGAGACGGTTGCAGAGGAGAGTAGGCGCCAGGAGGAGGAGGATTGTGGTAGTGCTGCTGAGGGTCGCGAGGTTTGGGAGGACTGCTCAAGTTCGAGCCTCGCAAGGCTGGATCGATGTGGTTGAAGGTGTCGATGCTGGCCATCGAGTCTCGATACTGCGGTGCGGTACTAGCCTGTGATTGTTGATCGAGTCGGGTCGGCGGTGGTTGATGGCGACTCGCCGTCGAGAGGATCCGGAGCGCCGATGGAAACAACTTCCTCTTTTATTTCCCAGAGCACCCTGCAGGCATTTGCGTCGCCCTCAAGCAGTCGAGAAGGGGGTGATTTGAGAAGATGGCCATGCAGTGACAAATGAGACGTGAGACTGCTTCCTGTTGCACGGGTTCCGTGGGCTGGGGTGAAAGGTAGTGGTCAGTCAGGTCCGGCGTTGGGAGACTTGATGCGATTCCTGCCCTCCGTCAGACATGACGACCTTTGGGGGACAAGGGGGGCAGGAGGAGGAGGAGAGGAGCGAGCGAGCGAGCGAAGGGTGGGTGGGTGCTTCGGTAGGTGGGCGGGAGCCTAGCACGTCTACTGTAGGCTACGGCGAGCCGCGAATGGGATTGCCGGGCCGTGGCATTGCCCATTGGGTGCCTATGCTTTAGGCATTATTATGTAAACGGCCATGCCCACCTCTTCGCCTAGCTGTCGTCTACGCACCACCTAGCTGCCCGTCCTCCCTGTCCCCCTAGTGCACAGCCACTCAATAATAATAATCAATTTTGTGGTGGCCCAACACCAAGCTTCAATAATAATAGCAAATCTCACTCTCCCGAATGGTAAATTTAGGGCTCATTTGCTACAAATATGAACCAGCTTCCTGGCGCCGCTCAGCACAATTCTCACCTGTCGTGATCACGAAGGATCCTCTTCTGTTCCGCACGGACCTCCATAAGAGACGTGGATGTCCTTTATTTTATAGGAAACGCTCATTCCTGATAGTGTCATTCGTCATGCATTGTACGGATCGATACGCGAGTTCTTCGAACCCCAGCCGTGCTAGTTGGAAAACATTCACGCGAAAATCATCTCTGCACTGGAGTTTCATTCCATCAGTAACCCTCTTGCTGTAACCCAACACAAGATCCGTCACGAACGAGGTGCGCCGTCCTAGGTCTTTCATTCCCCGTCATCATTCATGCATCGTAAAACCTCAGACATCGAAAAGGACAGAGTGCGTGCATGGGTTCATCCGATAAGCTTATGCACCGGGCATTCCGCCTTGCGTCCCAGCCACTCCAAAATGCAACTCTTGTGGAATTTACACAAGCACTCCAACCTGACCAGTTCATCGCCAACATCATATTCAACCATACAGATGGAGCACTCTTGGACCTGACCGTCTTCTTGCGACACACAATCCTTCTCAGTTGCTGTGAAGGTGAGCATCTGCAATCGATGAGGTGGGGTTTGGGAGTGCGACTGTGATATCGGACCTCCTATCTCAGACCCCCCAGCTGCCACCGCATTGCTAGATTCTGTGTGATAGGATGGGTCCCGAGAGGAGATGCATTCCATGATATGTGTTTCACGGGCTGTTTCGTCGCCATTCAGACCTCGGGGGGGTAATAAACGACGACAGACTGGACATATATCATCTTCGTTCAGCCGTGGTCGCGCCGAAGGGCTATCACTATGGTTATGCAAGGATCGAGGGAGAGGTCGACGCAGCTGTGACGTGATGCCGAGTAACTCATCACGAGGGTGTCGACTCTCGGGATAGCTTGGGCGCGGACGGAGAGATGTCGCTCGGCCGTCATGGGGTGAATAATCCTGCCCTGTTTAGAATGGTTGCATCAAGGTAGTAGAATAGGAGACGTACCCTAGGAGAAGGTCCCAGAAAGGAACTTGTGCCTGTAGGAATTGGCGATACTTGGAAACGATACCGGGGATGCGACGGCTGGCCTCGATACGAACCAAGCCATCCGAGGGTGGATTCTAGATTGCCATATCCTGCTTCGTTTGCACGATGGCGCTGCTGGAAAGGATCAGTCTGAACAAGCGAGTTAGTAACTTACTCAGTTATATGCAACAACAAATGGGCTTACCATCGCCATTGTATTCCTTGCATAATCTCCCATTCCCGCAGAGTAACCCCTCGGCCTGCTATCAGGATTCCCTGTAGGGCTCAAGATCGTGGTCTGCCGTCCTCCAGTGCTCCACAGAGCATCACGCGAGGAGAAATCGGGGGGGAGATGGTAATTCGGCAGCGGATCAGGTTGAGGATCGGGCACACAGGGATTGCACAACCGCACTTTCTCTCCACCGTCGAGTTGAGAGTGGGCATTATAAGGATAGAGATCTGACGGGCTCCGGAATGAGTTACCGTCAATGTCATCTCCGTTAGAATCCAACGGATCCGATCGGCGGGCTGAAGCATTCACGGGAGAAGTGAACTCGTCGACGCCCGGTGGATGGACGATAAATTGCCGGGGAATTGTGATTCGATGTGGTGAGCAGTCGTTGCAGACCACCCTGCCGCACTTTCTGCAGTGATGTCGCCTGAACATCCACGTAAACTGTCTTTTGCAGATAGGGCACTCGCTGACTTCTGAATCGGGCTGCCACCTCGGCACTATATATCGTCGTGAACTTTCTGAGGAGGACCTGCTCAACCTGTTGCCTTGAGGGGTTTGTGGCAGCGGTGGCAAGGGAGGGAGTCGTGGTGGTGGAGGGGGCGGAGGGGACGAGCTCGTCAGATCTACAACTTCAGGAAAAGGTCGGTTGATGTTGGTATCGGAAGATGCATGTCGCTGGGTCGTGTGAAGAGAGGAAGGCCCATCCCCGTAGGAAGCATCGTAGTTCAGCCTTCTATCGTGGAAGGCACTTATGTTTGTTCTTCTCCTGCTTTCCTCGTACATTGCTGGGTTTGTAAGCCTCCTCTTGCGATCCAAGGCGATAATGCTTCGCCTACGTTCTTCAGTAGTTTGTTCGGCAGACGGGAGGGGGAGGGCTGGGGGACGGTCTCGCAGAGCAGTAGCCAGCAAAGGACCACTGTGGCCAGCTCCTGAACTTGAGCTAGAGCACGACGCAGAGGCAGAGCCCGAGGCGGAGAGTCGCGGGGTTGGGAGGTTGGGCAGCGGCCGCTGAGTTGTTGTGTCCGTCGTCATCTCGGAGTGTCTGGAAGGGTGAGAGTCATGGCGAGTATGATAATGGCGGGGAGTTTCCCCGTCAGAATTATCGCAGCTGCTCTGCGAAATGGTCGAATCTGATAAAGACATGGCCCTTTTCAGTGCAGTTATGCAACAGGAAAGATGGTAACGCAGCCTGGGTGTCGAGGATCTTGAACCCCAAAAGGAGAGGAAGTTGCAGGCAGAGGCACGTGTCAGGGACAGTGACACCGGTGGCGGAGAACGGACATTTCACGGCGGCTTGAAACACGCACGGGTGGGACGAGATGGGAATCGAGAGGAAGTAACAAGACGCGTATCCTCTACAGGTATTGGATGATAGCTGGCATGATACTCGATACATATGCTGGAGGGATCGCGAGTGGCCGCTTGGTGTGTTGGAGATACGAGTAGCGGAAGACTGTATCTCGAATCACCACTAGGGTAGAAACCCATGTAGGATGACGACGATGCCAGTGGTGAGAACTTACCCTTTACAAACCAAACGTTCCCTGTAGCAAGAGAGCACGTGCTTTCCGAAACATGCTTGGGTTGCTGCTAGTACGAGGTAATTGTTGTCTCGGAACAAGCACGGAGACTGGGGCCTGACGCTGGGGTGGCAGCAAAAGGGAATAGTACCCCTACTATGTATTAGTCGTGGACGAGGTGTTTTACCTATTGATTTGCATCCCTTCGGGCCTGTGCACCAGAAATAGACTGCGAAAATGAAACCCCAGTTAAGGCCGGAGGGCGCCACAGGGAGCTCATAGCGGCATCTTCCTAGGTGAGACCTGCCCAAACAACATCTCCAATAAGGGACAGAAAAAAACGTCTTCATCCGAGGAATCGCTCCTTCCCATTGGCCCAGGGGTCTCTCATCGGGTTTAGTCTCCTGCTGCGGCGGTGCCTGCGCATTGCGCTTCTCACCAACTCCATCAATCTTTCTCAACGTTCGCTTCAGGTTTTCCACGACTGTCATTTGGATCTGTCTTCTCCTCTATTGTAACCCACATCATCCTCGCCAGTTTCTTCATTTTAGCCATTTCTCTCGTTGCGCATCTATGCCGACATCATAGCCTCGCAATTAGTTAGCACTCGTCGCGCGGATCTGAGACACTTTCGCCAAGTGGGTGACGATCGTTTTGAACACTTCGCTTTCGACAGTCGCCATTGACAGGCTTCTACATGTGCCCTGTCACTACACCTTCCTTGTTCGCGTCGTGGGCGATCGATTATTAGGAGGAGGGAATTGATCTGAGTTGCGCTCTGCGTCCGTACGACTTGAACCCTAATTTTTTTTTTCTTCTCAGAAGCGTGTCCACCGCGCGACTGGGCCAGATGTTGGGCTGAGGCGGAGAATTATTGCCTGGGAAGAGGAGGACACAAAGATCCACAGCGCAGAAATGGCATTGACTGAACCAGATGGATACCGGGGTACTGACCTCTTACTGAAAGTGGAGGAGAAACGGCATCGACGTTGGGTATGTTGGAGAGGGGATCGGTCAAGCCCGCTCACCATGACTATTGTCCTGCTCGTCCTTTGCATGTCCTCTGTCCGCGCCGCCTATGTCGAATTTCACAATTGTCTGGATAACAATATTGTCAATTCGGATCCGCGCATCCTACAATTTGTCCCCTACAACGTGTCTGCCGTATTCAACAGCTCTCCGACCTCCGATCGACATCATCTCAACATCACTGTATTTGGGAATGTTACTGGGAAGGCCACCGAACAGCCCTATCCTCCTCCTGACGACCCGTCATGGGCCAATCCAAACGACACTTTTGGCAAGATCCCCGACTTGAGCGAGTCAAACAACAAGTACACCACCCTATTTACCCGTGTTAATTTCTTAGGGTACACTCCATGGAATGCAGACCCTTCGCGGTTCTGTGAGTCCGTGGTTCATGGAGAATGCCCCCTGGCTCCCGCCTTCTACATCAACGAAAACGACCTGGACCATTTACCCGCCTTCTCTGTTGCACACGATTTATTCTCCAGTTACGCTTTCGCCTCACTTGAAGCCACGTTGAGAGTTCAGTCGGGCGATGCCAGCGGACAATTCTACAGCTGTGTTACCGCTACGATTACTCCCGACCTGGGAGGATCTCTCAAGGCCATACTCAGATATGTACCGCTCGTGGTACTGATCGTGGTCGGAGTCGCTACCATCGCCGCCGCTATTCTGAGTCCGTGGGGCTCTGCGGACCTGTTTCATTGGAGCAGCAATTTTGGGCGTGACGAGGATTTACTACGCCTAGTCACTCCCGGATTTGGAGACTGTTTGCAATACATTCAATTTGTGGTCCTGACCGGCAGTCTGTCCTTGAACTATCCTGGCTTCTTTCAGCCAGCAGTGAGCCGCGTCGCCTGGTCCTCGCTCATGTTCAACGAGAGTTTCGTGACTGGCGGAAATGGCACCCAGAGCCCGGTCGACGGGATTTATGAATATCATCAGAACACCAAATATGGTCTTGATCGAATGAGCCAACTGGTTGGCATGACCTCAGACAAAGATATCTGGGCCGACATGATCGTGTGGCTGGTGGTCATCGTTGCTGCCGTCTCGATATTGACTCAAGTTGGATTTGCGGTCCGCTGGATCTATCGAAAGATCCAGAGGGAGCCGCCAGAGGATCTGCGTTCCAAAAATGGACCGTTCACTGTTGGAAACGTCGTCCGGCTGGTCATGAACTTTTTCTTTCTGCCTTTGGTATCGCTGTCATTCTATCAGTTGGTGATTGCCGGGAAAGGCCCGGCCTACTCCGTTGCCCTTGCAGCGGTGGCGCTGGTTTTGGTCGTCGCATTTTTGATCTGGGTGCTGTTATTATTTGTTCGGACGAGACCACGCTCGTTCCTCTTCGACGACTTTCTGATGGTCCTTGCTTACGGGCCTCTATATAACACCTACTGCGACGACGCGGCCACCTTTTCATTGATTCCTCTTCTCGTCAACCTTGTCCGGGGCATCGCAATTGGGGCTGTCCAGCCGTCCGGAATTGCACAAATTGTGCTGCTAGCAATCTGTGAGATTGTTATGATTCTTACAATTAACGCCTTCCGGCCATTTCCGTCTGCCACCTCCATGAACATCTACCACACTTGCTTCTCCGTTATCCGACTTATCACCATCCTTCTTTTTATAGCTTTTGTGCCTGCACTAGGCGTTCAGGATTCGTCGAGAGGCTGGATCGGGTACGCGATCCTCACTATTCATGCCTGCACCATGGTCTTTGGGTTCTTCCTGAATGCCGTACAGACCTTGGTCGAAGTCATTGCCCGCCTTGCAGGTGCGGGCGGACGGGATGAAGCAACAGGGGCCGCCACTAGAGGTGGGTTGAACAAGGTATTTGGAATGCGACAACTGTCTCGACGAATGCCGCGGCGAGCTACTCAGGACCCGCGCCATAGTATGTCATCGAATGCGGCCATGCTGAACGCCATCGAAAACGACCAACAGAAGCTCCAGATGGCGAAGACCAGGTCGCGCAGTGTCTCGGCTACGTCAGGCGTTCTCCTGGAAGGCGGTGCAAACTCCAACCGGATCAGCCAGAACCTCGATGGTCGTGTTGTCGGCCACACCACTCCTGATAGATCCAGCAGGGGATCAAGGCGACTTACCGCCCGGCTTAGTGGTACGGGGTCCCTGGGTGGGATCGTCGGCATTCAGAAGCAGGTGGAACAAAAAGACCCGTACTATCGACCACCGCGCAGAAACACAATGGATGCACTTGCTGGAGTCGACAGTCGTCCAAATTTGGCTCAGGTGTCGTCAAAGGGGGCCGTGGCAACTGAAGGAGCTGTCGAGGACGATGCTGGGGAAGGTCCCTCTACTCCTATGCCTTTGGAAAACGACGACTTCGAAGACATCACGAATGATTTGACGAGGACAAAGACCGACTACGCGGTGAGAGAGGTTGACTTCTACTACGGTGTCCGGGGTGCTGCTCTCTCCAGTGGAACTAGGAAGCTCAAGACTGGACCAGCTGATCCGACCGGGCCTGTCTCTACTGCCACCGGGTGGTTCAAAAATCTTCTAGGCGGCAAGACCAAAGAGAAGAACAAGGGATTTGAGGTGGTCCGGAGTGCCCGTGCTCCTCCTCCCGGGCTGTTCCCACCACACGCTCCTGTCCGAGAAAGCCAGGTCACGGAGCCTTACCACGACGACGTCCGCAGCATAGAAGAGAGCCAGACTGATCGAAACAGCGCAGGAATCTCGTCACCACCACCACAACCCAAGGTTCAAAGGCAGAGCCACAACCAAAGTGTTTATGACGACATCTCTGTTGCAGAGTCTGACGATGAGGAGGAAGCAGAGAGTCACGTCCCAGAAAGACCACCGTCGTTGCCCCTGATCGAATCCGTCGGTGGCATTGAATTGCCCAGCCGTATTGGGTCGGAGGCTTCAAGGAAATCCCGTGGCAAACCCCCACGCACACATGACACAGACATTCCAGCAGTTCCCGCTATTCCTCGCAAGAGTTCACGAAGACAGTCCGGTGGCGATTCGGGGGACAGAGGGCTGGCCGAGTCTGCATTACCTGCAGCGCGTCCAGCTAACGTTACATCCCGAAAAGCGCCGACGCAGCCGCTAGGAACTAGCCGCATTCCTTTCGCGAATACCCAGCCGTCGACCGCCCGCAACAAGAGGTATTCAACTGGGGCAGAATCAACAACGTCGAGCGTTATCCGTGACGGGGACGAAAATACTCCCGTGCACCCGTCGTATACAAGTCAGATGCGCCAGTCAGCCACATCCGCCCTGGGAACCCATGGAGCCGATCTCCGCAACGACCAGCCGTCCAACATGGGTTTCGTGCAACAACATAGGGCCAGCGACCACATACACCACAGTCCGGGTTCGCCTGAGTTCGAAGGTAGCACTGCTGAAGTTCACGGGCACCCGGCTTATTGAGGGACTGGTCGACCATTGGCTGGAAAGGTTATCACGAAGTTCACGACCTATTTGCAAAATACATATTGTATGGAAGATTACTGGGCAATTGGAGACGGTCGTCCATTACCCGGTATGCTTCAACAGGCACATTGCAGTTTTGTTGCATTTATTACCGAGATCGTGTTCAGAAGAGCACCGACCAAAGGCAAAAGGAAAAATTCACATTGGACTCGACAGGGGGAAATGCACTTTGGCTCCTTTCTGCCAGTTTGATCAGCGAGGCGTCCGGTTTTGTGTAGAAAGGAAATAATATATCAGGCCTATCATTTTTGAGGCATGTATTTAATTAACATTGTCCCTAATGTCATCCATACGTAACTGTTTCGCAATGGAAATTGGAAGCTTTGAGCAAGAAGTCTCCAAGACAAAGATAAAACCTGGACAATGGGCGTGTCTTTCAATGTGCCGTCTACCGTCTTCGTCCACAGGCAGCTTGTACCAGCTTTCGTCGTCCATCCCGGTTATATTCACCTTGCCACGAATGTGCACAGTGCCAAAAGCAGCTTCCCCACAGACCGAAAGGAGCGAAGCCATCTTGTACTACGTCTACTAACGCTCTTCGTCGTGGAAAACGGACCTGAAAAGAACGTCTTCACCTGCCGCAAAAGGCTAAAACCACGACGACAGAGCTTTGTCCCTGACTTCCTAAGCGAAATCAAAACCTACTTGATTATCCTTTTAGCTATGTCCCGCGACTGCGTGTGAGTTAAGACTGCTGAGCCGCCACCCTGTGCGATGACAGCGTGACCCGTGGAGATGCCGTCCACAAAAGCCAATCTCAACATGACTCTGTCGCCGGTCCCTGACACGGGCAGATGTGGGCGACGCAGACCCTAGGTCCTCAAGGCATGGGCAAGAACCTTCGAGGGTGGACGCTTAGGCGTGAGTTAGCCCGATAGCTTTGGAAGCTCCACCGCCTCGTCTGTTCGAGAGACACGGTACCTGGGCTCGTGCACTCGGATCACGGCGAGGTTTGACAAATAACGATCGATCGACAGAAGCTCCTCCCCGCCGGTTGAGGATCTTACAGACGAGCCCTTCAGGCGACCTGTTACCTTGATATCCTCACGTCCTGAGACCCTGGACTTACAGCCTACTTGGGACAAGGTTCGATCGGCTCGCAAAATAATGACATGCATGTCTTGCCGGCTTCTCATGAATCATGACACCAGCACGGGGCCCCTGGGTCCGTGCACCAGCGCCTGAAGCCAGAAGGGGACAACTGACTTCTGTATGAGGCGAAGGCCAGGAGACTTAAATTTTAAGGATCACATATTCCCCGCCGGTTCGAAGCTAGATCTGCCGTACGAGCAGACCCAATCGTCGACGGTCCTGGGGGATGGATGGCCAACGCAGACCAGGATTGGTCCGGAGGACGGAGCCCGCATGGCTGCAACCATCTCGATAGTGTGGCACGCTCGGCAGAAAAGGACTCCTGCTACTTACAGACTTCAAACGAGCACGAGACCAGAGGCTCGCCTGCCAGTCGTGGGATCCAGACCTCAGGAGCTTGTGCAGAAAACGATATCTCTCCCAGACACGACGAGAGCAGACAGTCGCATGGTGTCTGCGCATACCAGTCCCCCCCAAAGATCCAAGGAAGAAGTTGCCGACCTATCTGCACCGGCGACGAGCGCTGTTCGACAGTCCCTTTGCCTTGATCCCCGTCCAGGGCATTTCACGATTCCCATGTCAAGCATTATAAGAGTTTCGAGTATCTTGGCTGAGCGGCCGGCGCAAGCCAGCTCCTCACTAAACCACCGCCACCAGTACTTTATGATTTACGTACATCCACCCAAACTCCTGGGACAGGCTATCTTGTCATTGGCCGTGCGCCATTGTGGTCCTAGGCCGCGGAGGCGGGCCCGCAAGCCGGTGTCAAAACCGCCAGGGATGGACCTCGCCTTGAAACTATTGATCAGCCGTGGGGATCTTCCTCGCCTAACACGAGCGATGTGCATTGAGTGACAGCGGGTGGCACAGGTGGCCCGTGCCCTTGTTGGTGTTTTCGACCCTTCCCCAGATCGATGTTGTGTCGACGACCAAAACTCCGTCCATGTCTAGATGCGCCAGAGGCTCTCCGGCAAAGCCGGTCTCGACTCCCAGCATCGCATGCCAAAGAAAAACACAGCCAGATTTCAGGAATAAGTGGCAAACAGGGCCTCCTGGACCATTCCATACGCGGGGTACTCCGGCCTTGATGGAGCACTCAAAAAGTTACTTCGCCGTCCTGCCTCACTAGCCATGTCCTCTCCTGGACACTCCTTCAGCTCAGGTGGCCTCAAAGGGGTTGCGGGTCGTGGGTCGAAAGCAAAATCAAGGATTTCGAGATACATTTTGAGATAAACTCTTCCCTACTTGTACAATGCCCCTCAGCACCAAGCACGGGGGTTGCTGGGCATACGGCACGGCTCGGAGGACTTTGGAGACATTGCCACAGCTCGATCGAGCTAAGCAGACCTCCTGATCGGTTCATCTTGTCGCTTTCTCCAGGATGGCGAAATCGTCACGGTTAGTATAGCCTACAGTATGCAAGCCGCACGAGCCGCCGGCAAACGGCAACTTGGGCCTACGCACCAATGCCTATTCCCTCCTCCTCCTCAGCTACGAAAGGGACTTATGCACAAGAATGGAGCTGGCCGATGGTGACGGAAAACTCTCCTTCCACCAATCAGTCGACACACCAGAGCTATTCGGCGACCACGGCCATTAGCCACCACCAAACCCTAGTCTGTCGAGTCGAAAGGATCGATCCAAGAGCCCACCACTCTCTCGCTCTGGCGAGACAAGATCTGGGTTTCTCATCTCTCGTCTATCGGGCCCATACTGTTGTCATTGCATGTCTACTCTAGGCGACCACGGTGGCTCTCATCCCACTAACACCAGCTTCCCACACAGAGTCTTGGTAGTGCAGGGCACCACGTACGGCCCGAATCCATGCCCTCATCCCTGTGTTGCCGTCCGAGCGCTCTTGTCAGAGTTTGCCCACTATGGCCTCTCCATGTCTCATTCTTCTGGAGTGGGTCATCTTCGTGATGTCTCCCCCCTTGAAGAGTGAAGAGTGAAGAAAGCACTAAAAGCACACTGGAGCAATCGTTGCGTGGTGAGGCTCGGAGGAAAATGCCGTGAGAGTTGTAGGCGAACTTCCCACGAGATACAGGGATCTCACCTTGTTGCCTGCCAATTTCTGCCCATTTCCACGCACTACTAATGCCCTAACCAGCAGCCTTCGGACTGTCTTTCCGAGGACCTGCGGCCAATCAATGTTCACCTATCTTTGTCCGCGGCCCTTGGTCAGCGACATTGGGCCGAGCAGATGCAGGAAAATGGACAGACTCTCCGCCTAGCAGCGTTGGCGAGCACGACGACAACCGTCGAGTCTCTGGGCCCTCGCTAAGTCTTCCCAATGCAAGCTTTTTTTGCCTTTCGTCAACTCCCATCTCGCTAGGCCTGCACCCCTGAGTGGGCTATGGCTGCATGTGGAATTGATACATGCAGCAGTGGTTTCGATTTGGGATAGTGGACGGCTGCACGCTATTGGGACATGGATAACCTAACACACCCTCCAACACCTCCAAGTCCAATGTCGTCCCTCTCTCGACTCCTCACCAGTGCTTGCTGCCATCCACCCCGGGAGTTACTGCAGTTGGATGCTTCGACTGATTGGCGCACAAGTCTGGAGCAAACATCCTGGGAACTCCGAACTGTAGCATCCAACCCCGGTTGGGACTCTCCACCATTCCACCCTCCTTCACGCATTTTTGTATTTGCGTTTATGGCAAAGTTGGTCGAAGCGGGATCGACAGTCCCCTCTGAGGTCCCTGATTCCCATATTATACCTGTTCCTGGACCCTGTGGTGTTCTTACAAAAGATCGGATTCTCTGATTATCACCCTCGACGTTCGGATACCCCCAGTGAGCGTTGCTGTCGCTAATGCCACGATATATCCTTCAGACGTCTCAATCTTTTAAGCATTCAGACTGAAAAGAGTGTCCACCCGTTGCGGGTCGCTACTATCGGGACCACTTGATATTCGGAAACCACGAATTTTGCTTGATTATTACTGCGCTGCCCGCCAGACAGATCAAGGGACAACCTCATCGACTCTTTCTCACCGCTGTTTGATCTGGTAGATGGCCAGGCACTGGCATCATAAATCATGATGTTGACCGGCATTCCCAACACTCCAACGGTGTTTGTACAGGCCCTCGGCCTCCCTCAGCCATCAGTATTCAGCAAGCGGCGGGCCAACTCCTGCAAGCCCTGCCGTGACAGCAAATCCAGAGTACGATGCAGGCCCTTGGAAGTGTGACAGACTAGCCGCTAACAGATGCCACAGTGCTCCGGAGGCATGCCCTGTACAACCTGTCAGAAGAAGCGTGACAAGCCCGAATGCTTCTACCTTACTTCGTTTCCCAGGAACCAAGTCAGTCCCGTACGGCAACACATGGTCCTATGAAATAAATGCTGATGATAAAACTAGCCCAAGCAAGTACATGACACGGAGCACAGCCACGGAGAGGCGTTCGGCGCCTGCCGTGGCGCCAAACAAGGGTCCGATAAAATGGGTGCCGTCGAAGGAGGCCGCGGGTTTGCAACTCCGCAGCAGAACTTTTGTGGAACTCTGTCACTATCAAGGAGTATCGACGAGGTATTCAGAGCGCTCGAATCTCTCGACGTCAGCATGCTAACTAACTCTCCAGTTCAAGTCCCTTCTTCCAACCAATGGACGATTTCGGGAGATCCTGGACTCGATCCAACCTATGCAAGTCTTCAACCTGGAAAATCATGCCACCGAAGATGAAACGACGATGGACTATGCCCACACGGGAGAACTAGGCGACGACTCCGAAGTCGAATTTCCGCCTCGTCTTCAGCCACTCTATATGAAATACAGGACTGTACGGGAGCTACTTGTTGCCGGACGGGCGATGCAGGCCTGGGCCGCCTTCCCGAGCCTTGTCCGTGATGCCGAAATCCTTGGCTGTAAGTCTAGAAATGCTTCACCTTCGAACTGGCATATTGACCTAATCTTTGCAGTGGACGTAGAAGGAAGCCTCACCCCCGTGGAAGCTGAAACAGATTCACAACCTGGCCGTCACCTGTGCTGGCTCCTTGTGGAGCTCGATGTCCAGATCAGCTTTCTCTTGGGTCGTTGTCCCTTTATTGCCCCTTTCCATGGCATTCCCAAGCCATCTCCAACCAGCCCTCGGCAAGAAGAACAGGACCTACAGCAGAACATCTATGAATTCTCACAGTACATGATTGAAGTGTTGGATCGCTTCAACCGTGGCAGGAATGATCCGTCCAAGTTGTCTTCCCACGAGCGGGAGACCATGTTAGAAGCAGACCTAACTCAACTATATCAATTGCAGTCGAAGCTGCCACCCATACCTCAAAACAGCTCATCCGAAACATCATTATCCATTCCCATTATTCAACACCACATCGACGTCCAGTTGATGCTGATGGTACTGCATTGTCAGATGCTGCGGTCGATGCGCAATCAACACACCTCGGCCAAAAGAGCCAAGTACAGGGAGCTGTTGAAATGTTCTCGCTTGATCACTGAAATGTTCGACTCCATCCATAGCCTCGAGTCGACCCAGACCGCCTCGTCTTGGCCGCGGTGCTTTGGAGTCTTTTGCGCTGCCGTTATGTTAGGCATCGCGACCATACGCCAGGAGGTGGGTGTGAGCATAGGTTCGAAGCGTGTCGAGCGAACCTTGGGGATCTTCAAGGATCTGGCCAAAGCTGGCCAGGCCTCTGGAGTGGCGGAACTCGCCATGAAGTCCCTGGATCTGGTTGTCGACCGAATCAGAGAACTCGAACACCCTCCCACGAGCTCCACAGGTCTCACTGCTCCAGCGACGGTGACCTGCCCAACCACCCCTACTGGAGAGGTCACCCCTCCAGCCCCCCCTCTGACTGACCTATCGTCCAAGGTGAAGAGGAATGTTGCTGGCCTTAAGCGTCGTCGGAGACCAAGCTTCGAGGGGAAGTTCGGTGCCAACAAGCGACAAATGTTCGAGTTCAAGGACATCGCTCCAAGCAACTTGGAACAACGACGGGCAAGTTGGCATCCCGGCACAGAACACCACTATGCCCAAGCCATGGCGGCTTTCCATGATCCGTCTGCCGGCAATGGCCTGAATCGACTTGACCTGCAGAGCTTCCAGCAGGACAAATGCCACCCGACACCTGTTTCTGCCTCATTTACAGCAGGTGATCAAAGAGCAATGTCCAACGTCGGATATGGGTCGACTTCTATGGAGCATTTCCACGAATTCCAGGCGGCTCATCACTGGGTGCACCCTCCCATGATGTACCATCCGCCGATGTACGATGACTGGTGGCAAGCTCAATTTACCCCTTATGATACGATGACCCCGGACCATAGCCGACCGGTGTTCTTCGAGTCTCCATTGGGCCTGCAGATGGATCAGAGCCGTCACCTTGAGGCCAGCTCGCGTGGCAGTGACCATGCTGGCTTTGCTCACCTGAAACCGGACGCAGGGGTCCATCACGACCCCACCATGGTGATGAATACCTCGATGGTGCACTCGCTATGCACAACTCAGGCTGTGTAACGGAAAGCACTTGGCCGGGAACAGACAAAAACGGTGGGGCTGCAGGGCGCACAGGGAGGCTGGCGTCAAGCACGTGTGATGTGAACATGGGCAGCGCTGATATGTTAGGAGCGCATGTATTCTACGACTTTAGCTATGTAGGTACTGGTATTATGAAATATCCCACAAGTTACTATATACCAGCCTCTCTTGATGCCCTGTTTATACTGGCTATACGTAGAACATAGCGTCCAATAGGAGACTCAGACCTGATCAGGAAGGCCAATGCGGGCCAACCAATTAGAGTGCGGAACATAGACCGCGGTCTCCACAGGATCTTTCCGCTTTTTCCACCTCCATCTGCATGCGCAAAGCCGCTCAACTCCTAAGCTGCTTCGTTGTACTCACCACACCTACCTACCTACATCTTCCCTTTGCCCCCTCCTCCCCTCGGTGTAACCATGTGAACCGTCGCAATGTATCCGCCATTTGATTACTTCGAGCATCGCCGAGCCTGGTCAGTGAGCCAATTTCATCTCCTCCCTCCTCTCACCAGTGGTGCCCTGTCTCTCACTGTCTCTCTCTCTCTCTGTTTGCTGCGTCTGCAATACTGACTGACCTCTCTTTCCTTCGGATAGCGTCATAAAGCAGCGCCAGCGTGACGCTCGGTTCGACTCGCTCCCCGATCCCTACAAGGGCCCGCTCACGGCGCAGCAGCGGTCCATCCTCAACGCCCCGATCGCCCAGCTGGTCCGCGACGTGCACGATGGCACCCTCTCGCCCATCGACATCCTCCGCACCTACGGCAAGACTACGACGGTCGCGCACCAGCGCACCAACTGTGTCACCGAGGTCCTCCTGCCCGAGGCCGAGTCGTGGGCGCGCAATGAACAGCAGGATGTGAATCTCAAAGGCCCCCTCGCCGGCATCCCCGTGTCCCTCAAGGACTCGATCGCCGTCGGCGGCTTCGACGTCAGTGTGGGCTACTCCCGCAATGTCTTCAAACCCTACAGCGAGGACGGCGTCATGGTCAAGCTTCTGAAAAGAGCCGGAGCGATACCCCACGCCAAAACCGCCCTGCCTATCACGCTGCTGAGCTTCGAGAGCACCAACGACCTGTGGGGCGTGTGCAAGAACCCGCACAACCCCAATTACTCGCCTGGTGGCAGTACCGGCGGCGAAGGTGCTCTTTTGGCATTGAACGGATCCAGGATTGGTATTGGTTCCGACGTCGCGGGCTCGGTGCGTGCCCCGGCGGCGTGGTCGGGCATCAATTCTCTACGCTGTTCGACGGGCAGATGGCCCAAGGTCGGGATGAATACCTCCATGCCGGGCCAGGAAGGGGTGCCCAGTGTCTTCTCTCCCATGGCCAGGACACTGGACGATTTGACCTACTTCACGCGGGCATTCATCGGCATGAATCCCTGGGAAGTGGACTACACGGTGCACCCCATCCCGTGGCGACAAGAGGTCTACGACGAGGTGCTGGAAAAGAAACCGCTGCGCATTGGCCTGATGACCACCGATGGCGTTTGCGCTCCCGCCCCAGCGATTGCTCGCGGGCTGAACATGACCGCCTCGGCGCTCCGCTCCGCTGGCCACCAAGTGGTTGAAATCCCAGTCTCCTCATACCCCCCGACTGCGACCCCCGCTATCGGTCTACAGATCGCCAGCGTGCTCCTCTGCGCCGACGGTGGCAAGACCTTCCGATCGTTCTTTCGGACGGGCGAGTCTAACGACCCGGGTGCGGCGCAGATCAATTTCTACATGTCCCTGCCTCGACCTCTTAAATACCTGTGGTACCTCTTCACGCGCTATGTCCGGCGTGACTCGGTGTGGGCGTCCATTCTCCGCTACTTCCACCCCCTGAGCGCTTTCGAGCAGTGGCAGTGGGTTGCCAAGCGCGAAGCTTACAGGGCGACGTGGTTCGACTGGCTCAATCAACCCGCGCAGCAGTTTGATTTCATCCTGTGTCCCGGAAACGCCACCCCGGCCCTGCCGCACGGGTGCATGAAGGAGGCGGTGAGCAGCTGTGGGTACACGTTTTTGTGGAATCTTTTGGACTACACCGCGGGTATCATTCCCGTGGCAAAGGTGGACAAAGAAAAGGATGCTCTGCCCAAAGGATTCAGGCCAGCGAATGGGGTTGAGAAGGGCGCGTACAAGTACTACGACAGTGTGAAGATGGCGGGTCTCCCAATAGCGGTGCAAATCGTCGGACGGAGACTGACGGAGGAGAAGGTCCTGGGGTATATGCAAGTTGTGACGGATGCGTTGAAGGAAAGCGGTACCGTGTACGAGCATTTGGACGTCGACAATCTGCCCGAGATTGACGAGCTGGAGCAAGGAAGCAGGAAGAAGATCCCTGTCGACCCCAAGAAGATCTGGTAAGACGCCATGCAGCAGGGGTGGAGCTCGCGGGCGGCGATTCACCGTGGCAAGAGGAGGAGGAGGAGGGAGAGGAATGAATCGGTGTGCATGTCCACATTGTGTATGGATTGTGTGCCAGTCACTTCAAACCGACGCAAGGGTCGAGCAGGGACGAACCATTGGGAGATGGCAGGAGGCTAGGAAGGGGAGGGGGGGAGAGAGTGTGTGTATATGTGGCTGCCATCATGCCGATATATCCGGAGTACCGAGTCTGTACGTATCTTGAGACGAGACGACCATACCACACATATATTATGAACTCGACCGTATCTATATTCCTACACTTACACTACACTACAAGGAGAAAATGGGGGAAACAAGAAGAGGGCGGTTGTTGTCGGTACTCACTCCTGCACCAGACATGTGTTGTAGCTAGATAGCTAGCTATACATACTGACTGACTGGCAGGCATGCAGCATGCTTCAAATACCGTTCCTGTCTACCAGGACCGAGTACATAGTCATCATACGCCGGTAGGTGGGCTCTAGAGTAAGGTTGCATCGCAGTAATAGTTACAGTAAGTTAGATTTTGGGTATTTTGAGATGCTTCGTTTTTCCTATGCACACACACACAGAGAGAGAGAGAGAGAGAGTATATTTTCTGTTGCCCTGGGGCATCCTGCGTCCGCTCGCAACATTTGCGGTGAAAGAGCCGAGAACATATGAAGAGACAGGATTCAGGCACTCTCTCACAAGTTCCTTGTCGTAGGGTTTTCGTGGATGACCAGCGGGCTTCCTTTCGTCCACGACCGTCTATCTACGGGTTTGTGAAGTGAGACATTCAGCCATTCCATTAAGAGTAACCAGCCAGCCAGCTAGCCTTGGGTGGCCCGATACCTAGACAAGCCTGACTTTGGCAGGGCTGGAGTCATGAATCCAGCACCCTTCCTTCCGCCATGGCGATCACATAATCTCCAAAGTGGTTGGACGTGTCTCAAGAATTCGCCCCATTTCGAGCCATAATTCCTCCCAATTCGTCAATTTTGTGGCTGAGCTTGAATTCCTAGGCGGATGCGGCGACTGTGGGAGCGGGCGCATCTTCAGAGGGCGTTGTCCTCTCATAAGATTCGGTATTGTCCTCTGACCTCTGGGAATGTGTCTTTGGCGTGATATGAATGCTGCCGGACTGAGTGTAGGTCTCGCTAGGAGGACCAACGGCACGGACGACCACCGTCTTCCGGACTAAGTCAACAAGTTCCAGCTTCACCGGCAGAAACGAACGATACTTCACCCCCTTTTCCCAACCCTCGTTCGATGCCAAAATAACCGCGTAGACGTTGAAAGGGAGAAGAACGCCCCTGAGCCCACTGTCATCAGGTCGAGTCCGCGTCGAATTGACCGAGGTCACATTTACGTCCCATACCTCTGGGAGTTCTGCCTCCCTGAAGTGAAATGCTCGGAACAGTGCTTGCGTGATCCAATGTTTCCTCTCGTTGCGCGAGATCTCACGTGCCCACTCATACATTCGGGGCGAATGTTCTACGATGAACTTGTCGACCATTTCCTTGGAGATGGGCAACGGCAGCTGGTCGCCCGGACCGCCCGGCTGAACGGCTCCGCTGGCCTCGGCACGGAGGTAGGCATCAACCTGCCAGTGGGCCATCAAATCTGGATAGCGTCGGAGAGGGTTGCTGAACCACAAATGGACTTGATGGCTTTTGTGGACGTGAGGTATAGGCGAAGACGAGAGCTTGCCCGAAGGATACTCTGCATGTTCGCCGCGGCCTAGTTGATTGAGTTTGGCAGGGGGAAAGTCTGCAGCGTACGAGGATCCAAAGAAACATGCAGGTAGCTTGCGGTCCTGGAACCACTTGCCGGCCGACTCTGCGACCAGGTCTCCACATAACGCTGTCAAGGTAACGTACCGTGGCATTTCTTTCACTCGATTCAGTCGCATATACCGAGACACTGTAATTCTGATCGCAGGATCGCCCTGGTATTGTTGGCTCCGGAACAGGCTGTCTTCATCAAACCGGCTGCCTATGATATGGACGTAGCTTTGTGTCGAAAGGCTCCCCTGGACTTCCCAGTCCGGTGCCACGGCCACAGATCGTCGACGACTTTCCTCTCTAGCGAGGAGAAGCTCCTCCAGTCTTTGAAGGTCCGATAGGTGGGCACGAGCTTTTTCGATGTCCGCAGGTGCCGCCTGTTGCAAAGACTTAGGGGGCAATCCAACCTGAGGGCCCAACGAGAGAGTAGCGGCTTCGTATTCGGGCTTCCCGAGAACATGTTCCACTGCAGCATTGGAGAGGTAAATCACATTTCGCAGCGTAGTCGGCCGAATCTTGATGTCTATCACGTCACCAGCCTCTGTGAATAGCGTGCTGACGGTGATGGCGGGGGAACCGGAGCGCAGAGACAATGTTCGTGTAAAGCTGTCAGGAACCATCCGTGCAACGTAAGTGTTGTGGAAGACACTCTCAGTAAGCTTCAGGGCTCGCTGTGCTATGATGTGATCTGGGTCGATGAATGCAGTTGGGTGTGATACATGGCCATGGATCCAGTAGGCACCAGTACCTTCGCTGCTAGGCTCAATCGAAAACCCGTCTTCTCTGATATTTGTTTCTCCAGCGTCGATGCAGTAGACTGGCAGCTCAAAATCCTGGCGTAGAGATGCCATAGAGTCTACGAGCAAGCCATGATCGAGGGTCTTGCTCAGACCTAATCTGTGACAGAAGCGGTCCGCCTCGTCATAGACACGGGTCAGCTCTTGACTCCCTCTCCCGCCGGGGATCTTGAGGGTCACATTGTGGTCGGAACGAAGGAACCACGGTGGCAGGGTACCCAATTCTTGCAGCAAAAGACACCCCATATTGTGGTCGAGGCGAAGCTTGGGATATGCACCGATAGCTCGGAGGATCAAAGAGGCTATGGCGAGGTTTCGGTTGTTGTCCGGGGGAGGATAGCGAACATAGCAATCCCAAAGGAACTCTAGAAACATCTTGTCCTCTTCCGTGAACGTTTCATCGTTCTCTTTGACGGGAATCTTGCCATTTTCAAGATCTGTAGGTTGCATGGAACTCGGTCCAAGACTGCCAATGGTGGTGGGAGAGCGTAAAGTGCGGCTCTTCAGGATCAAGCGCCTTGCCTTTGCAACGAAGGAAGAGAGGGGGTTGCGTGCCAGATCACCCGTCACGTCCTTTCCCATAGCGGCGGCGGCGGCCGCCTCTTGATATTCTCGAGCCCATGTGCAGACTTGATCAAAGCGCTTTGCCAATCGTTTGGGGATGATAGCTACAGTTGCGGAGGGATAGTGGGTCTTTTTCAGTACGGTGATCTGAGCGACATGCTTCCTTCGCAGTGTCCTGTAGACCGCGAAGAGTGCAGCAGGAGGTACTTCAGAGTATTTGGTACCCAGCAATTTGCTCACCATTTGCTCGTACGAGAGGGAGATGTACCTTTCTTCGTCGGCGATGTGTTCATAGAGCGAGTCGAGAAGATCAAGATTTTCCCGGCGCCAGGTGGACATGTCATCGACGAAACGAGCAAGCCGCGTTATGAGAGTCTCGGAGTCGACGGAGGGGGTGTCGCCGGCAAAGCTGTAACCCATCTTGACGTCGAAATCTGTAGCCTGCATCTCCAGTGGCTTGACTGGCAAGTGTTTCCGAATCTGGTCGATTTCTTGCTGGGAAGCGAACTGCTTGTACCTGGGACTGGGCTGCTGGACTGATTGCTCGACAACCCAGCGGCCGTCAGATAGTAAATACTGTCGCTGCCAACCTAGGGTACCCAAGAAGATGGCGAGCTGTGAACGCGCAAAGCGACCGGCGCCAGCCGTGTATTTTCCGGGCTGCCACCATATCAAGTCGCCGGGATCGAGATGAGGGACATTGCCACCCTCTACAGCATCTTCCCATATCTCAGGAAGATCGCCTGCGCTCAGTTCTTCGTCCTCACCCAATGTATTATCGGCGAGGCTTGCTTCTTCGATGAAGAGGGAGTTGGGCAACACCGTCAGCCGTTTGAGCTTGAGAGAATCGCTGTGGGCATCTGCCTCTTTCCTCTTTTTCTTGTTGTTCTCGGCGCTCCATGCTCTTAGGTGGTTGCGGATTACTGAGTCAGAAGTGACAGCGGGGGTCGTGGACGATGAAGGAGGGGGTCGCGAGGTGCTGGAGGAGCCTAGTCTGATGTCTCGAAAGGTGGCAATGGGGGCCCGAGAGGTCTCCAGTGATGCCAGGGAGGAGCTCAATGTGCTGAATGGCTCTCCATGCTGTGTAGACTGCGCACGGGTGCGTTTAGATCCTGGGAGTTTCGTTCTTTTACTGTGATGGAAGAAGGTCGAAAGTAAAGCGGATGTCCGACATTCCGGGCAAATATACTTCTTCGTAACATTGCCTGCGTGGTTTCTCGAAGCCAGCATTATTTCCCCAGAAGGTAGGATAACAAAGAGAGCTGCATCGAAGAATTGAACATTGCACTTCACGGAATCATGACGACGCCGCAGATGGAGAAATCGCGTTCTCCAAAAAAAAAATTGTGGACTCCTCCGCGTGTCATTACATACTGTACCGAGTACATACAGCCCACCAACCAGCGAAGAGGCCGCTTGTGACTCAAGCCCGGTCACTATCTTTTCCATTTAAATGCGTCTTTCCTTCTTTTTGTACGCTTGTCGCAGAGAAATTTCAGAGAGACTCGCTACCGCTGCAATGCCGATTCAACAGCCCGCCAACCAGATCAAACTGACCAATGTGTCGTTGGTGCGGTACAAGAAGGGCAAGAAACGCTTCGAGCTCGCGTGCTACAAGAACAAACTACTCGAATACCGGTCAGGAACCGAGACCGACCTCGACAACGTCCTCCAAGTGCCAACCATTTTCCTGAACGCTTCCAAAGGCGAAACTGCCCCGAATGCGGAACTCGTCAAGGCATGGCCCATGCCCACGCATCAAGAGAAACAAGAATCGGGGGGAAAAGGCGGGGGAAAGGGAGGGAAGAAGGCCAAGGGGAAATCTGCAAACGATGAGGGGGAGGATGAAAAGTCATGGAAGGACGCCATCATTGAAGAAATCCTGAAAAAGGGCGAGATCCAAGTGAACGCCAACGAGCGCAAGGAACTACTGGATAGAATGGAGAAAGAGATCGTGGAAGAGGTGGCCCAGAGACTCGTCGACCCGCAGACCAAGAGAGTCTACACCACAGGCATGATCAAGAAGGGACTCGATGTCCTCTCGAAACAGGGTGGTCATGTCCCATCACAGGACTCTTTGGGTCATAAACTCGGCAAGCTAAATCTGGGCGAAGGTGTCAAGAAGGGCGCTGCCGCACCAAAGGGATCTAGCGAGACGAGCGGGCAAGCGACGCCAATGACCGACGACGACGACGAGTCTGCGTCTGGAAGCAACTCTAAGGGCAAGAGAAGCGACGTGCCGACGTGGACTGGGGTCGTGACCAACAAATCCGTCAAGCAGCAGGCTCTTGAGGCAATCCGTGCTTTGATCGCCTGGCAACCCATTCCGGTCATGCGTGCACGTATGAGACTGCGAATCACTTGTCCCACCAACATCGCAAAGCAGGCGGCCAAGTCCAAGGTTGTCAGCACAAGCACAGATGCTAGCGAAGACGCCGGAGCCGATCAAGGCAAAGGCACCATCAAGGATCGCATTCTTTCCTTCGTCGAGCAGGTCGAGAGCCAGGAGGTGCTGGGTGAGGAGTGGGAAGTCGTGGGGTTCGTGGAGCCGGGCGCCTTTAAAGCCTCGGGGAATTCATCGCCGCGAGATGAAGGGGAGAGGGAGGCTAGAAGTGCTGGACATGGCCGTCACACATACGGATGATTGAGAAGGGTGGTTAGAGGGAAACCGCAGCTTGGAGGACGGACATGGGTTTCAACCTCGACTCGGCCCGGATGCGCGAGGGGGATACATCCAAAACCACGACGACTTTCCTTGATGTTCCGTCCTAGATCCCAGGCGAGTATGCGCATCGAACCCACGGGAAACCATTCGACGCCAGGAAAGAAACAGCATCAAAAACGGCGGGATTGTCACCTCAATTGCGCCACGTCAGAATGCTCTATGAGCAGATTATCCTCCTCTTGTCCCTGGTACTTCATTCTGGAATCGCGCAGACTTGACATGACCTCCGCAGATTCCTCAAGCATCCATCACATTCCGATCCAGGGGGCGTTGGCAGCCAGCCAGCCAGCAGCACCACTGATATCAACCTTAAGAAAGAAAGACCTCTTATGGACCACGGGCCCGTCGCCTGCGGTGTTACCCAGTAGGTACCGACCAGATGCCGACATACTTAGGTACACACCACTTTGCGTGTCACGGGTCTGGAGTGCCTGCCCAGGTCTCTCCGCCAGAAGCAGGGGATAGACGCTACTGTTCCTCTCTTCTACCAAAATTCCCTTCGAATCTTCCACTCCAGCCAGAGGGGATCCACAGACGCCCAAGTGGTATTATACCTATGTAAGTATATACGTTACATAGCCACGGGCGGGAGCCAGGATGCCGCGGATTCCCTGGCTACCGTACATAACATGCATCTCACCGATTTGACCGTGTGTTGGTTGGTCTCCTCAGCGTCCAGGTGACCGACACGGAGAGGAAGGTAACATCACTACTCACTCGGAATCTGGTGGACAATCCTTCTACAGTACAGTCCAGCCTCGAGAGAGGGAGTTCACGAAAGGCGTACGTAAGTACCACGATAGGTCACAAGATTGGGTGGCATGAGAGAGAGAAAGAAAGAGAAAGAGGTCGACCAACTATACATACCGAGAACGGTGTAGCCCCTTGAAGCCCCGACATTTATCCAATATTTATCCACAGACAGCCATTTATTTCATCGTCCTGATCCTGCCACTCTCACGTTCCACTACTTGCCGGGGTCATGTTGGGTCACCACAACGATGACAATACATACATACCGTAGATGATCACAAAGAGGAAGAGAAAGGACGGTTAAAAGTGCAGTAAAGTGGCCACTGTTTCGGATGTGAGGGCCAATGGTGTGACTCCGGGGCGGGAGCCACTGCTACTGCTACCCAAGATGACTTCCATGCAGCTGGAGGGTGCATTCAGTCTTTCCGCCCGATCCGATCGCTGCTCTTTCACAGTAGGCCAGCCAGCCTTGAGGGAAATGATCAGAGGACAACACAAAGCCCCAGTATGCCATCACCCCCCCCAAGTCTATACCCAGTTTTCTCCATGTTTCCCCCCAGTAAAATAGTAGACCCTAGGAAAGGGGAAAGAAGTGTGAAATGAGGACCTATCCCGCCTGTGCCATTACAGGTTTTCTTGGACCAGAACACCCAGAAATGCCATGACCAGGTCTATGTCCCAATTCATGCGAGGAAGGCAGTGCTGCCCCGTGCTCAGAAAGCCATCCGATGCTAGTTGCCATCAAGCGAACATTGCCGTCGTTTAATTGTGATCTCCCACGGTCTTCGAGAAAGCAGGTGCGATCCAGGGTCAAGCAGTGATTGTACATTCGAGTTCGTATCCATGTAAATTGCGGCCTTCTCCTCGCGTCCTCCAAGTATTGGGGGTAGTCAAGTCTCATCATAATTCATCAATTGGTCCATCTCATCGCGGATGGCCCAAAGCTTTTATCATAAGGCGACTCCGATTCTTCCGTCGCCGAAATCTCTGCGTTTCATTGATGCTCTCGTCATGGCTTGCTCGAGCTCCTCGGCCGTAAAGGGTGTCCCGTGGCCAGTGCTTTGCTTAGACAGAGCTGCCAATTCAGTCATGTCAATCCCGCTGTCATGCTGGGCGAGTTTGGTGTCTGGCTCAGCAGGGGCCGAGGGGACTGCCGTGGCTTGGCCTGAGAGGGATGCTGCTAGAAAATCAGTGGAGGTGAGAGGTTTGACGGATGGAAGACATACTGCTCGCAGTCTCGGCATCAAACGCAACACTGGCAGCGGTGCTCTTCTGCCTGCTCGTGCTGTGCGAAGAACTGCCGCTGCTTTCCGAGTCCACGCCACTCTCGTTCCTCAGTGTTGACCCGTGGAATTCCTGCACCGACGGCCTCCGGCTTGGGGCTCGACTGTGGACTCGACTGGCAGCAGCACTCTGCGATTTGGTGCCGCCAGGGGAAAAGGTGCCTGAGAGGGCTAGTGAAGTTCGTCTCCGGGCTGATGAAAAGGCGTCGGCAAGGGAGAAAGCTTGCAGAGAGGCCTGATGTTCGGGATCGACCTTCCCCCGGTACTTGGACTTTGGGATCTCGTGGGGCTTATAGTATTCAATATCTTTCCGGCTCGTGTAATATGGTTCACCATTGGGTCCGGTCTCGCTTCCCGTGCTATTCTTCTTGGACGTAAAAGTCCTCCGCAGTTTTACTCGTAGACCCATTGTGCATGTGCGATATGGAGGGAGGAAGAAGTGAGCAGCGGTCGTAAACGTGCTGACGGGGTATCTGATACTAATACTCTGTCGGTGCCTGATAGATAAGCCCGGTCTTTGTCGCAGTTGATCCTGTAACGGTGAGGATAGAAGAGCGGGATGGACGGGCAGAGGGAGCAACAGGCTTCATATGAAGGCCATCAGGCTGGATCAGAGAAGTGGAACTGTGGTGGCCAGAGGCATATCAGACACAATCAGGAGAGACATGGGGCCCGTGGGTAGTAATGACGAGACGGCGGGCACAATTGTTATGCTGAAATCTGGCACAAGGTGGTGGAGAGAACCCGGAGGAGTATGGAGCGAGGGAGATAGCCGCGGGCACTGGATTCACCCTTCACCCATGGTGGAAAGCTGGGATGAGATGTGCCCTGTCCCCTGTGCCTTGTCTTTCCCAATGTGCTCGGTAGCGGGAGCAGTATCCACTCCGCGCCATCGTCGGCGGATTCTATCGCAGGTGCGTCCTGCGTAGTATGGTGTACAAGCAGTAGCATATCGGAGGAGGCGAGGCGTGTGTGCATGGGGCAAAGTTGACATGAGGAAGGTGAGCGGGCAACGACGACGCTGTCCCAGGGCAGCGTAGCGTGACAGAATCCGACGATTCCGCCGAGAGGCCTTCCATGGTGTGGGTTTAATATGGATCCCCTTCTGACCACTGACACCCCGTATAGGTTGGAAACGGCAGGCTGGACGAATCGCTCGGGAGTGAGAAGTGGTCCCCAATCCTACCTTACTACTTGGTCAACTACTTGTTTTCTAGGGATAGGGGACCAGTGCAGTGGCCGCAAGCTGGCTGGAGTTGCCGCAACCCCCCCTGCAATGCAACATATTGGCCTCTCTAAGTTGGCCTATGGCCCATGGCCAAATTGGGCCGGCATAAGCAAAGTCCCTGGGTCCGATATAGGTAACAATGTGGGTGTGTGCCTCGTCATCTGCGTGACGATCCAGGAAGGCAATGCCACCCTTCTAGAAACATTCTTGTTCCGGCTCTTGTTCTGGCGCGGGCGGGATTTGGCTGGATGTGGTTGGGTGGCGATTGGCCGCACCTTGGGTGTCCCTTGCATTGGCCGCTGTGAGCCTAGTGAGCCTAGGCCTCTCGGGCTCACTAGGCCTCATTAGCCCTATCAATTTACCCATGGCGCCCCCCGACCGGCCCCCAAAGCCACCAGCTGATGCACCTGTAGCGTGGCTCCCTGGCACAGCGTGCTCCTCCTAGTCCCGACGTGCATGAGCGAGTTGTTTTCTGCTGATATGCTGATAAGGGTTGAGTCGGGACCAGAAGATAAGTTCCCCTTCGCATCACTCCACGGCAAACAGATATCTCTGACTACTGATCCAAGTCCAGAGTTATGCTCGCCACGTCCGTCGTGTCCCAGTACCGCGGCGGCGATATCTCGCTCGAGGGGCCCCCTCACGTGACCGGTCCCGTCCCTGACCCAGACGAGTGGCAAGTCAGCAAGGTGACCATCAATGCCCTTTGGGGGAGAAATTCGTGGTCACCACACCGAGCACGAGGACGAGTTCGTGCGTGGTCTCGGGCAGTCACCCTCGAAATGGGCCGATGATGTGCATTCCTCTCGGTTGCAGGACGATTGGTCGATCTCTCCAGATCTTGGTAGTGCAAAAGATGCCCCCTTTGTATGTATGACTTCATCGGTGTCTAGACTGGCCACACCGAGCGACTGGCCACAGCTGAGTTAGTGCTCTGCTCTCCCCGCTTCGACCCCCAAACTCTCAGTGTCTGTGGGTAGATGGCAGTGGCTAGTGTGGCCTCTGTCCAATGAGCACCTCGATGTCCTCCGTCTGTGGCTTGAAAAGGCCCTCGAATACAGAAGCATCAAGCTTGGAAGTCTGACGATCTGGTGTCATGCGGTGAGTCGGTGCACCATTGTGTTCAAGTTATGACGCAAACAAGGAAACAATGGCGCAGACAACCCTTCACGAACACACCCAGCTTCATCTCCCATCTCCCATTCCCTCGTCCAACATCCTCACCTGTCATTTCTTCTCTCTGTGGAAAATCTCCTGTGTGCAATTGACGGTCTTCTCTGGCCTCCAGTTAACCTACTTCAGCAGGCTCTAGTATTTGCAGGACAGGATGGACAAGCTCAAAACCATGATGTATGTATCGTCATCTACCCCTGCTCTCTCTCCGCCTAATATGTGCTCAAGGCAAACCGGGGACAAAGAAGACGCCGAGAACTCGACGGGACCGACTGGTCGATTGACAGGACAGGGCTCTCATTTTCCCAAGAGCGAGGAACAACCTGTGGGTGCCGCAACAACCCCTCAGGGAAATGTCATCACAGGAGACACCCTAGGTATCTTCATCCTGGCCCTAACTACACCCCTGCGTCGCACCTATTCAGGATTTCTGATCCATCGACACGTACAGGTGCACAGAAGACTCATGCAGTAACTCCGGCGACTGGCTTGGTAGCCCCGAGTTCTGGTATTGCTGCCATTGGCGAGACCTCAACCTATAGCTCCCATACACTGCGTACAGGCGATCCCGTTCCAAATATTGTTGACTCCAGATCTGAAGACCCTACCACGTATCGGGCACCGGAACACTCGTACGTGTCAAGCAAGGGCGTACCAGAGGGTGGTCCTTTGGCAGCCGCAGCCCTCGCATTCCACAAGGACAAAGACTATAGCAGTAAGTCTTCCTGGGAAGACTCAGCCCGGGGACTGTATGCGCTGACCTTACCAGCTTCTCACATCCCAGGTGCATTTCCCAAAGACACAACAGCCCATGATGCTACCACAATTGCTCCTCCCCATTTGACGTCGACAACATCACCAGCCGAGCGATCAGCGGTTTATAGTGAAGCTGAGAAGACCAAAGTACCCGACGCAGCGGCAGCAGCTCAGTATGCAACGAGAGCAGCCCCAGGAACTCAAGACCCAGTTTCGGAAGAGCCCCGACGATCTGGGACAATTGGTAAAATCCTCGGTGCGGTGGGCCTGGGCACTGCGGCTGGTGGCGCTGTGGCCGCTACTTCGCGGGCAGAGGAGAATCAACCGCACGCTATCGCGGACACTCATGATCAGCCAACCACCACCACTGGTGTCGACTCATACACTTCACCGAGTCGCTCGGGTGCTCCCCCATCCCATCATAGGAAAGAGAGTATTCCCACTACTGCTTACCCAGCAGGCGTTGACTCTCCTGCGCCGATCAACGCTCCAGTCGGCGGTACATCATATCTGACCGACCAGGACGAAAAAGATCATGCAGGCCGTAATGCAGGGCTGGCCGCTGGGGCTGCGGGTGTTGGGGCTGGTGCAGCGGCAGCCGGCGTTTATGCCATGAAAGATCGAGAGAAAGATACAACAGGGTCCGACTTGCCTCTCCGTGAGAACAGTACTGCTGCAGCCCCAGCCGCGGCGGCCGTTCCGGCTTCAGAGAGCGCCGCCAGGACCACGCCTTCCAGCCAAACTGCAAAACAGCCATCTGTTGCGCACGAAGCTACACCCGCTGCGGCTGGCGCGTCCATTGTGCCTAACTATAGTCAACACCAAGATAAACTAGAGGCCCAGGCTCAGAAACACAAAGCGCAACAAGAGGCTACCCGTGCTGGGGCCGCAAGTATCGGTGGTGGAGCATCTGTTGCCCCTGAATACACTGAACAGCAGAATAGAGTCTCGGAGGAAACGGACCGGCAGCGACGCAACAGAGAGAAAGAAGCTGCGCTTGCTGGAGTTGCAGGTGCTGGAGTCGGAGCAACTGGGTTACACGAATATAACCAGCGGCAGGATACAACGGAGAGAGATGCTCAGAGACAAAAGGACTTAGCGGAACAAGAGGCTGCCCGTCAGAAGCAATTCGAAAAGGACCAGAAGGCCGCTGAAAAGCTAGCCAAGAAAGAGGAGAAGCAACACCAAAAGGAGCTCAAGAAAGAGGAAAAGCAACACCAGAAGGAGCTGGAAAGGGAAGAGAAGCAACACCAGAAAGAGCTCGAAAAAGAAGAGAAAGCTCGGGACAAGGTGGCAGAGAAGGAAGAAAAACAGCATCGTGACGAACTTGAGCGCGAGCAGAAGGACCGTGAAAAAGCTGCGGCCACCGCCGCTGCTGGTGCAGGTGTTGGTGCAGCAGCTGGCGCCGGTGCATATGAAGTGCACGAAAAGGATAAACATCCGCCTCCCACAACGGCGACCGATGACGCCGGTCGTACGAAGCTGCATAAGGAGCCAGAGGAGAAGAAGCCGGGTCTCTTGAAACGAATTTTCAAGCGCCGCAAGAACAAGGACACTGGTGAAGAGGAGGAGTACGAGGACCATGAGCATGAGCCCGAGCCCGAGCATGGCGACCATCATCTTGCCGCAGCTGGAGTCGCTGGAGGCACCGGTGCAGCTGTGGCTGGCACTGCCGCTGCCGCCTCTCACGAGCCACCGGCAACCTCATACGAGGCACAGAGCGGCGGCCTTCAGAAACCATCGTACAATCCCTTCTCCAAGGACGATCCAGCACACGAGCACGCAACGGCGTCCAACAGCGGCGCCGCTCAGCCCAGGAAGAGCAGCGTAGGCCCTGACGCGATCGACCCTGCTACAACCCATGTGCCCTACGACCCGGTCCACGACCCTTCCAGCCGGAAATCCGTCTCGGAACAAGGTGGGCGGATTGACCAGATCGGCGGACTGACGGCGCATCATCAATACGCTGAGGGCGAACAGAAACCCGGACTGGCACATCGGATCATCGATGCATTGAAGCCGTTGCCCGACAGGGAGGAGCTGCAACACCATGCGGAACAGTATCATCACAACGGCACCAGCCATCAGCCTGGGACAGCGCAATAGGTGGACAGCAGGATGTGGTGTGCCCTAACGTAATACAATCTGATATCCTGAATCGGATCTCTTGAGTTACGATGGTTTTGTCATTTGTTATTCTCCTAGTCCGCCTCAATAGCTGGTGTGTCCCATCTTTTTCAACTGAAAAACGAAGACAAAGACGAAGACATAATACCCAACCATTGTGGAATACAATACCGGCCCGAGCTATCATATTTCTAATGGCAATGGAGGATTACGCTGAGAAACGCCGTCATCGCATCGACCCGCCCTTATGCCCCCGGTATTGCCTTTTCTCTCGCTTTCCGTCCATTTTTTGCTCTCCTTGCGTCTCGTGTAAAAATGGCATGGCAACGATGATGATGTTATGATATGGTACATTTCCTCCCCAGCTTCTCTAGTTCTTTCCGCTCGTCCAGCCATTCGTGTAGTGTAAAGGGCTTGGTTAATTCGTCTTGACCGACATTCAAAGAGCCAGAGCTTGACATTGGCGGCACACAAAAGTAAAACGCTAGAAGTCCTGCCGAACCCACGGACGCGCTGAAAGATGATTGGAATACACCGATCTCCGGTTCCTGGCCCCCAGACGACCATGGCCCATTCTCTCGTTCAATCAAAGAAAATCATCCTTCCTTCGGTGAAAATAATGTCTCATGCTTCCCTCAAATGGCGGCGGGATTTTCGTCTTTTCAGACGGAGAAATCGTCGCCAAAAAGGTATCCCAACTCACCAAGATCATGGAGACAGCTCGAAGCCTCAAACCTTCGCTTTGCGACATGCCTTTGCATTCTTGTCACTCCCTAGCATCACCCTGACTGGGACTCGATTTTAACCCTTCCTCCTCTAGCCCTTCTTTGTATACAACCTTGCCGCAATGTTCATGCTCCACAACTCTTGAAACAACAACTTGGCCGCATACGGCAGGTAAATCTGACTGATGCGATTCTTGTTGTTGCAGTTCTTACACTCAAAGGTATTCTTTTTGAGTTTTGCGATCACGGTCATCAATCCGCAGATATCACAAATGTGCACGCGGAAAGGATCGGAGACATCGAAAAGGCGTTCTTTGAGAAACGACGACGCACCGTGCGCGATCATGCAGTCGCGTTCCATTTCACCGAAACGCAGACCACCGTCACGGGCTCGACCTTCGACGGGTTGTCGGGTCAAGATTTGAGTAGGACCACGAGCACGGGAATGGATCTTGTCATCGACCATATGTCTGAGACGTTGGTAATAGGTAGGACCGAGGAAGACTTGTGCAACCAGCTTGCGCCCGGTATGGCCATTATACATGACTTCGAAGCCGCGGGATTGGTAGCCCATTCTTCTCAGCAACTCAGAGATCTGTGTCACGGTGACTTTCGTGAAGGGCGTGGCATCTCCTTCATCACCGCGAAGTGTCGCTACTTTGGAGAGCTGACACTCGATCAAGTGTGCAATGGTCATGCGAGAAGGAATGGCGTGAGGATTGATGATCAGATCCGGCACAATGCCTTCTCGGGTAAACGGCATGTCCTCGTGACGGTACGTGATGCCAATCGTACCTTTCTGACCATGACGAGATGCGAATTTATCGCCAATCTGAGGCACTTTCGTTGTCCTAACTCTGACCTTGGCAAACCGATGACCCTCGTTGGTAGTTGTCAGCAGGACCTGGTCAACGATGCCAGACTCTGTAGATCTCAAAGGCGTTGACACGTCGCGCTTGATGTGCTGCTTCTGTCTTTGACCAAGTTCTTCAGCGTCTGGCGCCATTGGTGCTGTCTTTCCCATGATGATATCTTCACCGCTCACACGGACACCAGGAGCGACAATCCCGTCTTCGTCAATCTTGTCGTATGTGCCGTGCTTAAGACGGAGAGTATCAGCTCTCGTCGGCTTCTCGAACTGCTCTACCACGGAGTGGCCCACTATCTTCTCCGAATCTTGGTAGGTACGGTAGAACAGCGACCGGAAGAGACCACGATCGATCGAGCTTTGATTCATGATGACGGAATCTTCCTGGTTGTAGCCCGAATAGGTCGCGATGGCGACAATGGCGTTCTGTCCAGCCGGAAGTTCTCGGAATTTCAAATAGTCCATTGCCATCGTTCTTGCGAGAGGTTTCTGGGGGTAGTAGAGGATGTTTGCCATGGTCTCCATACGTTGGTCGAAGTTGGTGAGGAAAACGCCCATAGCCTGCTTACCCATGGCGGATTGATAGGTGTTACGAGGGGATTGGTTGTGATCAGGGAACGGAATGATACTAGCGCAGACACCCAAGATCATGCTTGGATGAATTTCGCAGTGAGTGAAGGTGTGCGAGAAGGGATTCAGCAGAGGATCGTTTCTCCGCAAGGGATCATCCTCAGCCTCAATCTCCATGCCCATCCATCTTGCTTTGGAGTCTGCTAGGGCCTCGGGTGTCATGATAATCATTGCGGTCTCTTCTTCTTCGGCGTCAAGGTATTCAACAACGCCGGATTCGAGAAGATTGTTCCACCCATATGGTCTGACTTCATCAGTCCACTGGAAGCCACTTTCCTTCAAATAGGCAGTCTGATCGAGCTTGGTGATGTGCTCTTTATTCAGCACTAGGTTGCCACGGTTTTCTGAGGCCGGGTCGGTCTCAACAACAAACAGAGGTCGGACAATTCTGCCCGAGTCACCGTTGACTTTGAATTCTTTCTCTCGAATATCCCAGACCAAGCTTACTTGAGCGTCAAAGACACCTTTTCTACGTAGCTTGCGCAGGTCATCAACGAGACGTTTTGGATCTCGTAGGACTACCGCAAACCACACACCGTCGACAAATACCTTGGTCGCCTGAGGATTCAACCGGGGTTCCCAATCTTCCAGTGCTTCGACATGTTTGGTGAGGATATAATTCACTAAGGGAGCAGTCTCATAGGTATTTGTAACCATGGACATGAGAGACAAGTTCTTGACCAGACCGCAAGCCTGACCTTCAGGCGTCTCAGCCGGGCAAACATAACCCCAATGAGTGTTGTGAAGTTGACGCGGTTTTGCAATTTTACCCTCCCGGCCTATGGGAGCATTGGTGCGACGAAGATGCGATAAAGTAGAGGCAAAAGTGTATCGGCTGAGCACCTGAGAAACACCAGCCTTCGCTTTGTCCAGTTTCTTTTGGTCGCCCCAGTTACCGGTAGCCAATGAATATTTCAAACCGCTTGTGATAATTGGATGCTTGAAGCCGGCCATGATGTTGATGGGTTGGCCCGCTTCCACACGTTTCTGCATGTATCGGTAGAAATCTTTAGTGGCTTTGTCGAACTGTAATCGGAAGAGGTTGGTCATCAAAGGCCCGGCAAGATCGAGTCGTTTCTTCCCCAGATGATCTCGATCGTCCGGCTCAGCACGACCGAGGGCGCACTTCAGCAGCCGATTGACCATATAACCGAGAAAGAATGCCTTTCTAGCGGTGGCATCGGGGCTTTGTCCGATATGGGGTAAGAACTCCTTCTGCAAGATGTCTGTGGCATGCTTCTGCCGTTCGTGGCTTTTCAGAGTCGGAATGTTACCTCGGCGCGCAATGTAGTCTCGAGCGAGATCTGCACCCTGAATGGCCTGGCCTTCTTGGAGTGAGCCCATCAGCATATCCATCATCTCTTTATCACTCTGATCGAAGCAGATCTTCTCCAAGATATCGGCGTCGGAGACTATGTCCAAAGCTCGGAAGACAATAACAAGAGGAATGTCCTGCTTGACATATGGTAGTTGAACTCGGATAGGGTTGTCGATCTTGGTGCCATCCGGACCATCGACTCTGCGGAAGAGCTTGACCGTGCACTGCGACATCATGCGGGCACCGCGATCGATGACGGATCTGATCTCTGCGAGATGGGTGAACGGCGAGGGTGCTGCCTTCTGGAAGACCTGGACAATGTTTCCGGCACTTCGTTCTTGAGCAATGAGCACCTTCTCGCTGCCGTTGATGATAAAGTAGCCTCCCTGGTCGTATGGACATTCTCCCCAGGCGAAGAGGTCTCTCTCGCTTTGGAATTTCTCGCTCACCAAGTGGCAAGTCATGCTTCTGACCATGATCGGGATCTTTCCTATGTACACCTCTCTGTCGTTGTCGAAGTCATCTTCATCATCACCCTCTCTCCAAAACAGCTCAGTGCCGTCCTCTCTCATAACGCCAGCGTCTTTATCATCTTCGTCCCACGGACGCTCTTTTGCGTAGTATGTCCTTCGCGTCATCTTGACATAGACTGGGCTTGCGTAGGTCAAACTCCGCATTCGTGCTTCGTGAGGCATGCAGTCCGTTGTTGTGCCGTCCGGCTCGACTTGATTAGGCTTGCTGAGCGTGACCTTGCCAAACTTGACTTCATGTCTCTTGATGACAACTGGATTTGGGTCACTTTCATCGACATTTTGTGCATGATCCAACGTAACGCCGCCCTTTTCGTTGACTAGATCCTGTAAACCTGAGCGCATGAAATGGTTGAATGAGTCTATCTGCATAGAAGCTAATTTCTTGATGTCGAAGAATGAACTGATGACTTTCCAGCAGTCTTCAGATGTGATGTCTTGTTCCCCGGTCTCCACGTCGTCGTAGGCACCGGCATCCTCATAATACCCGTTCGCTTCCTGCTTCACTTCGTATTCCGCCATGACGGGCGAATAATAGTACGGACGAAAGGGACGCACGGGGACGGTATGCGATGAGAGATCGAGGCGCAAGCGAAGAAAAGGGAAGGATGAGAGAGGGGAGGAGGCAAAGTCGAGTCTCCCTCCCTTTCTCAAGCGCAACTCAGGTCGCCGGAATGTGCTCTGACCAAGGGCACTGAATTGTCAGTAAAGACTTCAGGTTTCCTCCAGAGAGCCACTCACAGAGCGACCAACAGCCACAGGCCCGAGCAACGAGAGAAAGACAGTCGAGGCTGCGCAAAGGATGGATTTTGTAAATCGTGGTTGCTGTGGAAGAGTGTCTCTGGAATCTTTTTGGCGCGCATCACACTAAGGCGGCCGTGGCAAGTCTTGCCGCTTTAAATTCATATATGCTCTAACCTGATTTGGGTATATACACTTGACATCTCCAGAGTGCACTAGGAGTTTCTACTCGTACACAGGCAAGGCCCATACGGTAAAATGAGATTCATGGATGAAGGGGGTATCATAATTATGCATAATGCTATGCATGTCAGCTATCAGCAATTCGGTCCTCCCTAATGGCATGATTAGATCTCGCGTTCACGAAACACCAGCTTTATTGCTCCACGCACAAAAGTAATGCCTCCAGCATCTCCTCCGTAGCCTTTGCTTCGTCACCCTGACCAGCATCCATCCCGCTGAGTTGATCTCTCAAGCTCCGCTCGAGGACCTTCAGGCCGTCTTCACCGAGGAGCACGGTGATAGTCTGTCTTGCTCCGTTATCCTCAGCCACCATCCAGCTGAGGATCAGCTCAATGGCCTGCAGTGAGAAGAGTCCGGCGTCCAGTCGCCGTGAGAACCACTCATCGGTTTGTGCCTCCGCTTGTGCTTGGCTCAGGTCCTGTCGTTCCCTTTGAATGTGTGCCTCCACTTTACTCAACCTCGTCTTATATTCGCGACGCAGCTCGACGAGTTTTGTGATCTTTTCGTAGTCGTTTTCCACGAACTTGGCAAGCGTGCGTATCCTTTCGGCGGAGCCTCCGGGTAGATACCTCAACATACTTGCTAGGATTCCAATAAGATGCTCGACGAGGCTTCGCTCCATTTTGTGGGACTTCATAAGCATGCCGAAGATCGTCTTCAGTCCGGCCGCGTCCACCAACCTCATCGAGATGGCAGTCGCATTGCCTCCACTCATTGCGTGATCGAGAACTCGCAGCGCCCGTGCTTTGGCCAGTCGGCCTTCGCGGAGCATGATGAGACACAGTTCAACACCTTCTCCTTCCACGAACTTCTCACCTGCGAGGCGTTCTTCCACCATGCAGGCTAAGCAATCAAAGAGGTTTTCTGCAAACTCTTCCTCGTCCGAGTCCTTTTCGGGATCACGCTTGCGATACGCACTCAGAAGTTGGAGAAGAGAGTCAACCCCATCTTTTCGTGCTAGACGATCTCGATTGTTTTTGTTGCTCTGGAGAAGTATTGCCAGGATTTCCGCGGCGTACTGGCGATTCTGCCCAACCTTTCCCCTTGCATAAGGATCGACTTTCTGTGTTCTTGAGAGAAGCCATTCCATGAATGGATCTTTCGCCCCAACGATTTCCACGTTCCCAGTGTCAGACAAGATGTTTTCGACAACGTTCAGGATGTGATAGACCCCTGCTCGGTCACTCTCATTGTTGTCCTCGTCCAACCGACTGAGGTTGCTCGTCAAAAGATCCACTATGTCGCCTTGAATCATGGCCTTGACCAAAGTCTTCCATTGTTCTTCAGTGGTAGTCGAGTCCTCGTCTGTCAATTCTGCGAGCAGTTCGCAGACGGCAATGGCAATATCGGTATTTTCATGCGCAAGCAAGCCAACCAAACTGCCTACGCAGCCCATCTTAACAAACTCGGCGTACAGCTCGCCATGTTCGCTCAAGAGACTCAACCCTTTGATTTCGGCATCCAAATCAGCCTCACTACTGACGAACTTCATAGGTTCCTTCTCGTATTTGGCCCGCAATTCCGCGTTCTTGTTGATTTTGCGTTCAAAGTTGATGGCCGTACGGCGCAGCCACGTGGAATCAATCTTCTCTTCCACTTCTCCGGCCTCAGTCTTGTCGATATAGTCAATCACTTCTCTTTCTTGTTTCGTGACCCCACCACCGAAGAAGCGGCCTTCTTCATCATCTCCAACTTCGTCTTCCACGTCTTCCGGCGGCCGCACAGGTCCGGCCTCGAGATCATCTTGATTATCTAGGGCTTCATCCTGCACAAAAGCCGCCTTGCTCCCCGAGCCATTGGAGGTAGACTCGTCTTGGTAAGAGCCGTTGGCGGAGGAGCGTGGAGAGGAGCCGTTGACGAGTTTGGCGGATTTGTTGGAGAGGGCATTGGAGAATGACTTCGTCGGATCCTCGAGTTTCCGCTTTGACGCGGCATTGGGTTTACGGAAAAGGTCATCAATCGAGGTCATGACTGCTCGATAGGCAGGTCTCTTCAGGACGTCATTATCATGTTTGTTTTCCAGTGAAGAAAAAAAAAGAAAAGGGCTGCAACACCGGAAAACATAGGAAAGGCATCCATGGGAGGGAAATCCGGACAACCGCAAATTGAAACTCGGGAGAGTTTCCATTTGAGCGGCTGCCACTTTTTCCCTAACAAGCACAAGCAGGCATTTTTCCCGAGCACCAAATACGCGCACTTGGCCCCCTCGGTTGGTCTCGCTTCCCTTTTCACTTTTCATCTCGCCGATCACGATCACATGCAAACCATTCCCAGGTTCTTTTGTTGCTACCTGGCTCGCTGGACAATGGCTCCCCGATCATTATCCGGTGACAAGTTCGGCAGCCCATTGAGGCCAGCCACAAGCCTCACACAGGGCAACATGCTCTCCCACCGGAACGAGTTCGATCCAATACTCCATACCCCGATCCCAGAACCCACATAGTTCGCTGGCAGAGCAGATCCACTACGAGTCAGAAGAAAACTTGGCAAGGAGACCATACTCCGTCCGAAGCGGCGATGAGACGAACAACCCTTTCAAAACTGCCCAATTATCTCCTCCTGCCATTCTGTTCCCTTTCGCTGCGGTCGAGCCTTGCACAGGCCAACAGAAAGAGTCAAATGCGATGCCCTCTGGCGGTCGAAGCAGGCTCAAAGGATATAATTGGCAGACGTGCGGACATTAACAGCAGACAGATGCTAGCATTACCCAATGAGCTTCGATCTTGAGGAATACTCAGCCAATTCAGTTCACCCCACAAAGCCCGTGAGGCCACGCTTGAGAACCTTTGTCGTTCCTGGATGAAACATACAGTATCGATTTCGACACTTCAACCTCTGCGATCGACACGGGTACGAGATGTGGCTTTTGACTGAATAAATGTTTCGGTAAATGTCCATGTCTATTCGGCTTCTAAGTCAAGTGGACTTATTTCATTGATGCCCTTGGCTGCCTGATCTTTGACAGGATCGACTTTTAGGGGGTATTTGCTTTGATCGCAATGACGATGCTGTGCCATTTTCTAGCATGTCTCGTGATTGTTGTCGTATTCCCCTTAGCCCATGCGGCGACCGATGTCTGCTTTAACCCAGACGGCACACGAACGGTGGCAGATGCTTATTCTCCTTGTTTTCCCAATACCAACGTGACGTATTGTTGCCCAAAGGGCTCGACTTGCTTAAAGAACGGGTTATGCCTCATGAAGGTGAGTCGTGAAATCACCTACAGGGCTAACTGAAATTGCTGCCAATCTCGCTGTCAGAATGACACTACCCTAAACACCGGGTTACACAGACAGTACATGGCACGACGATGCCTGTTTCCCACGTTGCTTGACATCCCAACGCAACCCCGGCCCAAGTTCGCTCTATCGCTGTAGCAACAACGAATGGTGTTGTGCAGAAGGCGCTTCCCAATCCACTTCCTGTTGCCAGGACGAGGATGTCAAGTTATTCCCAATCCTTGCTCATGCAGCCGCGGAAAATGGTTCGGCCTTCTTGCATGGCTACAGCATTGCGGCTATTGCCAGCATCATTACCAATGGACATTTACCGTCAACCACGGCCCCGCAAACAGTAACCTTTACGACAGACATATCTGGCTCACCGCTAACCATCGTCGCAACAACAAGCAGTGACCCCGACGCTGTTGCTATTGGGGAGGTCACCAATTCAAATTCGGGCTTGACGACAGGGCGGGGTGCTGGACTCGGAGTCGGTGTTCCTCTCCTCACGGTTGTCGCTGTCCTTCCAATTCTCCTCTTTTCGAGAGAAGAAAAGCCACCGGCTTCCTCTTGGGTCTCTATCCAGCAACGACGGGTATTCACTTGTCCCCCAACAACAAGCACTGACCACCGAATATTCTCAAATAGCGAATGGCAACTCTGCTGACCAATGGTCTTGTACTGTGCAACATCCCGCGGAAGTCGATTCGCGGGAAAAGAGGATTGCGCTCTAGAGCTCCAGCAAAGTGAGCCCAGTGACTGGATGTCAAGAGAGGAATATCAAGGATTTTGGATGGGTTCGACTCATCTCAAGGGACGCCACATATTTAACTCCGCGGCGTATACCTCGGTGGGGGTTCCGAGAAGAAGGCGTCCCATTCGCTGTGGTAGTAAACGCCTGTCGAGCTCACCTCCGCCGGTGGCACGACCCAGTGTACGTTCCCTCCGGCGCGGTGTCTGGCCTCGATTTCGATATTCTGGCCTTCCTGATCGGAACCTTGGGCTAGAGCGATCCCCGCTTCCGTCCTTGACGATCCATACTCAGCTTGGCCTCGGATTCTCGGGTCCTCCGCCCGGGAGCCACTCTGCTCTGGTGTACTGCTAGCGGACACCACTGCAATCTTCACATCCTGGCACGCAAACTTGAAAATTCTCTCTTCGTATTCGATGCCAATCTCCAGCGTCAACGTGTGCCGGACGGCAGCATTATAGGTAGCGAAATCGAGAACCAGACTGTCCCTTGGTATGCGCAGTTGAGTCAACTCGGCGAGATCAACCTCTCCGGGCGCTGCTGTCTCCACCGCGTCGGCCGTGCTGGTGATGGCGGGAAGTGTCTCACGAGGATAGACTGGGAGTGGCAGCGAACATGTTGTCTTCCGAGTGTACGTCTTACGAGTGGAGGTTGAGGGATAATGTCCGGCCTGAACGTGCGTGTGCTGAATGATTTCGAGTTTCAAGCTCTTGACTGTGAGTACGGCCGCAGCAGACGCAGTCAAATTGGGTCTGCTGGCTGTTGCACACGTTCCTGTGTTGCTCACAGATCGGCTGGAGAATAACATGCTCATCTTCGAATAGTCTTCTTGGACCTCAATTCTCCGTGGTAAAAGGACAGAGACACTTAGCGAGGATGCAGTCGCTGCCGACCCTTTCTTGGGAGCATCACGCTGCAACTTTGAAAACTTCAAGATCCGGGACATTGGGTTTTCTTGAGAACCGCATCTAAAACCTTGGTGATGGCGGACGTAAGAGTGACAGTCTGCCCTGCTGGTGGGATTCCGATTCACAAACTGGGGAAGGACGCTGATATTACGCTTTGCGGTAATTCCTTTCACCATCGTGGCCGCTGGAGAGGTTGACGGCGGCTTCAACGTTGCTTCGAGGACATATTCCACCAGACAAGTAAATCTCGGGCAGCTGTAAAGCATGGTCGGCGGCAAGCCATGTTTGTGGGTACTCTGGACGGCCCGGTGGGCCCCTGGACACCTCCATACCACTCGAGCATCAGTGTATTCAGGTACTGAGAATTCAAATGGGATACTATACACTCCCGCTCTGTGCGTCCATTTCCCGCCCGTGTACAAGACCTTTTCACGCCGGAAGAGGACCTCGCGCGAGTGGTGGCCGTTGCTCGAGACGTTTAGGTCGCCGTAGTTCTGGGTCAGCCTGACAAGAGAGATGCCCGTGAATGTGATAACAAGAGAACCAATAGAGACAGACTCGGGCGATGTGAGGTTGATAGTGCCACTGAAGCGCGAGTTTGGATGGTATGGGCCTATCTTGGGAGGAAGCTGGATTGAAAGGGGCATGGTTGGGGGGAGGGGGGTTTGCATTTATCTCTGGCCACTTCAATGTCCTCAAGGAGAGGGTAGATATCTTCCACAATGCAGCTGTGGTTCCAGGGGTGGGATACTTTAATATCGATATGAGAGAGAGAGAGGACGTTCTAATCAGGAATCACTGCTGATCAATCTAGCCGATTTGCCAGGGCCAACAGCAGCATCGCCATGTGATGACCAGCCACGTCCTTGCAGCGAGGCGGGCACGGCGGAACGGATCCTCCGTATCCCTGTCATAGTCCCGTCCGAATCATCCAATTGATCCCCTATCTGACGCCCATCCATTCGCAGGACACGGATCACAGCGGCAGAATATTGCGAGTGTGCTTCTTTGTCATAGCGCCAGGATTATCTAGAGGTCCGTGTAATAGTGTAATATTCAGAAAGAGATATTGCTTTTTGGGAAGTGGTGCGCTGCACACCCACTCGCGGATAATTATTTCATGTATATATCAGAGGTTATTAGTTCTCTTGTCACCATGAGGAATACCAAATCGAGAATAGATGGAGCAGTCCTTTCTCGACGACCATCAAGGCAAGGAAGGACTGGGCAAGGGCATCCTGCATGTATGTACAAATGAAAAAGAAAAGGATGTGAGGGATTTTCATGAGATTCTTCATTCGAATGAAGGGATCAGTTTGGCTATTTGTGTGTCGAACCTGCGACCGCCCAGAAGTATGGATAGTGCGCCTTCTGCCTTGACGCCGTTGAGCACTAGCCCCGGTGTGCTATGTCGCGGTCCATGTGAATAGATCGGCCCCCTTCCCCAGTCGCCAGCATGTGAGTACGTCAGTCACCATGCTTGGGTTGTCTCCAAACTGCGCCATCCCTTTGTGAATGTAACACAACGCCGGGCTGATCAGACCAAAACTGTCCCACTCCAAGCCTGCCTCTTGCAGGATTCCAGGTCGTTGCATCCATCGTGAAACATCACAGTTCGTCAATACTTCCGTCGCCTCACCGTCTTGGGCACTTCGTCGCCATCGTTCTCGTACTCCTTGCCCTCGTTGACATCCTTCTTCCTAAGCGTGCCAACGCCGTGCCTCACCAGTTCCTGGTCATCGCCCTCCGAGTCTTCGATGTCATAGAGCACAGGCAAGACGAAGCTGTCTTCCTCGCCCATCTTTCGCTCCACTGTTAAAATGTCGACGTCCTCGTCTTCTCGGTCCAAGCGGCGCTTCTGGTGTTCTTCTTGCGGGTACTCGTCGAACTCGTCCTCGCGCTCAATGTACTCGACATTTTCCGTCAACTCGGTGAAGTCGGGCGCCAGCGCGGACCATTTCTGCTGTGGCTCGATGCCCCAGATCTGGATACTGCCCGTTTCGATGCTCGTGCACGCGAGGAGCGGGCGAGAGGGGTGCCACTCAATGATCGCCGGCTCCTCGCGGTTCTCGAGGATGCGGAGGAGAGAGTTGGTGCGGAGTTCCCAGATGTAAATGTCCTTCTTCATATAAGTCGAGGCTGTCACGTAGTCGGCAATGCCCGTGGAGGAGCTGTGGCTGAAGGCGCAATGGTTCCAGCGAAGACGGTTGACCAGGTCTTGGAATTTATGCTCGACGGTCAAGACGATGTTCTCTGCCAACGTGGCCGGGTCGCGGTCGTGGTGGTCATCACTGCTGCTCGGATCCGTGGCTGGCGCGGTGGATGGGACGATCAGACTGAGATCGGGCAGATTGATGGTGCGGATGATGCGATCGGTGCTATTAGCGAGGAGTTGGCGGCCGTTGGTAGTCAGACGGAGAAGTGAGATGAGCCCAGTCGAGATCTTGGTGGAGTGGATGATTTTGCGGGACTCGGTCTCGAGAATGTTGATGTATCCCTTGGAAGTGCCAGTGATGATGTGGTTGCCCAGCACGGAGAAGATGGCCGAGGTGGTGGCTTGTTTGTTCTCAGAGCGAGGGATGCTGTCGCTCAAAGGAGTGGTGGGAAGGACACGCTTGACAGGAATAGCGTCAGTGATGTCAACCAGATATGGTCGGTCTTCGAAAAGCGACGCAACGAAAAGCTTGTGGTTGTAAGGGTGAAGTTCTGCAGTGTAGATCGGAGCCTCGAACTTGACGGTTCGGATACGCTCTTGAGTCTGCAGGTCCCAAAGACAGGCTCTACAGTCTTGGGACGCGGACAAGAGGTAGCGACCTTCTCTCGACCAGCTGCAGAAGATCAGCAGGGTACTGATAGATCGTTGTGGAGGAGAGTGAGTACCTCAAACTTTGAATCTGCTTCCAGTGACCATGCAGCTTCATGGCAACACCATAAGTCTCCATATCCCTTGAATGAAAAGGTCAGCCATTACCCCTTCCCCATCTCAAAAAAGGCCAGAGTCTACGCCGACAGCATTTCCTTTATTCAGGGACCACTGACCAAATGATCACCTTCCCATCCACCCTGCCAGAGGCGAGATAATCGCCCTTGCGACTGAACCTCAAGGTGGTCGCATGGCCGGATCCTGAATCTGAATCAGTAATGATTTGATAAATTTGCCTGTCTTCCACTTTTTCAGCGGATCTAGGATTGAACATACTGAGATCATTGGTGAGGGCGTCCGGAGAGTCCTGGGCTAATTGAAACGGATCTATCAGTGCCAAATTCATGATGTTGCTGTTGATCTAATGGAGTCTCACGAAAGCATGGAGGTTGCAACGCCTCTTGACGAAATGCATCAGTTTCCACATCCGGAACTAGCGCCATTGTTAAAGCGATCACGTGTCAGGGGGGACAGCGAAAAAAGAAGGTATAGCGAGGAGAGCAATATTATAGCAGCGACGAGGAGGAGGATATATTGCTTGCCAGTTACACCAGTGACACCAGTGACACCAGTGACATGGTCTACGGCATCTGTCCTGAGCCCGTGGAGGGAATTCCCTGCCCTTCACAAAGACAGCTGCTCAAGCTAAGGCAAACACAATAGACACAGCGTTCTTCACTGCACTCTCCCGCAGACAATCCACAATCTACCAAGTGCAACATATCATCGAATCATCGACCATTTCAATGTACTCCGTAAAGATGTTCTGTCTGTCGCAGTGCCGTGTAGGGTCATATGTAGGCCATGATGGACTTGTGGATGCTCATGCAACCTGCGTCCACTGATGGCCGAGGGTCAGGGTTAATGCTGGTGCCCTCATGGCATGCCCGTACAATGTCATTGAGCTCTGGATGCAAGTGAGCCAGTGTGTAAGTGGCCCAACAAGTCGAGAACAAAGACTCGTTAAAAACCTGTGAAAGGAGTCATTCATGCAGTGAGTCGGCTGAGGCTGAAAGGAGGCGGATTCTGCCGCTAAAAGCCGCCTTCGCCTCCGGGCTGATTTTCTTGGCGCAGCGCAGGCAGCCGCTCGCCCTTTCAACTCTCAAATTTTGCGCTCGGCTTCTCATCCCTTCCTCATCCTCTTCCTCATCAACAACTCCACCCAAACCATCGTAAATCGATCGCGCCCTCGAATCCACGCGTCACAGCAGGCGAGCCGATCGCTTTCCAGGAAGTTTTGGATCAATATCAAGAGAATTGGACAAAAGCGCAGCTGGAGAAGGACACGGCATTGTTTTGGGCGGCCCGACAGGGCGAAGGTCATCCCTGACCAGCACCGCGCAGCCACCCGTGCAAGCACTGCGGTCATCCCCAGATCGTGACAACAGAGTAAACAATCGTCTCACAAGGATACGCGAGATCATCGGGATAACCACGAGCGACCATGGCGAGCCTCAATTTCCCTTACTCGAGCGCGCCTCTGCGCACAGTCGAGGAGATTCAGTTTGGCCTCTTCTCCGCCAAAGAGACCGAGCGCCTCGCGGTCATTGACATCGAATATCCTGAGACGATGTATGTAGAAAATAAAAAAAGACAAAACATCATTTCCTCTGATTATTGATTTCTAACTCGTGCTTGACCAGGGATGAGCAACGCCTCAGACCTCGCGAAAAAGGTCCGAACGATCCTCATCTCGGAACAATCGATCGCAATTTCAAATGCAGTACTTGTGAGGAAAACATGGCCGAGTGCCCTGGTCACTTTGGTGTCATCAAGCTTGCAACTCCAGTCTATCACTATGGCTTCATGAACAAAGTCAAGAAGATCCTGGAGACGGTCTGCCACAACTGTGGCAAGATCAAGGCGCTTGATGTTGGTCTCTCCAGCGCATCCCTTCCCATTTCTCACCGCTAACCTCGATGGAATGCAGACCGAAGAATTTCGACATGCAATCTCGATTCGAGATCGAAAGCGTCGCTTTGAAGCAGTGTGGCGACTCAGTAAGCCCCGGAACGTCTGCGAGGCCGATCCTATCGAAGACCCCGATCAGCCTCTGAAGGGACCACCTCAGCCCAAGCACGGCGGGTGTGGCAATGCCCAACCGGACATTCGCAGAACTGGCCTGCAGTTATGGGCGACGTGGAAGCCGCGCAAAGGCGAGGATGATGAGGATGTAACTCCCGACAGGAAACGGATCTTCCCTCAGGATGCTCTCAACACCTTCCGTACGTTGACTGACGAGACCTTGGACATGATGGGTCTCAGTCTTGATTATGCCCGCCCGGAGTGGATGATCTTGTCTGCGCTCCCCGTGCCTCCTCCACCGGTGCGACCCAGCATCAGTGTCGACGGCAGTGGCCAGGGGCAACGCGGCGAAGATGACCTTACATTCAAGCTGGGTGACATCATTCGTGCCAACCAAGCAGTGTTACGAACTGAAGTCGATGGTACACCTGACCATATCAAGGTTGATCTTTGTGATCTCCTGCAGTATCATATTGCCACCTATATGGACAATGAGATTGCTGGACTTGACAAAGCACAACACAAGAGTGGACGACCCATTAAGTCAATCCGTGCTCGGCTCAAGGGCAAGGAAGGCAGACTGCGCCAGAACTTGATGGGGAAGCGTGTCGACTTCTCGGCCCGTACTGTCATCACTGGTGACCCCAACCTCTCTCTGGACGAGGTCGGTGTTCCACGGAGCATTGCTCGCACGCTGACCTACCCGGAAAGAGTCACACCCTTCACCATTGACCGGCTGAGACGCCTCGTCAGAAATGGACCCAATGACCACCCTGGTGCACGTTACGTCATTCGAGACACTGGAGAGCGGATCGATTTGCGACACCACAAGCGCGCTGGAGAGATGACTCTTCAGTATGGTTGGATTGTCGAGCGTCACATCCAGGACGGCGATGTTATTCTCTTCAACCGTCAACCATCCCTGCACAAGGAATCCATGATGGGTCATCGTGTCCGAGTTATGCCCTACTCCACATTCAGACTCAACCTGTCTGTCACGACGCCTTACAATGCTGATTTCGACGGTGATGAGATGAACTTGCACGTTCCCCAGAGTGAAGAGTCCCGCGCTGAGCTCGCTAATCTTTGCATGGTGCCTCTCAACATCGTCTCACCACAACGCAATGCTCCTCTCATGGGTATTATCCAAGACACGCTCTGCGGTATCTACAAGATCTGCCGTCGTGACGTCTTCTTGACACGAGATCAAGTTATGAACGTCATGCTATGGGTTCCTGACTGGGATGGGGTGATTCCTCAACCAGCTATCATCAAGCCTACGCCTCGCTGGACGGGGAAGCAGATGATTAGCATGGTGCTCCCGCCTGCCCTCAACCTCGAGAGGCTTGATGCCAAGGGCGAGGACCCGTATGTCCCAACTAACGACACTGGTCTCATGGTCCTCGAGGGCAATCTCATGTTCGGTCTGTTCAGCAAGAAATTTGTCGGCACTAGTGCTGGCGGCATCATTCACACAATTGTCAACGAATTCGGCCATGACACGGCTAAGGCTTTCTTCAATGGTGCACAAACCGTGGTCAACTACTGGCTTCTACATAATGGTTTCAGCATCGGTATCGGTGACACAGTACCTGATCCTGACACCGTCCAGAAGATCCAAGATGCCGTCGACACTAAGAAGGCAGAGGTTGATGAGATTACAAAGAAGGCGTACAACGAAGAGCTTGAGCCTTCCCCTGGCATGAACGTTCGACAAACATTCGAGAGTAAGGTCATGAACTCTCTGAATCAGGCTCGTGATCAAGCTGGTGCGGCAACAGAAAACAGTTTGAAAGATCTTAACAACGCCATCACCATGGCTCGTGCCGGTTCAAAAGGATCCACTATCAACATTGCTCAGATGACTGCTATTGTTGGGCAGCAGGCTGTGGAGGGCAAACGTATTCCCTTCGGCTTCAAATACCGCACCCTGCCACATTTCGCGAAAGATGACTACTCTGCTCCCTCGAGGGGCTTTGTCGAGAACTCCTATCTTCGTGGATTGACCCCCACAGAGTTCTTCTTCCACGCTATGGCTGGTCGTGAGGGTCTTATTGATACTGCTGTCAAGACCGCCGAAACGGGTTATATCCAACGTCGGCTTGTGAAAGCTCTCGAGGAAGTCACTGTCAAATACGACTCCACTGTCCGTGATTCGCGAGGGAACGTGGTTCAATTCATCTATGGAGAAGATGGCCTGGATGGTGCGCATATCGAGAATCAAAAGGTCGACATTATCACCATGTCAGACAAAGCCTTCAACGACCGCTACATGGTAGACATCATGAGCGGGGATATCTCCATGTGGAAGGGCCGACTGCTTCAGGCAAGAGAGCTACAAGGTGACACCGAACTGCAAGAGATGTTTGATGAAGAGTACGAAGCTCTGCGAAAGTCTCAAGATTTCTTGCGAAAAATGGGCAAAGGCACTGAAGATTCAATGCAGTTGCCTCTCAACATCGGACGTATCATCGACCAAGCTCAGAAGAATTTCAAGATCCGCCGTGGTGACAAGACTGACCTTGATCCCCGTCATGCGCTTAATGCAGTGAAGCAGTTGCTGGAACGACTCGTCGTCGTCCGTGGGGAAGACCCGATCTCGAAAGAGGCCCAGGACAACGCCACGCTTCTGTTGAAGGCGCAACTCCGCTCACGGCTGGCGTACAAGCGGCTTGTTCTCGAGCACGGTGTTAACAGATTGGCTTTCGACAATATCGTTGGAGCCGTGGAGAGTCGATTCGTTGCTGCACATGCCAATCCAGGCGAGATGGTCGGAGTCTTGGCTGCCCAGTCCATCGGTGAGCCTGCGACTCAGATGACTCTGAACACTTTCCACTTTACTGGTGTGTCGGCGAAGAACGTCACTCTCGGTGTGCCTCGTCTCAAAGAAATTTTGAACGTATCCCAGAACATTCGGACTCCGTCAATGACCGTATACCAGCTTCCAGAAAATGCTGGTGACAAGGAAGCGGCGAAGCTTCTGCGAAGTCGTGTACAGCACACCAATTTGCGCTCCGTCGCGGAGACCTGCGAACTGTGGTACGATCCGGATATCCAGAGCACTATCATCCCCGAAGATCTAGATATGGTCGAATCGTACTTCATCATTCCCGAAGACACCGATCAAGATCTTGCGCTACACTCCAAATGGTTGCTTCGTATTACTCTCAGCCGCGCCAGACTTCTAGATAAGGGTCTCAACATCACGGATGTCGCGTCGAGGATTAAAGCAACCTATGGCAAAGACCTTTCGGTCATCTTCAGTGATATCAATGCCGACGAGCAAATCATTCGTATTCGCCTTGTCCAGAATTACGGCAAGGATGAGGATGACGAGCGCAAAGAGGATGATGAAGTTCTCCGACGCTTCTTGAACGAAATGCTTGACCACTTGACCTTCCACGGCGTTCCCGGTGTCTCAAGAGCCTTTATCGACCAGAAGAGTCGTGCGATTATCAGCGACGACGGCTCTGTCTACATGGCTAAGAGTGACCCTCGGTGCAATGAATACGTGCTGGAAACCACTGGCAGTTCCTTCGCAAAGGTTCTAGCCATTGAAGGCGTTGACACGTCTCGCACTTATACCAACCGTTTCACGGAAATCTTCGAGGTTCTCGGCATCGAGGCTACTCGTGCTGCCATTCTGCGCGAGTTGACCCAAGTGTTGTCCTTCGATGGATCCTATGTCAATGCTCGCCACTTGGGTATTCTGTGTGATGTGATGACTGCCCGCGGATACGTCATGGCAGTTACTCGTCACGGCATCAACAAGTCCGATACTGGCGCCCTCATGAGATGTTCTTTTGAGCAAACCGTCGAGATTTTGCTCGAGGCGGCAGCGGCTGGCGAACTGGACGATTGCAAAGGTGTCTCTGAAAACCTGATTCTGGGCCAACCTGCTCCTGTTGGCACTGGAACAATGGAGATTCTTCTGGACCAGAACATGCTGTCTACTGTTGTCACAGACAATGCCAACCTTGGCCTTGGTGGTGCTATTGGCGTTAAAGGCTCACAGCAACTCCTCGATGGTGCCGCCACTCCTTACGATAGCGGCTCGCCAATGCAGGACAGCGGGTATCTCGGCTCTCCAGATTACGGAGCTTCCTTCTCTCCCATCGCAGCGTCTGGTTCGGAAACTCCAGGAGGGTTTACCGACTACCAACCTGGCTTTGGCGGAGTTGGAGGACTCAGTCCTTACGGTTTGCGAAGCCCTGGTGGTTACTCGCCGGCAAGTCCATTTGGCGGTACCAGTCCAAGCTCTCCTGGCTTCTCGCCCACTGCCGGCTATTCGCCAACGTCTCCGATGTTTGGCGCAACCAGCCCTGGCTTTGGGCCAACGTCGCCATCATTCTCGCCGGCAAGCCCTGCTTTCACTCCGACGTCGCCTGCATACTCGCCGACCTCTCCAGGTTACCAGGCGTCGCCTACTTCGCCAAGCTACTCCCCGACGTCACCCAATTATTCGCCCACATCTCCAGCCTATGGATCACCAACTTCTCCAAGCTACTCGCCCACTTCTCCGGCTTTCAGTCCAACATCACCAACATCCCCGACGTCGCCTGTCTACAGTCCCACGTCGCCGATGTACAGTCCGACCAGTCCCATGTATGGTGGCAGTGGTAATAAGCAGTCTCCGACGTCTCCGAGCTACTCTCCTACCTCACCTACCTACAGCCCAACTAGCCCGACGTCCCCGACCAGCCCACAGTATTCTCCTACGAGTCCGATGTACAATGCCTCTCCAAGAAGTCCACCGGTTCGGTCGACGTCCGCTACCAGCCCACAATACTCTCCGAACAGCCCCCAGTATTCTCCAACTTCACCAAAAGAGGACTGAGTTCTCTTTGTAACATCATATGACTTGAATGTTATCCCCAAAATGAAAAAAAAATTCAGACATCGAGCGAGCGACGGATCCATTAAATTGACCTTCTGTCTTCGGCTCGATTCTGATGAGGCGGTAATATCTTTTTAATGCGACTTTTTTACGGCCACTAAATTGTCAGCTGCGGGAAAGAGGAGGCTCGGTGTTCGAGTGCTCTCCGCATTATTCTCTCTGGCCACAACGTGTTTCACAAGACAAACACTTGAACATTAGCGACGGCGTTGGACGGTTTTTCACTTGTCTCTTTATCGGATTGACTTGCTTTTTTTATGAAATGGGATGGTTAGACATTTTTCGACGAGTAAAGTCCTGAAAGCTCTTTTCCGAAAACGAATATGCTTAGGGGTCGACATGGAAAATGAAAGAGGGAATGACTTGCGGAAGGTCGAGCATGATTCGGCAGTGATCATCGATGGGGGTTTGAGGAACAGCATTGTCGATGGATCGAGCCCGCCCTGATGGGGAAGGGAAGAGCGTGACGGTCGAGAGGAGATTGAACCACAGGTGGATGGGTTGAGGGAAAAGTTTGCAATTGTACTCTAAGATAAACATAGAATGTTCTTCGCAGGGTGGACGAAAGGTGATGGAGGCCAACAGGGCAAAGGGGAGATTGATCCACAGAGAGATACGTATGCAGCTGCAACAGTACGCACGTTTGAAAACTGACCGGGTTCTATCATTCATGCAAGAAGCAATGTTTTGTGGCTGGCGAGCTGGTCTTGAGAGAGCAGCAGGGTGTGCGTATGGAGGTATTGTTCCTTCAAAGGCAGAAATACTTGACGGTAGAAACAATGACAATGCATCATGCATGGATGGGTATGCCTTTATTTGTTCGTGCGGGTTCATAGTTCTGGTAGTTCAGATGTAAGAATGTGCATTCCCGCCGACATCCCTGCTCATCAGCAGCCTGGCGTATTGCCGAAGACATATACCAAATGTTGCTGACGCGACCGTAACCTCATAATTGTCCGAGTCATTGCGCAGGCAGGCGCTGCCTCCATCTATCGGCGAGCTCCGCGCCTATGCCGTGGCGGTATGGTTCTCGATTCGATATGTGGTGCAGCAGCAGGCGAGCGGCATGTAGATTTGACCTTGTCATGAGCGTTAAACAGATTTCCGTCCACCCAGACTCGGCTTAGCCACGTGAGGAGCTCGGAGAGTCTGCTGCGGCCAGAGAACCGATACGCCGCAGCGGGATGGAGTAACAGGGATTGCAGTGGATGTATTGGATGTGATGGTGACGAGATGACATGACGGTCCAGGCGAGTCTCAACGGTACGGCCAGCCAGGCGTTGACGAGCAATTGACTCCGTGGATGGCCAGGCGCCAAAGATGCTCGAGACCAAGACCTCGTGCAAAATAACAAAATAGCTTCAGGGCTCGAGGCAGATCTCCCAGATGACAGAAAACCTCCCAGTCGGAGACTCGTCACAGTGCGCCCCATCTGACATCTAGGGAGGTAGCTTGAAGATTCAACGATGGGGCTTAGAGAAGGTCGAGACGGCCTGTTGCATGCATCTCGCATGGTGACTGTGAAAGTGCTCAGAGCCGAACCAGGCTGAGACAAAGCAAGGTTGCAATATTGGCATCGGATGTTGTCTGTCAGAGACGAGGGGCTGACAGATTCCTAAGGGCCAAAGAACATTCCGGATATCTCATGGTCCAATGACCTGTGCTAGAAAAACAAATTCCAACATCATCCGGACAATCATGTAGCGCCTCGAAGAGCCATGAGGCCGAGAATCTGGGCCTCGAGGGTTTTCACCTCGTCGATGGGCTCACTGCTGCTCGCACCAGAGATGCCATTGACGGCCTTACCTGAGCCACCACCAGAGGTTGCAGAATTGAGTTTATAAACTTTTCTGACTCTGTCCTTGTCCGCAACTTTGCGGAAGCTGGCGTCGTCAAAGGCACTCTCTTGGCCTTGGATGTGCGTCGATAGATGTTGAGAGACACTATCAAGTGTCACTTCTGGGGTTGTAGCTACCTTCAAGACGAGTAAATCCCTCGTAGATTCGCTGACCCCAAATCTACGAAATGCCTCACCAATCTGTGCCTGCAGTCAGTCCCGGCTTATCTTTGAAATACTGCATTCTGCACTTGCGTTGTTGTTGGGACTAAGAGAGAACACAATTTCCGAGTGGATGTTCCGTGACTTGAGTCTATCATTGAAGTAGTCGTTTATAGCGCGGAACGCGGCAGCAAGCACATGGTTGGTGGAGACAACCTACAAGGAAAGGAAACGAGGTCAGGAATGGGACATCGTGGAGAGATGACATCTGCACCTACCATTCTCGCATCAATAAAGGCGTATTCAAAGTCGGAGTTGCCTGCCAGCAGCTGTTCCTTGAGGAAGGGTGTATTTTGCACATCTGTGTACATGGCAATGTAGAGAGCCAATTCGGGCGGCATATGAGCCAGCTTGATGGTTTCAACCATATTCAAGTAATCTTAACAATTTCTCTCCAGGTCTGGGAGACAGACATACATGCGCTTAAAGACATTGAGGGTGACCAGCGATTCAACTTTTGACGTCGAAATCAGCCCTGATAATTTTCTCTTGGCGCTGACATAAACGTCTTTATAGGTGTCTTTGGGTGCTTAGTGTACACCCACCTTGGCACCCGCCTGGGGCAGCCACACAGTCTCAGGCTCTTATCTCGCCCACAACTTCCCACTCGACCACCTTGAAAAATTGTACTCGGTACAGTAAATTCAAGATGCAAAATATAAGTTAAAGAAAAGAAAGATACAAGCAATATACAGAAAAACAAAAACAATCAACAATCAGGATTCCCACCTGGTCACCCACGGTAGTACTAACTGATCGGCATGTGGCTTAAGTACGGCTGAGCGAACGGGAAGCCCTGTTTTCCACATCCTATGGTCGATTGCGGAAGTAAAACCACAATTATAAATGATATATGCCATTTCAACGCCTGGATCGCCACGATCTCGCTCACTTCACGTGTTGAGCTCTACGCACCCTAGTAAGAATAGCCATCTCGCCGTCTACTCTAACTTAACCAAATATTCTGCCACGGCCGAGCTAAGCCTTCCCTAGAATCGCTAGGGTGGGGTGGATGGATATTTTCACTAGGGTGCTATATCTCTACTCATTATCACCGGACATGGAACCCGCCGAGAGACGTCGTGCTGTCAAATTGATGTTCATAATCTGTTCAGATTCGTACTGACTCGGTTACACAATGCAATGAGTCAAACTCGCTGGATCTCCACAGCCAAGGTCAAGACCCCTGTTCTTCCGTTCTGTTTTCCCGTGCCGCTGTTCAGCGAAAATGACCTCTCGGGTATGTCTATCCCTTCAGACCAAGGGCACTGTCGCAAATGGCAGCACCCTCTTCAACCGGGAAATATACCCCCAATTTCCCTCGAAACTGTGCGAAAGATCCTCTCCAGTTCGGTATTGTCGAGAGGAAGCTGCCTAAGGTTCGATGACCATCAAACGCCTTCCCGCGATTTGTGTGCCTTGCCGCCATGATCGTGAACTTCGTCGTTCACATCAGCGCCGTCCCATAGGTACCGCATTCAGTAGACACGGTAATGAGTATCCTGATTGTGAAATTTTTGGGAGGAGCGTCCATATTCCGCTGTCATCGCATTCAGTGACGACATGTGTCAGATTAGAAACGTACCACTTCCACATAAGCATCCTCCATAGCGATGGACTTGATGAGCCTGGTGGGGAGAAAGGCAATAGCTCCAACCCTAAAGCCATAAAGTCTGCTCGGCGACAAAGACTAGCCATTAGAGGATATCACGCTTGGTTCTGAGGTCCAGTTGTGGATCGCTATGTTTCCCGCCAATCTAGTTGTTAAGTGATCGTCCCAAAAGAACAAGTGCCGACTGATGTATACTGCCCGATTGGTATCCTTCGCTTCATTGTTCGACAATCTCCATAATCGTTCGGCCAGGGCCCCCGATGGTGAGTCTGACAGGCGAGTAGCGGTTAGAATTGATGCCACCCACATCAGAGCCTGCTGCACAACTGGATGATCGCCAGCTGCGGACTGAGGGGTAAGCATGTGCATCAAATCGCTCCGACAAGCGAGTGCCAGACAGCTGGCACGCTGGAGAGCGTCGCCCATCATAGCAACAGGTACGCAAAGCAGTTTGCATACATGCTCCGAGTAAGCGAAAAGCCCAACAAGAAGTATCTCGTCGAGCGTGCTTAAGGACTGGCGATGGAGGAAAAGGTCTGTACAATGGAAGGTTATATCTCTCGCCGATTTCTGGGGATGGACACGAGTGTGCTCAAAGGTGTGGACTTCTATGTTCGGGTAAATATAATTTGGCGCAGGATGATGGTCTGACATACCTTGGCTGAGTTCGGTTAGTTCCCTAATCAGCGAGGATATTTGCCTGGAAATGGGTCTGCTCATCGCCAGGGCTGCGAGTCCCCGAGGCATTCTGGACAAGCAGTCGATCATGCTCCCTGGGTCGGAGCAGGGGTTGTACAAGACTGGTTGGAAAGATTCAAGATCCATGGGATGTTTGGACTTCTCTACCTCCCTCCATTGCTGTAGCAGTTCTTCACACCTGTTCAACAAATTCGGTCAGTCCTGTGAGATATGCCGCCTGGTATGCGAATTGACTTGCATCAGCACCCGAAAGTTGATGTAGCCATCCAGGCCCGAGACTTTACCGTCCTGAGCTCTCTTCTCCATCAATCGCCTCACGGCTGCAAGGTGAAGCCTCATCTCAGCTTGCCAGTCCGGATGACGTCGGGAAAAGACCTGGCAGCAGGTTAGTCAATATGCTATGCGCGGGCCGGGCGAAGGATTTCACACATAAATAGTAAGTAAGCATAGGATGCTCAACAGAGTATAGTCGGAGGTAGCATGCTTCGTGGATAATCTCGAGCGAAGCCTTGAAATGAGTCTGTTCATATAATGGGCTATGATTTGCGAATGCTCTGGCTTGTAGGGCGTTGTAGACAACTGTATCGCATGAGCGTTCGCAACTGTTGCCTCGAAGAGCATGTCGTCCTGGAAGATGTTGTTGAAAATTGTCTCAAAAATTTCCCTCTTGAGTAATCTGTTGCCCCGTCGGTATGTAGAAAAGGGAGCCCAACTATAGATATCTCCAGCTTTGTCAATGCGTATCTTTGCATACGACAGAGCTCGACTTACAGAATTGTACCCCCGATCTCGAATTCGCGTTGTCCTTCGTGGGAAAGATCCAGAACGGCTCATGCAGGATCTTCGGCTCTTCCAACGTCACTATATCCTGCACCTTCTGCTGGTTTTGAGTAGGTTGTCGGCTGTCGATGTGAATGGGCAGAGGAGGAGGTCCGCAATTAGGAGCGTCGACATGACGTCTAACACGTTGTGGCAGATCCAACACTCGAGCATGGACTGATGCCCGCCGAGAAGTGACTCTCGACTTGCGGGAATAGGCACCAAGCCTGAACCTCAATATAGCATTGCTGGGTACCTGGGTGGGGTTGGGCGGTGCAGGTTCACGAGGAAAAACCATCGCGTCGTGGCCGACCAAGGGCGGGCCATTGCAGGGCCGACTGGAGATGGTAATGTTCAAATACGTCTTCAACAACGAATGTGCACTGTATCAATCCAGGTGCTGGCCTGGCCAGAGATCGTCACCTTCATAGCCAAATTTGGGTGCCTGCGACTCAGCTCAGCAGGTCACGAAACTTGGGAGGGCGAGGGCGAGATGCATGGCCCTGCAGCTTATCGTCTGGGGTGACAAAGCAGCGCCCTCCGGGCTCGTGGGTTGCAGAGCACTAGCCGAGAGGACATCCTCGGCGAGTGTTTTGGGTTGTAGCCCAGTTGAGCGTGGAGGAGTCCCATTCTAAACCAAGTCTGTGTGATTGTATTGGCTGAGGCGGTTTCCCAATGAGGGCATTCCTCTCTTGACCATTCGTACCCGGAGTCTGTGTGCTTTTCCTGCTCTCCGCCCTCGACCACGAGCCCAGACTAGGCGGGCGTGACCGTGCACCGAAGGATCTTGACGTTTTCGGCGAGCTCGGGGTGCACCACAGCCGCGGTAGGGTGAGCCAGAGGGACATACTTTTAGGGCTAGGGCGAAGGAGCAGATAATACTGTGAAGAGGCAGTGCGAGTCGAAGTAGTAGTGGGTTTGGAAAATGTCCTGGACGCGAAGCTGGACGCCAGACGCAGACGCAGACGCCAGACGCCAGACGCGTCTCAAATCGATGACGTATTACATGTATGTACTTTTGTCCAAGACTTCAAAACATTTCCATCGCAGCCACTTGGGCAACGTCTCGGTCATGTTTAGAGCACTGAACACCTTCCGTACTACTCATTGCGAACACTGCCCGAGTCAGAGTCTACCTCAAGGCCTTATCGATGTCCGATCCTGCTCGCTCGTGGCGGGCCCATGCTCGGTGTTACACGGCGCTGCCACAGAGCCGGGCGACACACAGAGCAGCAAACGGGACAGGCTGAACAAAACAAACCAAACGGCTTAGGGCACAGAATAAGCAAGTTATTCCTACATCCCTACCAGCGGTAGGCAAGTCGGGTCAGTCAGGGTCAACACTACCTCGAATCCTAAGGCCCATACCACGGATCCTGTACGACCTAGTCCAACCTCGGGCCAGTATCAGGGAAAATGGCGAAAAGAGTTACATCACGCGCCCGTTCAGAGCTTCTCAAATACGGCAGCTATTGTCTCTACCGTCGGCTTTGCGCTTTGGGGAATCATGCCTGTCACAACCCTCCCATCGGTGACGTGAAAATGGTCCCAGACACCCTCATGGGGGCCCTGATATCTTAGCCGCAAAATCTGTCAGCAGATCCATTCCTTGAGTTTGAGAATAGCTTAAATTCACTAATCTGAGAATCGTGGAGGTAGTAGGAATGTACATTTGGCACCAAGCTTGGTTGCCCATTCGTCAATCAAGGGCTTGCCCCAGCTCTGGATGGGTTCATGATATCCATGTGGCGCTCTCCCTGAGTGGTTAAGCCTGTGATGGTCTTGCCCTTGATGATGGACTCGCCGGTGGCCGGATTGACGACCCCAGCGTAAATTGCCTCGCCGTGGCAACTACAGCACGGCAGATCAGACCATCAAGCCCCAGATTCCTCTAATGGTCGTGTCCGAGAAGAGTAGGTGCTGAGTGGAGTGGATCAAGGGGAAAGGGAATATACACTGCCGAAACCACGCGCCGAAATGTTCATTGCGATCTTCTGCAGGCTTTTTGGGCGAGGATAGTCGATCACGGCTGCATGCCCGCCACTAGCAAAGGAAATGCCATACTATTGCCCCCGTCAATCAGTCAGCATGCATACCCACCTCACCTAAACACATCGGCTACAGCCTCGAGGACCATCGTCGAACTCACCCCCTTCCCGTTGAACCCCCCTCAACACCTGGCATGTTGTCCAGTTCCTGCCTAAACTCGCTATTTTCGTCCTCCCGTTCTGTCTTGACTTCACCGCTCAGGAAACTCTCTTCCAGGCTCAGCCAATCAGGGACGTAGGTGCCCTCTTCGGAGACGAGGTCGACTTCAAGCCGTGTTGCTCGAAGGCCAGGAAGAGGTGGAGAGCCTCACTATGAAGAGTCTGGTAGGGTCTCCGAGGAGCAGTTGCGGATGTCACGGCGATGATGGCTCAACGTGGCAGAGGCATTTTGAGGGGAAGTCTCGGGCACCGAGGGTTGTCGCTACAGCCCGTTGATTTGATGGAATTCGTGCTGACAGAGATACGAGATGGAGATATTCACCGCGCCACACCTTCAGTATCAGGTTGATGGAAATCCACATCTCGCTTCCCAGCAACAGAGGTAGGTGGCCAACTATATATGTAAACTCGAGCGCCCCCCCTGTATTACATTGCTCGGACATTCCGGGCCCGACTTGATAACAGCCCTCACGGACGGTTGACACTGGCCATCTGGAGCATTCAACAATACTCAAACGAGAGACCCGACGAGAGGCACACACACACCTCGTCGCCCCAGAAGGAGAGTCTTGGGGCACGAAACCCCGAGGTTGCTCCAAGAAGCCTCTCCTCGCCAATTGTTTGGTCAATCAAAACCTGCCTAATGTGGTCTAGAAAGCTGCAGGGGAATTCCCAGCGCGAAATAGGACCCCTGTGGATATCCAGGGAGTGGGAACTAATGACAGAGCCAAGGAACCTAGCCAAAACATCAACAGTCCAAAGTCGGCGCTTTTGAAAAGTCGAAATTACTATTCACTTGGTGCTCTATGTGCCCCTCATTCCGCGATAAAATGCCAGGGATATATGCAAAAAGACCCGTAACTAATGCCTCTTGGGACAAATACCTTCCGAGTACTGATGCCACAGAGGACTGTGCAGCGACGAGAGCGTCGACACGGTCCATGTCACAGGGTTTCGTATCGCCTCGTCGTCCTGATGAACACGCCCAACCCAGAGTCAGGTCAAAGTGAAATATGCCGAAGAATCATTACCCCCAAAAAACCCCATCAGAGCTCATGAATCTTTGGGTCGTTAATCATACTTGACCGGATGCAGAACCATCATGGGCAAACACATTCGCCCGCCTCCTGGACCCCCTTCCGACTCCCAGGCCAATTCGTCATTTCCATTTTCCCTTCCAAGCCATCTCCTCCACAGATAGCCGGCGAACCCGGCGTTCGAGTAATACGTGGCGCCCCGAAAAACGTGCTCGCCCGGCCCAAACACGCTGCCTCCTGCACCATGAAAATGTCCTTGTCCGTGGTCCATACCTGCCTTTGTGTGTTCCAAGCTGACAGGGGCGTTGTTGAAGACTTCATCGGCATGCGCGCTGGGCCAGTCACGGTCGAAATACACCGGAAGAGGTGCGTAGATCGCCTTGAGACCGTAGTGGAGAGCGATCGAAGCGGGGAACATTTCTGGAAACATGGTATGCTTGTTCCGGTAGGTTTCCTCGTGCATGAGCAAAAGCAAGCGCCGCGACATTCGAGACGCGGTGATCAGGGAGGCGCGGGTAGGGGGTCGTCCGTCACGGGTCACATTGTAGCCGGTGATATCGTCGTGGAAGGCCCAACGAGTGTGTTCAGGATTAAAGAGAGGGTTCAAAGTGATTAGATCTGTGATTTCGTCGTTACCGTCTGGGATTTGCTGTTCTGGAATATTAAGAAGTCGCTCCGGTGGAATCTGCGGGCCGGTTATCGGTGTCTCGTTACGAGCGTGAACCTCCTGAATGGTCGACTGGGTATAGTTCTCAAAGGAATAGTCGTGCAGGGATGGAATGTAAAACGTGGCAGATCGCTCCCAAGCGTAGTCTCGCGGTTGTTTTTCGGCCCAGGACTCGATCTGGTGCAGCAATTCGTAATAGTGGCCCGTTACCCTCATGTCCATCTCCCACTGCCAGAAATAGTCGTACTGGGGGTTTTGCGATGCAAAGTACTGTAGCGGGAAATGGAGAGATCGATACGCTTCGTAGATGTCGCCGCCAGAGAAATTGATGATGCTGTCGGGAAAAGGCGGAGGGTAGATCAGCTTCATTTGCGCCACGGACCAGAGTGTGCCCAATCCCCAGAATTCTTCCGGTAAGCTGTCCCTCAGCACTTGGTTGTACAGCTCTCTCGACGCCCAAATGGGGAGGGTGTCGTCCTGCACGTGGATCAGGAAGTGAACCGTGTATTGCCCGCCAGACGTGAGCGCGAGTTCGCTGATGATGGCGCGTAGCATGGCAATGTGATATGCCGTATAGTGGAAGGTGTTCCATGTGCGAAACACAAAGGCAGTCCGGGATTGAAGCCGGTCGGAATTCTTCAAGAGACACCTCTGTTGTGCGTCGTGCCATTTCACACCCCGCCAGTTGACTGGAGCCACTTGCTCTAGTCCCTCGTTGTCGCCTTCTGGATGTCTGCCGAGTCCTCCTTCCTCTTCCTCAAATCCCAGGCCATAGGGCGCCAGTCGATTTATGCGATCATAACAAATCTGATCGTCGATGCCGAGCACATTTTGAGACCCGAACAAGGGGGCACTCATTCCCTGTGGTAGCCCCTTGTATGCGGATATTGTCGGTGGCATGATCCCCCTCTCTTCATCCACATAGCATGGTTCGATTTCTGTGGGGACGGCTGAGGGGAGTGGAATCAACTCGGGGTCCTCGTCCTCGTGATCGCCAGGATCGAAAGGGTCGAAAGCATTGGCCTGTTGCTCGGGGACATAGTCGGAAAATGGGACAATGTTCTTGCGTCCTCGATAAAAGCCGTGGAGTCTGCGAAGCAAGGTTAACATCACTGTTGCCCGATAGCCGGTGCAGCACCCCGTTTCTCACCTGGGGAATTCCTCCCACCAAGACCTCTCTCCCACCTCGAATTACAGACGTGCCGACAGGAATAGGGCCATCTTCTGCAATCTCATTGTCGACATCGGGCTCCGACGTTCCAAGAAGACCAGCGGTGCCCGTGGGATGGAGGAACCACCAGAGCGCAAGGACGGTCAAAAGGGCAATCGCGGCGGCGTAGCATATTTGTCTGCTGGGGAGCCGTCTCGGGAGCTTCCATTGCCGTCGTTGGACTCGTCGCGGTCTTGAGGATTCGCCGGGGCTAAGCAGGCTGCTGCCCGAGGAATCGTTGCTCCAGTCGCGGTTGTGGAAGGAAACGGCGGTCGAGTGGTTGAATTTGTTCGACAGCGACTTGGGCAGCAGGTCAATCATTCCACCAGAGGCCTCTGGCCCAACGTCCGACGGACGGGGGCGGCGGTCTCGCCTATTGCTGACTCCGGTCCCGATGGTGGGGAGCAAGGGGTTGTTAGCTATTGGCCAGCGAGAGGCGATGTCGAGATGCGGGCATTACTGGACAGTGGCACACTCGGTGCATGCTCTGTTCGACATCTATACCGTACAAATGCGATGTCAAAAACCAAAAAATTGCCCAGAGGAGAGGAGCAGGATGGTTGGACATGAGGTGGCATAAGATAAAGGGCCGTTCAGCCCGCTTCGGCTGCGATCTGCCACTGGATAATTATCTACCTCGTACTAGCGAAGCCCAGCTAGAGAGAGCTTGCGGCGAAGAGAGGCGGCTCCAATACCTGCTAAAAGTACCCGGGCCCGCCTAATTACTTGGCGTCCAGAGGCTCCCGTGGCTCCCCACGCCCAAATGCCGAAAATACCACCCCCCCAGGCCTGGGACTGGGGGCATTTGGAGAGATCGCGCTGGCTGGGCAGCGGGAACCGACAGGGGCTAGTGAGGCTGTCTAGGCCTAGTAGCCTAGGGGTGCCTAGCTACTCCTTAATGGGTGACGACGCACCCGACACCATCGCTTCCCTTCCACCACCTCAATTTCCTTGTGCCTCTGGCGCAGCTGCACGATTGACTAAGGGCAACAAATCACGTCATGAGTCGACACAATTACAAAATATTCGCAAAATCCCCCGTTGCGACTCGGAGGCATACAGGATTCGATGCTTCATCCTGAATTTCGTCTACTTGCTGGGTTAAGATTTCTCTCGATCAGTACCAAGGATGCCTACTGCAGTCGTGACCGGGGCCAACTCCGGCATTGCCCACGCATTTGCCAACATACTCTGTGATGAGGTTAGCCCGGCCACTGCACAATAACCAATCGCGATAACGCTCCAGGTTAGGGCTACACGGTTTACGCTGTCGACCGGGAGGCTGGGGACGGGCTCCAGGCCCTGAAAGCCAAGAAGGCTCGCATTGCTGAAGTGGATGTGACTTCTCCTGAGTCCATCCAAAAGTTCAAGGACTCTCTGGGTGACACGACGGTGGACCTGTTGCTCAACATTGCAGGTGTGTGAGTATGATGGCAGAAGAGAGAGCACAAAGTAACCGATGGGTTCGAACAGGTGTTGCCGCCCCCAATGAAGACGACAGCCTCACGACCAGCAACCTGCACGTCTTCCAGCATACCTTTGCGGTCAACACCTTTGGGGTTTTCCTTCTGACACAGGCCCTGCTGCCCAACGTCCTAAAAGCCCCCAAGCCCAAGATCGGCATTGTTTCGAGTCGCGTAGGCTCAGTGGGCGACAACAGCTCTGGGGGACATTATGCCTATCGCTCTTCCAAGGCTGCCGTCAATTCCATTGGCAAAAGCATGGCGATGGACTTGAAGGACAAGGGCGTCACGGTCATGCTCCTGCACCCCGGCTTCGTGAGGACCAACTTGTTGCCGACTGCAAAGATGCCCCCTGAAACAGTCGAGCCAGAGGAGGCGGCGAGGAAACTGTGGGAGAATATTGTCAGCCAGAAGACCATCGAAGACACGGGCAAGTTTTGGCATCGTGAGGGATTCGAGCTGCCATGGTAAAGGTGTCATCTGGGAGACATTCATATGCAGCTGGCAATGAAAGAAGTAGTCGCTCACAACAGGTACAGAACTTCAGGCGATCCACATTATCTCCAGCCATCTAGTGTCCTCCTGGCTTGCTGCGTATGTACTACATTCCCAGGGTATCAACACACCTTCCTGCAGGAGCAATTGGAGATCCGTTTTCTGGGAATGGAATGGGAAAGACGAAATCATCATACTGCCTCGGTTAAGTCGGCGTTTGATCCGGCTTACACACTATCAATTCTCCAACATCTTCGGTGTCTTATTAGAAATCAACAGCCGCCCTATCTCAGCCATTGACCCACCTCTCTGTCGTGGTTTCTTACCCTTTGTCCCAGTATAAGACCAGAAGTTGTCATATTTTTCTTTCTAGACTGACTGTTGATGTCCAGCTGCTTCCTATCTGCCTACTTACTCATTTGGCACTAACCAAGCAAAGGCGCTAGCAGACAGAAATCCTACCACATTCCGACCATTAGCCTGGCACCATGGGCTCATCAAGCTCCCCTATCCTCTACAACAAAGGGGTGCCAAATATACCATATTTCACCCCGGCACATGCCTCAAACCCGGGCACACCGTTTACCCCATCTTCTGACACTCCAACCCTGTTCACTCCTCTCAAGATCCGCTCCAAAACCCTGCGCAACCGCATCATAGTGGCCCCAATGTGCCAATACTCCACTGCTTCGTCGGGCCCTGACATCGGCAAACTCACCGACTACCACATCGCAACGTTAGGCCATTACGCTCTGAAAGGGGCAGCGTTGGTCTTTATCGAGGCGACGGGCGTGCAGTTCAATGGACGAATCAGCCCCAACTGTCCTGGAATATGGAGCGACGCGCAGACCGAGAGCGTCAAGCGTGTCTCGGACTTTGTCAAGTCACAGGGTGCTCTTTCCGGGATCCAGCTCGCCCACGCCGGACGAAAGGCGAGCACCTTGCCGCCGTGGATAGCATCAACTGTCAAGAGGCCGTCGGTGCGTGCGGACAAGACCGCTGACGGATGGCCAGACGACGTGGTAGGGCCGATGGGCGGACCAGAGGAGAGCTGGGATGGCAAAGGATTGGCGGAAGACGGTGGCTTTTGGCCTCCGAGGCAGCTGACCGTAGAGGAGATTCAAGGTGTGGTCAAAGCATTTGCAGACAGCGCAAGAAGAGCCGTGGAAGCTGGCATCGACGTGATTGAAATCCACGCCGCACATGGCTACCTGATCCACCAATTCCTCAGCCCCATCACCAACCGGCGCACCGACCAGTACGGGGGCAGCTTTGAGAATCGTACGCGGATGCTGATCGAAGTCATCACGGCCGTCCGAGCACAGATACCACAGGAAATGCCTCTCTTCCTGCGCATCAGCTCGACGGAGTGGATGGAGGAGACGGATCTGGGCAAGCAACTCGGAAGCTGGGATGTGGACAGCACGATTAAGCTGGCCCGTCTGCTGCCGGGGCTGGGAGTGGATCTCCTCGACGTTAGCAGCGGCGGTAACCATCCTCAGCAGCGCATCAATATGTTTGCGTCCAAGGACTACCAGACCAAGATCGCCAACCAGATTCGGCAGACCATGAAGGCAGACAACCTGAAGCTGCTCATTGGGGCCGTGGGCCTCATCACGGAAGCCGAGCAGGCACGGGATATTGTCGAGGACAAAGCATCGGACAAGAGTATCGGGGAAGAAGCCAACGCCGCAAAGGAGATGACAGATGCGAAAGGTGGCAAGGAGCCGATGGCAGATGTCATTCTCGTGGCGAGGCAGTTCATGAGGGAGCCGGAATGGGTATTGAAAGTGGGCTGGAAGCTGGGTGTCGATGTTGCCTGGCCCAGCCAATTCCTGAGAGTGAGGTTTCCAAAGCTGTAGTCCAGCCAGCAGGGCTGGCCTGGTGAGGGTAAGGATCATATAGATATAGAATGCTAGAAAGGCATTGGAGTCGAGGTACATAGCGTGCATAGTTACTATCCGGGCTCAAACATTCTGTCTGACAGCAATAAGCAGAGACGTCACACTGGGAAAAGTGAAGAAAATATTCTTGTCAGACAGTCCAGTCTCCCCTTTCCCAATGTCCATATCATACCTCGCACAACCAGGAACTGAGGTGCCACAAGCAATCCGTGCACCACACCGTTGCCGTGCTATACTGCCTCCGGACTTCCGCAATGTCTTTGATGACGTTACGCAGCCCCGTGTCGATCGTCGCGGCTGAGCCTCCGAAAGCATTGCGTTCACCTGTTCATCACGGCGGAAACCGACAGGTTATATCAGGTACAAGACCAGGCCAATTCAAATTCTCGTCCAGAGCTGACGTAGCAACGCCGCGTGGTCCGGCAAGAGAGGCTTTGCGAGGTTCACAATGGCATTGATGAACTTCGATACACTCCAGGTGAGGGTTTAAATGGGCTCCTGTTCACGGTCTTGTCTTTGAGTCTACAGTCCGCTTCTTCTCTTCTGAAAGATTATCATATCTGAAATGCTTTCTGCGTTTACATGTTGGCTACACGCATGCATTTGCATTTGCCCACTTGCCCTCTCTCTCGTGACTGCGAAGCTCGTAACGCAAAATGCCAGCTTCACCCCAGACATCATCTTGCGAGTCAGCGTCGACACCGTCCAGCTCAACTGCCAGCCTCGCCTTTCGACGTTGGTCAATGGAACGTATCCGGCACCTCCGATATATCTCGAGTCTGAGCAAACGACATGGATTCGGGTGTACAACGACGCAGACGCGAATACGACAATGGTTGGTTGCCAGTTTCCTGAAATCCCACACCAGGCTTTGCTTGCTAATCGGTTGAATGTACAGCACTGGCATGGCCTTGCGCTGGCTGCAGCACCTTATGCTGATGGATCCCCGCTGGCTTCACAGTGGCCCATCCCTCCTGGATGTTTCTATGATTACGAACTCCATCCTAGTGCCAGTGAAGCCGGAACGTCCTTCTACCATTCGCACGTGGGCTTCCAAGCGATCACTGCTACCGGAGCCTTAATCGTCAAGGACGCTGTGCCTCCGCCATATGCCTACGACGAAGAGATCATTATGAAGGTTGGAGACTTTTACCCTGAGGACGACCATACAATTGAATCACAACTGACAGGAGTTCCCTGGGTATGGACGGGGGATCCGACGTCCTTGTTGATCAACGGACAAAGTGGAACAGCACCAAACTCTTCCAATCCAGCACCGTCAGACCAGTCGTGTCATCCTTGGGTTATGAATGTCGAGGCAGGCAAGACGTATCGAGTACGTGTCATCGGCAGCACTGCGTTGTCTCTGGTGCTGTTTGGCCTTGAGCACCACGACAACCTGACTATCATCGAAACGGACAACTCTTACGTCTATCCAGTACAGACACCGTACATTCAGGTCGACACAGGCCAAAGATTCAGTTTCTTGTTGCAGACGAAGTCGCCAAGTGAGCTACAGGGTCTAGACGGACCGACAAAATTCTGGATTCAGTTTGAGACCCGGCAAGGCCAGAATACGGTCTACGGTTGGGCCATTCTCAACTACACTGACGTAGAACTTTCAACTTCGCAAGGACAGGATTATAACCAGGCCCAGAGTTGCTATTATCCGACATCGAACTCCTCATGTCCAGATTTCCTGCCCGTGGCACCAGTACTTGATTTGCCAACCAATGTCACAGATTGGCTGGAGTATACTTTTCGGAATCCTCCTTTAGAAGGATATGAAGCCCCTCCCAACACAACAGAAGTCACACGCCGCATCATCATTTCTACCTCGCAGTTCCTCGAGAGCTTCACGGGCAACACAGTTATGATCTCAAACAATGAATCCTGGAGTGACAGCCCTCTTCTCGGGCCAACAACGGATACGCCGTACCTCGTTGAAATCCTTCAAAATGCGAGCATCAACGGTGCCACTCCGAGCTACGACCGTGCCATTGCCAGCGGAGGCTTTGACCCTGTCTCACACACATATCCCGCGCAAATCGGCGAGGTCATTGAACTTGTTTGGCAGAACGCTGCTTCGTACCCTGCGGGAATCTACGGTCCGCATCCCATGCATGCTCACGGTGGACCGTATTGGGACATGGGGTCCGGTCCAGGAGAATACTCGCCGGAAGCACACGCAGCACTCTTGGAATCTTCTTCTCCGGACAACGCCCCTTACCCTGGCTCACGGCGGGACACGACCATTTTGTACAAATACACGCTGCAATCCCCCGAGCCCGGAGAGGTGAATGGCTGGAGGGTATGGCGCATACGGGTCACGGAGAGGAACATAGGAGTGTGGATGATGCACTGCCACATCCTGCAACATATCGTCATGGGGCAGTCGACCGTGTGGGTATTCGGGACGCCGGAGGAGATCATCCAGAATTCGATGCCGGTAGAAGGTAATTTGGTGGGATATTTTACTTATGGCGGTGATGTCGTGGGCAAGGCGGGAGAAGAAGAAGAAGTGGGTAGTCGTGCTATGCAATTCTTCAGGGATGGACGAAAGATGAGATCGAGCAATGAAGGGAAGCTGCTGTAAGAATAGAAGGTGAGAGGCGATATTTCATTCTAATTAGGCTCTTTAGGGATGGTCCAAGGGTTTCGTAGTGGCCGTGTATCTCTCTCTCTCCCCCTCTTCTTTTGTCGACGGAAATAACGACCATTCAAAGAGATCCGCTGACACCCTTCCACCTCTTCGACGAACCGTTTACTGCTCATACGGAGTCCCTCTTTGAAGTGGAAGTGGTAAGTGTCTCTCCAACTCAACTGCCGAAGTCTGGGCGTGTTCCGCCAAGGGAGACAATGGAACATTTCTTGTCGAGAGACAAACAAAACAAGCAGCGTCCCGTCGCCTTCGTGTCCTCTTCACCTCTGGGCACGCTTCCACCCAATCGGCCGTCAGATCAACTGTTTCCCCCCCCAAGACAGAACTATTCCTCCTCTGGATTCATGCTCCGAGCTCAAAGCGGACAGCCTTGTCGGTGTTGCAAGATGTATACCACCATATCTTCCGGCTAGCTTGACCAGCTCCTATCAGACAGTATATGGAAGCACAAGGTCCATGACCGCAACCCTACGTGATGGACTCCAAGAGGGTATATCCCAGGATTGAAGGGTCGTCCATGCCTCGTGCCAGCATCACCCATCTCCCGTCAGATCGTCACTCCGCCACCACCGGCACACGACCCCGGACGGCCAAGAAACGATCGCTTCCAAGAAAGCTGTCCTCCTCCGCTTTCAATTCGCTTCAAAAGGCCCAGCATTCCCCCTGCCGCCCCAGACTCCAAGACTGACTTGTTTACTTGGCTCACTCCCGCCACCTTTGGAAAGACCCTGTCAACCACCGGGGAGTATTGCATTCGCCTTGACCCTGCGCAGTGTGTTCTGGACGCCCCGTGGTAGCGAAGCGGAGATTCATGACTCCCGGTGACGACACCCGATGTGTTCAGGGCACAGGACGTCCTCCCCACCGGATGGGACACCGTGCATGCATGCCGCATACCTGAGCATTGATGAGGGAATACCTCCTTGATGAGCCATCCGCAATTTATATGCGTATGTGGGGCAGCAGTTGTGAGGTCAAGAGTATCAGCGAACTCGTCGCTTAAATATACAGCTTTGACACCTCTGGCCGCCAGAACTGAGCCCAGTTTCTTCTTATTCCTGCCTCTCTTGATACCGTAAGTTAGCATCTAACGACCACACTTCACCTCAAAAATGACAGGAGTTGCTGGAGGGACTTTGAAAGCTTCGGAGTTCGACCACGTCGAGCTCGATCCCACAAAGAGCGAGTCATCGACCGAGGACATCGACTGGACCGAGCAAGAAGAGACAGCCATCAGGCGGAAGATCGACCGCCGAATTGTGCCCCTGGTCACCCTGTTGTACCTCTTCTGTTTCCTAGACCGTGCCAACATTGGAAATGCCCGGATTCAGGGAATGGCCAAGGATCTCGACCTCGTGGGGTACCGCTTCAATTGGGCGCTGAGCGTCTTCTACATCGTTTATCTCCTGGTGGAGGTTCCGAGCAACATCCTCCTGAAGCACGTTGGACCTCGATACTACATCCCGGGACTTGTCTTTGGCTTCGGGCTAGTGTCGCTCTGCACCGCCTTTGTCAAGAACTTTAACCAGCTGTGCGTCGCGCGTGCTTTTCTGGGCGTCTTTGAAGGCGGCACCATGCCTGGTATCTCGTTCTTCCTGAGCACCTTCTACAAGCGGCGAGAGCTGTATTTCCGGATCGGCATATTCATATCCGCAGCTTCCATCGCTGGGGCCTTTGGAGGCTTGTTCGCCACGGCACTGTCGCAAGTACCGCCACTCGCAGACAATGAATCAGACGGCTAACGCATCTCAGTCGTATCCCTCGTTGGGGAGTAGAGTCTACTCCGATCCATTCGTGAGTGCTACTGCCAAAAGAGCATGTTTGCCCAAAACCCTGACAAATGTTTTCCAGCTGGAGGAATATCTTCTTTTTCGAGGGCTTGGTGTGTTGGGTCATGTCTCCTGCTTCTAACCGGACTGACCAGTTCCAGATCACCGTCATCGTGGCAGCGGCTGCTCCGGTGTTAATGCCATCAAATCCACGGACTTGTCGGTTTCTCAGTGAACGGGAACGTCACATTGCTCATGAACGGCTGATTCGCGAGCACCGCGCTGTGAGTACTGTGTGATGTGTTCGGGATGGAAATACTAACGGCAGTAGGATCCAATGGAGAAATTTCAGTGGCATCACATTCGAGCTGCCATCTTTAACATCAACAACAACCTGTGCGCGGCCGGCTTCTTCTTGATCAACATCACCGTCCAAGGCCTGTCCATTTTCATGCCCACGATCCTGGCGGATCTCGGCTGGACCGCGACCAAGGCACAACTGTTCTCGGTTCCGCCGTACGTTGCTGCATGTCTGGTGGCGATATTGATTGCATACATCAGCGACAAAACTCGCAGGCGTGGCATTTATCTTGCAGGGGCCACTTTCCTCCCAATCGTGGGGTTTTCTATCCTTCGATGGAGCACGAATTCCTCGATCCGATACATGGCTGTGTATTTTATCACCATCGGGGCATTTCCAGGAGGACCAGGGTTCCTCTCTTGGGGAATCAACAGTATGCTGAATGGTTTCATACTCCGTATGGATCACTTGCTAACGCTGGACAGATTCTGCTGGACCTGCAGTGCGTGCTGTCGCGACTGCCTGGATTGTCTCGATTGGGACTCTAGGAGGTGTCCTTGCCACGTGAGGAACCACAGACCCAGACCATTATTCCGAGCAAAGCAACGAAAAAGACTGACCTTGTGTATACAGATGGACCTACCTTGTGCGCGACGCGCCGCGATACCCCATCGGCCACACCATCAACCTATGTGCACAGATCCTTGTCCTTGCCGTGGCAAGCTTTGGAATTGGATACAACATGCGTGAGAATCGACAACGGGAACAAGGAAAGCGAACGCATCGACTGGACGGGTTGGACGAGGCTGAGAAGCGGGACCTCGGGCACAAGCACCCAGACTTTAGGTATATTCCGTAAGGTTCAGATGACAGGAGGCAGGGGAGATTTAACGTGGACATGGGAGTTGTCTGTGGTCTGCCAAACACAAGTAGAGAGAGAGGGAGTTGAAGCGTTGCTGGAAACATCGAGAAGTCGAGAAAGTGGCGTCGGACAAGAATATCCGAGTCCACGTGATAAAGCCTCCATCGACTGACCAATCAGCATCCTATTATCGCCCTGTGCGTCATTGAGCTGTGGCGGCGCCTCGGATGTATAATTGTATGGCGAAGCTCTTCATCGCCTGCGTCCTGTCCAGCATCCTTCTACCTGCACTTCCATCTCATCGACGACTTGATTCCTTGTCCACTTCTCTCTGAAGAGCGCATCCATCATGTCCTTCATCCTCAGGAGACCCTTTGCGGTCTCCTCCAACACCCTCAGACCACTCAGCAAACCCTCAGCGCTTGTCCGAGCGTTCCACTCCTCCTCTCCCAAATCGTCCAACACCTTCTTCAACCCTCGGCCGTTCGCCTCGACGACGTCGAATGCACAGTCGCTGTTGAAATCGTCCGCTCTACGGAATGGCTTCAAACGCGGCTACCAGACGCCCTCATACCAACCTGCCAATCCCACCGCGAGCGGGAACCTCACGCAACGGCTCCTCTACGGCGCCGCCCTGGTCGGCGGAACCATTGTCGCCACCAACCTCATGTTCAACCGCGAAACACGCGAGGACGGTGGCATGCCGCCCTTTGAGCGCGAATATTTGAACCAGACGTTTATGCACACTGGTTTAGGAGTTGGGATCATCGGTCTTGCGGCCCGGACGCTACATTCCAGCGGTTGGAGTTACAGACTTATGGCCACGAATCCGTGGTTGGTGGTCGGGCTGGGTCTCGCTGCCAGTATTGGCACCATGTACGGCACCTTGTACACACACCCTGATAAGTAAGTTTTCCACCCCTTCCCTCTGACGGGTCCAAGGACAAGTTGCTAACAAGATGAACAGCTACATTCAAAAATACGCCCTCTGGACAGCCTTCAATGTCACCCAGGCCGCGATCCTTTCCCCGCTAATGTTTCTGTCTCCCGCCATCCTCGCTCGCGCCGGCCTCTACACTGTTGGCATGATGGGTTCGATCGCTTTCATCGGAGCCACGGCCAAGCAAGAGAAGTATCTGTACCTGGGAGGGCCATTGCTGGCTGGTGTCGCCGTCGTCGCCATCTCCGGATTCGCGCCGTTGGTTCTCCCCGCCACGGCCGTTCGCACGCTGGCCTGGACCGAGAATATTTGGCTATACGGCGGTCTCGCGGTGTTTGGTGGGTTTACACTGTATGATGTGCAGAAGATTTTGCACCATGCCAGGATGAGCGAGCGGGGTCTAGTGAGGAAGGACGTGGTTAATGAGAGCATTTCGCTCGAGTTGGACTTTTTGAACATCTTTATCCGGATGGCACAGATCCTGAGCATGAGGCAGAATAGCAAGAGATGATTGTGAAATGGTTGCATGAGGCGGCGAGATCTTTTTTTTTTGGCCCAAGTAATTGCATCAACAAGTATTCCAGGGATTCAACGTCATCCGGCATCGGTGCTTGAGCGGAGGGAGGCGATGACTTGCAGAATGGCGCAGGCTCAACTCTGGGTTGCAGAACACTGAACTGATATATTCCATCACTCCTCACAGGACAAGGCCGGAGAGGACGAAGCAAAGAAAAAGAAGAAGAAAAGAAAAGTCATCGACAGAAATCAAAGATGCATTTCTCCTCTCAATCCCGTCTGCGCTCTCTGAGCCACAGGAGTACCTCCTTGCTGTTCCCTTTTCCCCGTCGATTACTCGGTCTTCTGCTCCAAGTAACCGGGTAGAGTGGTATACCTCGCAGTAAAGATGATATTGGACCACTCATTCATACATTTTCAGGATTTAGCGAGAGGTGGGAGAAAAGTAAGTAAGTAAGTAAGTAAATAGGTCATCGATCGTGGAAGAAACCATGGCGCTCCACCAGGCTCGATAGACATGAGGCTGAGCCAGAGACTCTCCTGTCCTGTCCCTCCATGCCATCCCAGCCTGCCCCGGGCAAACCAGTGTCCCAGGCAAACCAGTGTCCGGCTTCCATACAGCCTCCATCCACAAGCGTACACGCCAACCCGTATTCCAGCAACCTAGATCAAGGTAAGCTTTGGTGCGATTGTGGGCTTCCGACGAATGACGCCCAAGTTATAAATCGTAAAATATGCCATTGGTTATTTTACCTTCGTGTTTGGTGCATTCCCAAGTCGCTCTCATTTTGCATGGGGCACAGCCTAGTGGCCTCTCTCACCCTTCACTCACACCATGTAGATGTGGAAACTATATAACCAGCAAATATGCCCCAGCTCTCCTGCTTTCTCAACGAACTTCTCTCCCGGAAAGAAAAAGGTGAAAAAGTCATTAGAAAGCATTCATTCTCATCCTTGCTACGAGCCCCCCTGAGTCTATTTATTACCTTTGCCCATACATACACAATGCCTGCCCGCAACCCACACATGTCCTCCGAACTTCTGAGCAATATCATCTTTGGTGTGGTCATGTTCTTCATTGCCTTGTACGCTCTCTGGCAGGCCCACCGAGCGAATCGTCAGCGTCCAGGTAGCCAGCCACCCCTTGGGTCTCGTATTTGGTCTCATCCGCTCATGGTCGCCGATACAATACACAGAGCCTGGCATCGAACTCCGAAGGCAGCAGATCGACGCCTCAGGCCAGGTCTGATCATGTTTCCCTGCCTGTCATTGCATCGCTGCAGTGGTCGATACACCAATACCATGGGTCATGACTATCCATCCTCACGCCAGCAGCTGGGCGAAGCGGACACATGTTACATGGCATATGAACAGGCATGTTGGCGGGATGTCATGAGGCGGAGTTCCACCCTTTGAGAAATGACAACATGTTGGCGCCAAGGTGCTCAAGGACATAGCCACCCTCCAGAAGAATAAGAGCCGGAACTGTCGTCAGCGCCTGTCTTGTTGTCCTTGCAATAGTCTCATAGTCCTCGGTGTGAATCTGAAAATGACCCAGAGGGTCCGCATGAAAAGTGTCGAACCCCAGACTCACGATCAAGAACTCGGTCTTGAACTCTACCAGTTTCTTCAGGCCGTAGTCTAGCTTCTCCAGGTATTCTTCGATCGAACTGCCGACTTTGAGCGGGAGGTTGATGTTCATATCTTGTCCCTCGTCGATACCTGTCTCACCTTCTTCGCCAGTGTAGTATGGAAACTCGTCTTTGCCGTGGATGCTTACGTACAGGACCTTGCCATCGGCGTAGAATATCTCCTGTGTGCCGTTGCCGTGGTGGAAGTCGATGTCCAGGATTCCGATCTGCGCGTCGGACCGATGTGATCGCCACGCACTCACGGCCAAAGCAGCGTTGTTGATGTAACAGTAGCCACCTGCTCGTTGACCGTCGCAGTGGTGTCCGGGGGGGCGACATAGAGCGACGACGGTGTCAATGTCGTTGGGCGGGCCATTACCAAAGCCTGAAAGCATGTCTGTCCCCTCGCACGCGAGGTTCGCCGAAGCCACTATTGCTCGATAACTCTCCGACATGATGCCACTGCTCATGTCAAAGGCATAATACCCTGCTCTGGCGAAAGGGTCCTTAGGTGGACGTAGTGGCTTTCTCGTCGAAGTGGGGAACACAAAACACTCCGGCAGCACATGCCCATTCTTCTTGATCAGGCCGGCCGTTAGCCACTCCTCGTACACATCTCGGAGGTGTTGCAGATATTGGGACCCGTGGGTTTCCGAAGTGAGGTCCAGAAGTCGTGGCTTTGGGCCTTCCGATAGCGAGCTGAGTTGTCTCGTGCTAGTCCGATACTCAGAGTGGTGTAGGGCTTTGAGGATTGCTTCAAGACGTTCGGGTGATTCCAACGCAGGAATGAGGGTTGAGCCGAGCAACTCAACGGTTTCGTGAAGAAGCGTGTCAGGGTCCCACAGGATCACCAACATCTTGAACGATGTCAGTTGTCGGTTTTCTGCAGCAGAGCATGGCAAAGATCGAGATGGTTCCGTCGACAGTCCACGTGAGATGCGACCCCTTCACTGCCTCGAGCGCGAGATGTGAAGTCGTCCAGATAAGCTGAGTCTGAGATTTTAGGTTGTTGATTGTGCGGATGATAAATGGGCTTTTGCCGTCACTAACTCGCTTAGGCGAAACGACATCTGCCGAGGTCGCACACGTGACCTATCACAAGACATGTGCCCGGTCGTCTCAATAGTTTTGGGGGTACATATTCCCATATATCCCTCCTTGTGGGGGAAGGGACGATCGATTCTGTTGCGGCTCGATCGAAGGAATTGGCTGCATATCATTATCTACAAGCAGTCAGCACAACTCTTGACAGGCGGATCAAGGATCCGCGATGGAACACTTACTGCTGCTGATGAACTGCATCAGTCGCGTATTCTTCTGTCGAAGGTTCCTGCACGTGTCCTTCATGCTTTGGAGAGACCTCTGCTGTGATTTGGCAAAATTGTCAAGGATGACGGCCATGTTCGCCATGAAGGCGCGGCCTAGAAGAGGAGCAGGAGGTTAGCTTGAACGCAAGAAGAAAAAGCTCGCGGGCCGCACTTACTTGGTTGAACAAGATCGGCGACCAAGTCGCCGGCAGTGTTATTGTTGTTGTTGTGTGAAGATCTGTTTATAAACCGAGGGCCGCAGCTTGGACAGCTCGGGTGTACTCTTCGACCAGAGGCAACACATCATTTTGGAGGGGCCCGTCAGTGCCTAAGCCTGGTTCTGGAAACAAAACGTCCATGCCCACAGGAGGGGTCAATGCAGCGGCTTCAGTAGTAGGGAGCAACGGTGTTGAATCCACGTCCACCACAGCAAACTTGATCCCGGGATTGTTCTCAAAACCTGTCTGGTTTAATGTCTGGGGGCCAAGTGGTAGTGGTATAGTGGGGTCGAACATAGATTGCTCCGTCATAATGTCCTCCGGCAACATCCCCGGGGTCATTCCCATATCAGCACTTGTCATGACATACTGACTGAAGTCTGCCGACAGTGAGGACATCGAGGGATCGGTGATTGGGAAACCAAAGGAGGGATCGTTCGCATCTACCGAATAGCGCTGATTGCCGTTGGGAACGGCGCCTGTTTGGGAGACATGCGATGATGTCGGATCGTTCGGAAATACCGCATACTGAGTTTGAGCTGTGGCAGCGTTGAATTGCTGTGTCTCACCAGCTTGTGTCTGGCCCCACTGATTGTGACCGAGAGATAGAGGAAGGGATGAATTAACAGTGGTCCCGTATGCGCCGGGGTCGTGCTCCGGAAAGATCTGTGGTTGAAATGATGGCAACGGGCTGCTACCGGCTTGCGTTGGAGGCAGATGGAACCCGTCATTGCTGGAACTCCGTCGCATTTCCGAGTCGAGTTGGTTGAAGTCAAATGGAGATTCCATCGAAGCATTGGCGGAGGGATCGGAAAACTCTTGTTTGAACTGTGGGCGTGGCGTGTCGGTGAAGGACGCAGACCGTGACCTTGATCTCGAACGACTGAGTTCTCGACGGGCGAAGCGACGCAGGTTACGGTCTTCATGAGGTTGAAGATTGCCGTGCTCGTCCACATGAGAACGGGGTCTTCGCCCGGGACGACTCACGTCCAAGACTGTTTTGCCGGTTTGCGCAATCTGGTGCAGTCGTTCCTCTCGATTCGTGTACTTTGAAAACCCCCACTGCTTGATTTTGCGCTCCCATTGGCGGGGCGTGGCGCTGAAATTGAAGTGTTCTTTCATGTACTCGGCGGCTTCTTTGCGTGTCATGCCGTGGTCAATGTAACAAATGCGGAAATTTTCCCTTTGTGATTCCCAATCTTTGTCGTCATGGTGGGTGTCTAGAGCTTGGGAATCGTCGTCAGAGGCCATGGTTGCGACGTAAGAGAGAACACAGTCGGGGATGTGTCGACGCTGATAAGACCGCTGTTCAGCCTGATTGCGCGGCGGCTGCCACCTGAGGGCTTTCGTCCGCAAGACCTGACAATCACAGCAGAGATGGCTTCAAAACATAAGATGTTTGTGCGACTGAAGGCGAGAAGAGTGTCCTAGATATCTTGCGCGACATAGCGACCACCGTTCTTTCGATGTCCAACGGAAGAAAAGCGCCGGTAGCCAGAGCTAGTGAGGCCAAGGGCTTAGGGCATTGTCTCGGATGCACCGTCGAGCGCCCGCTGGCCGTCACTGCTTGTTGCTTTTGGCCCCCGACTAAGGGACGCCTTGCGGCTGAAATGTTTGGTGTTTGGTTCGAATGCGCCGGCACGATCCAGGCCTCGAATGGCGCCTGACCAACCAAACCATGGGGCGGTAGTGGGTGGTAGACACCAGCCGGACACCTAGCGGACACTGCTGACCTCACCCAGATAGGGAGGGACTCGGGGACTCGTGGAGGGGGGTGCGGATTCAGCCTGCGGTGGGGAGGATGTGGATGGTTGTTGTGGCTAGTGAGGCCAGTGCTGGTGGCTGTTGAGTCTCGGATCTTGGGGGAGGGGGGGTTGTGTTTCTCCGTACGTTGCTGCGGCAATTGCTACGGTGAGGTATTGAGCTTTTGTTGACCCTGCTCTCGACCAAACCCGCGCCCATATCCTCACCCCTCCCATTGTCCCTCTAACCAACCTCTGTTCAATGAGATGCCCGATGGATTCGCCGAGTCACACTCCAGCTCTTGCCATGACGTCCGAGCGCCGACCAGAGCGTTTGCAGTCTTCGGTTGGCCTTGTCATTTCTGCATATATCCTCTAAAATTTCGGCCTGGTCTGTTCTGCCCAATTCCGCATGGCCCCCTCCTCGATGAACTGCCATCAATCTTTGGGCATCTGCCTGTTATGAAGAGAACGGAAACCATCTAAGACAGGGTGCGTGATTTATTCAAGGTGATTTGGCCCTGTATGATTGTCTCTATATAATGTCTCGCGAGCTCCGACACTATGTCTCTCCAGAGGCTTGAACCGCGCAATGCCTTTTGCAGGGACACGGCTTTTGCCGACGAGATTGTACTTGACATTGATGGCCAGCCTCAAGGGCATTGGCTGGCTCCTCACTGCCACTTGGACATATGCTCTGTCCTTGACCTGGCAAATCGGCGATAATATCTTCAAGTGGATGCGAAATTCCAACCCACGCTGTAAGTACACCATAGGGTTCTTGAAGGATGAAGAGGAGGAGGCTGTGGGAACTGACAGCAATAGTGACCGAGCAACACGGAACTGAGCATGAACTGCCCGTCCTTGAAGGCGAATGCTCTCCGTCTGTATCGCCGGGGTCGAGCATGGCCGTCATCAATCTCTCCGAAGGACGCCCCCCGTACACTCCGCTTCCTGAACCACCACCACTCCCAATCGGCCCGGACGAACAAGACCTCCAAGGGATAGGAATTTGGTGGCACTCCTCACAGGGATATTAGGGCAAAACTGTGGAAACGACAGCATTGTCAAAGATACCTTGTAAGACTCGGAGGACCGGTGTGCGTTGTGAGCTGGTCGGTGGAGTCAAGAGGGAACCTGCATCCCCGGGTAAGGATGCTTGGGACATCGTATCTAGCCAAAAGTTGTGTCTAAAATGCAAACAATGCCATCCAAATCTTGAACGTACAGCAACATGGACAAAGAGCAATGGTCCCAATTGAATCGCTCACGTGGGACCGTGAATGGGTCGCGTCTCGACCCGCCAATCCAGCTCGCAGGGTCCGTTGCGCCCCTCCCGATCAATGAGCCTCACTTTGTTTTGGCGCAGACAGCCATTTCCCACTTGCTCCAACCTCAACAACACTAGGCCTTGCATCTTCATCCGCCATCCCTTCCTTGTATTCCTGATTTGTTCTCTCAGTGACGTCCTGGAACCGCGTTGGCTGTCACAAATCTATGCCAATGGGCTATCAAGCGCCTGCCCACCATGTCCGGCGCTGTCGTAATTCTTTCGTCCTCTCCTCCACGAACATTCGCCCGTTCTCCCACCCCTGCTGACACTATACCTCCATTTTGGTCGTCACGAACCTTGTCGACAACTACAGCCACCATCTCGGGACAACTCAAAGACTCCAGACAGGTTAGAGATGGATTTTCAGGTGGCTTTGGCAGCGCACGTGCCTTGCTCACCACAAAGGTTGGCGCAGAGAATATCCCTCTGCTGTCTCCAAGAAAAGATGGATTTAAGACGCAAGTCTTAAAGGGATCTGAAGGACATGACGGAAACCCACTGAGGAAACTGATGCTCAGAGAAAAGGAAGTGAAAGCAACGGAGGAGCGATCTAAACACGGCGAATTGCTTCTCCCAAGCGCAAATTTACGGCCCAAGGATTCTCAGGTGATCGAACCACAAGGTCTGAAAACTTCAGAGACAGAACCCAAAGACCAATACGATCCCGGGATCAGCAGAGATTCGAGCCCTCTCTTCCTCGAGAAGGCCATACCGAGGCGCTTGGATTGGACACCTGTCAAACCGAACGCACATGTCTTGGAGGCTCGGAACTCTGAAGATCGAGACTTGGGATTTACCAACGATCTAATGGCGTTCTTCGCCTTTGACCCCCCTGCCATAACAAGTATTGAGACAACTGCGCCAGGTGGCACAAACGAAGCCCCGCTGCATAGAAGAAGAATTGACCTTGTCATGACGACCGAGGCTGACCCTTTACCCTCCTCTTCTAAAACAAAACCTGGCAGAAAATCAATGAAAGGTGGAAATAACGGAAAGGCAAAACCCGCAGCCAAAAAGGCTCTCACAATCACCGGATTGGCAACTTCGAACTATGCTGGTAGCCGACAGAAAGAAACAAAGCTACCACCGATGCTGGAATATCTTACCGCAACACAGGTCGGTGCAGGTACTGAACCAGACTCGGCGCTTGACAAGGTCTCGAAAGCCAATCCTTCCAGCAAGAAAGCACGGCCAAACAAGAAAGCTCCTGCCAAGAGTAGATTGAAATCCCCTATATCCGCAATGAAAACCGCTCTGGAGCAACAGCTTCTCTTCGGCCCAGCAAGTCAATTAGCTCGCGATGAATCGCCTACACTGACGCGGGATACCTTGGAAGCACTGAAATGCTCTGACTGCTTTTCTTCTGATCCTATTTCTCCACCTTTAACACAGCCCGTCTCGATCGATTCCATCTCACCCAAAACCAGTCGTGGTACGAGTCGGTACGTCAGAAGAAAGAACTTGTGGGGTGCTGCTAGCCGAGACGAAGACAATGCTTTGCTGCACGTCGACACGGTTGACCTGACCGATTCGCCCGCCGTGCGTCTCGCTCTTGCCGGAAAAGACGTCCTTTTACAGCCCATCGGTCATAAATATCAAGACATCGATACTCTGAATGATGGCTCACCCGGACCTCTTCGAGGGCCGTTCCCCAGTACTAAAGACCCGGCATTGCTGCTCGACGTCGATGAGATCGTTACACGTCAACTTCCGAAATCCATCAAGCCACCTACACAAGCACAAGCCAGGCTATATCACACATCTCGGACGCTTAAACAGCCGCAGAAAGGAGCAGGTGTCCATCACCAAGCCGATGAGCTACATTCGGGAGTAAAAAACATTGCGCCGGATTCGAAGCCCACTATGCCGTCTTATGTGGGCTTCTCCGACCATGAACTCAAGAAGCAGATATCTGCATATGGCTTTAAGGCTATTAAGAAGCGCGAGGCAATGATCGAGCTTCTCGAGCGATGTTGGGAGAGCAAACACGGTTCGCAACCCAGACATGAGGATGAAAATGCCTCGAACGATGTGATGACACACGCCGATTTACTGAGTAAAATCCATGATGTCTCCGCGAGACCAGCTCCGAAACCCAAGAAACCTAGTGCCAAACGAAAATCCGAATCCGGAGACACGACCAGTACAAAGGAGCCGAAGAAGAGGAAAAAGACAGGGACTAAATCGGATGACTCGGGACAAAAAGTAGGGAAAGGCTCTCGAAAGCGGACGTCAATGGCGCTGTCGAATGAGAAAATTGTAGATATTGATGATCTGGGAGGTCCTGCTAATCGATTTCTTGAAAAAGGCTGCAGCTTGGAAATCCCAACGGTGCAAAATGACGCGAAGTCTCTCAGGCCACAGTCTGCACATGCTGTCCAGCGACTCATTACACCCCCATCAACAGTGCCTCAACTGAGTTGCACACCCTCGCAAGCAGGTGAATCTTCTCGTGCCCAGAGTACGAGCCTGACCTCGAGACTGGACAGTCCTGCAGGTGGAGTTACAAGCTTCACGCCTCAGCAGACTCCCATGCCAGACATCCTATCGCAGATCCATGCGGCTATCTACCACCTTTCAGACACCAAGTCTGTGATCAGGGAGCCCCGAAACCATCAAACATCGCCAACCTGGCACGAAAAAATCCTCATGTACGATCCGATCGTGCTGGAGGAGCTGACGGTGTGGTTGAATACGGAAGGCTTCAAAACGATAGGCGAAGATCGCGAAGTAAGCCCGGTGGAAGTCAGAATGTGGTGTGAACAGAACGGCGTGTGCTGCTATGGAGTAGGAGGGGGATGGAGAGGCCGGGGTCGGCGACAGGAGGCTGAATGAAGCATTCTGCATGGAACAGGAGGACTCTTTATGGGTGTAAAAATGAGGTTGGCCCGGGAGTGTCTGATAACGATGTCATGAATCGCGAAAGAGTCGCTCACTGTATTCTACACACCCCTGTAGCAAACCCATTCACGAAAGTAAATGCAAACTTGGGATGAGGTGACCACAGGTAATGTACGGAGTACATACAGTAGGTACATGTGACACCTCTGGGAGCACCCATAGCACCTACATGGAATACTGGACAGTTGATCAGCTAATAATTGAACAGTGGAGATGCTTCCCCGCGCAACTCCCTACAAATTATTATTATTGAGCTTGTTCGGCGGGCGGATCCTGCCACTGATACTATGGACAAGGCCTAGACCATCGTCGGGCTGTCGCAATGCGGCTCCTTCACATGGGTCAACCACCTGCGCTTGTTTTTCATCAGAGAAACCCTTCTCATACTCTCGTCCATTTCAACGGTCATTTTCCAGCACTTGAGTTGTCGGTGGGGAAGCGTGTCACAGTGCTTTCATTGCAGTGGCCAGAATATGTGCTTGAGCTCGGCTGCGTTGCTCTCTCTGCCCCCTGCTGGAATGACCAGGCATCTTGCCGGTTGACTCTGTTCACTTAAAATGTCATGGTCCGGGGTCACGAGTGCGAATCCCTTCTCTTGAAAGTATGAGCTTGAGTGGTGTCCACCCTGGCCAGTCTGCGTCCCCCAGTGCCCCGACCAGCTTTCTCCCACCGCCTCGCCAAATCCGCTTCGTCTCGACCGATGGCCAGCCGCACACAAAGAGGAGGCGGATAAATGCTGCTTGTCTAACTTGTCGCAAGAGGAAGACGCGTTGTTCCGGCGAGCGGCCAGAGTGTAAAACCTGCACGGACAACAACCATGTCTGTTCAGGCTATGCCGATCGTCCAATTCGCAAAGATGGCGAGAGACCCGATGAGGACGTTGAAGAGGATGCGGAATCTGGGTCTCCAACTCCTCAAAAGCAAAGCAGAGATGCCGAAGTCGCGATGAAACTGCGAGCTGGGCCAGAGAAAGAAACAGAGCACAAGTCTAGGGAAGATGTGGGAGAGATGATCAGTCCTTCAAGCAATCATACTGGGAGCAGCGTGACCTCTTCTCGGAATCGAGTTCCCTACTTTCGGTACTTTGGGCCGACGGCGATTGTCCCTGGGTTCAAGCAGATGGTGGTGCAAGTTAAGGACCACCGGTCCGGCTTGCCTTCGGCCTCGGGAGAGTCTCCAGCTGCGGGACAGCAGCTGGATGGGAACTTTGCTGTTGACAAGGATCGAGTGCCCATCGAGATACCCTTTTACGATGCGACAGACCCGGACCAAAATGATCCTCTGATCACTCATCTTTGCGAGACCTTCTTTGCCCATCTTGGCTGCAACTACCCTTTTCTCCAACGCGACAGGTTTCTTCGAGATCTGGAAGAGAAGAAAGTGGATGCAATCCTGGTCGATGCGGTCTGCGCTGTTGCGGCTCGGTTCTCAGGAAACTTGCTCCTTTGCAGGTCCATTGACCCTTCTATCCCATTGGACGCCGAAGGAAATGTCAGGAGAGCTTTCCGGGGGCAACCATTCGCTCAGCGAGCCATGTCAGCAGTAATAGACACGTTTTCGTGCCCAACCATGGCTGTTGCCCAAGCCTGTCTCCTCCTCGCTTACGAGGAATTTGGTGTAGATCACGACAGCGGCTTGTGGATGTACCTTGGCACGGCCATACGCATGGCGCAGGACCTGGGGATTCAGAAGCTCGAGGGCTTACAACTCGAAGGGCGAATAGGACCAACTCCTAAGACCGCTAAACATGGTCAAGACGGTAAGGCCGAAGAGCAGAGGCGAGCCGAACAGCAACAAAAGCTGTTCCGCCATCTCTCTGAACAGGGCAATTCACAACTGGACGACCGAAGGGCCAGTGAGCAGGAACGAATCGATACCTTCTGGGCCATCTTCTTTCTGGACAGAGCAGTCTCATCGGGCGTTGGTCGTCCTGTCACTCTGCGAGACAAGGACATCGAAATCTCCTTCCCGTATCGGGCGGATCAGCAGATGATCAATGGATACCCTGATCCGTTTCCTGCCATGATCAAGATTGTTCACATGTACGGGCGAGTGGCGGATGTGCTCAACAACATCAAGGAAGTCAGCCAAGTAACGCCAGACGTGTTGAAGCGGTTGGCGAGCATGGAGAGAGATTTGACAGGTAAGAAAATTCATTCGATCGTCGAGCCGTGTAGGCTGATCCCGGCAGGCATATATCAACGCTTGTCACCTAGACTGCATTTCAATGCCACCAATTTCCAGCATTATGTCAAAGCCGGCCATGGCACAAACTTCATTTTACTACATTTCTGGTTTCACACCTTGATTGTCCTGCTCCACCAGCCGACTTTGCTGCACTCATTCGAGGGACGAATCCAACAGCTCTTCCCTGACAGCCGAGAACTGTCCATGTCGTCGGCCAAGACGATTGCGGATATCCTGGCGTTTGCTGAGCTGATAGATGTCAAGAGCTTCATTGGCAACCCCTTCACAAGTCAGCCCATGTATGTTGCGGCGTGTGCCTTTTTGGCAGAAGCTGCCGCTCACACCTCTCAGCCGTCGTCTCGAGCGACATCTCCACCATCAAATGGACACACGCCTCGACCAAAACAAGATGTGATTGCGGAAAAGACGCAAAGGGCAGCCTCCGCACGCCACACTCTTCTCGCTACTGCCGCGAATCAAAACTATCAGCGTTGTTACAAAGCCCTCAAGACTTTAGATTCCTATTGGGCTGGTTGTCGCTACATCTTGACTGCTCTAGACCAAAAGTCGAAAGGCTTGATGGATCCCTTACTGTTCACCGCAGACGATGTCGATGGAGAGATGCCCTCAACAGAACCTTCTTTTACTACTCCCGGCTGGCGACGAAGCACCTCGCTCACTGCTTCACTAGGAGCATACGGCAGATTGCGCTCGCTCAAGGCATTGTCTGGAAGTGGGTCAATATCTCCATCAATGGATCTCAGTAACGCTATTGGGTGGTCCTTGACGGGGACAGCCAACTCTCTAGCCCCCAACCTTAGCTTTCTGTATCCGACGGGTGGCGAAAGCGCAAAACCACCACAGACGGCTCCCTGGGTGAAGGAGCAAGATGAGATCACCCAAAGCCCGGCAGCGTCGAGGAATTTTCCAGCGCAGTGGCAAAACCAGAGGTTGTCCTCTATCCAGGCGAACCAGACCATGACTGATACATTGAGACAAGTCTATCATGGCGAGAACTCGAATTCTGCCGATAGAGTGTCATCGGTACCTTACGATCCCGTATCAACAGCTGATGCAGACCTGTTGCTTGGGCTTCATTCTCCGTATGCTGTTAGCTCAGCTACGCCGTCCAGTGTTCCTCCTAGACCCGCACAGCTCAATCAAAATTCGAACGCGTTTGGATATCCACAGCAAGGCCCACGCTACAACGGTTCTTTAAGTCCTCAGCAACCAACTTCCGACGTGCAAAATCAAGCCTACAGCGACATGCTGATTCAATCACAAGATATCGACATGAGCGCAGGGCAGCAGTTCAACTTTGATTTTCCCGGCAGCGACATGATACCCTGGTTGGAATATCTTCCGCAGGATGTATTGAACTACTTTACAGAATCACAGACGGAGATATGATGATACTCCATGATTCTTCTCACCCAGAGTAGGTAGACTGCGTTTTCTTAAATGGCGTGTTGTCCCCAATCGCAGTGTATGTACATGAATGGCACTACCAAAAATGCTCTACATGAAAGAGAGATGTGCAAGGGGTATCGGTTACGAGGCTGGTGGACACCTGACACGGTAAACTGATACCTGGCTGTCTTTATGAAAAAGCCGAACATACTGATTGTGAGTAGCACCGGTATGTTTGACCTTGGCGTCATGACGACTCTTCTCTTGAGACCAGCTAATCGGCTGAGGCAGTGAGAGGTTGGAACAAGATCAGGCTTCTGGGAGAATGAGATAGACTCCGCCAGTTGGTGTTCGAAATGGTTGCGAGACTTACGCCAGTGACAACCAGTGTGGAAAGTGCATGACGATGGCCCTCGGGACTGAAGGACAGGCTACTCATAGCCAATGCAGGACAATCGTGAGACGCCTGTTGTTTGCATTACAATTTCGAAAGCAAACTGCGAGGATATCCTACAACGACGCAGCCAATTACGCCGCTTTGTACCCATTCCCAAAGAAGCTAGACCTTTTCCTTCTCACGAAAGCGCCAAGGGCTCCAAAGGATGAGTAAGTCGCGCTGCTTTTACAGCAACGTCTCTTCTATCCCCATTACTCTCATAGACGAGCACGCAGCGCTCTTGAAATGAAGGCGGTCTGAAAACCACCTGATCCTCTCGTCACTGCCGATGACTGTCGATTCTGCCATCTACGGTTTTTGCCGTTTCCACAATGTCGGCCTCCCTCAACGGCAAGCGACGCGCTGTCATCCTTCAACCAGCCCTCTGACCCGGAATGTCGGGCAGAATTCCCCAGGGAGTGGTCTGCATTGTGCTGGGTCACATGCGACCCCAAATAATACGAGTTGATCACGGGCGAGTGTTCAAACAAGCTACTTCCAAACCAGCCTAAAAATTGTTGGCAGCTCCCACGCCCACAGCCCCCTATGACCCGCCCAGCTCGCTCTCATCCCACGCACGAAAGTACTCCGCTTGCCTGATCATCCTCTCTTTTCACTACGTTGAGCAGGACCGTGCAGAGGCAGTCTTCCATTCAACCCACGGCTCTGGCCAGACAACGTGAAGGCAGGGATCCGGCCGTGGAGTTGTTATCTTCTTGACCGCTCCTCCGCCACTCAATTTGCCATGAAGTCGTTGACTGCGTCTCGTGTCGCTGGCTCCAGACAGACAGACAGGCAGACAGACAGGCAGGCCACTCTGAAGCAGTCGAGACTTTGGCCCCATGCAGCATGTCCATTTGCTCAATCACGCGGAACTCGCCAGGCGGCAGGACGGCGGGACCCTTTCACCCTTTCACACTTTCACACCATGAGAGTACGTAATCGATAAGCAGAGGGCACCAATCAGACACCCAAAGATACTTTTCCTGCGCTCAGGCATCTTCTGTGTTACTTTCCTTTTTGCGTGGGATCGAGGTGGTCTACGGTGGGAATCTCCTTTCTGTCGAAACTGACCAAGAAATATGGTCAACGGAAAGGTATAAAGAGCAGCTCTCTTTTTCCCTGGCCCAGCATTCTTGATCTTTCTTCAACACACCATCCAAAGACATCTCGAACGAAAGACAACAACAATTCCAAAACACCACCTCCAAATCACAACAAGTCCAAGACTTCCAAACCATCCCTCACAATGGAACCACACTGCAGCACCTGCCAACACGGCTCCGGCGAATGCAAGGGTTGCACATGCTGCTCCGTATGTCTCTTCCTTCCTTTCTTTTTTTCTTTCTCATACTGCACTCTTCCGCATCACACCACTTACGGGTTGCTGACGTTTCTTTGAAGCATTAAATCCAATACTCGCACGGCTCTTGATCTCGTTGGGGGGAAAGTCGGGTCGCTGCCAATGTCAAGGTTATCATCTCTTGGAGCAAGTGGGCAGAAGAGATCAGCAGCATAGGAAAGGGTCGTGGGATGTCGTCAGCTCCCGGTATGGAAATAGTAGCCCCTAGATAGCAGTCGTCAGAAATACATCCACTGTCTAGGGCCTCAAGATTGCATCCCACGTACCTCGAGACAAGAATCCTTGAGTGATGACGGAGATTTCCTTGTAGTCATGAATTCCGAAAGACAGCTTCCTGGTCTTCATCGGCTTGATGCCTGCTCTGTCCTTACCTCCTTATCGATGAATCTCCTGTTCACCTGCTTGGCTGTTCCCACTTGTTTCCTTCATGCACTTCCGGCAAGCAAACCTATTGCCCGTCCCATCCTCTTGCCCGGCATCTCATGCCGTCCAGTGGAGTGCTCCTTGATATGCTTTCCCCTCTCGGCCACTCCTGGTATCGTGCTGCAGGCAGAAGACCTTCTTTCACACCCCACTACACACCCACCCCACGTTCTTCGGGAGACACCGCTTTTTGAAAGAGTCCTTGCAGTTTGAGGCTGGGATAGGACCAAGTGTTGCACCAATGGCACAGTCCATGCGGTCGACACACATGAGACTTGCATGCTCTTGGTCTGAAATCTCTTGTGCTACCCTTCGGCTAGGTCGCAACGTGTGATGGCTCAAGCCTCACACAGCATGCATGACCAGTTGCCAGGTGCCACGGCACGGAGCTCCCGAGAGGAGGTGAGTGAAGCGGGAAGGTTGGTTGTTTGGTAGGCATGTCTTCCGACTACCACAGCTATGCAAGCTTTCGAACTCTTCTCCTTCTCTTTGGATATCGCTCTCTAGGAGAGCCGACGAGCGGGTTCAGGACGCTCGTGAAGGTGAGGATGACTGAGATGTTTTCCAATCTTCGGATACCAGAAGTGGTGAAGGGTGGTTCCTCGATGTGTCACAGACTATGTCTGGAGCGACACTTGTCCTCAACACAGGGCCGCTTTTGCCTGCGGACATCCTTCCACGTGTCCGGCCTGCCATAGCAGGTAGAGGGTTGTGCGTTCGTATATGTCGCCGTCCCCCACGTTGGCCACCCCAGCTGATGAGGTCGACATCCTCTTCAGATTGTCTTTGGACTGTCCTTCTTACCTCGTCGTACGCGCATAGGGACAACAGGAACAATAGCATGCGGGTGTTGGCTCTTTCAAGAGGGGCTGCTTCTTCGTTTTGAGTCGGGAAGAGAAATCGGGCGCTGGAGGAGTAATGGGGTCACCGGCACGAAGTACACGGGAGGGATGGGGACCTGGTAAAGTCATGCTCTCTCACATTTCCATGCGGTTCAAAAAGGCTCGTTGACACTGCCATCCTCACAGATATATCAGATGCTTTGACTCCGAGGTCAAAGACAAAGACATTGTGGCAAGTCTCGCTATGGGGTCTCTCACCCAAGACATGGGGAAAGGTTCGAAATATAAAAAAGAGAGAGGGAGATGGGAGAACAAAAACAAAAACCAAGACACCACCCAGGAGCAGGATACCTTGTATATATGGCACCAAGTGAGAGGAGCGCGACTGGTGCCAGTATTCCTGAGAAGGGGAACGGCAGGCGTATCAAAAAGTGAGGACCTTAAGGTCGCCCCGGCGCTGACCAGCCAGCAATCGACTGTCCGTCCTGCATTACGCCTTTACTGCCTGGTGATGGTCCACAATGATGTGCCATTTTCGATCTAGGATGTGATTCTGTGCAAAAAAGCAGAAAATGAATATGTCACTGATGTTTGTGTAGATACGTGAGCTGCACGGACGGCGGATCGATTTCGCAGGAACATGATATGCTCTGGCGTTCGCTAAAGCCGACTACTGACCTAGCCACCTTGCTGAAATGCTCATAGAATACAGCACAGAGTTTATTCTCCTACGACGAACACAATAGAAACGTGTGTGAGAGACCAAGAATTCATTCTAGTTGAGAACACATCGCCGTCAATCAAGTGTTTGGGCCCGTTGAGTCTCTTGGAGTTTCTCGTCGACTTCCCGACCATCGCAAATAATACACAGGTGATCTCGGCTAAGCAAGATTCTTTTTCTTCCTTGCTATCGTTGCACACTTGATATGTAGCTGGTCAATATCACATCCACTGCAGTAGCTTCGACTGAACCGGCTGCTCTTTCTGAGGGACCTGCAACGCCACCTACCTACCTAACTCCCTGCCTGCGTACCTGGCTCTCACGGTTACGGAGTACTCGGTAACTTTCTTTCCTATCCTGCAGTGTCCATGGCGGACATGCTCTCGCCGTGTCGTCGTGCAGATGTTCAAAGTGAGGACCTTAAAGACCAATCAGCGCGTGTCGCGGACTCGAAGGATGGGGAGGGAAGTGGAGACTCATTGACCAATACGGGATTCATTAAAGCAGCAACAGACGCAATCTGGTGTGTAGTCGAGGAGAGTGGGGTGCCGAGATAGCCTATGAGTGGACAATGCAAAGGCAGCGACAGGTCCCCTTGAAGGTGTACTTTATGGACCAATCACGACGAGAGGACTAAACGTACCACGATTACTAAAAGCAGAGCTCACTTGGATGGGGAGTAGGTAAGCAACAGCATCCTCGTTATATAATGATCCTCATAACAATAGTACAAGGATCAGATGTCGTCGGAGGCACTCGGGTGAGATCGTGGGGTAGATTCCCCGAGACACTTACTCGACCTGGTAATATATAGTTCTCACCCTCCCCAGCAGGTTGGGCGCCCCGTCGCCCCTGAGCTCAGACAGCCTTGCGGAGGAGGGGACAGATAAGTAAGCAGGTAAGCATGTAAGCATGGAGTCCGGAACAAAAGTACCTACGGTATTTTAGACATGCGCGGCCCAGGAATTGAGGCTCAAAAAGTGAGTGTACCGTGTACTCTGTGCGCCCAACGGAGATCATCATCTTCCGTACACAATGAAAGGATAGATTTACACCTGTGACTTGTAAGCAAGAAGGAAGAGCTGGAAGCTTAAGGAGAGTCTGCAGGTATTCTTCGCGTGTAAACGTCTTCAGGTCTTATTCCAGATCAAAAACATGACTCTGTGCGCTCGTGCATTGTATTTTGGTCAATCCACAAACTGGCCCACTGTACATGATCCATCGACGCCTTCAAGTCCCTGGGTGCCGCATTCGGAGGCTCTGTGGTAGAACAGGGCCCCAGGAGAGGAGAAAGGAGACCTGTCATCAGGGCTGTCGGCATTCATCTTCTCAGGGCAGCGGCGACGAAACCTATTTGCTGTCTTACCGAAGTAATAGAAGTGCCACCTCTCATCTCTATCTCCACGTCACCCGACCTTTGAGAGATTCCATCCTTATCTGTACTGTGCTTGAAAATCTTGACCGAAGGACTTTGCGAAAACTTGTCTCTGCGACGGAGCGAGATCCATGCTTCTCCTCCGTCCTTGTAGACCCTAGATAGTCACTCACTTGTTTCTTTGCTCCCTCTTTTGGGGATCCTCCTATTCTGCGCTGATATGCCACCACCACTCCTGTGAAACTCATTCTGCATTGCGCGATCGACGGGAGAATAATCCTTGGGATTCTCATGCTGCGAGGTCCACACGCAGTGGCTGCTGTCTGGGGACCATTTCCTTGACATATCTTGCCCGACCCTGGCTGTGTGTGCAAGATGTCCATCCTCATCTCTGTGAACCATTTCCGCCCCGTGTAGTCCCAAAGCAGCATCCGGGCGCGCGATGGCTTCCACCACAGTCTATCAGCAGCGACCGTTTCGCCCAATCAGAATATGGCCTGGCGAATCAGAAGCCGATCTTGCCATGTTGCGAATATTGCCACCCAAGCTAGCCTCCTCTGTCGCCTACAGCAGCGTCAGCTGCCTTCTCTTTTCACAAAATCGACATACATTATTCGTCGCCGCTATAACTATGAACGGCCAAGACCCAATGTCGCGATGGAGTGGCAATGCTCTCCGCCGTATCAGCCGACGTTCTCGAATATGAGTTGCGCAAACCCCCAGGATAAGAGAAGCGAGGACAAGCCGAGGATATTCGCTTTTTGTCGAGCTGACAATCTTTAGGCATTCGTGGTTGTAACTAGGCGAGAATATACGCACATGGGTGTCGTCACCTAATTGTCTCTAATCCCAACGTGTTGAGAAATTGCGGGAAGGAGGCTCGCGATCCAAAGGCCTTGTTCGTTTCTTCTCTCTTGTTGAGCTCAGTTTGCTTGGGGAGGTAGCGGTGATATAGTCTTCCATAAGCATCCAACCAGTTTCGACATGCTTCATGTATATATGTGCGTGTATGTGTGTGTCAGCAAAGGCAGACCCTTCACCGATGACCAGTTCCTTGTTCGTCAGCCAATCTATCCAGGAGGGAAATAATCTTCACATTGACATGGTCCGTCTCTTGTTCTTGGTCTGTCCGTTCGATGGGAGGATGTCCGGTTGGTAGGAAGCACAGGAGAAATGTAAGGAGCCGCCATGTGAAGGAGGCTTTATGGCCTGAGGACGAACAGCTGCTGAAGGTCAAAAGACCTGTCTGCTAAATGGATATGGGAATGGGAGTCCTGGATACATTTTGGACCCAGCCTCCAAGCGAAAAACACGGTATCCTCCGAAGCATACTAGTGCAAAGGATATATGCAGGCCGACGGGAAATTGGCGAAGAGAGAAAGTTCGTCCGGGCTTGCGGTTGCTGAGGTAAAAAGGGGGCGCCGGTTGCGTAGAAAGTCGTACGAGAGGCCAAGTAGGGCAGGCAGTCCACCTATTTGCCCCAGGATGCCTGTAACAAGAGACGGACAAACTCCATGACAAGCGCAGACACGGAATAGATTTCACGTCTGTCGCCGGTGCGATAGCTCAGCCCATGAGACCGTATTCGTTCTTGTAGGTCCAAGTCTAGCCGTCTCTCCAGGAAGGATCGTCCGTTGGTGACGGTGTTCTGCTCCCGCTCCTGGAGGACGGTGTGGCATGGATGGATGGGATTTGGGGTGTGAAACCCAGTTGTGGAACCCCATCGAGGTTCTTTTCTCGCCTCTGCAGGTCTTTTGGGATTGACTGGTTGATCCTTCGTGCTGAGTCAATTCTTCGTCAAGCCAGAAGTTAGTCGTTGTGGAGTCGAGCAGGCAGGCAGGCAGGCATAGTGGGTGATTGGCTTGCTGGGACTCCCGTGAAGAAAGAAAGACTCCATGCTTCATCAGACTGGGAGTGTTACTGCCTCATTGGGCCCAAACTAGGCGAGGAGGGCCCTCCTCCCATCCCGGCCCTTCGGCTCCGTCTACGAATCACGAGAGTTGAGGCTATGTGGAATGATTACGTTGCAGATCGTCAAAGGGGCAGGAGGCGAGAAGGACATCAGGCCTGCCTGCATAGTGGTATGCTGGATGTTTCAGCCGATACACGATACACGCACCAGGGAAGAAGAGAAACAAGGTCAAAAAATGACAGAGAGGGAAGACAGAGAACAGTCATGCTGACTCTGAGTGGTCTAGGAAGCTCAATAGCAATGTCCGTTGTCCATCATCGTTCTTTGCAAATAATCATGACTCAAGGACGACAAACAGATACTGGGGAGGGAACGTAGAAGCCGTATACTCGGCACAAACAGTAACGGAGGAGGCAGTGTCGACAGAGCTACACGGCTCAGCTGAGACAAACTAATCACACTCTTGGAGAACAGATCATGACGGTTCGGTTGCTCCGTGGGAATATACAACGACAACAGGGCTCTCCCGCCCTCTTCAAAGTGGTGGGTTCCCAACCACTGCGGCAGTATTGTCGAGGATCCGCGGGTCAGGGAGCACGTCCTGGTGCGAAGCCCTCCCGTCTCCCCTGCCATGGCACTCACCTGGTGAGTCCCGCTTGTGGGTGGGCCACAGGGCCCTCTCTCGTCCCTTTCCGACGTCGTGGCGTCGTTGTTGTGGTCCTAGCAGTGGGAGACGAGAACCATAGCCCTAGGGTTTGGCCCGATTGTGAGACGGCTTCTGGACCGCCCCCGGGTCCCCCAAAGATGAGGAAGAGAGAGCACCGATAACTTCTCGTCGAAGAAATAGGAAGGAGGAGACAGACGATATTTTAGTGGGCTGACCTTGTGCAAAAGACCAATATACAGGGCACTGTGCAGAGAGAGAGACAAGTGGTAGTTCTCACGTTTGAAGTGAGTGCCGCCTGTCCACCAGCACTCACGGGCTCGCAATCTCCCAGGTGATATAGTCCTTCTGCTTCCCCTCTCCCCCTCGGATCGATTCACAGCTGGTTTGATTTGATATGAAATGATATGAAATTTCAAAAGATGATGCACCCTTATCGAGAAAAGGTCGTGGTTGTCAATCGCAGAGTAAAATCTCCCCCAGGGCTTGCTGCAGCCACAGCACGCCGAACTGGGGAGAGGTCTCTCCTTGTTGTACACCATCACTAGCCGGGAGCATTGACTAACAAAACGTAATTGCGAGTCGGAGGAGAAATACGTCTTCCTCTTCGTCGACGGCGAGTGGGACAAAAACAGCGGCGGGAAGCGGTCTCGCACAGAGAAAGGGGGGAAAAGAGAGAAGAGAAGAGGTTGATTGCTGGTTTGGTGGAGATTGACGCCCATGATCACTATTACAATATATTACAAAATAGGGAGCAAATCGCTAAGCCGCTGTCGTCCTGGTTTTGGCGGAGTCGTGCATCGTATCTCCAGAGACAAACCCGACCACCTGGGGGCGTGGGAGGGGATGCAGTCGACGGTGTCGGTCGTGGAAGATCAATAGCTCATAGGACAACACACATGCAAGCGACTCTGCAAGCTGGAGTAGAAGTAGGCGTTTTGAGGCATTACGGACTTTTCCTTTCATCTCCTCCAAAGTATATCTGAATAGATGCAGAACATACAAGGGCTCGCTCTCCAGCAACTGCGACAACCATCCGACGAAAACACATCCTTGAACTTCCATCGGGGAAAACATCACACGCTCGTACACACATATTGCTGGCATAACCAGGTTTTCCAAACACCATGTCCGTCTCGACATCCCTGCAAAATGCACATCGCCAAAGAGAAACCCATTAACACCTCCCCCATCCCAACGCTCCTCATGATGGACCACGCTTTGACGACGCTTGCCGGTGCAGGCTCTTCAGCTGGTTGCTCAACCACTGCCCTCGCGCCCTCAACATTTGGTTCTCATGCTTCAACGACTCGGCATAGAGCAGGAGATCCTTGACTTGCTTCTCCAGGTCCTGCACATATTTCACCTTGCGTTCCCGAAAGGCGCGTTGAGCTTGCCGGTTCTGCATTTTTCGTTTCTGCTCGCTCGGGGAATCCGCCTTCGTCGATTCAGCACCGGTGCTATTGTTGTCGGTGGCTTCGCTTCGCTGGCGTTCCTGACGGTCACCCACACCCTCTCCGCCGACCGGGAGCTCATCGTTGCCGTCATATTCCAGCCGCAATCCATATGGCATACCGTTGGTAGGGTAGTCCGGGGTGGACACTTTCCTCGGGCCATGCTGGCCGACGTGCCCTGATATTGACATAGGCGAGGCACCCTGGTGGTCGACCCCAGGACCCGAGGCCCAAAACCCCTCAAAGAGGCCGTGGTCTTGCTGCCACATTTCCTCCGCCGAAACCTGACGCGACCATTCGTCGAAGTTCTGCTGTGGAAAGGCATCGAAGCTAAAGAGGCCGTCGATATCTTCTTGACTCAGACCATGATGTTGAGGAAAGCCTCCCTGGGGAACAAGCCCAGGAACGATCGACGTCGAAAGATGCGAATGCCTCGGAGGCTGTGTCGGTCTCTGGCTTGGTACTGACATGATGCTTTGCACTTCAGTAGTAGAGGCTACTATGTCGACACGGGTTGATATGGGCTGACGAGCGGGCTATTCATTGACCCAACCATGTCTTCAAGGCCGTCTGGAAGCAGGTAGAACTCTGCTGACGGTACTACACTCTGGAAAAAAGAGGCTAGAGATTTGGTACCCTTTGCTGCTGGGTAGGTTGATGTCTGCTGGAGATGATTGCTGATTGGCGTGGCCAGGCTTACTGGTATCAATCGCTGTTTGAGCTGTCATCTAAACAGCCGCAAATAAGCCTATGGCTCAGGGCTACTCTTCTTTGGGGCCGTCAGGCTTGAAGACGCCCTGCCATTGAAATGTGCTTGCTGCTTAATCAGAGGCACGGCTCCGCAGAATAATGCGGCAGGAGGATTGAATCCCTGTTGGGTGCCTGTACTGCGGTGTACGAGATCAGTAATCCTTGGTAAAATAGGGGTTTCAGGACGCTCCGCTCGTCTCAGACAATCGAATTCACTGGGGAAAGCCCGCGGAGGTAGTGGCTCTAATGACGAATGGCCAGTCAGGGCTTCAGGTGTCATAGACACAAGTGGCTAGCTCTATACCTCATGTATCCACCATATGGATCGCCAGGCAACTTCCGGTACGGAATACTGTGTTCCAGTTGGTATTGGAAAACCTGGTCGTATTTGTGGAATCTGGCGCCTTGGGCTCGAACAACTAGGAGGCCCTGTCCTTCGACAAATCCCAGGCAGTTCCAACCGTCGGGAAGAGAGGGCTGAACCTCGTTACCATCCGAGATCTCGGTTGCCGGAGAGCGAAAAGCGCGAAGTACTAATGCTGCGTTACAATAACACATGATTGGGGGAGACTTGCACATTAAGTAAGAGCCCGTTACCTAAACACACAACCAGGACACATTCACATGGTATGCCATCTTCCGAGCATCCCGTGATGCCAGTCGGGAAAGTGGACGAACTTCAAATGGCCTAGATTGTCCTTGACCGACATATCGATTCATTAAGCCCGCATTTTCCACTCAAAAGAGCATTTGCGCAAATCGGCGCAGGCATGTTGCGGCAAAAGATTCACAATAAATGATGGTTTGTGACCGCCACCGTCGCAGTGGCGTGCCATATAGGTTGTTTGTTTCGTCTGCTGCGTCTACCGTACGATTCACCGTGCTCGGCCATCGAAGAAGAATTGCTTCCCACGACCAAAAAGGTCCGAGACTGAGGCTCGGTTGGCTCAACAGAGAGTCAACGGGTCGTGCAGGGACAAACCGAGGTAGTCCCGGTATCCTCAAAATGGTAACCGACGGCTCCCCTCATTTGTGGCAGATGGTCGTAGATCATAAGAGACGCCAGTCTCGTGTCGATATCGGCACGGCTGTCCAAGTCGACTGACCAGAAACCAGCTGTCGGACGGGAAATGGCGCCACGTTGGGCCAGGTTCATCCATCCGGAGGCACCAGATGTACATGGCAAATACCAACCGACAGACGACAAGATCTTCAAATCTCCATTCGGTCCATTTCCCCCTACGCCGAAGGACTTGAACGTTCACGAGTTGTGTTTCCCCCCGGATCAGCCTTTGCCTCCTGACTATGATCTCTTCATCGACGCTGTGACCGATGAGAGAGTCACGCTCCACCAGTTTTACAACCGAGTATGTGCCCTAGCACGAGCCCTTCGTTACGATGGTCCCAATCCTTTGGGATTGACCAGATCGCCAGTGGATGACAGAGACGATGGGGAGATTCTGGGTCTCTTTTCCCGCAATCACATTCACTACTCGATGCTGGCCCACGCTTGTTTCCGTGCTGAGCTGGTGTTCGGCGGAATAAGCCCTGCATCCACCCCGTACGAACTGTGGCATGTCTTGAGAAAGATGCAGATCACATCTATTGTGTGCCATCAAACGCTTCTCCCCGTATTGCGTGAGGCTATCAAACTGGGTATCGGTCCGGACAACGAGAAGCTCAGACTCGTGCTTGATCCAAGGAAGATCGTTGTGCTGGCAGATAATTCTTCCTTGGATTCTGTCGAGGGCTATCCGACTGTAGAGTCTTTCGTGCGGCGTGGCTTGCAGATGGAAGAGCGCAAAAGAAAACTCATTGGCGGCGACAAGTTGTGTTATCTGTTCCAATCGTCGGGTACGTCTGGTCTGCCCAAGGCCATGATGATCTCCCATAGAAATGCGGTCTCCAGCGGTCTACAAGGCATCACAGCGGCGACTCTGACTGCATTGTTCAACGGAGTCGAACCTCTCACACACCAAACACTCCTTGGGATAGTACCGGCATACCATTCTTACGGCATGATCATGTGGATTTTGCGGGTCAATCTTGCTCCGGCGACAAACGTCATGATGGCGAAATGGGATATCGAACTTGCACTGAAATCCATTCAGAAGTACAAGGTCACGGTCCTGACGCTAGTACCACCGATTGTGAGGCAACTTGCTCAGTCTCCGCTGACTGACAAGTATGACCTATCGTCGATTGTCAGCTGCTCCAGTGGCGCTGCCTATCTCCCACCCGACGTTGCATATCAGCTTGCGCAGAAACTGCCCGTTAAAACGCCTATTCCCTCCGGATATGGCCTTTCCGAAGCTGCGTCTATTGCGTCACCTCCTGTAGCAGGTATCTTCGGCTTGAAGGCGTCTGAGCCTGGTACAATCGGCTATCTTCTCCCAGGAATGGAAGGCCGAGTTGTTGACCCGGACACTTTGAAAGATGTGCCGAAGTGCACCAAGGGCGAGCTATGGGCAAGGGGTAATGTCGTGTGCATGGGATACTTCCGGGATCCAAAAGCCACCGCCGAACTGTTCGCGGAGCCTGGTTGGTTGAGGACAGGAGACCTTGTCATGCGAGATGCCGAAGATCGAATCCATTACCTCGACCGTCTAAAGGAGATGATCAAGGTGAAAGGGTTGCAAGTTGCAGCAACCGAGGTGGAAGATACCCTGCTTGATCACCCTGAGAAGCTTGTAACGGACGCATGTGTTGCTGGAGTTGACAACGGTCGAGGCGACGGAAGCTTGTTCCCGAGAGCGTGGGTGGTGTTAAGCGCCGAAGGCAAGAAACAAGGTGCGGAAGCAGTGATCAAGAAGCTGAACGAGCATGTTGGGCAGCGCTTGAGTAAGCACAAGCATCTTGCAGGAGGAATCGAAATAGTCGACTCGGTAAGTTTGAAATTGCACGATGCCTGGTTTGTTGCTGACAGCCGATTCTCTAGATTCCCAGGACACCGTCCGGGAAGATGTTGCGAAGAGAGATGAGAGACGCTTATCATCGCCGCATTAGCAGGGGAAACGTGGCGAGCAAGTTATAAGGCTGTTTGGTGCAATCGCTGCGGTGGTGGTGTGTTTGAAAACACGGGGGCAAGAGCCCTCCGTCCACAATAGACAAGCTGAAGTGAGGATAGAACCCCTCAATTCATCCAATGTTACTATTTAATCTCATGCCTGGTTGAGATCAGCATAGCAGACGAGCTGGAGGGCACATCGTAAGCACCTCGCAAAGTCTTGTGACGTCTGTGTCCGAAGAGCTCCATGGATACCTTAGCACTGGTGGACCTCGAAGGACTGAGGCGAACTTAGGGGCGAAAGATCGTCGTGGAGATTACCAGCACCACTGGAAACATGTCTATGCGGTGGACGCGCCGGCGGTTCTAGGCTGCGCTCCGAAAGTTGAAGAGAACAGTCGTCGATTGTGCCATGTCGATATTGTCCCAGGCCAAAATTCCCACCACGCGGCCGCGCATGACCATAGCGTCAGCGGAATCCGCTCTCGATGGCCGACATCCCCATGAATGCTCGAAGGCGGGTTCCAGGAACGAAAAGGTGCTGATTCGTTTTCGAGTCCCTGTGAGCCGTCTTTGTTTCGGCCCAACGCTGGTTTAAAATAAGAACCCTTCACCAGTGGCGGATCTATAGAGCGGCACCCATAATCTGTCTGAAAAGGTTGTAACAGAGCAAATCTCTGTAGAACCTCTTCGTGCAAAAACACCGGATGATCTCGCGTCGCACATACGAAATAGGTTGGAACTCGAATATTTCTCAAACCCTTGAAGAAGTCCGAAGATACTAATTAGTACGATTTTCCGATATGATGATCAGTCATCATGAGGGCCGTGTACATACGTAAAGCGGGTCCGACATGCATTAGACCCGCTTAGAGACGAATCTGGAAGGATAACGAGACGTTAGTAATGGACAAATTCATCAGAGCCTCGGATTCGTACAATCCCGCTTGGCATACCAGTCTTGCCCAGGGCGTGACAAGAAGGGAAGGTACTGTATGTCGAAAGCAAGTTGATGTCATTTCTCGTCAACGCAACAATTCGACTAACGACAGAAGCTTTACCATTTGGTGGAAGGAGCTCGGAGCTCACCTGGAGGCCAACCCTAGCCTTTAGGCAGTTGTAGTCCCGCTTTCCAAGATACTTTCTCACCGCAAAATCCTCTCGAAGAGACAAGCCTGTGACCAGGAAGAGGTACGGGAAGAGGGATCCAGCAGAGCGTGGTGCAATGTAGACAGATCTGAGGAAGCAAGGGGTTGCAATACGACTGTGGCACACAGACAGAATGCACCCATACTCGAAATTTCGCTGATGTTCCCACGCGAAGAAGAGTCGATGGGGGTCACAGTTGTTGGCTTCCAGCCGAGCCGCGCTGGATCTGCGAATTGTGGTAAACCGGGGTTCTTGAAGCGCGAATCAAGAGGACCCAGAACCATTTGTTTCCGCATTCTGGTGATGTCCCTAAGGCCAATCTGACTGGAAGACGAAGTTCAACGGGATCGTCAGGATCGTGCTGGGATCACCAAAGCACGTACCATGCTCGGAACTTCTTGGACAAATCCGAGCCTATACGGACACCGAGGTTCAGGGTATTTGGAACCGCCAGTGACCATTCAGGCGATGAACGAGCTATGTCGCCCAAATTTCGGTTTACAGATAGAGCAGGGGACCAGATGGCATGCAGCACGAGGTCTTGTGCTCCTAGCCTATACCTTCAGCATAAACGGCTCGAAGACCTGCACACCATAAACGCACCATTGCTCTTGACAACCTCCCGCTCATCGTATTCCTCGAATTTTGATGCTGTGCTTCAGCGATGGCCGAATCGAAGCTGACGAAGCTGAGGAGGGAGCTTGGAAGGTGCCATGAGCGGTGAAGATGTCAACAAGGGGGATTTCCTGTCGTGGTCAGTGCAGGAGAACACTTTCGAAGAGACGGTATGTCTAGGCTCGTGAATTCTCGACATCGAGGCTGTCGGCGTTGTGTTGCCGTTGTTGTACCCACGGGGAAGAGTAGGATGGAGCCGCAGAGGTAGAAATCCCAACATTCACCGTCGACAAACACCGGGGATGCAGGAAACCGGAGTCTCGCGAGTAAGGACAAAAAGCCAAGCCGGCTTGCAGGCGCTGCTGCCGAGGGTCGTGATTCGGCAAGATTGTATGCAGAAACGATGCAAATGCCCAACCTCACCGTGGGGCTAAAGTGGACGAACAGGTGTTCATGCACAGAGCGGCCCTTCTTCGGAAGTGTGCCCAGCCACGGGCCATGCCGGCCTTCATTGGTAATTGAGAGCTGAGAAACGTCACGATGAGACCGGAAGACGTGGGCCGGTCTATTGTGCCTTGGGCAGAGGGCGAGAACAGGCGGTGGAGCCGGCTGGTCCAGTCCTTGTCGAAACGACAGCCGTCACGCTGTGCAACGGAGAGCAGGGACGGGAGGCCGTAAATGAGCAGCACAGCAGATAGAGGGAGAACCTCGGGCACACTGGGGGAGACAGACTTTCATCTATGATGGGGACAGGGCGAGGAAAATGCAGAGTGAGTCTCTGGTAAAGGAAAAAGGAAACAGGAAACAACAAGTGAAGCAGCTTTGGTTTGAGGCGCAGGAGATTTGTGGGGGGTGGATGTCGGAGAAACAATGTTCCGGCTCATTGCCCCTTCGGCGTCCAGACTTCATTCCACCGCTGATGCGGTGCGGATGCCGTCCTCGATCACCTTTCTATCTAACAGTCTGTCCTCGACCCCCTTCAGATATGGAACAAAACACAGCTGTCTCCGGCCTAGGCGAGAAACACCTCGACCCTTCCCTGGTCATCCTTCTCTGGCGGTCAGTGTGATTAGGCTCCCCACGCGACACAAAGCTCGGAAACGGCCTCGTGATTGGCATCCGCATGGTTGACAGATTTCCAGGATGCATGAGGCACCCCAACACCTCGAGGCCACTCTTAGGTCGTAATCCACGGGTGGGAACACGGCTGATCACGGCTGATCACGGCTGACGTTTCTTTTAGCTTTCACTGACCGAGTAGCATTCTGTCCCAGTCGTGTCTGTCTGTCGCGGCTCTATGCCAACGTCATCGCGATGCTGCTACTGATGTGGCCATACAGTCTGTCTGTGTTCTTCCGGCAGCGACAAAATCCCCCCATTAAGACCCGCGACCCAAGGCAGCTCCCGGCAATCCAGCAGATCCAGCGACACTCAGGTGTCCAAATACCTTTCAACGCCGGCGCTTCAGCTCGATGTAAACAGTAGACATGTGCATTAGCCGTTCTTGAAGTGCTCCTTTGCGTATTGCTCGCATGCCTAGAATAAATTATCATGAGCTGAGGATTGAGTTGAACCACGACCAGATACTAACTTTGGCTGGCTTGCCGAGCTTCTGCCCAATCGCCTTCCACTTATTTGCTTCGTATTCTTTGATTGCTTCGCGAAGTGCTGCAGACTGTAGGGGTTCGGGTTAGAACAAGGAGGTCGACTCTTCGTCACGCATACATACCTCATCTTCGGCGAACTCGGCATAGTGCATGTCCTGAAGCACTCCGTCAGCAACGACCCAGCCCGTCTTGGCCCACGCCTTACCTTGTACCAGTGCTTCTTCACGCTGCCCTCGGTTCGTGCAGGAAAAGCCTATCGTGAATCAGCAAGAGAGAGGTGGAAGTGGAGGCCAAGCACAGGAATACCTTTGCAATCTCACTCCAGCTGTGCCCGGCATCACGCATCTGCTTCAAGCGCTGTTCTTCTTGAGCGGTCCACGGCGTGTTGGTTCGGCCACGCTTTTTGCCCGTCTCGTCCGGCAGCGACGCCGCGACGTGAGCATTGGTCGGGACAGGTTCTGCTGGTAAAGCCGTGCCTGGAGGCAGCGTATTCAGCTTCGGACTGTGTGATGCCCGCCGCTTGCGTGGATTTGGCGGAGAAGCTGGCGGATGATGCAGGTCGGCATTAGGTTTGGGTGCCAGCGGCGCCTGAGGCGCTGGTACCTCTTTGTTAGTGAGAGGCGACGTGGTGGAGGCGAATTGCTTCTGCTTTTTGGCCGGCGGAGGTGATCTGATACGACAGGGAGGTCAGACTCGGACCGATGAGGTCAAGACATAGAAAGGAAGACCGAGGAAGTAGCCGTCCAGGCTGGAGCATCAAGCAAAGCCCTTTGGTGCAATTTCCAATGTACCACTCGGGACAAGAGAACTTACGACATGGTGACGGAAGTGTATCTGCTTAGTAGAAATGGATTTCAGTCGAAGTCGCCGTCGGCATGGTCGAGTCTTGTTCTGGGCTAGGAGTGTCCCGTGAAGTCAAGGCCAGCCACGCGAGACACCAGCTGCTAGGGAGAGGTAGGCAGGCTGTATTTGGATCAAAGACAGCAAACGTGACACAGCAGCGGAGGCTGCGAGGATGCAGGAGCTAAGCTTGTACGGTGCTTTCAGACAGGCGCCAGCGTGGCTGACTGGGAGTAGAGTGAATGGGCGGGAAGAAGGTGTGACCAGCGATCGGGGAGGAAGTGCAACAAGGCCACCTGAGGCCAATCAGGTCCGGCAAATCCAACGCAGGAGGGAGGAATGAGCGGGACAGTCGCGAAGAGGCGGTGCGACAACAGGGCAGGTTTTGAGAACGAATTCCTTCCCCTCTATCTGATTTGTCTCCCCTTTGCTCGTCGTCGGATGAATCGATGCTTTTGTTTCTGGGTCCAGCTCTACTTGCGCCAGGCTTGCGTCAAGTGACCAGGAAGGGGACAAACTGGACAGACAGGCGGTCATATGTACCACTGTCTCCGGGTTCCTGGTGGTTCCGCCACTGGAGGAGCAGTGACAGGACTTGTCTGAACTTCAGAATCTGGGGGAGGGAGGTGTCTGAACTTCAGAACCTGGGGGAGGGAGGGATCAGAGATGGGCCAGTCGCTTGGTTATAATATCCGGAGGTAGCAGGGAGTCGTTTATGTACATCGGACAGCAATACCGACTAGAACAAGGGAGCAGAAAAAGCAGGATTGACATGGACGGCACGAACAGTACAAGTTCATTAGAGCGGAAGAGGTTAAGGGAGGGCGGGGGGTTTCCTGCAAGGGAGAGCCAGGGAGGAAGCAATGTATGGACCAGAAGAAAAGCAGACGAGTCACTTTTTGGTTTTTACGTCTCTGTTAGGTTTTTGCCTGCTCGATCCGGCGGGCGTCTGTAGAGAGTCGATGTTGTCAACGGTCTCGTGAGGCGTTGGGAAGTATCGAATGAGGGCGTGTCAAGGCACATGCGATGACTGTAGTGGCACCGCTTGCATGACCGGGGGTGGTGGTGATGGTGGTGGTGAAGAAGGTGGAGGTGGAGACACGAGGCTTGTTCGAGGTGCCGGAGGGATCAACGGGCGGAGTTTACCAAAGGGGACCAGGGAGAAAGCAAAAAAGAGGGGGAACTGGGTGGGAGGTAGGGGATCAAGGGACGCTGAAAGGAGCTGATACGGGGTCACAGGTAACAGGATGCGGTTGTGCAAAACAAACAAGGTCGAGATACTTAGCGACTTCGCGGTGATGAGGCTGACTGGGTGAGCGCAAGCTGCAGTAGTGGGTCAGATGATGGAGAATAGGTTGTTGTCGAAGGGCTTCTCCCGTCTCTACTGGTGTGCAGGTGGTCTCTTCCAAGCAGTCCAAGTAGAGGCGGAAAGTACGGAGCAGGTTCTGAGGGAGGTGAGTGACTAGTTGACTGGTTGACTAGGGCCAGGGAGAAGAAACTCGACGACTCGATACCTGGTGACCATGTACTGCCGCGGGTGACGATGGGTGTGGAAGGGAGGGGAATGGAAGAGACGAGGTACTTTGCAAGACCTTGGACCGAAGTAACGAGGAACGGCGGCGAAGGAGAAGCTCTGGCATGACGAGAGCAATGCTGTTATTGCGGGGTAGAGCTGACCAGAAGGGACCAAAGGGACCCCAGGACACGCGAAGGATTGGATGGCAGGTCACACAGAGTAACCGACAACAGCTAGTAGCTGATCTGTGGCAGCGCGAGGCAATGCAAGCCCTTTAAAATGGAGGGGATGTAATGCACCATTGATGGAGGCGTCAGGAGCACGGAGCAGGGGGGTGTCCACCGGCGGGTACGAGAGATGAAAAAAGAGAAGATGAAAGCAAGCCACAATTTCATTTTTTTTGATTGTTGTTGTTTCCTGGCAGGGGGGTCAAGAAATCAACCCATTGGTGCTTGGGGCTGGAGCTAAGAATGAACTCGTGAACTCGTGCATGGACACATACCGAGTACATCGATGCACTACTGCCCAACTTCATCAAGGCTGAAATTACCACTACCACTGTCGGTACATGCAGACATACCGGCGATGTACGGAACAAGAAAGTCACTTGCGGGAAAGAGTACTCGATCTGAAGTCCTGGTCTCTATCAAAGGGCCAGGGATTGACCAACACTAATTGGAGCCATGGGCAGCCAGGACAGGTGGTACGATGATGGACACCCTGGTGCAGTCGATCCAGAGGTTCAAGGCGAGCCCTGAGGGAGGGAGAGTAGAGTGAAATGGGAAATGTGAAATGGGCTGATGAGGTTAAAGGAACAAGCCAAACGAAAACTCTGATAAGTGACCATGACGGAAACAGGCACCTATGACGGCACGGACATGATGGAAGCTCGGACCCAGCTGAAGAGAAGAAGCCTCACTGCACCAGTGCACCCCCTCTCTTCAAACAATGTTACCACGGGTGCCACCGCCCAAAAGGGCAGCCCAAGAAGATGGTCTGGCCTGCTAACTAGGTAGGGCCCGAGTACGCAGTAGTACGGGAGTACAAGTAAGTCAGTTCACCGCGACTTTGATAGATGAATGCATGGCGGGAAAAATGGCCCGGGCCAGGAAGACCTAACGCCCAGAGTGCCGCCCCGGGCGCCAGGTGAGAAACGTGGAGGTGGGTCTGAAGTACCCAGCAGCGACTAATGAACGCGCACACAGGGGGGGTTGCAGAGAAGAACCCCCCCAGTTCACTTTTGCGTCACTGCTCCGTACAGTAGGTACTACTCATCCCAACCAACCCCTTCTCTGCCATTTCCCTTCCTTTTCCTGCCAATGGTGTCGGCGCTGTCGGCCACCACGGCATCACGTCAGAGAGGGCGACGGTACCCAAGATACATCCACAAAGGCACCGAACATGTCGCGTAGATCCCTGCCCCAAACAACGCCTCTCAGCAGCTAGCTGATGAGCACCAACGTCACCCATGGCTATCGCCCGTATGTCTTCTGCACCACCTTCAAGAGTTCATTCATCACATTTACCCACGTTCTCAGGGGTGTCTGATCGCTGCAGCAATCGCCTATCCTCCCTAGACTAGGCTGTCTGACCCCTCTTAACAATCACACCACCTCTGAATTCGACCTTGACGCGTCGACACCCGGCTGCGAAGGTGACTGGCCTCGAACTGCAAGATAGAGCGAGGAATCCCAGCGTACAGGAGATGCAAGGGCTGAATTTGGCGGGTCAAGATCATGACGAGCGCAGTTCCGTGGCCTGTATCGGCAGCGAGGCGATCGACCTTTTTCTGCACGTTGCAGACTCGCTACGAGTGGCGAGCCCAGTTCTCCAGGACCGGGAAGGCCTGACTGAGGACGAGCCAGAAGCCATCGACCAAAAGGGGAACACTTTGTTGTCGCTCTCTGCCAAGCAAGCCGAAGCTCTGTCACTCAGTCTCGACATCGTGGCCTCGTGGTTGTTAAGGAGCAGGTAGTCGATCCAAGGACCTGGTTTAGGGGCCGGCGATGACCAACAACTCTTCCGCAGACTTTTGCTGCACGGAAGCCACCCAGCCGGTATTTAACCTCAGGATGATACGTCCCCTGCCTAGTTGCCTCCGGTCTTCAGCAAAGGTGATTCTCCCTCCACTCCGGCTCATGGCATGGTGAAATACTTGGGCGTACTCAAGGATCTGAGCCCTGCCTTTCACAAAAGCTTCGCGGTCGCACCATTCGCCCAGATACGAGTTCCGCCACGTTTCGGCTCGACATCGAATTTCAAGACTGCTCCAGTGGGCCACTTCATCCAGGTCAAGTTGGAGATCTTCCGCGTAAAAATGCCTCAGAAGGTCACAATCGAGCTGCCAGATCAGATGCTGAATATGCGGCGCACATGGATGACCGTCGGTGATGCGAATTGGCAACCTTCCGGCGAAGGCGTGGCTGATGACGTGGAATACCGTGTTGGCATAGAGGACGGGACGGGCTTCTAGTAGGATCGTCTTGTTGACTCTCAACAGCTGAGACGACCTGGGCGAGTGGTTCTCGAACCGTGCCAGCTGGGGCATCAGAGCACCACTATCATCCTCGCTCTTGGCCTCGACCACGGCCTTCCCATGGCCAAAAACCAAACGGTAGATCTCAAACCGTATCTCTAGGGGCAGGTCAAGAAACCTTGGCGCCGCCATCTGGTGGATCGACACTAAGATTCTCCGCCGCGGAGGTTGACGGCCAGTGAGTCAAGATGCTGTGCTGTGCCGTGCTGTTCTGGGGTGTGCAGAGGACTATATCTTAGGCGAATGTAGATGCATCCACACGAGACGGAGAGACGAAATCCTTTATGTTTGGGGATGGGAGACGAGCTACAAGATAACGGTGAGATTTATTTTCAGCCTCCGCTCTCCGTATCGGCCTGCTCTGCAGGGGCGTTTTGGGTTTTTTTGGTACGTTGGGTCCACCAGTTGCATTCCCGACCGATTCGGCAAGCGTTTTTTGGTGTTTTGAGTTTTAGATTACCCGGAAAATTGCGCCAATTTTGTTTTCTAGGGGCTGGAGCTGTGCCCTATCTTTCTCTCTCAGCCTTATGATGTCGCCGGAAAGAGGCGAAAGCGGCGAAAGCGGCGAAAGTCACGGATGAAGATGACGATGATGATGATTACGATGATAATATCGGTACACAACAAGTAAGTAATTAATAACTAGCTACGTAGCTCGGCAGTACATATGCGGCTTGTTCTCTCTTCTCCTTCTTTCCCCCTCCGTCACCCTTTCTTTTTCAGCTGACCCCCGGCTCCTCCGAAATACGACCTTGATCTGGCCATGTGTTCTCCCGGTCATTATGAGCACACTGAGTCCCCTCCGTTGTTCGGAGAGAGAGGGAGAAACAATTGAGATCTTGAAAATAGGTAGCTTCGATGCAGCCCTGTCCTGTGAAGATCTACGTTTTTCCGACCCCTCCGGTGTGTGCGTGGTCGTCACTCACTTCCCGCGGGAGGGAGGGAGGCAGCCAGGGAGGGGGGCGGCTTCAATTAAACAACCCTGGGGGGTTCGCACTGGAAAGACGCAACGTACACGATACTAGTATGTAATGTACGTACATTTGGGCGAGGGAAAAGGACTGGATGTGGCCGTACTCGTCATGTGTCTAGGTATGCGAGATGACGGATTCTTCTTCTGGATGTAACATCCACCATATGGCCGGCCATTACGAGGGACGGGTCTTTCTTATGTGTGAGTGTGTGCTGGATGCGTGCTAAGACGTCGTCGGGTGAGAACGGCGGAAGAAGATACCAAGAAGGAGGTCGGCAAGAGAGAGCTGAGATGCCACATGTCTGTGCCAAGTTTCTACCTGTTCACCAAATAATAAACACCGACGCTTCAAACGCTTTCAACCTTCATATCGTCATGGTCAGCCGCATTTGCTGCTTCGACCGCCGTATAGACACGAGAGTAGTCACCATCCCAGCAATCTTATATCGAACACCCGCGGAAATCAGGACCCAGGTCAATGAGAGTCCCCTTAAACACATTTCCGCCGACGTCCCTCAAAAGGGCGAGGAGGCTTCCACACATATTAGCCTGTCTCGTGTCTCCCCTATGTGACCATATCGGCCGAGTCTAGACCCTGCAAAAGGCTCGGATCTGGTCTCTCATGTTCCGACGCCAAGTTGGACCCAGTGTCGCTGTCTTCTGGCTCGGCGCTTTGGCGTGCGTCGGGATCGCTTTTGGCACCCTGCGTCCTTGTGGCATCCGGCGGTGCTGGACTAGACAAATGCGGTGCGGAGGGTTGCTCCGTCACCTTCTCGCTGGTCGATACCACTATCGAATCATCAGCCCTTTCTGGCAAAAGACAGGCCTCTCGAAGCTGTGTATCGACAGAGGCCGTCACAGTTGCTGTTGAAATTGCAACACTCGTTGTCGTGAATGTAGTGGTGACCACTTCCGTCAACTGTGGCGTCAACTGGAATGCCGGCACAGGACTCTCTGTCGGGGATGTTGATCTGCCTGCCAATGCAAACAACAACACCAGGGAGCTCAGCACGCCCACCAGGAGATTTCGGCTCTCTCTGCTGACTCGTCCGCCATAAAATGCCGGTGGAGGCTGTGCAGCTTGCTCAAAAGAATGTGGGTTAGGCGCTGAATGCGCAGTGTCCGATTCCACAAGCGGTCTTTGGTCGAACTTGCTTGAGTCGATCTCACCGTCAAGTGTTCTAAAGTCGCCGTACACCTCTTGTTCGCGAGAAGTTGCCATTCCACCGTCCACAAGCGTGTCTTGAGGGTCGAGATGACCTGTTTCCCCCTCCTCGTCGTCAGCGAACGCAAGCTTTGCTTCGAGTTCCTGGCAGATCGCTTCTGGCAGGCAAACGTTGATTTCCACGTCGACCTTCTCCATCTCCTGCCATGCGGCAGCCCACGCCCCAGCCCGCATTAAGCCATTGGCCGCGAAGACCTTGACATCCCACCGGCGACTCGTTTCTTCTGCTTGCAGATGTCCTCCACAGTCCGGGCATCTGAGAAATCCCAAACCATCAAGGTCGACCTCATCTTCGGTCAGGCTCCCACTCTCAAACCCGCTGTCTACGCTACTGCCGCCGGCGTTGAAGTAATGATTGTGCCGGATCCGGGGCTTCTCGAGTTCCAAGCTCTCTAGGAGTCGTTCTTCCAGCAACCCGTAGTCTTCGCGAGGGTGTGGTATCAGTACTCCCCGGCTGCTGATCTCGACATCTGCGAGCCGGTCTCGTAGAGCGAGCCACCGCTGTTTGTATTCCTCGGGCAACAGTTCGCTGAGGCTTGCACTTTCTTGAGCCGAGGGCTGGAACCGTTGGTTGGGTGGTAGCAACGTGCAGTGTAGAAGTATAAGAGGGAACTCCTTCTTGACAGTAGTGCCGTCTTTCAGTGGAGATGTGTGGTGGGATCGGCTTGATCTTTTAGTGGGCGACGTCCGAACTGAGAATAGACTTCTCTGGCTGTATGACGACAACTGGGAGCCAGTCCGCCTATGGTGCCTTATCACGCTGTGTGTCTCACTCATTGCTTCATCTTTCATCTGGAGAGCCTTGACACTGCTGGGATGGCGGAATGCTGCGCGGTAACCGCGGAGGCTTTTCGGGGAGGTCGTCGCCGGCCGAGATCCGCCAGATCGCTCAAAGGAATAGAATCCGTGCGAGTCGCGTTGTGAAGGCGTTCGCGGGCTCGACTGTTCTTGCCTTGAATGCAGGGGCAGTGAGACTGTCGTCGGGAACGAAGAGATCGATGAGCATCCCGAGAAGACGCGTTGGCCGGCATTGTCAATGCCGTCTTCATCGTCGTGATCTGGTTGCGAAAGGGTTTCCGACTCCGAGTTTGAAGTGCTTTCATCGTAAACTGCGCCGGAGAAATTATAGTCATGAGGTTGCGAGATGTCTGTTGGTGGAGTTGGTGGAGAAGGAGAGGATGAAGGGGGCTGCTGCCGCAGAGAAAGCGGAGAGGACTGTTGGAAAGCGCATATCTCTGCAGCTTCGTCTAGTGAAAAGGATGTCAGCGACGAGGATCTCGCCATCATGCGACGACAATCGGGTTGATTGAGTTCATAGTTATGCAACCGTGCGTGTGGCGATGCACAGACGCTTTAATGTTTTTATTGATTTGTTGCACCGGGCAACCGTAAATACCACTGTCTGACACGGGGTTTCCTCACCCGCGCCTCCTGGTTTGGCCGCGACTTCGCATTAGCTCAAAGAAAAGGAGCTGGTCAGACAAAAGGGGTTTTTCGTCGTTCGTCAATTGGATTGTCAAGGACATGTCCATCATTCTTGTTACTCTCATCAATAGAGTTGCCTCAAGTGGAGTTCTTCCTGTCCATCAGATCATTAAAGGCGTGGGCATATTCTCATTCTTGACCTCTTCTTATGTTGACAGAGGCTTACTCGTCCTTCTTTCGATCGTCCCGCCTCCTGAGATGAAACCAAAGTAGCACACTCACGACAATAAGAAGCGTGTAGCAGCTGAGACGGTTGCTGGAGACAATGAAAATAACTTGGGGCATTATATAACAGGCACAATTGCGGGTCTCATGTCGCCATCAGCTACAATCCAGATATTTGCTTACCACCTGTTCAAATCGTTACGGGACGGGACGTCTCAGAAGAATATATGGTCATCACAATGAGGACTATCGGGGCATTAATTCAAACAATCAGCAACGATAGCAGACTGTGAGTGAGATGCGGCTTTGGGACAGCAGTGTGCCAGGATCTCGAGCGTGGTCTGGTTTTCGAGGTACTTGTATGCGGTATGCGACATATATGGCCAGCCGACGACGATTGTGACTGGATTAGAAAACAAAATACAAGGTAAAGATCAAAACGAGGACATCGAGCACGACAACATCAAAAAAAGGCAGGCACTAGGGGGCAGGAGCACCAGCTTTATATACAAGGACATTTACCTAAATACTGCTTCATGTCTCTATTCGCCCCCACGAAACGAGCTGCATGTTACTGGGCATCCCGCCATGTCGAGCCACAAATCATAAGCACTAACAACCGACAAGTGAAAGGTACGAGATACTCGGGACATATCTGATAACTCGTGAACGAAGTGAATATCCTCGAAATTCATTGACCAAGGCTTCATTGACCTCCCACCTGACACGATTCAACGGCGTGGCCATGACGATCAACGTCGGTGCTCTCCAGCACTATGCGTTGCTTGGTCTGTGGTATTGGATCTGTGCTGTCTCTGCGGTAAAGTACCACCTTGAAAAGAAGATAGATATCAAAGCTAGGTGTTTTGCAAGAGTCGGCACTGATCCTTTCCACTACATTTGTAGCTGATCGGCTACTCACTGCTCCGATTCATCTACAACATTTCCCCTTTCCACCCGCTGGCCAAATACCCCGGACCGCTGCTGTGGCGAGCCTCGCGCCTCCCGGCGTCCTGGCACCAGGCGCGCGGCGATCTATACAAATGCATCGACGCCATCCACATCCAGTACGGGCCGATCGTACGTATCGCACCGGACGAGCTCTCGTTCACGAACCCGGAGGCCTGGGCCCAGATCTACAACACACGGCCTCAGCTGCAGAAGACGCGGTTCCACTTCCCGCCGGCCGACGAGCGTCAGATGCCCGAGAGCATGATCATGGCCAGCGACGCGGACCACGCGCGGGTGCGCCGCCTCGCCAACCCGGCCTTCATGACGGCGGGCATCCTGGAGGTCGAGCCTGTCATGCAGTACTACGTCGATCTGCTCTGCTCGCAGCTGAACCAGGTGTGCCGCGACGGCGAGGGTCCGCAGAACATGGTCGAGTGGTTCCTCTGGACGCTCAACGACGTGATCGGCCAGCTGGCCTTGGACCAGGAGTTCGATTGCCTGAAGAAGCGCCGACTGCACCCCTGGCCGAGCTTCCTCCTGCTGGGACTCAAGAACGCCACCATCTTCAACCAGTTTCGTCGCTTCGGCATCACCCAGGGCATGCTGATGCCGCTACTGACCAAGAAGCAGCTGGAGGAGAGGGACAAATTCTTCAACGCGGCCACTAGTGCAGTGAAGCAACGACTCGACCGGGAAGACGAAGAAGAGCAAGGTGATAATGACGATGATCGGGAGACCCAGACGAAGAAGCAGAAGAGACCCGACATCGTGGGCCTGATGCTGCGCGAGATGAAGGACGGCAACCGCCTGACCAACGAGGAAATCACGTCCAACTCGATGCTGATCGTCGGGGGCGGCGCCGAGACGACGAGTACGTGCCTGAGCGCGACGTTCTACCACCTATGCAAGACGCCGCGCGTCATGAAGAAGCTCCAGCAGGAGATCCGCCAGAGCTTCACGAGCAGTCGAGACATCACCATCCGCGCGATTTCCTCCAATCTGCCCTACCTCCGGGCAACTGTCGACGAGTCGTTGAGAATCTTCCCCGTTGCCAGCTACATCACGCCCCGGACCACGCCGAAGGGAGGCCATCTGATCGCCGGGGAGATGATACCAGAAGGAGTAAGTTCGTGTTCACATCCCATCTCTGGTGGACTTTTCCCTCTCTCTCTCTCTCTCTCTCTCTCTCTCTCTCTCTCTCTCTCTCTCAGTGTGTGTGTGATTCCACATTCCAGTACCACACCGACGCTAACGAGGGACTCACTGTATGTGTTCCAGACCTACGTGTCGATGGGCCAGTGGCACATGGGCCGGTCCGGGCGTTTTTTCGACGACCCCAAGGAGTTCCGGCCAGAGAGATGGCTCCATGAGCTGGAATCCAAGGGCCCGTCTGGGTTACAGGTCGACGAGATCCTGAAGCCATTCAGCCTGGGGCCGCGAAACTGCATCGGCAAACAGCAAGTTTTTATCTCTCTCTTCCTTTCTGACCAGACCATAAGAGCCTGTTGGCTGACTCTGTCGGTTTAGGGTGGCCCTCACGGAAGCACGGCTCGTCATCGCCAAGTTGCTGTGGCATTTCGATATGGAGCTTGATGGGGATCATCCTACGTGGGTTGAGGACGCCAGGTTCTACGTGAGTTTTTTTTGGCCCTGCGAGTAGTTCTGATTCTGCTGACGCCTTGATTAGGTTCTTTGGCAACTTCAGCCGCTCAAGATTAGGCTGACACCCGTGAAGCGGTGATTGTGGCCTTCACACTACATGCACGTCGTCCAGGGCACAGGCAAAATAAAATATGCAAGAGAAAGAAGTGTTCTTGGAACGCGTAGTTTTCCACTATAGCCTGCCCCGTGAGAGCACAGAGCCACCGTCGGTCGTGATGACGGCACCGTTGATGTGTGAAGATGCCCTGCTGCTCAGAAAGACCACCAATCCAGCAATATCCTCCGGACGCCCAAGTCTCTTGTTTGGCACTTCGGCAGCGAGCGCGGCCTGCCCTCCTTGTAACTCCATCAACCCCGAAGCCATCTTGGTAGGGTAGAAGCCCGGGGCGATGGCGTTGGTGATGATTCCTCGGGGGCCGAGCTCGACGGCGAGGTTCTTAGCCAGATTAATAGCAGCTGCCTTCGACGCCGAGTACGAGTACGTAGCGTTCTCACCCAGCGAGCCCACGCCGATGCCAGCGACGCTGGCCGTTATAATGATCCTGCTGGGGTTGTCTGTCGTCGCGCGCTTCTGTAGCAGTGGGGCAAACTTCTGGGCGGTATAGAAGACACTCTTGACATTCAGATCCATGACCTTGCTGAAAGCGCTTTCCGGATGTGTATCGAAGGGAGCTCCCCACGTGGCGCCGGCATTGGCGAACAGGATGTCGACGTGGTCGGTGGTCTTTGCGACCTCGGCCGCCAGACGTTCAATCTCGGAGACCTTGGACGCATCGGCGGGGATGGAGATGGCGACGGCGCCGGGTCGTTTGTTGGGGAGGGCGTTGAGGGCAGCGACGGCTTCTTCACATGCTTTGGCCTTGCGGGAGGTGATGTAGACCTTGGAGCAGCCTGCCTGCAGGAACCTGTGTGTTTGACCGGGGAATCAGCGCACGAGAGACTATGAGCGTGGGCTGTCCTTGTGTATAGCTTACCCAGAAGCGACGTTGAGGCCCAGACCTCGTGAACCGCCGGTCACGACAGCGACCTTGCCCTCGAGACTGAATATGCTCCCGAAGTCCTGGAGCTCGACATCTTGCTTAGCACTGCCCATTTTTGTCTGTTGGTGGTGCCGTAGAATAGTGTCTGTCTATTTTTCGCCTAGCAGTCCAATCTCTTTTCAAAAGGCGGGAATCCGGGGTATAGTGATCATTGGCTTCGTGGTCTGGGCAAAGGTCCTTGGTCCTTATTATACAAAGCAGAAATGTTCAATTGCCGAACTATTGACGAGATGGACGTTCATGTAAACATCTATTGATTAGAAGGGGCGCAGTTCCGGTGGGATCAGGCAGGACACGAATTGGGAACAACTCCGTCGAAACAGCCGAGGCTCGAAACACGATTTACTGAGTTTCAGTGTCACCAGTAGTACGGAGTACATACGAGGTACGGGGCACTGAGTGGATGGATGGTGATAATGCAGGGAACAAGCGAACAAGCTGCTGGGGGTGGCGGCGATGACCAGCCGGAAAAAGGAGGAAGGAATTATTATCGAAGTCCGATTGAGCCGGAACATGGTGCCTCGGTGTGCCGGAGTGTGTGTCTCTCTCTCTCTTTCTCTCGCCAGACCCAGTTCCGACAAGTCGTGATGCTCAGGTAATTATATGGTGTGCCCATTACAGAATATATCTCCATGTGTATACTATATACAGTCTGTTTATACTCCGTGTAGCCGATGATATTTGCTATCGTCCTCGGTGCATTTCTATGCCCTGCTCGGTAGGTCTCTTGGAAGGTGTTGGCCGTCTCCATCCACCACACTATTATCTCACCGGCATTAAGATGATGATGGACACAATGTGGAAGAAAAGTCTTTAGACTGTCGTAAGGCCTGCCAGCTGATATTGCTCTTTGGTTGAGTCCAATGGTCAGCTTATACGGGTGCCAGGTCCACCACGACCCATCCCAACTGGTCATATATAGGCCCCTTGAGAGACTTTTTTGTCACCAAGGGGAATTCTTCCCCTTATCAAGAGAGTTGACAGTCATGGCAGACAACAGCAACACTCTATTCCGAGAGACAGACCCTGAGCTTGCTGCGGTGCGTACAGATAACAAACAAGCCTGGTGGCAGTGTCTCCCTAACGCAGACCTGGTGTTAGATATGGAGGGAAAAGGGAATGCCGAAATTCTTCTTTCCGAGGATCGACAAGATGCCTCAAACGCGTCAGATTCACGCCCAAGGTAACGTCCGGTTCATGAAAAGCGCTTTCGTCCGGCAGACATTGGGCGACCAAGTGCTCTGGACAGAAGAAGACAGGTCGGTTGCTGTCCGCGACGGGCATGCGGTCACGATCCGGATCTATCGTCCCAAATCACATCCTGGGCGCCGGCCTGTCATGGTGTATGCACACAGTGGAGGGTGGTGCATGGGTGGACTTGACACGGAGGAGTTCATCTGCCAACTCCTATCGATGAGGTTGGGGATCATCATCGTCAGCGTTGCATACCGCCTCGCGCCTGAATGGTCATATCCCACCTGCGTTTTCGATGTCTACGACGTTATTAAATGGGTACGTCGACCATATGTGTCTTCTCGCGTGGACTGAAGCGTGATAGGTATCAGCGAACGCAAAGACGCTGGGCGGGGATCTGTCCAAAGGCTTTCTCACGGGCGGCGCTTCAGCAGGTGGGAATCTGACCAGTATGGCCACCATCATGGCAAGGGACGACAAACTACAGCCTCCCCTCAGCGGCCATCTCCTCATCTGTACCGGCATGCCGCATGACTACACGGACAGGAATGGAAACAAAGTGGTCCTCTTCCCAGGACAGTTGGCGAACGGGAGCTGGGAACGGTACAAGAACGGGCCGGTCGCGAATCTGGAGATGAACTTGCTCTATGGACGTAAGCCAAAATCCGGGACTGTCTGTTTACGAAGGAACAACGGCTCACTGCAGGGACACAGACATCGCCAAGTTCGACGGCCATGAACCCTATATGACCCCCTTCTCCCAGACAGACTACTCCGGACTTGGCCCGGTGTTCTATCAAGTCGCCGAGATGGATATCTGGAGGGACAGTGCCCTTCTCTACTGCGACAAGGTCAAGGAGGCAGGCGGCCAAGTCAAGGTGGAAGTCTATCCCGGCCTCCCGCATCTCTGGTGGTCCATGTACCCGCAGCTATCAATCAACCAGAAGTGGATTCACAATCTGGTCAACGGCGTCGAGTGGCTGCTGAGCCAGACACGGGAGGCTCCTGTTTCCTCCAGACTCTAAAAAGGTCATGGTTCTCCGGTCGGGCGACCCTGGATTCTTGTGCAACCATAAAGGGTCAGTTGTTTGCTTTTCGCATACGAGGTCGCAGGACATCACAGCTCTTAGAGATACGGAGGGCAGAAGCTGCGGTTCACCTGGACGTCGTTTCCTCCAGATCCGACCTTTGAAAGGAAACCCAGGGTCGAAACTCGTTGGGTTCATTCTCGACAGCGAACATGACCAGATGGTTTACCTTCAAACAGGCCGTTGGAAGTTCGAGTCAATAGCGTTCACAATCACTTGTTTCCCTCTTTCGACGCGCAAGAGCTGTTTGCTTACTTTTTGGCCCGGGGGTACTGACGTCCATGACTGTATCACCATCGATTCAGGTCTCACGACATGTCGACACGCCCACGTCCACCGCCTCGAGAGGAGCAAAGGAACTTGCCATTGACAATTACTTTACTGGTTGCATTGTATTCTCCGAGGGTTCACCCGTTACAATTCAACTCATTCCTGATCATCAGGTTTGGTACAAAATTTCTCAGGCCTTGGCTGTGAGTCAAGAGCACAGCGCGCACATCCCCTGAAGAACTCGCAAGCTGTTTTATGATCTGGCCTTCAACTAACCCTCTCAGTTGATTCTTCTCATTTCTACCGACTCGCGAAGCCCTCCTCAAGTCGCGTCCATCCAATCTATAGCAATTTCCTCTTTTCCCGAAACCTCTCATCCGTTCCCTTTCAATACTCCTTCACCAGAGACCTTGCCACCGCTTTGATTCACCCTCACAACACGATGGCTCCACGCGTATTTCCCATCTCCATCCTTCTTATCCTCTTCTTCGCGTTCACTTCATGTGTCAATACCCACACGGGAGTCGCCACGACGTTGGCCTCTGTTTCGGCATCATCAACCACCGATCCACCTGCTCCCACTTCAGCTGCATACACGACAACGGAGGTCTATACACCCTTTGCGATTTGCGCCACTGGAGGAGGCGACTGGTACATCGACCCGCCCACGGCCACTCAGCTGGTGGACTTGTTCTGTAATCAAGCATACGAGCCAGGGGCTCTTCCTCCACAAGGTAAAGTGCATCTGGTTTTGTGGTTGATATCAGCTTGACCTCGATCATTCTTCACTTCGGCATTACTGTCTCTCACATCACCTCTCCTGAGGTCGTGAGATTACCCTACCCTTCTTCTTGTGACCCGTGATTTCACATTGCTGCACCTTGTATTCCATTTCTCGGCCCATCCTTACTCTGAGGCTGTGACAGGTGAAGAATTCGATTTGAATGAGTATCCAACGGACCTCATATCGCTCACAGAGAATGGCGCGGACACCCACACCGAGGCTGACATCACAGACACGCTCAACTCGCTGTCCAATAACAACAACGCCAACATCACCCTCCATCTCATGGAGACAACACCAAATTACACCCTCACGGAGCTGTCAGGGATTATCCTGGCGCTGCGGCTGGTGCGTTGGCGGCCCACGGTGGTCGACAACGTGACGTACATGTCGGGGTCGCAGGCGCAGTGCGACCAGGACGTGCGGCAGGACCAGTGCCACGCCGGCCTGCACCGCGTCATCGACCAGTGCCAGTGGAACAGCCACTACTTTGGCGGCGTCAACTTCTGGATGACCGCCTGCGCGATGTACAGCGTCCAGGTCGCCAACTGCTCGGGGAACTGGCTCGATCCCAACTGCGACCTGTGGCACCGCAAGTGGCCCGGCGTCGGCAGCGGGCCGGATCCGGCCTTTCCGATCACCACCACCAACGCTGGCGCCGCCGACATGGGGACGGCCTTGATCAGTGTGCCCACGACCAGGGTGTGGAGGGCCTGAGATTGTCCAACAAGGGGACGGGTTAGGAGGATTTGTTCCTGGCAAGCATTGGGACGTGATGTATTCGGCGGGGGGCGAGGCAGGAGTTCTTGATATTGAGCGCGCAGGATAGCCAAGACGGTTGAATGGCTCTTCCCGGGCCAGGGTAGGAGGGCACCGATAGGGGAGAGGTCAAGTGACTGTGCTTCTGCTTGTGCTTGTACTAGCGAGCGAAGAACCAGCGACATTGTACTGTGCAACGACGGTCAACGTTGCCATTTCCAATAACAACAACAGCAACAAGAACAGGGTGGTACTGGCAATAATATCTATCAAACACGCGACTCCTGTGGGGGGATGGGGGAGGGAGGGCTTCCATGACGAGGGCTAGTGAGGCCCAACAACAGACAAACACATAGGTAAAGGAGCATGAAACTCTCCACTCATTCCGCAACAACATAAAGCCCATCCCAGACCCACCTTTACCTCCACCGTGCGCATAGAGCGCGTGTTTTATCGATAGCATGTAGTTAGTGCTAAGCAAGAAGGAAGGTCTCCAATGGTTGTTGGACGAAACTGTCTTGGGCGGGAGGAAGGGAGGGAGGCGGACGACACAGAATACATAGATAGATAGATGGACAAAAAAATAGTATAAATCCACCGGGTCGGGTCTCGTCGTTGCGTCGTGTCGTGTCGCGTCGAGAGACACGCGGGTAGAAGACCAACAAGGTGTTTGCATGAAGGGGACGATGCAAGAATAGAGAGACACACGAACACGAACATCAATATCTTATCTGAATACATATACATATACATATATATGCACACCGTGGAGAGAATTTAATCCTTCATCGACAGGGCGGCAGGGAGGGAGGGAGGGAAAGTCAAGAGGCCCAAAGATGCCAATGAAGAAATGCGCCGTGTGTAAGTAAGTCGTCGGTCGTATCGATCGACAATAGAAAACTCGCCCCTCGGAACGGATGGTGGACGATGGATGAGACGAGTGAGATGGTAAAAAGCAAATTGGTCAGGCAGTCCTAAAAGAGAGAGGGGGGGGGGAATGTGGGATGAATGTGATTCGGTATACATGTGCTTCCAGCACCCAGCAACACGACGAATCCTCCCCTTCCCTCTGATGCTGAACCTACAACCGTTGCCACATGCATTCATTCATTCGTAGGACATCATGTCTCCAAAAGAATGGATTAAAACAACGTCAAAAAAGACATCACGGCAAATTCCAATATCATGCTTCAGGCCTGGATGCTGCAGTCGTCAATCACGCGGTAGGACACACCCCAGCATTTGCAGAGCCCTCGGTCCCCTAAGATGTTTTGTTATGGCTTGGTCTGCCTCGATCTGCCTGCCATATGTGTCCCGCTCGTAGATGTGCCTGAATTGAGGAATTCAAAAGCCCCCTACAGGCTGAACTCCAGCCTGTTGCCAGCGTAGTCTCTCGCGAAAAATCGTTGCGGATACTCCACGCCTTGGGCTCCTTTGCGAAGGCCAGTGGCGTCAGTTCACAGCATTCCTCGCACAATAATGATGATAATAATAATAATAGCCTGGAACGTCTCTTGGACGATTCCAGCTAGGACAGTCGCAAAAGTGGTCGAGAAATACTCACCTGAATTGACCTCTCCAGGCTGATCCGCCTCGGTCGGGGCCGCCTCGCCTCCTCTCATGAAATGGTCCCAGATTCTCTGTCTCAACTGCAGAAGGGCCTCTGGAGACGCCAATTTGAAGCACGGATGTCTCGAGGAGCGCTTCTCGAAATCCGAGGGTGCCCCAAAGGCAACGTGTACCTGCTGTCCCGAGGAGCCAATGTCGAACCATGCCAAGGTGCCCTTTTGCAAGTGCGGGACCGGACGCGGCGTGAGACCCATAGTTGTCCCGTAGAAATCGTTGGCTTGGTCGAGCGTGCCGGCCGGAACAGTGAGATTGACGTGGGCGAGGCCCGTGATGAGTGAGGTTGAGTCGAGAGATCCCATGGTTGCTGGCTTCCCAAGGGCCGATGAATGCGTTGAGGAGAAAGAGGGTCGTGATGTTCAGCTCAACCTGTCTTTCTTATTGTCTCTTTTCTTTTTCCTTGCCTTTCCTGGCTCGGGCTCGCTTTCCAGGTTGATGGAATGAGGAAAGTCTTTGGCCTGACAATGGAATTGAAGGCGGGAAAAGACGCCGAAAGAGGGGGTGCTGCTTGTCGGTGTTTGCTCCGGCTTCTCCCACAAGGAGCTGAGATTTCGTCTGACCAGGACGTCTGACCGTTAGAAACCATGTGAGACCTCGTCTTTTTGCCAGAGTTTCTCCCGAGTCGAGGTGAATGATGGGCGGTCAGACGGAAAATCCGGTCATTGGCGGGTAGCGGTCAAATACCGACACACATTTCGCTTAGCCGAACAAACCAGCGTCAAGCTCTACCAATGATGCCACCAGCTTCCAGAGTCGCGAGGTGCTCACGTACAGGGAGGGAGAATGGTTGTTTCATCTAGTAGGGGAGATCCAGAATATAGGAGAGCTCGATCACAATACCATGATACTTGCTCTGTTGTGTTCTCGCAACCGTCAGAATTCCTTCTTCCGGGCTCGCCGACCACCCAGTGTTGCCTGCTCTTCGCCAGCCAATGCATCTCTGAAGCACAGAACATAGACATCATGGAATGCTGTATCACGAACCTTCACTCCATAAGAGCCTCATAGACTTCCGCACACGTTCATACCCTATTTCCCAACCTCGACAGACACTTACCTTCCCAGGATTAAGAGTAGGGCCGGGGGAGCGCATTCACCTCACCCACCATGAGTACCAAGATCCTAGAGATGGTTGTGGCCTTTCTAGCATATGGGATTCCCAGGATTTTGGACACAAAAGCTATGACGACGGTGGAAAGGTCGCTTGAAGAGAAATGAGAGTATCTCTGGGAAGCCGTCCATACAATGACCGCCAAATGGTACCTTTGCTCGGGGTCGAGATCCATGATCGCGAGACTTGGGTTGGGGACAGCAGAACATGAGGCCAACAGCTGAAGAGGCAGTTAGACCTCGGCGTCTTATAGGTGAGTTCGACCTGGATGGCGTTCGTGCATCCTGACCGCTTCTTCTTGCAGGCAGGTGCCATACCAATCAAGGTTGACCACTCCCTAATTCGACACGGTCCCGTCCGCCTGACGGTGGGCTTGAGAATACCCGGGCAGATGTGGAGTAAGCGAAGAGGCTGGCACGGCAGCAATGGCAACGCGATGCTCTTGGTCATGCAGTATCATTAGTCAATTCTGCTTTTCACGAGACCCAAACATTACGTCGATGTGCCAGTGCTCTGAGTTCTGGCAGCAAACACGACACTAGGTGGTCATCTGTTGGAGCAAGGGGACATGATTCATGTCAGAAAAATGGCAGAGTTTGGGACATTGGTGGCCAGCCTTCAGCGGACAGGTGGTGGGCAGAATCCTAAGGCATCACTCTGAAACTCCATCTCTTTGCTTTGGCAGAGGAGCTCACACCTGACCTGCTCTAGTTTATGTCAAACAAGATATCCTCGCAGGTTTACTTGGTCCCCGGCCGTGTTCCAATTTTGTGGGGTGCTCGACATCAAGCACCAGGGGAGGCATCCTGAAGGTTTGGACAGGGGTGGTTCTAGCTTTTCAAAATGACAGAGCAATATGCCGGCAGCTGTCGACGCAACATTGGATGTGGATGGAAGTCTTCCGGAACAAATGAGGGAGGGTCACTTGTAACTTGGTAGACGATCTTCATCTTCCTGGGCAAGCCGGGAAAAAGCACAGCTTGAAGACTTACGAGCCCACCGGTGCATCACCGACATGAGCTGGCTCTCGGATACCCATTGATTAGAAAGTGGTGCATGCCAGGGTTCACTGTGCCAATGTGTGCCGAATTTGAAGGAGAACGGGCCCCGTTGATGTCGCGCAATACCGTTGGGAATGGGGGAAGCCACCAGATGCTACCGCGCGGGAGCTTCCTCGCAATCCTGAAAAGCGAAGATCTTCCCACTTGAAGTCGTAAAACATGGGCCGTTCTCGTATGGAAGATCAATCAGAAGTGAGGCTCATTGACCCTGGTGAGACACCGCGGATTGTTAGAGGGTTGATCCCTGGCCAGAAAAAGCAATCGGCCCCCGTGATGGATGACGTCGTTGTGTACCTTGGGCCCTTGTTGGTTTTTGCCCCGTGCAAAGAGAATTCCTCATGACGACTAGATACCTGGGTCGTCCTCGCTGCCTGAGGCAAGCCATGTAGCAAATAGGTCTGTGTGATGTTGCCGCCCAAGCCGTCTGTCTATCGAGTGGCCGGTCTACAGCATCACGCCCAACCGTCATTCCGTAGAGAGAGACAAAAAACACCACATGAGGGGCCGAGGAAGAACCCTTCTTTTATATCTGGTCGACGCAGGGACTTCATCCCCCAAATCAACGCCAGTCCCTGCATAGGAGGAAGCTCGTGTTGACAGAGTGGTTATCGTGCGTCAAGCATTACGGGGCGCAACAGATTTCCGGGTCGTTAGTGGCTCGCTCTCTTTTTCGTAACGATGTTGGTTACTATTGTCCAGGCCATACGACCCATCCATTCTCTCCTTCTCTAAAGGTGTCAGGAGTACTGTCCAAGAAGTAATTGGCGGGCTCACACCGCGTAAGTCTTTCGGGTAATTAGACTCGCGTCCGAACATTTGCTAGAGTGTGCTTGTCAATATCCCGGTCACCAGGCGACTCTCGTGTAACGCTATAGGCCGCACCCACACCAGGTCAGCCTACTTGCGGCGTGCGACGCTCGAAAATATCCGAATCTTCAGCGGCTACTCAAGCGGCAAGGGCAGACTAAGAACAACGATCTTTCTCGTACTGTACATATGTTGATATGCCACACTCGACCCACCCGGTGACTCGCCGGGATTCAACGCGACGAGGAATTCGCAGAGGCAGATGCTTGAAAGGTCAACGCGCATGTCAAGATTGGTCGTCGAGGTCAGACATGGGATTGCCATCGTTTCGATGCCCGAGAGGCTCTCTAAACTGCTTGGGTAGGTTCTTCACCGGCCGGCTCTCGACAAAGGCGACCCCAAGGGTTGACTGCGATAAGCATCATCGCCTGCTTGGAGTTGCAACGGAGTAAGTGAAACTTGGAATGTCGGCGTGACTCGACCGATGGCGAACTTCGGTTGGAAGATATGATGTCGATCGGACAGAGAGAATGAGTGATCAACGACGTCAAGCCGCAGCTGCTAAGTGGCCCAGTTAAGCCACAGGAGGCATAGCGGCTCCTCCGTGGCCACCCCCCCTTACACAAGCGGCTGCCTGGGCCCGCCTTCCGTCCCAATCCTCTTGGCCCTCCACCATCTTTCGCTTGCCCTAGGCGGTGCGATTCCCGGCTATCCGTCCGTCAATTTTCGTTGCCTCTGCCGCCCCCATAGGGTCTCTCTTCCTTAACTGGAATGATCCCTGGGTTTGAGGGTCCAGGGGAGCCTATGCCCTGCCTATCCACCACGTTGCTCCCTTCTGGGTGAACAGCCTTGCCTAAGGTTACCGTCGCCCGTCCCATCTCATCATAATTTGCCTTCACTGGTGACGCCTTTGCTCGCCACCACCACCACCACCACCACCTCGTGGCCGCCATCGCTTGCATTCTATCTCGACGCTTGCCGTGTCATCGCCCCTCCCCCGAACCCTCGGCCACTGATTCGTGATATACCGGTAGACAAAGCGACAGGAGCGACTGAAACACGCAGAGGCGTCTGACCCTCGCCTCTCTTCGTGAAACCCCCTCCACCGAACAAAAAGCAATCCAAGCACCCAGCGTCTCATCCAATCCCAAACAGCCCACCGGATGGCTGGCAATCTCTGACTCCCAGGAGGCAACACTGTTGTTGATCAACCCGCCGTGGTCCACCAGAGGCTCGAGGTCACGACGTAACTTGCCCAGCGATCCGTGGGACAACTTACCCAGATCCACAAAACCATAGCTCACCACCACTCAGCCGCCTCATCTCGATTGCTCGACGGTTCAGGACTGACCGCAGCTGTGTACACAGCTCGCCAGGACACTCACCCGCTCAGGCCCTTCACGTCTGACTTTTCAGGTTCCGCTCTTGGGCGAGAGGGAGCCCATTATTTTGCTCCCTAGCAGTTAACTTTCCCCTTTGACGATCAGGTTATCCACCCTCCATCCATTCACGATAATCATCCGCTTCGCTCACTTCGCCGACCCTGGTTGCGACCTGGTAACCCTGGTGCCCTGCCTTCGTCCCTCCCACTGCGGCAACCGCGTACCCTCCCTCCCCCAAGGTCCCAAATACTTCGTCAACCCACCCGTGCCGTCTCCGGGTCTATCTGCTGGCCGAAAAGCATCCTACACTCACACTTCCACAGCCTTCCCCTTCCAGCCAAAACCACGGACTACCTCTCTGGCTTATACCACCTGAGCGGGTGCCACCGCTTTGGATGCTCGAAATACCTTGGGACTGGCGCAGGCCTAGGTCAATGCGCTCGTCTTGAATTGCACACAAGGCCAATGCGTCATTCGGCAACTCCAGAACGTCGGTCAAGCAAGATTGGGACAACAAGCTGGACCACCAGCGCGTCGGCAACAGATACTTCAAGACTGGCCGACGCCAGATGCAAAGCTCCCCATCACCATCGCCCACGGCTACGGCAGCCTTCCCTCAACCAGTCTCTATGACTGCGCACGAACCAGCAGGCATAGCACACCGCCCATCTATATCTCCTCCATTATCCAGTGCTTCCTCCTCTTCTTCCGAATCGGACTTCCCGCAATCCTCCTCACCTCGGCCGGTCTCGCGAAGGACGCGGATCGAAAGACCTCGACTGGGAGACAGGCAGAGATCGAATACCATCATCGTACCCAAAGGTCGAGACGTCGTCCAACGAGAAAGACCCCAGTATCCCCCCGACGACGCCAGAGCAATGAGTCCCCGACGGAACAGTGAGGACATCGAACGAATCGAGCGTGGGCTTCGCGAGACTCTGAAAGAGTAGGAGACAATAGCTTCTATGGAGTGCTTCAGGTACTAACTCGATTTATAGGCAAGCGCGAAACCTGCAATCTTCGCTCGCCGCTTTGGCCGAAAAGATCGACGAGGTCAAGAATGACCACGACAAACTCGAGACAGAGAACCGGTTCCTCCAGGATTACATCGGCGGCTTGACAAGAACGATGTCGAGAGACAACCTCGGCCGAAGTGCAAGCACCAGCAGCAAGCAGAAAGGCAAACGATGAACCCACGACCGTTACGACACCCATATCTGTTTATTTCCCTTGACCATGTTGGCCAACAAGGCATGTCTGGTGTTTCGGTCGCAAGCATGGCAATCAGATGAAAGAAAAAGGAACGGAAAAATCATCAGGCCTCGATATTCTCAGTACACGCCAGAGATATGGAGGGCCTCACGGGTGGACGAGTTGTTGTTTTTGTCAACCACTCCACATGTCTTTTATGATACCCACGCCCATTTTACCACGCTGGCCGAGCACCAGTCGCAGAAAGAGTAGAATTGATTATCGTCACCATCAACATTATCATCATCAGCAAGCAGCAGCAGCAGCAGCGGGAGTCAGAGCAAATCCTCCCATCCCTTTTGGTCGTTAGCAGGTGCCTTCGCCGTTCTTGTACAACAACATCTACTGGCTAGGCTTTACGGAGTTCATTGGCGCAAGGGTTTTGTGGAGTTCACTCATTTATCCTACTGACGCCAGTAGGAATAGGCAGGTAATTGGACCGGATCAGTCCAGTCGACTCAGTCACCCAGCGTTGTCATAGCCTTTCGGTCAGAGAAAGGGTGATAGGACGGTGCGTCCGCGGCATGATGCTCCCTCTAGCAGAGGCAAGAGGTTGCCATCGCGCCGTGGAATTGGTATAGTCAAGTGCAAAATGGATCAAATGCACAATTTTCTCCTTTATTCTATCTGGGATCCCTTTTATCTTGACCATCTCGGGCTCGATTCAGTGATTGCCGTAGCTTTGTTTCTGCCTCTCCCCGCTGCATATACCGCGACCCATTACAGCCTCGCCTATCATCACTATCTCTTGCAGTCATCCCTAAGAAGTGCTCGTCAGCGGAGGCACATGGTTTGTTTCTCCTTCATTTCATCCCACCGTCATATGGCCAATTTGCCCTGTGGTTCTTTGCTTAGCAGGCTGCGTCCGTTGTCAACCTCCGCGATTCCTGTTTCCCCAACATGGCATCTTTGGATCATTGCTGAGATCGACAACTGGAGAAGTCCCAATTATTCGTTCTCAACCCGCGGCGCATTCACACCGAGAGTGAGTAAAGACATTGCCCCGCGCACGGCCTGCGCTTCGTCCGTCTCTAAGTGGTGGGATGGACGGAGTTCTGTTCCCCCTGGCACGGGTGTCGCCGAGAAGGGCAACCTCATGCGGCTGAGTCTCGAAAGGTCGAACGCCCGGGCTTCTGGGCGAGATCAAGTCCGTACGGTGGGCATGGGGACCAGGTAGCTAGGTAAGAGCCCAGGCTCTAGAACTGTCCGAGTCCTTCTTTATTTGGACTGCGCTTGAGTCTTCAGTCCCTTACCAGTCACGCCCTCGAAGCCCGAGCCTGGGTGGGTAAGTCGGTGGCCTGTGTCTCTCCCTGTCTGCTCGAAAATTGGTATGGACGTGTGCCGAAGCAAGGCACATTCTTGACCGTTCCGTCGGTTTCGCCGAAGACAAAAATTCAGCGGGCTATTGTTGTGATTGTCTTACCTTTGAATTGTCTTGGCCACTCCAAGGGTAGCGAGTGATGCAATAGGTGTGCCCCTTCCCACCCTTTTGTTCCCCTTTGATAACGAGGGAAACGGCACCGTATAGGACGCTGTCTCACGTCTGACTGGCTGGTTGGCTGACGAAGAGGCCCAGATCTGGATCCAATTCGGTCCTTATCGAGGTAGATTTGATGGTGCTTTCCGGTTTCTTCGAAGAAGCTGAAGAGCTTGAGCGACTTATGTATGCTTAGATATCCACGCGCGTGGCTTGGCCGATTCTTCGACACCAGCGTAGGAAGAGTGGAGCTTGTCCCAATACTCCGGGATACGAAGTTTGAGTTAGTATTCGTGATTGCACTGCTGAAGTTGACTGGGGCGTGGTTTGTTTCGAGCAGCCTAGGCTGGCTCCCTGTCGGCCCAGGTCTGATATCTGAGCCAACAACCCTCGAATTCTGCTTCCACTCCGCAGTGCTCGCTCCCGATGTTGAAATAGTGGATGAGATTGAAGCGAGACAGGAGTCAAATGCATGCCTGTATCGATCATTCACAGGGCGCTCCCGGACGTCAACAGCGTCTCGTCCTCTTCATTTGTCCAACATCTCTTCCCTCGTGCAACGGTTCACAGCATGCAGGTCCTGAGCGGCAGTCCAGGTTCTCTGCCCGAGGAGGAAGGAGTAGTGAAAGCAAAAAGGCCTGTCTAAGCCGCTCAGCCTTGTGCAGGGGAAGAACTTAGCAATCAGAGTACCGAACCAAGGTATTGAACACTGTTCAGAGCATTCAGCTCAGCCTCGTCGACCACAGATAGCCTTGCCTCCAACCTCAATAATAACACTAACCCTAGAAGTGGCTGTTCTGTCCTCATTCTCTTTCCAGAACGACAATCCACAATTGATATTTAATGTGCCACCGGCCAACAGTCCCCAAGTGATGAAGACCCTCACGCTGATCTCTGTAATCCCTATCACGCTGTTCTCCCCATTCTTAAAGGCATGCACAATAGGCGTTACCGAGGACGTTCCCGGAATCGACATCGAGGTCCATTTCGTGCAGGAGGTCACCTGCGGTGGCATCGGTAGGTGTTGGGAAGGTTCCTGCCACAGCGGACATGGCAGGGTGACCAGGAGCCCATCAGACTCAAGTTTGTAAGGCTCCTTCGAAGAATGCCTGGAGCGTTAGGGGTTGTGGCCAGGACGAAGTCGTCCTGCCTCGCCTTTGTAGCAGCCTGTTGTCGTGTCTGGCCCTGAGGTATCCTGCGTGGTACACATCTGGGATCTGCAGTGCTTTCTTATCGATCTGGTTCGAATCTAACCGAGCTCTATGGACACAGGGAGATTATTCTCCCATCGCTGCTGAATCTTTGGTGTGATGACCCATCACCCTCTTCGAAACTAGATTTTCTGTATCGAAATGTCAGCGGGAGGCGAACGGGGTATTTTGCTGAATCGCATTCGGAGATAAATTATGAGCTAAATGGAGTCAAGAGACGCTTCTTAATCGATCCGGTGATTCCCTTTGAAGTAGAACCATTCGAATATGCTGTTCCCCGACCTGTAGCGGCCGTAGGAAGAGACTGGAATTGGCCGCTATGCTTGAACAAGCTATTGTGGAGGCCATGTGTAACGGTAAGACGGATGAAAGCGCCGGTGGGGGCTGTGGCTTGTCGATAGCGATGGTCTCTGGGCTTCAATCAGATGATATCAGAGGGAGGACTCTGATCACGTATGAGAGACATACCTGACTGTCGCTCTGTCTCGAGATATGGATGGCGAGTCAACGCGGGCGTCAGGTGCAAGATTCATCAGGTCGCCAACCTCGAGATTGTGCTTGATGCTAACAGACTGCTGTAGGCTTGAGCGTCAACACAAGGTCGTCCCAATGGTCTGAATGAGTACCTAAACATTTCTCGCTTGCTGACTGTGCAATACTGTAACTAAGGTACATGAGAATAATATACCAGCCCCCATTTTGTTGGCCGTCCCCTGATAAATATACCCCTGGCTTCATCCGCCTTCGTACGCAAGAATGTCTAAACTTCCAAGAAAGTCAATGGAGAGCGAGCACCGTCAAAAATACGATTCAGAAATACGAGTTCCACCGACTCTAAAATATCATCGACTTTGGGCCCTTTATGGATAAATTTGGTCCCCCACATTCGCTAGATGCTGGAGCTTCAACTTGAGAGGCTCGCCTTATCTTTCAACCATCTGCTACAGGACCATCTTTGTACCTAGTGACCCGCCATCCAGCCCCTCGACGGAACAACCTTACGGCCCTATCGCTATACCCCCAGAGCCAGACTTGTCAGAAAACGGACTCACCTCTGGTTCTCAATGGCGGCATCGTGGAGCCGGGAGAAGCGAGCGTTCAAGCGGGACGCGTATGTCAAGTGGAACTATGTGAGACCTCGATCAAACATTCCCTTCTGGGAGATCTGCTAACATGCGATAGTCTTTGTCAATGCTTGGGCGTGTCGTCCGTTTGCGACCGCCGACTCCACCGTCCACAGCTGAAGACTGACTCGTAAGAGACCAACCGAATCCAGTTAACGCCAGCAAGCCGCCTATTACACATCCTCCTTCATCAATTCCGCTCTCTGCCATAGGATGGACATTGATCTGCATCGGCAGCACGTGGAGGGTCGGAGACGACACCGAGATGGCGAGGCTGAGCATGGTTGGTATCGGCCAGAGGACAAGAGATCTAGGACACACCGCGTGCCTCGGAGGAATTGGGCCCTCCAGACACGGGGTAGGTCGCCATCATCTGACGGTATAAGAAGGACTTGATTGTTCCGGTGGAAGTCTCAAGGAGGGGGTTTCCCGTCATCATATCTGGTGCGCAACTACCTCGCTCTCCCCCGTCTTCGTATCCAGCCAGCCTTGCATGTTTAAGCCTCGGCGTGGTCAGGAGTGTTGACTCGGTATTTTGTCATGGCTGCACCAAAGTTGGCGCGAATTGGCGGGAGCAAGGTTCGCAGTGGTTGTGTTACTTGCAAGTATGGCTTCCCATCTGCCTGTTTGCACTGAGAACGAAGGTTGACCAATTGTTCGGGAAAAGGGCCAGACATATAAAGTGCGACGAAGGGAGGCCCATCTGTCAGAGATGCATACGAAGCAAAAGAGAATGCAAGGGCTATGTCGATCTGGCCAAAAGCGTGAAGCCGAACAGAAAGGGACGGGCTTTTGTTGTCTACGTCCCGGAACCCCTCTACGCGTTGACCTCTCTTCCAGACATGGATTGGAGAGAAAAGCGGTCTTTCAACTTCTTTCGGAATCGAACCGCTGGTGAATTGTCTGGATACTTCTGTCCTCAGCTGTGGTCTCGCTTCGTGCTGAACACAGCCCATCATGAAGACGCCATCAAACACGCAGTGATATCCATTGGCGGTCTGCATGAGCTCTTCCTGCTGCCTTCCCCGTCCGAAGATGCTTCTCTGCTTGCATTTGCCATGCAGCACTACGGTAGAGCGATGCACCATGTGGTTAGGCTTGATACAAACAAATCGGCTCGGGCGGTTGACGTCGCGTTGACAGTGTCAGTCCTCTTCGCCTGCATTGAGATTCTTCGAAAGCATTTTGCCTCTTCACTGAGTCACATCCACTCTGGCATGAGGATATTAGCAGAGCTGGCTCGTCGCTCTGAGGATACCCCGGAGCACTACCTGCCGAGAAATCTGCTGGTTCAGATGTACCTCAGGCTGGACACTCAGGTCATGGAGTTTGGCAAGGACGGATTCCAAGCGCCTCCTGCTTTTGCGATCACTTCTGTCGATCCCATCCCGACCACTTTCAGTGATATTGATGAGGCTCGGTCATCTTTCGAGATGTGTCGCTACCAGATACTGCACTTTGCCCGCCATGTCCAAGCTACAAAAAGGGAGTGTGATTCGCCCAGCGTATATGTCCAGGATTACGATGGTCGGTACCAAGTGCTCCGACAGCACTACAATGAGTGGGTAATGTCCTTTCAACGCATGTTACAAAGAAAACGAACCCACGACCTCGCGGCTCTGACCCTCAAAGCTTCAAGCGTCGCTCTCGACATCATTCTAAACTCATGCCTGGAACCCCATGAAATGGTCTTCGACCTATTTACAGACAAATTTAGGAAGTTGCTCATCATTACAGAGGAGATAGTTCATGGGATGCAGCAAGACTCCAGACCGAGAAGATCACCTAAACATCTAGAAGTCTCTTGCCAAGATGGCGTTCCGGGTGCATTTCCATCAAGTTCGAATCACGACACCAAGCCTGTCATATGCATGAACCTTGGAATCGTCCCGCACCTCTATATGGCCGCAACGAGATGCCGAGAACCAGATATTCGACAGAGGTCCTTGTATCTTCTGAAAACTATCAAGAGGCGGGAGGGGATTTGCGACAGCGATATGCTAGCAGCCTTTGCGCAGAAGCTTGTCCTTGAGGAGGAAGACGGAGCTCGACGACAGATGCAAGGGGTGAACTGCGATCCCAAAAGGCAGATCAAACTTCATTCGTCGACACAAATCCCGGAGACGGTCAGGATCCCAGTTTCACTACACCGACCGCGAGATCTTGACGCAATATGATTAACAAGACCAGTCGGCCAGAGTATTATCGATCAAAGTGACAGTTTGGGTTTTCGCGGCAGATACAGCTACTAGGCAAAAGTTCTCGTACCCCGGCCATTTTACACCAAAACCCACTGTTTTAACACAACAATACCTCCATAACTTAGGCGTCAACCTACCGTTATATTTAAGTCTGACATAGATAATCATAAAAGCTTTGATTTATACATATAAAATTCTACGAGTCCACCGCTGTGGAGTGGGAACTCAAAATATTCTGTATTCCTCTCTGGATTACTCACTCTACAGGTATGAATTCGCAAAATCTTGTATAAAGACTTTAAGCTCTCATAATTATCTATGTCAGACTTAAATATAACGGTAGGTTGACGCCTAAGTTATGGAGGTATTGTTGTGTTAAAACAGTGGGTTTTGGTGTAAAATGGCCGGGGTACGAGAACTTTTGTCCTAGAACTGTAGATTACTCGGAATTTTGCAGATCACGGACACAAGCATCTACTGCTTAGGCGGGTTCTCCACAGTGGATTATGTCGGAAGGATAAATTCAACTGCCTCATCACTCTACGAGACCTGTTGACGGGTACCATAAAGTCTCACAAAATGACGATCCGGTGACCCCTCAACTTTCTCAGCAGCAAACGTGACTATTACTCGCCAGATATGGGCGCTTACACAACCTTTGTCTCAGCGGTCTTCTCCCTGACCTCGGAGACCTTCTCGTCGCTGCTATGGTCGATTCCTTGGAGCGCACTCAGGCGACGAGTGAGACCAATTTCAGCGTTGATCTGGGCCATGCGCTCCTGGTCGGCAACGGCAACACCACTAGATCCGAAAACAAGATCCATTTCCTCAAGACTGAGCTGCTTGGTCTCAGGGACTGGTGGATGCGTCAGTAAACCTTCCTGAAGAGGGTAATTCGTGGGCTTTCTTACCGAAGAACCAGATAAAACCTGCACCCATGGTGATCAAGACGCCAAAAAGAATGAAGGTACCGTATGTGATGCCGGTAATCATATCTGGGGTGACTTGACCGACGATGAAGTTGTTCATCCAGTTCGAGGAAGCTCCAAGGGCGATGCCGTACGGGCGAGCAGACAGAGGCCAGACCTCAGCGACGACGATCCAAGCACTGCATTAAGCGTCAACTTATAAACAAGAAATGGTTTTCCTGGTTTGACTTACCATGGACCCCAGGACCAACCGAAGTGGATGACGAAGAGCCACACCATGACAATAGCAGCCCAGCCAGCTGCGTGATGAGTGGGCCACTGGTGTTGATTCTTCGCGAAGATGACCGCAATGATGAAGTGGCAAAGACCCATACCAAGGGCACCAAGAGCCAGGGCAGGCCTTCGTCCGATTCTATCGATGTAGAGGATGGATGGGATGGTTGCCAAGAACATGGCAATACCGACCACTCCTGTTGCAAGAAGTGAAGTAGTGTTCGATGACAGGCCAAGAGAGGCGAAGATCTAAGCGCACGTCAGTATCTTGCGGACATGAAATTCATCGTGAGTGCCACCTACCTGAGGAGCATAGTAAAGAACGGCGTTGATTCCGGTCCACTGCTGGAAGAACATGGTCACCGTCGCGACAATAACTCGGCGGAACATGGGCATTGTCTTGAACAGAGATGCAATGGCAACAAATTGCAGCTTGATGGTGTTGATTGCTGTCATTTCCGACAGATGAGGGAAGTTCGCCTGAACGGTCCGCTTCTCGAACATGGACTGGGCCTTGATCTCGAGGAACTCGAGGTCAATGAGTTGATGATCGACCGGCAGAGATCGCAAAGTTGCCAATGTTCGACGTGCTTCCTCTTCGCGTCCATGATGGACCAACCATCTAGGAGTGAACGGCATCCAGATCATTCCGACAAGCAGGATCAAGGCAGGGAAGAGTTGAAGGGCTAGGGGCACGAGCCAGGCCGCCTCAGATTGGCTGTCGCCTGTTCCACCAATATAATTGGTGCCATAGTCCTGAAAAGGAGTCAGTGGAAGCATTACCAGACTCATGGAGATCCACCTACGATCCAGAAGCTGACCATGATGCCGAATTCGATGGCGAATTGTTGCACTCCGATGAGCAGACCTCGAAGCTCAGGAGGCGAGCATTCGGCGACGTACATGGGCACGATCATGGAGAGTGAGCCAACGCCCATACCGACTATAAATCGACCTCCAAGTATGGCTGAATGGCCAGCTTGGACAGCTGTGCATTGCACCACAACACCAATGATGAAGACACAAGTGTTCACCACGATGGCATATTTTCTGGAGATGATCTCGGCCAGGAAGCCGGAGTACAGAGTACCGGTCCAGGCGCCCAACTCAAGGATCGAGGTGAGCCACCCTTTCTTCGACTGGTCCGTGGTGTAGTCCCCCATGTGCCTATTGAAGGAGTTCATGGTCCTGTCGTTCTCGTCAGCCTTTGCAACCCCCAAGCAGCGGACATAATCGCCGAAGCAGGAGACAGGTCGTGAGACTCATCTGACGGGGAAAAGTGGTATGACTTACAGGACACCGCTGAAAACACCTTGGTTGTAACCGTAAAGGAGACCACCAATACAAGCAAAACAGGCAATCAGAAAGACTCGGAAGTTCCTGACCAACGCCTGCGGGCCAGCCTTGCCGGCCAGCTGCATACGTTGCTGCAGAGCAGCATCGGTGAATTGAGAGGTCTTTCCCGCGTGGACCATGTTTGCGACTGTACAACGACAGCGACAAATGATTTCTTGGAGTAATTGTGACTGGGGAGTGGTGGACTGCAGACAGACCGCCAGATGGGCGTGTCTTTGAACTTCTATATCATCGACAGCTGATCATCTCCATGTGCCGTCTTCCGCCTTCAGGCTAATTCGATCCCTGGAGAACACACATGGCGCACATGGACCATGTTACATCCACCTCAATCATATGTAACGATGGCAATTTCATTGGAGAGGAGGTGGGTATCCAGGCTAGCGGACGTGCAATCGGCAGAAAGCTCAGCGAAGCATTCATTGCACGGGAGGGCTAAGCACCACCAAGGCCAGATCAAGGAATATCCCTTAGGGATCGGCAGCTAGCATCCGTTTCAAAAACGCCATCGCAGCCACCAGGCTCCGGGCTTGTCTGACACATTCGATTAACATCAATCTGCGACCTCGACTCAACGAATACAGTGCCTAGGCCGTCACTGGGGAACGAAACTTGGCTCCTATGCTCATTGTCAGACCACCAATTTCTCCTCCCGTGTTCTGGACAGAACGTTCCGAGCTGGGTGTCATTGGCGGGAGACTCGCATGGGTATCTGGATAAATCGACCCCCTTGACCGTCGAATGTTCCATGCGGGTGTTCTATGGAATGACGAGATCAAACCTTGCAAGGACGGCACTCGTCCTGACTGCGCAAGGCCGAAAGGATCACGAGAGGACCGGGAAGCCCCCAGTTCTCCACAGAATGGACGCCTCCGCCTCCACAGTCACAGCTGGCAATTAGCCTAATTGACCGAAGTCATCATTTCCTGCAGCTGAGGGTAGGCAGACTTGCCATTTCCCCTCTCTTCTGTACTGTCTGCCCTTTTACTCGTTGGACAACTGAAGGAGTAATAGCGAGAGAGAAAACCCGAAGTGCAGATCCTGGTGACGATATATCCGTCGATGCTGGAGCTAGGACTTGCTGCCGTGATGCCCGTCCGTCCACCCGCCACCGGCCTTCGACTCTTTGGAGCTTACAACGCTCCAGAAAATGCTTAGTGGTGTTTTGCTTTCTCTTGCTCATCCAACGCAAGTCACCAGGAGGAATGGCAGAGATACTTTGTCAGTGCAGTCATAGGCATCGGCAATGGCAACAACTTGCGTCCCCCGGTCGCTCCCTGCCGGTAATTTAATACTGGAATGATCGTCCCTGCAAGGTCTGGTCTGCTCAAGGATGAATTCTCAATGATGGCTAATTCCTCATTGACCTGCTTGACAGGTCTTGCGGAGCATGGGAGGGGCATAGCGGACACAAGGTCGGTGATAACAATACCCTTATAATCCAGGATGGAGACCGTGAAGACATTTTCTTTTATCCGCTGTGTAAGAGCTTTTCGCAACTTCCCAGCGCAAAGGGCATTGAAACCATGGCAGCTACTGTGCTCGGCCTCCTCGCGCTGCTGGCTGTGCCGGCGGCAGCAGATTTGTTCCCGGACTGTGTCCATGGGCCTCTTGCAAACAATACTGTCTGTGATACGTCTGCCTCAGTGGCAGACAGAGCCAAGGCACTCATCGGAGCCATGACTCTGGACGAGAAATTCAACTTGACAGGCAACACGTCTCCAGGAGTGCCGCGTCTGGGAATACACAGCTATCAGTGGTGGCGTGAGTCTACCCAAAGGCTGGGGGCTTTACTCGTCGTACTGATCAGATATCAGAGGAAGCATTACATGGCGTGGCAAGTTCTCCGGGCGTGAGCTTCAGCCAAAACGGAGAGTGGTCATATGCGACCTCCTTCCCACAACCAATCCTGATGTCGGCGGCGTTTGATGATGCGTTGATTCACGCTGTCGCAACGGTTGTCAGCACCGAAGCACGCGCCTTCAACAATGCCAACAGGAGTGGACTGGATTACTGGACACCCAATATCAACCCGTATAAGTAAGTAGCCTTGCAGGCCAAGTTTTACACAGCCGCAGCGCCAGGAGTTCTGTTCTAACCGATCAATGTTGCAGGGATCCGCGTTGGGGTCGGGGCCAGGAGACCCCGGGAGAAGATCCTTTCCATCTCAAGTCTTATGTCGCTTCCCTGATCAATGGTCTCCAAGGTGGCCATGACCCAGCGATCAAAAAGATCGTAGCCACTTGCAAGCACTTCGTAGCGTACGACCTGGAGAACTGGGAAACAACAGACCGATACAACTTCGACGCCCAAGTGACCACCCAAGACCTAGCCGAGTTCTACATGCAGCCGTTTCAGACTTGTGCGAGAGACGCCAATGTTGGGTGAGTGAGATGTCGGCTAATGCTTGCGGCCAAGTCACTAACAAACCCATAGCTCGATCATGTGCTCTTACAACGCTCTGAATGGTGTGCCCACCTGCGCCGATCCGTACATTCTCCAAACAATCCTAAGAGAACATTGGAATTGGACGGGTGAGGGCCAGTACGTGACCTCTGACTGCGACGCAATCCAGAACATCTACATGCCGCACGACTATACAACATCCCGAGAGCAAGCCGTCGCCGATGCCTTGAAAGCAGGAACGGATCTTAACTGCGTAGGTCATCCTATGGCCTGTCCTTATACAACAGGCTGAATAGTGCTGACTTTGTCCAAGGGTACATACTACCAGACACACCTTCCTGTGGCGTATGAGATGGGGCTGTTCAATGAAAGCGTCCTTGATCAGACCTTGACCCGTCTATACTCTTCCCTGATACGCCTGGGGTATTTTGATCCTGCATCCGCCACTCCGTATCGCTCCCTCGGCTGGCAGAATGTTTCCACCCCGGCGTCGGAAGCTCTTGCATTGAAAGCCGCCGAGGAAGGCATCGTGCTCTTGAAGAATGACGGCACGCTGCCATTGTCTCTGCCAACAAACAAGAACACCACCATTGCTCTGTTTGGCGAATGGGCCAATGTGACGACACAGCTGCAAGGGAACTACTTCGGACAGGCTCGCTTCCTTCACGCGCCACTGTATTCCCTGGAGCAACTACCTCACGTCAACGTCCTCTACACGAGCAGTCAAGGCAGTATCAACTTCCCCACCACCGATAACTGGGATGACCTGATCTCGGCTGCTGAAGAGGGCGACATAGTGATCGTCGCGGACGGCATCAATGATGACGATGAAAGCGAGAGCTTGGACCGGTACGACATCAGCTGGGCCCCGGGCAAGATCGATCTGATCAACCAGGTCACGGCGATGGGCAAGCCCGTCATCTTGCTTCAGTTGGGTGACCAGCTCGATGACACTCCATTCCTGAACAACCCCAACATCTCGGCTATCGTCTGGGGTGGTTATCCGGGCATGGCCGGAGGTGATGCCCTCGTCAACATCCTCACGGGCAAAGTGGCCCCGGCAGGAAGGCTTCCCGTTACGCAGTATCCTGCCGACTACGTTGAACAGGTCGCGATGACGGATATGAACCTGAGGCCGAACGCCTCCTCTGGCAACCCTGGCAGGACGTACAAGTGGTACGACAATGCTGTTCTTCCATTCGGATATGGTCTGCACTACACCAACTTCAGTCTCTCGGCAGCTGAGCCTCAGCAGTCTTTCAACATTTCCAAGCTGGTGTCTGGCTGCGACCGTTCGACGTACAAGTACCTCGACCAATGCCCCTTCAGCACGTTCAACGTCAACGTCACCAACACGGGCAAAGTGGCGTCGGACTTTGTCACGCTGGGATTCATCAGCAGCCAGAACGGACCTGCGCCACATCCCATCAAGGAACTGGTGGCGTACCAGAGGCTGTTCAACATCACAGGGGGCTCGTCGCAGACGGCGGCGCTGAACTTGACGCTAGGCAGTCTTGCACGGCGAGATCAGAACGGAAACCAGATTCTGTATCCTGGTGACTATGGATTGTTGTTGGATGTGCCAACCCAAGCCATGGTGAACTTCACCTTGACCGGCAGCCCGGTGACACTGGATCAATGGCCACAGAGACCGGCCAGTGGGTGAGGGATGGAAGGGGAGCCGGGAAGGACGGAACGAGGGAGACCCGAAGAGGCATATCCGCGATAGACAAATGATACCTACCTAGGTGTGTGCGGAGGATCACACATGCTTGGGAGGGCACTGGGATATGGATTGGAAGGTGTTGGGCTTGGTTCAGTAGAAGACGGAGTCAGGGCTAGTGAGTGAGGCCTAGTAGTGCCCCGGGTACGGTTACGTACTGCATAGGTAGTGACCGGTAGGTACTTGGTAGCGAAGTTAGGGATACCTAGCAGTGCCTTAGCAGGTACTCGTATTCCCCCAGGCAGCTTAGTTCCACCCTAGTCACTGCTGGCAGTATGCCTCCCACTGGGGGGAAGCGTCACCCCTCATCACATGCATGGGCCTTGGCTCCCCGTGCCTCTCTTTGTGCACAACCTCATCCAGTTCTTCGGGCCAGGATCAAGGATTAATTCAACCACCACCACCACCATCATCATCATCGAGACTTGACCTCTCATCCATGGCTTGACCGAGTCATTTAGCTCCCCCTTCTAAAGCGACCTTGCACTCCCTCCATCGTATCCCTCCTCCATTCAACACCTCCGACTCCAAAGCGAAGCAACGGGACCACACCACCAGAAGAACAGCCAGCCACCTGGCCACGCTGACTCGATCCCGCATACACTACTGCTCCTTCTCCACGGCCGTCAACTTCCAAATCCCTTCGGTGTACCCGCGTCTCCACCTGCCCATTCTCTGCAAACGAGGCTCGAGAACCGTGCCTATCTACCTCGTCGCCCACTCACTTACCACACCATCTATCGAACTAACCGGGTTTCTTCTCTGTCAAACCTAATCATCTCCTCGTCTCTGTTCGGTTTCGGCGCCCTCTCTTTGTGCTAGGAGAAATCTTTGGCGCCACTGACGAGGGTGGGAATAGACCGGCACGACACAACAGCCTGAACCGTCATTGGTTCGTTCGACGACCGATTTGAATTGGTGTGCTTTGCAAAGCTCTTGAGTCTCGTTCTCATCGACAGGGTCAGTCGGGTGACTATTGGACTGCAGTGGGTTGAATCCAACTATACCTTCAGTAGTCCCGTCCTGTATGGTGTGTTTCAAATATCGAAGCCAAGGGAATACGGACCAGACTCGATAGGGAATCTATCATCGAACAGTGTGACTGTCCTGCTGCGTTGCACTCTACCGGACCCCTGGTACCATTTGGTTCGTATGAGGGACCGATGCTAAATGGTCGGACTGTTCCTCGGTCTGGTATGAGTGGCTATCTCTCGCATCAAGCAAGAACCAGCAAGTCATAACATTCTCCACTGGTGTCTTGCGGACTCCTCGCTCATCCCTCCAATCCATTCCCGGTCTGGACTTCTGCATTGCCACGACTATCGCCATACCCCTCCACCCCACAACGCAGGACTATCATGGGACTCTTCAAATCTCTCAAGGGTAAGATCGACGTCGGGACGGAGAGTCCTTCTGACAATAACAACAACAACCTCCTAGGTCGCGAAGGACGATGGAGCCGGACGCAAGGTCGGAAGGAAGAACAGTTCGCTCCTCCGTCGGGGCCACCTCCATTGCATCGCCAACAGGGCCAGGGGACGGAGGAAACCTTTGAGCCTCCTCCCGGCCCACCACCATCACACCGCGGCGCCCCTTCAAGCTCACGGAATGAAGAATTCTCCGCTCCAGACGGCCCGCCTCCTTCACACTTCCCAGACTCGAAGCCTGACAATCCGCCGCCCTATCACGATTGGACTGTGATTCCCGACACAACACTCCTCCCGCCACCTCCGCCGCTACCGCAGGACTACTCTCCGGCCAACAATGCGTCATACGACTCCGCGGAGCGTGCCCATGAGTGGTGTGCAAAACACCCCGTGTACACCCCCAGCACGCCGAGCCACGAGATCCACCTCCTTGCCATTGCAGGCCACATTACCCTGGAACCTCCGCCCTTGCAGCTGCGGAAGCACATGACGACGCTCCGGCAAACCAGCCCAACGACATGGCGCGTGGAGACGAGCAAACACCAGCAAGACGCAATCATCTTGGCCTCGATCCCTTTGTACTTCGCCAGTGTGGACAATCCGCTTGCCACGTCGCAGCCGAAGACAATTTACTATGAAATCACCATCCGCCGCATCCTCAACGCAAACTCGGGTATCGCGATCGGCTTCGCCGCGAAACCCTATCCGCCGTGGCGCTTGCCCGGGTGGCACCGCGCGAGCATCGGCGTGCACGGGGACGACGGGCGGAGATTCGTGAACGACCCGTGGGGCGGGCGAGATTTCATCCAAGCGTTCAAAGAGGGCGAAGTGGTTGGTGTGGGCATGATATTCTCCACGCAAGCTGTGACGGGTAACCAGGGAGGGGGAACCAGGATAGGGAGGGTCAAGACGCGAGGCTTCGTCACGAGAGACGGCGAGGCAGACGAGCGATGGGGCTGGGAGATCGATGAAGAACGCGACGTGCGGGATGAAGGCGTCGACGGCCTGATGGGTGAGAGCGACCTTTATCCCGCCATCGGCGTGTTTGGCGGCGTCGACTTCGAAGTGAGGTTTGGAGACAGCGTGAGGTGGAGGGGGCGGTAGTCTCGGGCGAGAGATCACTGGGTGTTGTGAAATGTTATGCCTCCTTCAGCCGTAACTCGGGATACAAAAGCCAATATAGACGGCCCAAGGAACATAAATGTCCTCGTTCGAACGTCGTCTCCATATATATATATAATAGCCATTCATGACCACTTCCATGCCCTGGAGGAATACCAGTGGGTCGACTTCGATGACTCCTTGCAGAATCAGATAAATATAGTGCTGCTGGCAGCCCAGCCGGGTTGTAGAGGCTGGAAGGCAAGCATCCAATGATGTTTCCACCACACAACAAACCGCAACAGACCGTTTGGGGGTGCGGCGTGGAGGGTCTGTACTGCTTTCTCTAGCCGGGGGGCGCCGTGAAATACTCGTACACAGGAGGTAAGGGGCGCGTCCTCGCTCAGGGCTGACAATAGCCCATCCAAGTTCAGCGCTCGCGTTGACGGCTGAACCTGTGCCAACCCACCACTCACCCGGTCACTCGTTGTGACCAATGGGAACATGATCGCCATCATCGGCCAACGGGAATGAGCCAACCGACAGGAACCCGGATGTTTGAGAAGTGGTCCAAGAGATCACCTCATCGTGTCCGAGACTTCGTTTCCCCGGGAGAGGCTGCTCGAACCGTAGCCACACATTACCATTTGTTGCGCTGTGACTATTCAGTAAGAGGCGATGAGCCAATAAGGCTCTGCAAAATCTCTCTCAATTTGCAGGCATGACAGATAACCCATAAACCGAGGCCTCAGAAGGTTGGATGGCAAAAGATGGCTCTCAGGAGTTGTCGAACTGATTCCTTTATATCAGGCAGATTTGACTCCACCATTGGATATCACACTCTCGTATTATGTATCTGTTCTTCAACTTCAGGCCCTCACAAAAGTTCCAAGCTCTTCATTGTCGGTGGATTTACTCTGCTTGGGGGGTGTCATTTCCTACAGAGTTCTCTAGCCTCGAAATGGGACGCTTGCGACCGGAGTAAGCGGCGGCACGGCCTGGTAATGGCGGGAGTAACCTAGATGGTCGTTTAGTCCAGCTGGGCAACTCAGTCTTGGAATGTTAAATCTCCTCGTGGCCGAGAAGCATCTTTCGGCAAATTGAGTTTATGAACTGTAACTTGCAAATGGACCGTGTAAAATGAGCCAACCTCCAGAATTTGCTGAATCTGTAGCATTAGAGTCAGACTCGACGCGAGTGACATGCTAAAAAGCATGCAGGCACCTGCTACTCCAACAGAAGCGCGTGTGGTGATGTGCTCACAACAGGAGACAAGCGGCTTTGGCCGACGGACTGTTGCAGAGACATTCGAGCATGGATAGGGGGATGACACCATGGCATGAAAACTTGCAAGTGTTCACTGCTTGGAGTAAGACCGGTTCTGTTCGATTGTTTGATGTGTTCCTCCTCTTTTCCGAACCCAACGCCGTTCCATCAGGCAGGCTGTGTTGACACCTGATAGTCCGCCGCTTTGGAGGGACGAAGGGGGAGGGTTCATCTGGATATCTCTAATAAAAGCGGACAGATGACGTCGAATTGAAGTGGAGGGAGGAGACAATGCCAGACTAACGGACGAAGGAAGCAGGAGATGCGTCAGCTGTTTGACTCGTCAGTAATGCAGTCGATATTAGTGATACTCCCTTTTCAACCTCTCTGAACGGCAGTAACTACCGTCGCATCCCGTTTCCGACTCGAGAAAGAGCTGAACTCAAGTGCCAAGTGTCCTGGGAGAGTCACCCCTTCGTCGAAAATCGTCTTCTACTTTCCCGGGAGCGTAGTCGAAACCGAAAAAGTGTAACTGCGCATCCTTGGCTGAGACAGAGAGATATCCAATCGCCCCTGGAGCACCAGATCCCGCCTTTACGCGGCTTTCGAGGAATGGCGTCGAGGGCTTTGCGCAGACGACGGGGTAACGTGTCTAAGGACACTGGTGCGTTAGTTTAAGAGCCAGACTATAATTAGAGCCTTGAGCAGCCCACGGCGCAGCCGCATTCAACATTTTGCGAAGGGAGAACAGGGATTAAATTGAAGGCGCTCATTTGGCTGCGCCGTGAAGAGAAACCTCAGATGTGAGGGGGGTGGAACAGTGAACCGCAAGGGCAATATCACAATACCACTTAATCGCCACGCGCGACTTGGTTAATGACAGGATTCGAGCAGGCAGCAATGGGCCTATGCAAGGGCAAAACCCCCCAGCACCGCCTGTACAAGCCATGTGGCCAGCTACTGCTGGTCTGTTGACTAGGATTTAGGGTCAGGGTAAGTCGCATCTGTTCGTATTCCCACCATTTTGGAACCGTGGCCCTGCAGGGGAATACGGCCAACAGGCCCAGTCGCACTAAGGGGAAATTTTCGACCTGTCGGGAGCGGCTGTCGAAGATCAAACTTGAACGAGATCGGGTGGCGACAAAGGCATTCGGGGGTGGCCTCCCAGCAGCAGCAGAGTAGCCGAAAGTCGACGATGCCCACCGACGCCACAGGATTCAGGGCTGCCATTTGTTGGCAGATCGGAGGCATGTAGTTTGGGGCTGACCAGTCGGAATCCTGATGGGTAGAGGGCTTTCCTGACCCAGTCTAACACTGCTGCAACCATCCCGCCGGGATGGCCCAGACTTCGTGATCAACAAGCTTCCCCGATGACTTGCATGGCATGATTCTTGCAGCTGAAACAACCCGAGCGACGACGCACAGCATGATGCAGGAACGAGAAGTGATGCGGTCCCAGAGATGGCGTCAGGTCACGCCCGCCCACACGGAAATGTCCATGTGACCCGTGAAATCAGTGGGGGTTTGGGAAGCGTGCCTGGATTTGGGCGGAGCGCCAAACTCGGGAAATCGAAGGGAGAAGCCAGCCAGATCTGCCAATGCTTGCGTGATCTTTCAGCACGTCCTTTGTGCAACCTGAATCTCGTATTCGTCATTTTTTTTAATCGCGGGGTGCAGACGTGCAAGGTCATGGGTACATTTTCGCGCCTACAGCGTTTCACAAGCCACCATCAGCGTGAGGACCAACCGACTTGGCGGCTCATTGGCCAGAGGAGGAATGGATGGATATTCAGTGAGCGACAATGAATTGAGCTGGATGAAAGAGCATTAATCATGATGAATGTGAGCCAGAAGGTCGGACCAAAATCGATGGAGATCAAATAGCGGTGGCAGCTCTGGGCAACAAAATAACCCTCCGGGATATTTGACGTTCGGTGGCAGGCGAGCCCGCTTCGGCCCGTGAGAAAATGCACGTAATCCAACTGTTGGCAGCCCCCCTTTTTTTGTTTTCAAGATCAGAGCGTTTGGGGTTGGTTTCTTCACCGCCAGTCTTGCGTCAGACCACCAGGAAAGGCTGTTGGGAGCCACAACGGCGGTGTAGGTTCACTTTGTGGTTGGTTTCAGAAAAGGCTTTGCATGAACGCCGGTTGTGTGGCACGAACAGGAGATTGCAGATCCGGGGGGGAGGCTGGCCAATGCCATAACCAGCGGGACCAGTGGTGGTCAGAGCAGACAGGAGCGTTGTGGCAGCCTTGAGAGGGGGGTGGCCATTGACCAGAAGAAGAAAAGGCCTGGGAAAAAGAGAGAGGAATGGGAAGAGAGGATCGAAAGTGTGTGTGAGACAGGAAAAAGGCACGTTCCCTGCAAAGTGGGCGCAGCTGGTCAACGTCATCGCCAAGACTATGTCGTCGCCGGGGTCCTGAAGTCTCGTCGGAGCCAGCTCCTTGTCGTTGCCCCCCCTTCCACTCCCATCGTCGCCCTTACTCAAACCCTGGAGACGACGGGGCCTTCGTGGCACGACCAGTATCCTTTGTCAGCGTTGAGGATCGCCCAGGGACGAAGTGTACAACCCCCGCGCTCTGACTTGTTTAGGGCGGTTGGGTAGCAATCTGCATCCCTATGCACTTCAAACGCGCTGGCTTCGGGGGGAAGTACAGCCCTGGCTTCCGGTCAACATAATATCTCTGAATCGTTATTCGCAGCCTCCCGACGTCGTAGAACCTGGACGTTGCTGGAGTATCTGGGGGGACAAACTGCTACGCTCCCAAATAAGCCACCCTTTATTGTCATAATTCGTGAGGCTACTGGAGAAGTCCAGGTGCGAGCTGCCGATGAGCAAAAATCCCTTGCCTCCACCGGAGGGCACAGGATTTCCCTGCCACTCCACTAGGAAAGAAGACGCTACGGTGTGCTGTTCACTTGTCTCCGGTCTCAAAGTAGTTATCCAGCCAGTAGACCGGACGTGATCCCAGGTAACCATGGGTTCGCACACGACACAGACTCACAGATGATGAAAAAAGTCAACGTTCGCCTTGAATCTGTTTCCTCGTGCAATTGGCGCGGGCGATGGCCGCCAAGTTCCAGTATACGGGGGCATTGACGAGACGAGTTATTCCTCTTTGCAGCAGATATTGGGAAAACAGGCTGGACAGGTCTCTGGCAACTCGTTCGGTGTCTCCGCCCTGCCGATGAGTTGTCAGATCATCACTGGGAAAACTTTCCCGGATATGACATGTTCCTGTGCGTTTCGATGCACGCTGTCATGGCATCAGAGCGCTTTGTTCTGCCGCTGACACGATTACAGCATGTTGACGTGAAAGGAAAGCGCCCGTTAAGCGAGGACAGTTCGCGTCAGCTTCAAGGACATGGTCTGTGGCTTCTGATGCTGCTCATATGCGAGGGTTTTTTGTTGGGCAAAATCGGCAGCGAATGATGTGCTCCGAATACGAAGCTCTAAACCATGCAGAGAGTGTGATGTCGCCGACCAATTCCTCCGGATTGTGTATCGTGCAGAGTTACTTACATCAAAGCCCATGGAAGGCCTAGACACGGAGCAGTTTCTCGGTCAATTTCTGACCCTGCTATCCCACTTCCGTCGAACCGACGCAGATGCTATAAGCTGGGGGACAGCAATGGGAAAATAGTTTGGCAGCAACGCAAACAACCATGGGTAGCCAGTTCACCCTCCCTGCCAAAACAAAAGCACATTCTCTCGGTTTTACTATTCCGGACCTGCA